CCCCCCCGAGTTTCTAAAGCCAATGGCATCGAGTTCCTATTATGACATCCTTACGCTGAAAATAGCCCGCTAACGATGATGTTTCCATAGGACAAGACCAAGTCAGACGACCTAGATGCTGTTTTAAAATTGGTAGGCACTAAAGCCAGGTTTCGTTGTGATAATTAAATGGCTTAAAGGGCTAATGAGCATTCAGCAAGGTATTGGTTGGCTGATGAGAAAAACGATCAATGCATCGAGCGTGACTCTCAACTTTACCCAATCTGAAGAACTAGACAGCTCTACAAATGAGCTAGTTCAATGCGTCACCATGCAGCAAGCACTCGTGGGCGGCATTAAAGGAGCCCCTCAGAAAACCTCGTTAAATTGGACCGACTCTCGGTACAACGACCCGGTTTTCGGGAGTGGCACTGTTCGCAGCTGTTTTGTTAAGGGTGTCAAAACTTCATCAGGGAAGGTACAGCCAGATCTTATTAACACAGTGGAGTTAAAAGGAGAAAGGGGACCGGGTGATGAGAAATTTCTAGCGCAGGGTGTTGTCGTTGATACTCGAATTGAAACGACAGAACAGTATTTGGGGAAGGCCTTTCTCCAAGACTTCCTCCAGAGTACTGATTATGGTTGGGCGACGGAACAGGTATGTTGATGTGACCGACTCTATTGCTATACTAGCAGTAATCTCTAACAGACCTCTAGCTATGGGCTCTAGAGGAAGTAGACGGCAATGTATGCTTGACTCGCAAGATTGTGGTTACGAAGGGCGGTTCTACCGAAGTCGCACGCTTGGTTTACAGATACGCAAGCTGAGAATGCTGGTTCTATTTCTCGAAGACCGAAGATGATGATCTATTACCCTGGTCGAGAGTATTGGCAAACATGTTCAGGAAGTCTGTCTACATTCCTCTTTCAATGACATTACCAATATCCATTCCTAGAAATTGTAGTTAACAGCCAGCACACATATTTTAACTTATATAATGCCCAGCTTGTGATTCCTCTGAGCTGGGAAACACTAGCAGCCCTCGCAGGTCAATGCAAGAAACAAACTTTGATATGAAGCGAATCAGCAGATGGAAGATGGCGTACTTCTAGCAGTATAAATTAAGAACATAATACTTCAATGAATACAAACATAACTGTATGTACCAATGTAAATGAGCAAATAAAGCGAACCTCGGCACACATTTCCGTATATTGATAGGGATAAGCCCACATCCCGAGGCAAGGCCGAAACTAGGATGCGGGGATTCCGCGCTAAATTCTTTGGACGAAATGCATCTCTACCACCATGATATTGGTTAGATGCTAGCTATAGGAGGGCAGAATAAACAGTCATTCTGTTTCTTGCTGGATACCTGGAATCCTAAGAAGCGCTAACTACCTAATTGTAAGGCAAGACACAAATACCCGCAACAATGCCTGCAATTACCCCAGTGGATCCGATGAGCTTTGCTCAGGCCATGGAGCTGGAAAAGGTGTTTTCCGGGAATGAAATTTACCTAAGTAAATATCCAGCACTATCCTTCGATTACCAGCCAGGGCAACCATTAAGTGCACATCGATCATACGGAGGACACACCTATGCACAATCTATCTGGGCGGCGAGCTTATCACTCAAAGATTCCGGTCTTCAAATCCACGAGGCAAACGGGTATTGGACCCAGGCAGGTCATGCAAATCGTCCATTTGTTTATACTGTTGCAACATTATCACAAACACGATCCTTTGTTCTGCGACAGGTGACGGCTTGCCAACCCACCACACCCTCTGAGGACTGCCCATTTCCTACGTCCGACACTTTAAAGCCACTAGGCCCGGTGGCATTTGTCCTGACTTGCTCCTTCAAGCGCAGGGAACACGGCCCAGAATATGGGCTGAGCCTGAACTTCGAACGATATGGCAATGTGTTACGCAAAGATCCCACCACACATCCCTCGAGTGTGTACGTGCCAGGACCGAACGGGATCGGACGGATTAAATTGGCAGATTTCCCTGGGATTGATATCCGAGCACCTGATTTGACAAATTACAACAGCCACAACGCAGGCACAGAGCACCGACGGCTCCATGTGTATCGAGCTTCTAGCCCCATTGGTGTAGACACCAATCTCCGTGCTGCCCTGCATGCATATGTTTCTGATCGTGCGAGTCTGGCTGTACTGGTTCATGCCTTCGGTGCAAAGGAGCTGGGGGTAGCGGGCAGTCTCAACCACAAAATGGTTTTTCATGTAAATGCGGAGGATTTGGCTTTCACTGACAAAACCTGGTTCACTCAAGAGATGTCTAGTAGTCGTGGGGGAGAGGGCCGCGGAGTTGTGGAGAGTCGGATCTGGAGTCCTTCTGGGAGGTTGGTGGTATCAACCATGCAGGATGCGATGTTTCGAGAAACTCTTCCTTCTAAGCTATCATAGATGTAAATATCTTCCTTCCACTTAGCTTATAGATTTTCTTGGATAGATCTCTTGTATCTGATTATAGATACTCTGTTACACTTGGGGCGGATGCGGCTATACTGGCATTTTCAACCTAGGTGAAAGATTAGCTAGTATGGCTACAGGCCATTAATCATGATTAATGATTATTTACGAGTTTACTTGGCTACTATAGAATCCATACCAATCCTACAAATATGGTGTCGAGCACTAGGATACTTGCTTCAAAGCTTAAAGCTTCCGACAGAGAACCACTATCTAAATTGCATTTTCCCCGGTATTTTCAAAGGTGCCTACTCAATATAAACGCTAGATAAATTAGAACTCCAGATTTTGAGTTGAATAGACGTGCACAATGTCAAGCATTTGCCGTCAGGGAGGGCTGGTAAGATCACATGACAGGCCGGACATTAGTAAAGTCCGACGGGAGGTAGAAAGGCCCGGCATTCACCGCTGCGTCATAACTTCCCTTTACCTCGTGAGAAACCCAGGATATGTTGGCATCTTCAGTCGTCCGGTAGGTCTTTCGCAAATCATGTCAGCAAAAAGCTCTCCGGCGACGGCAGCATATTCGCGATCCATGACAAGGCCGCCACGGGTCCTTGCGTGCATGTTGTGTCAGCAGCGCAAGGTTAGATGTGATCGCGTATTTCCCTGCGCCAATTGTATCAGGGCCGATGTGCAGTGTGTTCCTTGCACAGGTCCGCGCCAACGGCGCCGCAGGTTTCCTGAGCGCGAGCTGTTGGAACGCCTCCGACGCTACGAGTCACTGCTCCGCGAAAACAATATCAAATTCGAGCCGCTGCATGCATCGGCTGCAGAGAAAACGCATCAAAGTGAAGACGGCGAAGTGTCTACTACCATAAATGATACACATCCGGCAAGATCGGCTGCGCCTGTGCGTCAACAGCCAACGGAGAAGGCAGCCGCCAGGGTCGAAACGTCACACGAGGCCAAGTTAGACTTGCCCTAAGTACATGTACCTCTACATATCTGACCATCTTCTAGGGATTTCTGGCATCTCGCGAATCAAATGGTATGGCTGAGCTTTTGAATGCGTGGTGGCTCTACTGACAATGGAGGAACAGTCCGTAGGCCCTGAAGATTCGGGGGACAACGACCAGAGGGACATCGATAGCAACGATAGTAGTCCCCCACAAGACGACGTTCCTGAGACTATAGTCAAGAAAGCGTGGGATCAGGTGTACCAAACTAACGATCTAAACCTTCTGTTTGCGTCATGTAAGGCGGATGTCGATCTATCATCCTTGCACCCGGAACAGGTCCAGATATTTAAGCTTTGGCAGGTTTACCTAGACAACGTGAACCCCCTGCTGAAAATCACGCACACTCCAACCCTCCAACCTCGCATCATCGATGCTGCTGGCAATGTAGCTACGATCAGACCTACATTGGAGGCGCTTATGTTCAGTATTTATTGTGTTTCGATACTAAGCCTTAGCGAGGATGAATGTCGCGCCAAACTTAGGGCGCCAAGAGAGGATCTTCTGAAGAGCTACCAGTTCGGATGTCAACAAGCTCTACTGAAATGTGGGGTTTTACGTTCCGGTAGCCGGGAATGCTTGACCGCATTGTATCTCTACCTAGTAAGCACGTTGGGTTGCCGTCTTGCATATGTCCCTAACTCTACTAGATTTCGGTGAGACCCTATACAGACCCACGTTCCGTATCCTCAATTCTCGGCCTTGCTATCCGCATCGCGCAACGCATGGGAATCGACAAGGAAGCAACCTATTCTGGCTGCCCTGCTCTCGAGGGTGAGATGCGCCGAAGGCTATGGTGGTCACTAATCATTTTCGACAATCGTATTTGCGAGATGGTCGATTACAAGAATACTATGCTCACACCTATCTGGGACTGCAGAGTTCCTCTCAACGTGAATGACTTTGATATTCAACCGGAGATGAAGGTTCTACCGACGAGCCACGATAGGCCCACAGAGGCAATGTTCGCCGTCGTGCGCAGTGAGATAGGCGAGTTCATCCGCCACAGCCCCTTCCATCTCGACTTTGCGAACCCGTCTCTAAAGACTATTGCAAAGGATATCCCGCACAGCCCAATTACAGATTGCGACAGGCTAAAATCCTTTGAGAATGTTATAGAGGGTAAATACCTCAGGTATTGCAATCCAGAAAATCCACTTCATTTCATGACCATTTGGATGGCGCGAGGTCAGCTTGCCAAAAATCGTCTTCTAGATCATTATTCGAAATGCTCGTCATTGCAGCAGACGGACGCCCAGCGTGATACCGCTATTTCATATGCGTTAACTATACTTGAGTGCGACACAAAATTGATGACTTCGCCCTTAACGAAAAGATATTTATGGCTCACTCAAAACCACTTCCCATTTCCCGCTTACATTCACATCCTTAAAGACTTGAAGAATCGACCTATCGTGGAGTGCGTTGACAGGATTTGGGCGACAATGAGCGACAACTATGTAACTCGCTGTAAAGATGTGCAAAAGACCGGTCCGTTATTTGACTTCTTCTCTATGCTTGTCCTCCAGGCCTGGAAGGCACGTGAAGCAGTACTTGAGCAATCACACAAACCCCTCCAGTTACCGTTGATTGTATCAAATATAAAACAGAAGATGGACCAGATGATTGTAAATGCAGAAGGAAGTGATGCAAAGCAACCTAAATATGCTTTCAACATGGACATTGACACTTTGACGACGACTATGTCTATGGGGCTTGGTAGCTATGGGTTGCTGTACGGTATGGAAGCGCCAGGTTTCCCCAGTCCAGGACTCATTGATTACTCTGATATGACTGGACAGGGTATAATTAATGGTGAAGGGGATCAGCCCGACTGGGCCACAACAGAATGGTATCCGATGCATGACCAAAACTGGTGAAACGTCCACGTTACCACATGGTTCCCATTCCGTCGATCTACAGAGCATGGACTCTACCTTGAACAAATAGGGTCGTTCCTGGCGGCACCTTCGCCTTGTAAAACAAATTGACGTGCAATACGATACGGAGCTGTAGCTGAACCCTCCCATGTTGGATCCTGGCCACTTTTAGGATGGCTGTTGGTGAAGTAGGAATGCATATGTGGTGAGCTTATCTGGTAGAAGACTAGAAAGTAGTGTGTTCCGTTTGCTGTGCATAAAGGATAAACGACATGAAACATGTTTATTTGCTAGGAAGAACCCCATAATTCGGTCTTTTTATGAATAGAACACGGGTGACTACGCCTTACCACAGCGCATCTTATAGGCCCGATTAAACACGACACTGTGAACCTCGTATACGGTACCTAAGTCTGACTAGGGCACTATATTCAGGGGCTAAGCGCAGCGCCAGCCCCTCCTCAATCAACTCAATACCCAATCTTCGCCTTTAAGTGTATACAACAACCGGCATATCAACTGACACTGCTCCATCTAGCGTAAACAACATAGCTCTCTCCGATGTGGTCACTGTTGCATATTCATGATAATGAGTTGGCGATCTTTTAACAATTTCTTTCCCCGAAACGGCTCTAAAGTTCCTGACTACGCCGACATAAGTAGGGAGTATATAATCGACACTGCCACTACGAACCTAAATGAAGAGGATCTTGAACCAGATTTATTCACCTCAGGAATCGACGGAATATATTCTAGCTTCAGTTCCAGCTGTATGCCATTAGCGACAGCGTCCTTTTAGTAGGGGAATTGTGACAGAAAGCCGCAGAGGTCACGCAGTTGCCCTATGTCAACCGAGTTAAGTTGCTTTACGAGGGGAAGCTTTTAAAGAACGATGAAGTGCCGTGTCGAACCGAAGGTTTGAAGCAAGAATCGGAAGTGTTGTGTGTGGCGTCGAAAAAAGCGGCGAGCGAAGCATCTGGGAGTGAAGATGATGCGAACTCTGCGAGGCAGAAAAACAGACTCAAAAGAAAGAAGAGTCTAGCAAGGGATGGATTGGATGGTAATCTTCTTACAATCTTTAACGGGATGGAGGAAAGAGAAAGGGCTCCGTTGGATAGGTTTCTTCCAGTCGAAGTCGAATTGCATTCATACTGCACGCCGCTTGAACGGACGCAGGCGCTCGTGTCGCATTTTCAGATGAAGCTAGAGCCGCTTTTTGAGGCATTTCTTGCTACCCGCCGTTAGATCTAAAATCTCGAGCCTCTGCGCATAAAAAAGCTGAGTGAAACGCTTCTAAGAGAGGCGATATTAAGGGCAGATGGCATTGAGCCGGATGGTGATGGAACAGCGAGAAATGCTCGCAGGGTACTCGTCAAACGAGCACAATCGCTTCTCAACGGATTGAACAATGTTCCAAGGCCGGAAGCAATCACAGATCATTCGGGCAAAGGAACAGTTATCGACGAAAGCCAAGGCAGCATAAAGCACCAATCCACGACTACTGCACGTCAAAAATACTGGGGATTCTCCTCTTGTAGAGCCGGCCCCACCCACAGACTCTGGATATACCTCTCTTCCGCATAGCGAATCAAAAAGTCTTCAAGGTCCTGGGGATCAATGGAACGCAGTTGATAATCTAGGTAGTGAAGCTAAAGGTGCCCTGGGTGGGTTGGAGAGCAGCTAGCGTTTATTTAGACGTGGAAAGCGTGGCTATTGCAGGGGTAAAAAAGGATATATTCCAGAGATTGTTCGAATTATATTTATGCATGCCTTTTTCCATGGCCTGAATGAAGCAACGTTGGGGCAGGTTCAGGACACTCTCCCCCAGATACTGAAAACATTCGCGTGCAAGACTGGATATGCAACCGACACCCAGAAGGAACGTGATGTTATGTTTTTTGTCCACGAGTATAGAGTAAGCACCAAGCTCGATTTTTTCTCTAAGCATGAGTTGACTAGTGAAATAGTGAACTCTCTGCAAGTGACACTTGAGGAGGACATATCTCCAGACCGGGCTACGGACAAATTATCCTTGGTCGAGGCTATAATTCAGTGGATTGAGAATATCGACTCATAAGGAGATCCAAATCTGAGCAGATCCGACTCTCAAACACCTGGGGCCGACCAGTCCATCCATGATTTGATGGGGGTGCACGAGAAAGAGGAAGATGATTTAATGTCCCTCCATGATAGCACAGTATACCGCGGCACTATTATCAACTCACCGGCATTCAAATGGCTTATAGGAACTAAACTATACAAAAGTAGTTTTGCATGACCCCCTATGAGCAGCATAGCGCTATGGGAGCTATCAGAGAGAAGATACCTTGCAACTACCAGCCTCCAGGCTCAGTAGGAAAAGCTGCCCAGAGACCTACAGGTCTGTATTTAAGCTTGCATGGGGTCCCGACCCGTCCGCATTTTTCACGCAGCAGGTGTACAATGGCCATCCTGCTTCAGTCATTGGAAATGTTATTACCGTGACTGGGCTCGATGGATATGCACAGGCCCAGACATGCGCTGCTTAATTGAGCCAAACCTGGCCATCAAGTGGGGACCAGATTCTACATTCCAGCAGTATCCACTAACGGATGAGCCGGGTAGTCAACATGACCGTAAGTTAGAACCCTAAGCAATTCTTCGTGATTCTTCTATGCTAATATATACAAGATGTACTACTTGATAAAACGGCACTAAGCGCTTCCGTTCGGGAAAAAGAGCTTGTTGTTACAGTCTATGGCTCTAGGATCTCCATAGCAGAGATTGGAGAGATACATGGATGGCTCGGTGCGTCGCTTCGTATGTCGTTACAGGAATCCAGAGCTGTTTCTTGCACACCGTTTGTTCGAATGATAAAGCCTTGCTTCATATCACACCCCCGACAGGGTCTCCCTGATGTTAAGGGAATATTCTGTGAGTTTGGCTTTACCTTCAGTCCGTGGATTACCGAACTTGTAACTGGACAATGCTGGAACGATATATTCCTTAATCCCGTTGTCGTCAGTGGCTATCCGATACTACGACAACCATCAAAATACACAGGACTGGAGGCACCTCTTAACTTACTAGGAGCCTTAATGCAACAAGAAAGAATTACGCTATTTCGGGGTGTATCAGATGGCTGCATATACGCGGGGATCCCAAGCATACATATTCAATCGCCTAAGAGGAATTGCCGTCGACTTCCGCTAGTGCTTCTTCATCGGCAACTACAACCTCCGCTCCTACGAGTACATCCCCAGTGAGCTCTACGAGTGCTGGAAACCCGACCGCTACGTCCGAGGGAGGCGGAAGCTCAGGTAATGCGGTGGCGCTGGGAACTGGTCTGGGAGTTGGTCTCGGTGTCCCTCTTCTGTTGGTCCCTCTTCGGTTCCCCGTTGCTGTGAACTCGGACAAGGAAACGAGCGCAGGCGCAGGCTATGGCCCAGAATCCATTGGCTTCCCCTGGTAAAACTGTGTACAATGCCCCGGCAAGAGAAATGGACGGATCAAAGAGACCTCAGGAGTTGCAAGGTTGATCAATTTATGTATTCTCTATGTTTTGTTCAAGCTATTGGAGTAAGGATGCTTGGTATGTAATATCCTAATAATGATTTTTATTAATTGATAAGCCGAGTCCATTTGGCCACAACGTGGTAAATGCTACTTACCAGAGCTCAATTTAATCCCCACATAGCTACCACGCTCAGAATCATTACCGATGAATTACGCAGCATTGCCAGCAAATATAGTTCTAGTCCGACACCTCTAGGTGATCGAAGCAAGCATAATCTAGGTACTTTCTTTTGCACGGCTTCGGTGGGTCGCAGCGGTCATTGGCTGGCAGTCTGGCATCGCATTGCCTGAACACCCCTTTGTGGCTGCATCCACAGGTGTAAACTATCAGCTCGTAGTCGCACCTTTGCTTTTATTAATGTCCATAACCCTTTCATCGAAGCCATTCACAGCGCTGAACTTACACAGCAGCTTGTCAGAGGGATCAGATATAGAAGATTGTTTAAAAGTCGTAGGCAATCCGAGTGAACAACAGCCTAGAATGCAGGTTTAAGTTCGAATACTGAAGGGATGAGGCCGCTGAAAAGGTGAGTGTAAAACAACTAAATACTTTCGGAGTCTGTTGCACCCACCCTTCAGTAAATGCACCAAACAAGGAAGACATGGAGTGGCCTATGCCTAAGGACCTGGGTGCTGTAGATAGACCTCGTATACTGAATACTGCTGTCAAGTGATTGATGGAAGTAAATTCCCCAAAGTGACGTGACCAGTTAGTCATCCTTTGATGTAAGCATAATTAACTTGAGGCCTCGGGGCTTTTTCAGTGATCAATATCATATTATCCTTAACTCCAACCTGGGATGGCCGCAGGCATAGCATATCGTTGGGCAGAGCCAGCTCGGGAAGTTCTCAATCTATACCCTCAACGAGGTAAGGCCAAGATAAGATTGTATAAGCCCCCACATAATGGAGCGTTAAACGCCAACCCGCCATGGACACCTCTGCTGGGTCGGCTTCCACTCGAGCTGGTTCATAAAATGCTTCTAGATCTCGACCCAGTCAGTCTGCGAAACCTAATTCTCCTCCACGATGAAGGCATCTAGATTCGAGAAAACACACGGTACAAAATTCCACAAAGAGCCTTCCTTCACGCGCACTCAGTTTATGACCGCATACCATCATGAAAAGACCCTATATATACCCATACCTAGTTGAGGTTTTGGCTTGTTCCAGAATCTCAACAAATGTCCGCTTTTCATACTTCCAGGTAGTAGGAGAGGGCCGAGGAGTTGGTGCAAATAATAACACGTAGCAGCGGGGACATTGTTCCTGGGTAGGGTATCTCCATTCTTCAGAGCGGGAACAGAATGTGTGGTTTGTGCAAAGCAGAACATTGGTGACCATACGACCGCAGCATACTCATTGAATGCATTTCTGCACATGGCGATAACTAGAATACGTCAGACTGGGTGGTTTTATGCAAGATTGCTCGATCTCTCACTGGGGAGAAACACACCTCCTATATCCTTGTAGGCTGTTGATGATGTAGTAGATAATGCTGTAGCTATTCTGTAGGTAGAAGGACTCTGCTATATGCCGTTCTTGAAACTGACAACGGCTGAAGTTCTCAACAAATCCATGAAGGGGACTGTGTAAAGGAGTAGTGCTTTATGGTCTTTGTACTTCTGTTTCACACGGGTTAGAGGTTTCGCCGGTTTTTGGCAAGTTCAGCTTCTCCGGGTCAATCAAAGGGTCGGCCATTGGAAAGACTAGGAGAGGTTGATTCCTACGCGACTTTGGTGGTTGGTCTTAGCTTACTTGAGTTAACTTTCACGTATGGTTCGTATGTTTCCAGTGTGCCGAAAAGCCTCGTTGTCTGCGTGTATATATCTGCCTCTGAACAGACATATCCACTAATTGTAGGAGAAAAGCTCAAAATCAATATCGTACATATTTGCTAGGTGTCAAAACAAAAGAAACAGGCGGAAGGGGCTATTCTATACAAATCTATGCTACTGACTAAGGACATACCCTCAGAGCTGGACGTCTCCAACGTCGCCCACTATATACGAACACCACCCCCTCCCCCACCTCACGTTTACTACACTGAGCTTGTCTTTGAGAGTGTTGCCCTTACCTTCTCCTCCTTAATCCTCCTCTCCTCCCGCTCACTGAACCGATCACCAAAAAGTTCCAAGTGAGGACGCATGAGGATAGTATACTTCACAAACTCTTCCATGCAGTCCACCAGACGGTCCCGGTTACTACTAGGCATAAGTCTCTGGTCTTCCGGTTGACCCTCGGCAGGGAAGTGGGTATATGCTTGGGGGATAGACGACTGATTCGGGATAGTAAACATGCGCATCCACCGGCCGAGAATACGCAGGGAGTTTACGGCGTTGAATGATTGCGATCCACCGCACACCTGAGCAATGGCAAGGGTCCGGCCTTGCGTGGGACGAACACTCCCAGTGGTAAGCGGGATCCAGTCGATCTGATTTTTGAACACAGCGGTCTGAAAGGAGTCAGGTCAGTGCTGAGAAATTAAGATCAAAGAGAGGAGAATACAAACTAGATTGCCGTGCTGTTCAGGAGAAACCCAGATATGACCATCACTCCATTTGCTCAGCTCTCGGAGCTCTTGCACCTTGGGGTGGCTTTGCTCGGTATCATTCTTCACTGGCAGTCCCTCAGGATTAAACACGCGGACATCACAGCCCAGACGGAAGAGAATCCTGCTGGCTTCCAGCGCCACCAAGCGAGAATAGGACCTCCGACGAAGACTGCCGTATAACACCAGAACTTTTAGCCTGCGGTTTGACTTGTATAGTTCCCGCGCTGCCATGTCCATGGCGGTTGTCAACTCCAAGGTACTGACCCAGTCCTCAGTCGCGTCGTCTTCGAGAATGAAGGGGCGGTATTTCTGGCGGACATCGACGTCATCATCGCTCTGTAATATAGCCAGAGACGGGTGTTCAGGGAGTTGCATGCTCTCGTGCCCACTGACGAAGCCAGAGACAGTTAGCCCCGGCTGGGCAGCAGACGGATCCGCCATTGTGCTGTATCTGCAGGGCGGGAATAGAATCGCCGAGCGAATGGCTGGGTTGTGTTTGGGTAGTGGTGGAATTCGAAACCGAGTAATCATCGAGGAGTTTTTATATGATCTTTTATAGGGAGCTAGTTCTGATATATTATTAGCCTGGTGGTGAATCGATGTCTGCTTATAGATTGTACACCAATGAGTAGATGTCTCGGCGAGTATGTCACTGGTGGATGCTGATTGGATGGTGCCATTTCACCCTGAAGCTGATCGTTCTTGGCATAACCTGCTTAGGTAATTGCTATTCTACTTGAGTTAACGTATTCGGTAAGCGGCTGGGTCACGCAACCGGGTGGGTCAACCCTCGCAATTTTTTCGCGCCTCCTAAAAATGAAGCTATTCAAACCACCGAAAAATCTGCATTTCTATAGAAAGTCTAAATAGTCTGACGATTAGGACAATGAGTTATTTTATGGCCTAGAATACCGCAACCAGAGCACTTTGGTGGAGCGCGTACACGCTGGTTTTCTACTACAGGACCTATATCTACGGAGGTAGTAGATATAGCTCCATTAGTAGAATTCCTGCTTTGTATAAGCTCCTGAGCCTCCTTAACTGAAGCGCCTGATTCTATAGGAATCTGCCTAGTAGAGCGCCTTTTCTTTTTAAGCGTTCTTTCATGCGCGGCGCGTAGTTCCCTAACTTCCTGCCTTGCAATAGTAGCTTCATTTAGAGCTAGTTCACAGCCTTTAACAAGCTGTTTTATCACAGCCTTAGTAGGTGAGTCAGGGCTCTCTGTATGAGCTCTAAGCAGCTTCTTCAAAGTAGCTTCCTGCTTTTGTAGTTGCTTTAGATTATGAGGTGTTTTGGGCTCTGAATTAGTAGACCTACTACTAGGTCTACTGCCTGGAGGTGTTATCTGCAGCGTAATATTAAGCTGAGATAGTACGCGCTCAGGATTAAAAGGAATAAGTCCAGTAGCTGAGAAACCACTGCAGATATTACTAGTAGTATATATCTGAGCTCTCGCCTGAGGAAAGGCCTCAAGAAAGTCAAGTTTATCAATATAATTGAAGCCTAATCTCATTCTATTCTCAACTAGCTGTCCGTACGCGCGTTTCAGGGGCCCAAAACAGCCTACATCAAGCGGCTGAAGTAGGTGAGATGAATGAGCAGGCATACAGAGAGGTATAATATTGTTTTGACTGCATATATCGTTAAATTGAGGCGTTAAATGACTGCCGTGGCCATCAAGTATTAAAAGGCGATATCGACCAACAGTCCGGCTTGTAGCAGGTATAAATACATGCTGTAGCCAACGTAGGCCTATCTCATCAGTAGTCCAGCCATTTGCACTCATTTCTATACGCCAGTCCAGTGGTAGACCCATCTCATACCAGCCCTCAACGTGGACCTTGCCTTTAAAGATAATACAAGGTGGAAGAGGTCCCCTAGGGCCAATACACTCAATAGAAGTAACCCATTCCCGGTTCCCTGGCTGCAGTAGAAATGGCCTACCAGCTAACTCAGCTCGGGTAACTACTTTAGTAGTAGATATTAAGCCCATTGCAAAGCCAGTTTCATCAAAATTATAGATATCGTCCGGTTGAATGCCATACTGCATTATAGTGATCTGTACGCGCTCAAACCACTCATGTAGAAGCTTAGGATCCTCGCATTTAGCGCGCTGATAGCTGTAGCGACGAGAGAAACGCAATTTTAGCTCATCTCTGCGTTGAACTAAGTTATATACCCATTTCTCACCTACGGTAGTAGGTATAGGGTCACCACGCTTAGCTAGTAGAATATTGGCCATTTCTCGTATGTGCGTAGGCCGGGGAGGTGCTCCACGTTGATCTAATGATAAAATCCAGTGTACTAATGAATCCTCCTCATTTTGAGTCAATTTATGGCCATTGGCGCGTACTTCAGCGTAAAAAGTTTGACCCTTTAGGCGTCGTTGAAGCGTTGTATTGGGCACATTAAAAATACGTGCAGCTTCACGAATACTGCTGATTTCTTGTTTTTTTAAAGCTGATATAGCTAATAGGACTCTCCCTTCCTGCTCCACCTTCGCTTTTGATGATTTAGGCATTTTTGGTGGTATGGCTGGTGATTGAATAGCTTCATTTCTAGGAGGCGCGAAAAAATTGCGAGGGTTGACCCACCCGGTTGCGTGACCCAGCCGCTTACCGAATACGTTAACTAACCTAGTTAAGTTAGTTACATAGATAAGAAAAGTTAACTAGCTATTTACTTATCTAGTATACCCCGATCGCCACCGCAATCTCCGACTGTAAGTAAACCTCTACCGACACCACTGACCAATCTATTCCTTGTTTGTATAAAACTACTGCCATCGAAGAATTATATTCATGTTGATATTAAGTAGCACTGAGGTAGCACCTGACGTTGGACAAACATATCTTTGGCAAAACCTTACCATCTTGGTTCAGCAGCACACCCACGGCCGTATTATAACGTGACAACCATGAAGACCGATAGTTCAAATAAACAGACGATGACAGTCAAGGTCGGCAATTGCATGAAAGGCAAGATATATCCCTGCGCAGTATGTAGAGACTAACAACATCCCAGACCGATCAAATATCGTCATCCCAACGTATCCGCGACAACCAGCGACGTTCGCGCGCACGGCGCAAAGAATACATCCAAGATCTCGAGCAACGCCTACACAAGTTCGAGGCTCTGGGCGTTCAGGTGACACGAGAAGTTCAAGCTGCTGGTCGAAAGGTCGCAGTGGAGAATACCCACCTTCGGTCGCTGCTCAGACTGCATGGTGTTTCTGACCAAGATATTCACGAATATTTAACAGCACACACAGCAAGCGTTGTTCTCCAAAACTTTCACTCGGGGACTGTACTAGAGACGCGGTCGCCCTCGTGGAAATCTTCAGGTCCGAATACGGTCAGCGAGGGTTCTCCGCAACCGAGTTCATTTCATTGGTACAAGGGCCTCTTGCATGAGATGGCAGATACTGAGCCTAAGTCATCGCTCTCGAATCCAGCTATCCATCAGCAGGTGAATATATCTGAGAACCAAATTTCCCGAGGTGGAGCAGCGTATCCCATTCGACTCCCCCACTCATGGTACCTCCAAATTACAACCGCCTAGCAGGAACCAGGGCTCAGGGCAGTCTACTCCATGCGAAACTGCAGCCGAGATTATTACGTCTATACGAAACTACTCCGATGCGCGGGGTGTGCGCTCGGAAATAGGGTGTCAGTCGAGCTCCAATTGCATGGTGAGAAACGTGGACATACTTCAGCTACTGGATGAATGATGAAACGGGGAGATATTGAATTGACACTGGGTTTACCTAATGATCGCGGTAATCTTGTGTAAATTTGTATAGAACTGTGTTTATCCCGGCCATGCGTCACAAGTGCATTCTCACCAACACAGGATTCTGAGGATGAACTTCTCATATAGAGCAGTATGCAAATAAAGTTATCTATGCCTTGATAGCATAGATCTGAAAAGAACCTGGACAAATGGTCAATAGCGCAATTAAGCCTGGATGGAGGACAGTCACTGACCGACCCACTCATTAAAATCCAACTCCGCAACATCACTCGCAGCCTCCTTATGCCCAAACCTGCCGCCACAGCACGAGTTCTGAGGCAAATACAAAGACCCTTTATAGAGGTTAAGGTCTGACCTCGCATCAATAATGAACACACCTAGCACCAAATTAGTATTCAAGGCTCTCTTTATAGCGGTGTACGTGCCTTCGAATCCAGCCTGCCTAAGATACTCCTCATACATCCCAACCTGACTAGCACCAGCAACACACCCTACATACAGCGCCATGTTTTTAGTAATATAATCTGGCAGTGGCTTTCTAGCTAGAATATCGCTGACCGCGATCCTTCCGCCGGGCTTCAGTAGGCGAGCGATCTCTTTAAAAACGGCCGCTTTGTCGGTAGGCGGGACAAGATTGATGACACAGTTACTAATGATGCAGTCGACGCTAGAGTCTGGCAGCGGTATGGAGTTGATATTTGCTTCGATAAATTTTGCATTGGAGAGCTTTGCCTCTCGGGTATTTTTCTCGGCGAGTTCGACCATACTCTTTGTCTACTATCAGTCCTTGTCTCTGCAGAAAGAAGGCCTCGAAGGACTCACTTTTGTCATATCAACGCCGATGGCCTGTCCATTGGGCCCGACTCTACGAGCCGCCAGGAGGACGTCAATACCGCTGCCGCTGCCTAGGTCTAGAACTGTCTCCCCCTACTAGAGAGTTAGAACCTTCTATTTGTCACGGTCGTAGAAACAAATCAGCCAAGGAAACAACCAACAGACCTCTTTCACATTGGCAAATCCCACCGGGTTTCCACAACTCAAACCAAGATTAGACTTCTCTGGCAGCGAACTGAGATCTTCCGCACTGTAGCCAAACGCCCTAGCAATTTCCTCTTCTTTATCGTGTTGCTGGGCGTTGTTACTCTGCTTGGCAATGTCGCCGTAGCGGGACTGGACGAAGCTGTAGGTATCGTCGCACATATTGTAAGAGATTTCTAACACAATACAATCCTATATTCTCACAGGGAGAATGTTGATGCGAGGCAATTGGGTTTACTATGATTGAGACTGGTGGTAGCTCTTAACGCAGACGGGGGACGTTCCAACTGCATTTATATCCACTCACGAAGACAATAGTAGATAGTCCTCATTCTGAGCAAATGCGATAACATTGGTCATGTTTGTCATTAGGTGGATAACTGGTGTGTCACCACTTTGAGCACGTCCTAAGAGGATGGGAAAGTGGTATGTCACCACATTGGGAGTGGATCCGCACGTATTTTTACAATGAAATACACTCGGCAAGGCGAGTAATGTCCCTATTAGAGCATAAACAGAATCCATATATTTCTTCTACTGTGCCGTCCGCTGCAAGACGCAATGGAGACGACCTCGTCTATAGCATGAGTTCTTAGGTTCCTCCAACCGGATGAAGTGGATGTCCTACATATCACAGGTTTGCACCATTCCCCCTACAGCAAATGTCCCTATCCTAAGTAAGCCAGATACGCTAGTGGTACTGTACCTCGGGTGGACCCGAGCGCGGGGAATCGTCAGTTACTGTACCCATCTCATCATTACATACGAAGCTGTGTCCACAGTTTCTTATCCACCTGGACCTTGAAACTCTGCCTTCTATACAACTTATACAACGGCTACAAAACCAAAATAAGGCATCAGTGGCGTGTAACTCGAGCTAGGCGGCTCCCTTTGTTAGTATAGAACGAAGGTAACGTAGCGGGACCACCCCAACACTTCCACCATGCCACGTATCAAGCAAAAAACCAAAGTATAAGGGTCTCAATGTTATATCCACTTAGTACGTGGCATCTGACTACTCAGCCAGGCAGAGAACCTTACCCGTGTCCGCAACAACCAGCGTCGCTGCAGACAGCGAAAACGCGATTACGTAGCGGAACTGGAGCGGAGACTGGCATCTATCGAGGGTACTACTTCTCGAGAGATCCTGAGATTGCAGTCTATTGCGGATGAGCTTCGCCAAGCGAACGAGAGGTTGACAGCGTTGCTCTATCCCGGGGCTGCCGACTACAATTTGATCAGACCTAGCAGTCCGACGGAGAGGGAGAACGATGTCTTAAAAGATATGAGCAGTGATCTCGACCTACATAATAGTAGATCCCTCTTTGGTAGGGCGCTACATCCCACTCTGTCATAATTTTACAACCATACACATATGACCTAGCCCACCCATCGCCTCCTTGACCTCATATCTGATATGACTGGATATTTACTAGGGCCCATCGAGAGCACAGCTCCAGAAGACATGCCCCCCCAACTCGACCTTCATCCACCACTATCTGCATCTCCTGATAAATTTACAGATCTCATCCAGGAAACCAGCTGCCTCCCAAACTTTCCTGAAATCGAGCCTGATCCTGGATCCCTACTTCTACCTGAGCGGGATGTAACAGACACAACCTTAAGCACAGAGGTATCGAAATACGAGTACCGAAATACAACCGTATGCGCTGTGGCCCTGGAGCTAGTTATGAATTGCAATACGAAAAACCTAAGCATTTTGGAGCTTGATATGCGGCTTCGATGCGGGTATAGGAGCGCGCGGTTTCAATGGGAAGGCTGCAGGGTCGATAATCGGGTTTTGTTCGCTGTGCTTGCTGAGATTACGGGATGATAGTTTATTTAATCAAACGATCAATCAAGTATTTATTGAGACGGTGAGCAGGGCGCCGGAAACGGCACCTATTGCAACATTATCCTGGCCCCGCCCGTTTTGACCGCCCCAGTCACCTGCCATCCATCTATAAAAGGACCACTGCTCCTCCCCTCGACACACTCGCCCTTTCTCTTCTTTTCCCTCCCCCTTTTCTTCTTTCGCGCCCACTGTGTCCCTGTGCATCGCAAGGCCTGGCCCCATGCACTGCCCTTTCATTTCACCGCGGATCCCGCGTCATCCGACGCTCAGGCCATCCCGGCCGGATCAGCAGCACTGTAGAGTGGCGAAACTATCGAATGCCAGGAAGGGCTATACCGGGAATGGTCCCGCTCGACTTCCCAGCAAAGGGCCTAGCCGCCGCAAGAATCTGTCTTTTCCTATGCTTCGTTCTCAGTTCTCAGCAATGTCAGTCGAGGATCGACTACAGTTCTTGTCTTGGCTGTTTGAGTGTGCTTTATAATACTGTATTCTAATATCTATTATATTAAGGCAAGTCGAATAGGTTGCGATTGAATGAGATTATTGAAACCCTAAGAAACAACTGCTTATAAGTAGTAGGACCTGATAAGGCACAGGCCCAGCTATGACTAAGTAAAGGGCCGGATTGAGAGTAGAACTCTATTCCCGAATATCTCTACCGCTGTCTCACGCTGTATGACAGATGCTTCCTGAAGGGTCTTTGACGAAATGTCAATAACCATAGAGAAGCTTCTTTTCTCATATCCTGAGCGACATTTATTCAGTCATGGCTCAGAACGAGAACTGGAGCGGAGATGAAGCACAAGAAGTTGGAGGAAAGGCAGTTTCTGGCAGAGCTCCAACAAAAGGTACACTGTTTGAAGGAGAAACATGAATTCACCCTGGGCAGATCGCGCAGTTTTGAGTTATTATAGCCGGGTTGAATGAGTTGTTTCTAAAATCCTAGTGTTGGGCGCCCCTCTACGTCAATGGTATCACCGCGCGTCAGCATAACTCGCTCGCAGTCACTTTCTGATGGTTGCTGGCAGTGAGTACAGTGAACTTACTGATGTCCTTGAATCTAACCACTGCCTCTTGATGTCCCTGAAATTGTACTTAAGTCCTTGCTTGTGCAAAAGGAATCGGTTCTGCGATAATCATAGTTATTTGAATGTAGGAAAGAATCGAAGGCTTGCTAGGCTCGAGTACTAAATGATACCTACTTAGAGAAATTGCCAGGTAGAAAAAGACAAGAGCCGCAGTATAGCTTCGGCCCCATTTTATCCTGTAGTATCAACAAATCAGAGTGAGTTCTTACCTCTCAGAGCTATGGCATTTCTATGAGCCTGCATAAATCAAAGATGAATCGATCATGTAACGCTGACGCTATGGCGTTGGAAGACTCGCAATGGTAAAAATTAAGCACACCTAATCAGCCAACTGTAAGGGAATTCACACCAGACTGCTCCCTAATGCAGCACAAGAAATGCAAGGATAGTGTGCGGCACGTCAAAGACGATGCCGATGAATGAAGTGGCCCGAACATTATTCAAATGTGGCAGCATCCTCTAATTCCTCATACAGGTCATCGTCCAGAGGGACGGTCACCGGATCCGTTCCCTCAGCAGCAAATTCAGAATAATACTCCCGCTGCTCCGGCGTGTTCTTCTCCCATGGAATGAGAAGTCGCTCGAAGCCCACGTCCACTAGCTTCTGGAAGTTGGCAGGGCGTAGGTTCACTCGGATCAAAAGAGCGTGATAGTAGCCGATCTTGAACAGTGCAGCACAAGTGTCTGAAATGGTTTGTCTAGTCTTATTGAGCATCTCCGCCCAGAAGATAGCATCCTTTAGGTCAGTCTGCCGCTTCTGAAGGCCCTTTGCATCTTCTTGACGAAGATAGAAGCACCTAATCTTGACTGCAAGGGCAAAGTCGGGTTGTAGTAACCGAACGCCATTCACGTGTCGGACGTGCCCATCCACCTGGTCATACACGAAGCGGTCGTCAATCGTGGTGAGGAGATCGATGATAACCGATCGGTACGAGAGTTTCCCCGCCATCACCTCGAAGCCTTCGACGAACTTGAGGGAGTCGATGATAGTCTTGGACCGGATCAAGATGTCTACGTCAGTTGTGATCCTCTTGTGGCCTTGGAAACACGCAGCCGCGCCGCCGACTAGAATAAAGTCGGCTGGAAAATGCTTCTGTAGCGCGCGGATGCATTCCAGAATCTTAATTAATTCCTCTGGGTCAGTCGACATATTGTTCTGTCGGTACTATGCCAAGCTAAAGCTGGTTAGCGGAAAGTTAACAAACGGAACTATACAGGCCAGAGATCAAGACTTATAGATCCGTAGGCTCATCTGGGACTAGGGAAAAATGAAGAATGATAGAGTGAAAGGAGGTTCAGAGGAGGTGGAGATGCGGTACACGGATGGGTTGTGGGTGCTTATCTACTTGGAGAGGAAGTATAGTTTTAAGGTGCCTTCCCAGGTAGGGAAGGCACCGGCCCAGATGGATTTAGTGTCGGCTTAGTATCTATTCTGTCGGCCAGCTGAATACGCGTATGAGTTAGTATCACTGATCTATGGACAAGGATCCATTTATATGGAAGAATGATGTCTCTAAGGTCTCTATCTCACTGAATCTATCTGGAAGAGCTGAATAAAAACGATCAAAACAATGGAACAATGTCGGGCCGAGCGGATACTGAATAAATGTGTAATATTGACCCACTTTATCCGACATTTTCCATGTGACCTTACCCGGACCCATAACCTTAATCTTTTGCCATCCATACCTCATAACCTGACCTTCTTCTACCGAACCTCTCTACGATTTCCCATCGCCCTCGCTTCTTCAATTTGGCAAAATGGTAGATTTCGAAGCCAAGAAACCCCTTCAAGAATCCTCAGCGTGGTATCTCTTTCATCTATCTGAATGTCTCGAGGATCGCCTTATCAAACACTGTATCGCTGGCGACGCCATTCTCACAACTCTCGGCCACCCGCTGGTCATTTGTCAACTTTATCTTGTGGTCGCAGATGAGCAACTTGAAGATGCTCTCGCCGTCATGCTACAGCAAGGACTCGAGCAAAGCCAAGGACCCGCTGTCTATGTAGAGCGGGACGCGACCGTTGCTCCTCTAGGCTGGCCAGGATACACCCTAAAGAGGCCTCGTGCACCTTTCCTCGCCCCGGAGGTCTCTCTTGTTCCCTCCAGTTTTTGGCATATGGACCTCTCAGAAGCGAGTCTATTGAAAAACACATTCCTACATCCCACTACGCGATGCCGATTTCCAACACGGCTATTTTATATAGATGGTATATGTTATGTCCTAGATGCCTCTTCTATTCACTCCTTCCTAGCTTTAAAATTGCTATTATCTCGTTCTGACACTCCACATCTAGCTCTGATCAATGCCATCATCGAATCTACACTGAAACCTGGCCACAACACGCGTATCCATGGGTACCTCGAAATGCAGTATCTCTATTTAGTCAACTGGCTCTCTGCGTTTTCCCCGGATACTCTTCTCAAGCTGCCGCCTGGTAATAGGTTCTTTGTTGACTTATATGGCACACCTCTTCCACCCGCAACCCGGCGAAGAGTCTGTTTGAACCGGCAGCGGATTCAACTGGGCCTACTAACTGTGGAAGACGCATGGGGGTCAATGCCGATAAAGTTTATCAACACCATAAAGAAGATTGAGGCAGAGAGGATGGATAAGATGCGGCGATCCATACCTGAAGTGGGCTAGATAACCTGAATAGATTTGGGACGTTTTAAAGTTAGGGAACCCTCCCAGAAAACCGTGATGAATACCACCGCTATGCAACTACTAGCAGCCGGATGATTATGGTTTCCAACTTACCCATGAAATTTTTCCCTATTATAGTCTACATTGTTCAATACGGACTTTTAAGGCCTTTCCTATTCTTTTTCTTTTCGAGATGAGCACTAGTGCTACCACGTGGTTCCCCAAGGAAATAACTGTAATATAATTATTAAATGTTCATGACATGCCTAGCAGGTCTCCATAACTCAAAGTGATATCGATATTCGAAGATCTTAGACACTTCATAAGCCTAGATACTATAACGATCCTAAGAATAATGTGGCGGATCGGCTGGAATTATCGTCTAAATCGACACTACTATCTAGATCAGAGTCGCTGGAGGTATCATCATCGAACAAACTAGGCCGCGAAGGGCGATGCATGGCGAGCAGATGTCAGGTGGGCTATAAAGAAAGGTAGAGGGAACGGAATGGAGGAACTAGTTAAATGATTAAAGCGAATATCGATTTTACTTCAAGGCGAAAGATTCCCTGAAGAGACAGGCGTGAGGATGAGAAGGTCACTAGGGAGGAAGAGCGGGTGGCAGGACGCCATGGCAGCCGAAAGTTATGGATTCACAGCGAAAGAGGTTCTCAACCGGGGAAAGTCGAAGATAGCTCCCTTCCATGATGATGTGAGAGCCAGCGAGAGAGTATACAACGACATGGTTAGCGGGGCGCCGCAAACTACCGCCATTGCACCTTTCCTCTGCCACCTGCCACCGCCTGCCGCCAACGGGTATGCTATTGCTTTTTGTGGTATAGCATCTACCCTACCGCCTTTGGAATTGTGCTGCTCTAAAGTAGAGAAAAGAGTAGTACTAAGAGTTTGGAAATCTAAGTGTTGTGATCTCAGGGGAAAGATGGGCAGGATGATGCTGTATCAGCTACACGTACGTAGCCTACTGAGGACCGGATGCCATTCCGATAGATACTCGATTCTATGGACGACTGTATCGACTATCTTGAGCGCTTCTTGTATCCTATCTCAACTACTAATAGGTAAAGCCTTCAGGGGCTAAAGGAGTTGGTGATCCGGCCAAGCCGCTAGGCAATCACGTGCCTCCTATAGATTGTGGAAGCGAATGTATGCTTGTTTTATTGGGTGGCCGTAACGGCCGAACTATCTAAATAACTAGCTTACTAAATGATGACTAAGCAATGTCGAACTATAGGCCATGCGGCGCAGGATGACCGTATGTTCCAACATAGATTCATATCACTAAGCAAGAAAGATAATTGTTGAAGATATGGCATGTAGCTGGTGTATAGCTAGCACCTTGGCAAGCGTGCAGGGGTTTTAACCCCTGAAGACCTTCCCTTTTTCCTGTATCTATTCAGGCAAGATACTGCTCAATTCTACGTCTTGTCTCCTTTCAGATGCGATCTTTCCATGAATTCATAACAATAATAGAAGAAAATAGAAAAACATAAAAGCCTTGGAAAGGATACAGCCGAATAGATCACACTAGGTTGCATAGCGCGTCTAAGAGAAGAAAGAAGAGTAAGAAGAAGATCGTCAGGATCTCAAACAAGAATACCTTTCAGATATAGAGTGAGACTGTGGCAATCCAAGCAACCAACAGTAACCCCGCGACAGCTAAACATCCAGCCAGTCTTGCAGTTGACGCTGCTGCCAGTCCCCTTCACGGGAAGAATATTCTGTAGACACTAGCTCAGCGCCATTAGGAGTAGAAGTAGAAGGCCAGAATCAGCTCGATTAAGCCACCGAATCTCTGCCATCTACCGGTTGCCAAATATCAGAGCCTGGTAGCGAGAATGGGGCAATACAGCCGAGTAATTCGACACTCAAGTGAATAGGCTTGGGAATAAAGACACAAAGGTCTACTTCCTCTGTTCTAACTAGAAGTAGCGCAACTGATTATATCTCAAAGAGGCCTATCTAAGCTAGTACAGATATGGTAATATTAATGCTTCATTTGATTAGGGATAAAATTCCATATTCTGCACCATTTTTTGAGCCATCTTTCCGTAGCCGTAAGGAAAAGCCTGTTCATAAAAACAAAAGAGAGAAAATGTAAAACGCCTTCTTTATCCGGAACAATTTCCTGCAAAGTCGCTAAACCCTCCATCACCGATTCCGACTTGAGTTCCGGCAATCGTCTCCGCAACGGGTCGAACTTCGACTGTTCAAGGCGGAAGTCAAGCTCGGGTAGCAAGAGTCTGATAAAAAGCACGTAATCGTTACACGTCCAAGTATTTCTGGTACACCTTTTCTTCTCTTATTTTAATGGCCTATATTCTGTCGTGCACTCTTTAAAAAGCAAGGCTTGGGGAGCTTTAATCATGACCTAAGCCGTCAAGGGAAAACGCGGGACGAGTGAACGATTGTATGAGTCTAGGATCTCAATTGAAGAGAAGTCACTCGCGAAGACCGCTCTCCAAAGCTTCGTACCGGGCACATCTATCTTTAAATTGGCACTGCGAGCGTAAGCAGAACAAGGGGTAAACTTACTGTAGGGAACTGGGGCTGAAGTACGGCAGTCGATGATAAGCCAGTCCTGAAGCCACCCATTCTGGATCCACTGCGTATAACTGCCATTATTGATAAATCTCTGGCAATGCTTTGTCAATCTGTTGCCCTCCCGCAACACTTCAATACCCCAATTGACATCTGCAATCCTAAAATCTATCCGACCGTCTTTACTTCCGGACCACTCACTTGAAATCTTTGATGAGAACCCGAGAAGTGCATGTAACGCTCTATAGAACTCATCCTGATAGGCGGCCTCAACAGGTCGCATCACTGCTCCTGTGCCAAGCTGTGCTGCAGAAGATAGATTTCTCAATGAGAATTTTCTTAGCACAGCTTCCGCTAGCGCCTCAACAGTCTGATATTTATCCAATGGGAATGGGACTGAAGAATCTGTAAGATAGTGCTCTACAAATCTGTTTAGGTTAGCAAAACATTTTGCATAGTTAAAATAAGAACACATACTTGGCATGTAGTCTGGTTGGAAAGACGCAGACAATTTGATCCGCCCGGAAGTCCAGAGGCTCAGAATGAAGCCAACCCTTTTCATAACATAATCTTATTCCTTCGTTATCTAGATCTCGAGGGATATGTTGATTTACTAGAACTTCACGTAAGACATTTCCTGCTGCACAAGTAAGTCTACGCAAGTCCACAAAAGACCGCTGAAATCCTGTCTGTGCAAGATATCGAAAGGACTCTTCTTCATCATTTAAAGTAAAAATGATGTGGTGCTTCTCCACAGCACTAATGTTCCCATGCTTAATCTTGGACCGGTATACCTGCAACACGTTCCATACACAGTTAGCAAGTAAAGATAGAAATACACAGTATAACTAACCTTCTGCAACATATCAAGAACAGCCTCTACAGCCCCTGGATGTCCACTGGTGAGGGTGTATATATAGTCGCTTGCTTCTTGATGGAGGGGTAAAGGACGCCGGACATTGCTACAAATTCGTTGAACGACTTCGTTGAATTCGCCTTGGTTATAAAACAGACTAATTGATGGCGAATCTTGAATCATTGATACAGTAATCGACACTCGTTTTTGAACCCCAAGATACCCAAGTGGGCTCCCCGGGTTGTAGTCATCTCCGCCTCCAGTAGGACTTCCGTATGATGAGAAAATGCAAACTCTTGGTCCAAAGTGTCGATCATTCTGTGTTTTAATGAAACCCAACCAAAGTCCTGAGTCATGATATGACATCTGAGCTTCATCCAGAATAAAGACAATATCGCAATTAAGAAGATTGCGGGTCGTAACAAAACTATATCCCACATCGTTTGCATTGCGAACTAGAAAATTTGCGTAGCCATGACAGTTGTCCTGTGGCCAGTTGGGGATAATGACTGACGGAACGTTTCGCTGGTGATAGTATCTGTCTAGGAGATATGCAAGAGTTGTTTTTCCTGATGCTGGCGTCCCTCGGACCTGTACTACTCTCTCTTCATCGAGTATGCGAGCCAACTCACAAACAGTCTCAGTACGCGGACAGAGAGATGGGTCCTCTACGTGAAAAGAGTAAGTCGTAGTTAGCAGCAAACATGCGACGTAGGAAAGCACAAAGAGATAGGTATACCCATAACAATTGTGGACTGGCGATCTGGCTGACCGGAAGTAACAGGAGGGCCTATAGCCAGACCAAAAGTTCTTCTCAAGAAATCCATCCTGGATAACAAGATATAGAATACGAGAGAGAGAATAATTCAAGTATTGCAAGGCAGCGATGACTGACAGAAACCATAAAAGGAAAGTGTACTCGGTGCAAATATTCTCAGCAAGTGCTCGATTGAATAGATAGGACAGCAAAGTCTGACCGCCTTGACATGAAGGGCAATTCACAGGTCATTCCAAGATTACACCTTATAATGTCATCAGCCGGTAGTTGCCCCGCGACTAACGTCGGTCCTACATAGTTACTTGTCATAGCAGTGAGCCAGCTCAGTCCGACTATTGCCCCGTTTCGTGCTTTGAGTTGTTCAGGCCTTATTTCCTTTCAGATTCTCTTCTCCTTGGTGGTGGTAAATCCTGCGGCGTCAAGTGTAGCCGTTTTTGGCCGCTAGCTAACTGTTTCGTCGTTATATGGAGAATCTGTTAACCTGTGAGTCTAAGTACTAAATATCTAGCTATAGCCTATAAAATACTATAATATTTATATAAAGATGATATATAATTAAAAAGCTACTAAGAACACATTTAATAATATTCTTTTATTAATCTATTTGTTGTATTAATTTCTTCTAATATTTTTTAATATATGATTATTTAATAGAAGACTCGTCGCATCCACACGGACTTGTGTCTTCTTGTGATGAGAAGCTGCCAAACATCATAGCGTAGAGTACAATATAGCACGAGCGTCATATATATTTGCTAAGCCTCCTATTTTCAATTAGACTCGGGCTTTTCGGGACAATATTTGAGTAAATATTCAGTGCTTAAGAATAACAGTGTGTTCGTGGGCATTGCCTGTGATGCAGAGACGACCCAACGGTCCGTGAATAATCTCTTAAGAGCCTTGCTACCTTCCTGCTGCTCTCCATCTTGTCTGTTTAAGTAAAGCAGGATCCAAAGTAGCCATAAAATAATGATAAAAACTGTAAGAGGAACCGCAAACGCCCAGTATACGTACTGTCTCGTTTGGTAGAAATGGCAATTTTACGTGAAACGGCAGCGAGCTCTTGTCTAATTTTACTCTCTTTTTGTGCTATCAGGTTGAATAGCTAGGTTTCTGTCAGTCGTTGGAGTGTGTACATGTGAGGGTTAGAGATAGGTAGGAACGTGCAGCTGATATGAGTAATGAAGAGCCATTTGTAGCGAGCTCATTTCGACTGATTATGTTCTCGTAGTTCTCACTAATCCTCTCCACACTGGCTAAAATTCGACCATTTGCTGCTCTGTAGTTCTCAGCGCTCACCGTCGCCTGGGAGTAGTTGGAGAGCTGTGAACATCCCGGGTAATCTTGTCAAGTAGGCGGCGAAACCGATTCAAGCTATACCATGAGCGTGAGTAGATGGATTGGCTATCCCAAAAGTGCGGCTGATGGAATTAGCTCAGGCGCGGAGTATATTATCTCGTTGTCCCAGAGCTACTCACACAGGTTTGACTCTCTTTTGTACTTGTTGTCTGATGTTGTACATGCTAATTAACATCCAGGACCAACTTGAGTCTTGCGAAGCTTGCGATCCGAGATCTCACGAACATGCAATGCTAAGGCATATAAGAGACGAACTCAATCAGAGCCGTTGCATCAGCGCTATCCCTGGAAAACAATATTTTATTCCATCCCCTGAGATCTCACGCATCCTGACCCTCTCAGCCGTCAAGACAGCTCTCGAAGAACTCGGCAGTGCAACTCATCGCGGCCAATATGCCTCTAGTAGTGCTTTGAAACTATTTGCGCTTCTCATATATATTGGAAAGGAAAACAAGATTTGTCGCGTGCTCGATGAATCAGTCCCTGATAGATGCCTACCTCTCCGACCGGAAGTTGCCACGTACCAGCGAGGGACACCCTGTTCGCTGAGTATATGGGACCCCAAGGATATACAAAGCCTTCTGCGAAGCCAATGGATATTTCTACCACCATGCTTTCGAATACCAGGAGAGCATCTCAACCTAGATCCGGACTGCGTCCTCCGTTTCTTACGATAGAGCTCGTGTCGAAGGACACTACGAATGTGTTTGCCGTGCAAATCCACCCACAACACCAATCTATACTCCAATCAACTTCTGTATGGTTTTCCCTACGTTTAACTTTCAAGGCCTGACTCTAATAGGGCAAACTACCGATGGTGGCGGTCAAGCGGTTCGTCCCAAAGGACACTGATCTCTTCCATCAAGAAAGGGAGGTGCTTGTCGCCCTCCGCACACTCCACCACCCGAGAGTCGCCGAACTTTTAGCCACGTACAATTTTCGTGGGGAGCATTTTTTGATGATGCCCCTGGCACTTTGCGATGCCCAACACTTCTGGAAGCGCACTGGTCCATCTCCTTCCCGAGACGTGCTCACACACTGACTTATCAGAAAGATTAGCGGCCTCGCCGATGCCCCGTTCCACATCCACAATAAAGGGGCACATCTATCATCAGCGGGCATTGGAGATATACCTTACCAGTGGGCTTGTCACAGAGATATCCGCCCAGAGCATATCCTCCTTGTGAAAAGAAGTACCAGACCTGGAGGATCCCCAAAACTACCCTAACCTTATGATGCAGCTGGCCGATTTTGGCTTCAGCTCATTTTGTCGCGACAGCTCGAACACGGGAGCTATATCCCGTCCTCCAGGGACCCGCACATACGTGTCGCCTGAAACTAGGCTTCGTCGTGAAGTTGGTATCAAAGACGACACCTGGTGTTTTGGTTGTTTTATATTGGAACGCTTAATCTGGCTGTATATGGGCCTGTCTGAGGTTGATCAATTTGCCGATGATCGCGCCATTGCAACTCCTGGATCTAACTTACCACTGCAGGATGATCACTTCGTTACGCTCCAATATGGTCGTAATTCTGCGTCTGTTGTTGCAGTCGTCAGGAGCACTGTGTCAGAGTACGTATCCCGGCTTTATCGCAACCCACTGTGCGCAGAGGTGACGATAGCTGTGCTTAATGTCGTGAGGGACGAAATGCTGGTTGTCGACGTTGATCGTAGGTGTGACTCCATGCGGTTAGTTTCGAGGTTTAGAACTATTGAGAAGATGCTTTCATTATGAAACAACAAATAAGAATAACTGCTTGTGACTCTGTTTCAGCTATAACATGCAATTTTAATCCTCACCTATTCCTCGGGCACGCAGGGTATACCAGCACGGTAACCCCATGAGGTCCACCAGAAGAAACAGATTATGTCAGACCTTGGTTAGGTACATCCCTCAACAAATACTGCTGTAGTTTTACATAGCCAATACCCCTATTCCTGCAAGCTAGGGCTTCCACCTCACTGTTCCACTACATATTACAGGAAGGAAGAGAGCCACCCCCATCGGTCATCTCATGTGTATAAGCAAAGACACGCATAAACATGTCATGTTTAACGTACCACATGCTTGACTCCTGGTCTTTATTCAAGCACCTCAAGACAAGACCTGGAAGCCTGTTGACATCTTCTCGCCAACCACACAATATATTGCTATGAAAGGCCGCGGACCTCAGCTAAGGAGATCATGATGCTCTTTGACAAAGCTCTCCAGCATATCAATAAAGGCCTCAAGTTCCGCTTTGCTAGTTCCTATGATCAAACTCAATAAGCCACGCCTGGCTATCCAGTATCCATTCCGAACAGCATAATACCAGAACAAGTCTTTCAGTATTGCTTGCACGCCATTTGGCTGCGTTACCAAGTCTTCCACGCAGTTAATCCCAGTTTCTTCGATGTCCGATGTAAAGTGAATGTTGCACACTGCCCCAACACCCGTTACTGCCATCCTAATACCTTGACAGCGCTCTTGCAACCCCTGTTGGAACCAGTCACCCATGCCATTAAGCTCAATACATACCTCCGGCGTGAAGACCCTCTCAAAAGCAACTAACCCAACATTCATAGCCAGCGTATTATTATTGAACGTGCCAGAATGGGCAATCGGAACCTTCCTCTCCGAAGAACCCTCCACAATCCGCGGATCATACGCCGCAAGAAGCTCCTTCCGACCTCCAAAAGCCCCTATAGTCATCCCCCCAGCAATCCACTTCCCTAGCGTCGTCATATCAGGCTCCAAGACAGTATTGTCGTAGGGACTGCGGATAACGGATTGCAACCCACCCGGCGCAAGTCGCGAAGTCATTACCTCGTCCAGAATAAATACCATCCCATTTTCCCTAGTAGCCGTCTGGATCGTGTGGAGAAATTCCGCCGTGCCGGGAATACACCCCGCAGCGCCTTGCATGCCCTCCACAAGCACCCCTGCTGCTATACCTTTATTCTCGGAAATAAGCCGTCGGGTCCCTTCCACATCGTTGTACCTCCCGATGATCCAGTCTGCTTTGTCGACGTTGTTCTCGGCAACGCCGTGAGCGAAGGTGAGAACACCGCCATGATAGCCCCCGCTGAAGACTATCACTTTGGACAACCCAGTCGCACGACGGGCGATACTAAGGGCATGTAGATTAGCTTCCGTACCGGAGTTACAGAAACGTAGCTGTTCTATCGACGGGATACGACGGCGGATTGCCTCTGCAAACGAGGTCTCTGCGGTAGTAGTCGCACCCAGATTAAGTCCGGTTTGAGTTATGGTAGAGATGATAGTGTTGCGGATGGTCGGATTGGAATGGCCGCACACGCCGGCTGTCATTTCCCCGACGAGATCAAGATATCTGGGACACATCGGTTAGGTTCATGTTGAGGAGGTGGTAGGGAAGACGTGCTCGTGTCCATCCACATCCACTAGTTTGTTTCCATCGCCCTTGATCATGCAGATTGGGAACGGGTCTGTGTGTAGGACTGAGCGAGTGTTGCCGCCTGGTAACACCTCGCTGGCTAGGTAATGCTGGTTCTTGGAATTTGGGTTTTGGTCGACATAGGTTTTCTCGGCGTTGAGAAGCAGCCTTTTGGCCCTTTTTATGGGGCTATTTGGGATATCTGACGCCATTTTCCAGACTACGATTGAGCAAAGAGGTGAAAGATTAGTTGTTCTCCAGGCCGCGGGGTAGGTAGGTGTGGTGTTTTACCAAGAGGAGCTAGAGTCGTCCAAATCAAGGTATTAACTACTGTGGTCGGTGGACTTGATCGGGTGCTAAAGCTAATAGTCAAGCCATCTCATCATCAGAGTCAGCCACATCCGAGCAGTCGGAATAGAAGAAGCGATATGATGGGGTCTTCGGGGTCTCGCATTTCGGGTTTGCCAAACCACTTGAACTAATTTATTTGCGAGGTAGTATATCTTGCCCCACACTGAATCCTGTCAGCATATAAGCGCAGTGTTCTCCCAGTCAGGCAAAAGGAAAAAAAAAAAAAAAAAAAAAAAAAAAGGAAACATCCTACGAGAATCTTAGAGAACTCGTCCACATTGCATTACATCTGTTTGAAAATGAGGATCCGTGACTTGGGATATGCGCCCGGCCGTTTCAAGCCCGGCCCCCAAAATAGTGTTTTAGACGTTGAAGGTATGTTGATGGCGCTCAACAAAAGCTAGCGGGACTGACAGTATATTTCAGGAGTGCGTGTTGGCCAAGTCACCATCCACGAAGGCAGTGATGTGCACACAGGCGTCACTACCATCCTGCCACGCGATCCGGACTTCGTCAGGACTCATCCTTGTTACGCCGGATTGCATGTGCTCAATGGTATCGGCGAATTGACAGGGACCCATGGGGTTGAAGAATTTGGGACTATCAACACCGTACGTTAAGATCCGGTTACCATGTGCTCTTCTCTTCTGACATGTATGACAGCCAATTGCTTTGACAAGCACCGTCAGTGTGGGAAAGGTATATGACGCTCTCTACATGTGGATGTTCGATAGGGCCAAAGATGCCGGCGAAGATTATGGCCAAATCTTGGAAAACCTTGGCATCCCCGTGGTCGGGGAAACTCTAGACTGCATATTGAGCGATATTACCCGATCGGCGGTGGAGAAGTCCCATGTGTATCAGGCGCTTGAACAAGCGATCCATAATCCACAGGTTCTGGAAGGCTCACATGGAGGAGGGACCGGCATGCGCTGTCATGCGTACAAAGGTGGGACTGGAACTTCATCGCGAATCGTCCCCGGAGAAACCAAAGACTACACGCTCGGAGTCCTTGTCCAGGCCAACTACGGGTGGCAGACTGATCTGCAGATCGGTGGAGTACCGGTCGGGCGAATCCTGAAGGAGGAGTTGCCCACGAAGCCTGTCCCGAGTACGTCTGGTGAAGGCAGTATCATTGTCCTTATTTTGTAAGCTTAATTTTCCTTTCGTCGAGAAAACTGCTGATAACCAAGTTCAGTACCGATGCGCCGATGCTACCACATCAGCTGCGTCGCCTTGCACAGAGAGCCACTGTCGGTATGGCTCAAGTTGGGGGCCATGGAACCGGCCGTAACTATTCTGGGGACATGTTTTTAGCGATCTCAACTGGCAATGTTCCACAGGAGCACCTGAAGTTAGGGGATCCGGGATACCGGCCTCGGGTGGAATACTTCGGGGTCGATACCATTCGGAATGATTGCATAGACAGCTTGTTCTATGCAGCGGCTGAGGCAACCGAGGAAGCGATATTAAACGCTCTTGTGGGCGCCAGAGAAGGCCTCACAGGGTTCCAAGGGAATAGAGCTGAAGGACTACCGGTAGAGAGAGTGGCAGAACTGCTGAAGACATATCGTGTCGCTCGGACTTGACAACTTACTTTTAGTCGTTAACACCCCTCCAGTCCCATGTGCCTATTCTAAGCTAGAAAGAGACCTGATAATCGTAAGTATAGATCAATCCCATGGTCCACGGTGTGTACTCCATGAAAGCTCAAAGTATATCAGTCCGTAAGATTCCATGTCACTCCATACGTACACTCACCCAGTCCAAGGGTTTGTTTACCCATCATCAAGGACGTTTGTTTCTTATCCTTAAATTTTCTGTCTTCCTCAGGCACATTCAAGCAAACACATTCAAAAATTTCGCCGAGCACTAGAGCCTCCAGATCAAAGCTACAGTTCCAGCAATTGCCCTTCGGTAAATCCATTTCTACTAGAGTTGTCAGGGACTAGTTATCATAAACAAAGGAAACAAAGGATATATACTGCTTTTCTGCAATTAATTTTTCACCATCAGTTGAATCCCAGTCAATACATTTGTTCAAGTCCAATCTTGTATAGCGAGGGAAATCTCCATCCGGCACGCGGCAAAATGTGGGCAACACTTGAACAGATGGTAGGTGGGCCGGATCCAGTCGCTCGCAAGTTCCCGGATACACCTGTGGTGTTGCACCTCTCAAGAAGCGGAACGTTTCCCATGCTCTTTTTAGGGGTTGTCAAGGCATCTTTACTCACAGCCGACGCTATGAGATATAGAATCGGGACGACCAGAACCCGACACATAGCTACAGGCTAGAGATGGAAAAGCATTTCGAGGATAGAGTCGTTTGGGAAAGGAACGAGCCTGCTAGTAGGATTGCACTGCTGAGGCCTCCAGAGAGTTGGTTTATTTGGACTCCAGGTGCCTTTATGAATGCTGGTGTAGATGACACAGTTGGAACCGCTCGTGAGATATGAAGTATCTATCTTTACTCTTTGTCTTTGTCAAGCTCGGCCGGGGCGCTGGGAAAATAGGCCAAAGGATAAATCCTGTCTTTCATTCAATACTGAGAAAGGGGTCTAAACGGGATAACAACACGAGCGGAGGGCTCTCGACTCAGGCTCAAGTCAGAAAGTGGCCTTAATACTGATAGGCAAACCATACAAATATATCCAAACACGAGGGCGTGCGATCGAATAGGAAGAGTCAACTCCATACAGACGTCCAGCTCAAACTTGAATCGCAGTATCAGCTTACCAGCGGTCTCCGTAGCTGGGTCTGCCACTTCTTTTCTTCTTCTCCCCCTTGTTAGCCATGCCAAGGCTCTGTCCTTTGGTCCAAAAGCAACCCAGACGCCCATCGCTCAGGACTCCTACAACACTGGCTAAAGTACAGGAGTTAAAAAGTCGTCTTACAGTCATTGTGGAGGATGACTTACGCAAGTTAAATGTTAGCTGACCTCCCTTTTGTTCGTTCGGTGTGCGGTCAGGCCTTCCTTTGAGTCCTCTCTCCAGAAATCCCCTACCCTTTCCTTTCTCCGTATCGTTGTTCCGGGTGGTTTTGCGGTCATATCTAAGTTCGTCACGTCCCAAGTGATACATATCGTAATTGGCCTTCTCTTGAGTAAGGCCGGTACCACAGGTATAGTCAACCATAAAACTTAACATAGAACAGGGTTAGATAGCTATCGCTGAACATACTGTGGCTGTGGAATAAGTTCTATCCGGTTCCAACCAATACAATTATTCAGGCCTAGGATGGAAATATGCCTAACCGACCGATCATAGTGAGGGTTGCATCTTCCTCGACACAGCTGCGGTGCTGGCGAGCCTGGCCGAGGTGGTCTTCAACGATTTCGAGTTTCGAGCCATATTTTCCCAAGTTGCGATCGATGTCGACCTACATTCCTCTAGCGTAAATCTCAGTCACATCATGGCCAGCAGCCAGAGAGGCCAGGAACGAAACAATAATAATGAAAATCTGATAAATTTTCGTAGTCACCAGTCACCAGGGCTAGAATCAGAAGCCTGATAGAACGGTAATGAGAAGTGATAGCAAGGATTGACGACGTATGTTGTTGAAATCTTTTTTTTTTTGCCGGATGGATGAGCAGTTTATAAATTCCCTGTCCTTCATGTTCTATAGACCTGCCAATTAACACGGCCGCTGCATGAATTTTTTTATAGTCTGTATTATCATTCTTCACTCATCAAGTCGGGTTTAGACGACAGTTCTTTCACGGATAAAAGGGCCTGAACATCGGGTCTGGAGCATCCTTGAGATGAAAGAAGCCAGAACGGCCGATACAACAGAACATCAACCCGATGACCATGGCTTCAATATTCGACATTAGCAGAGAATTGGTTGTCGTTTTTTGTAGGTTCCCATCGTCCGGTAGTTGCGTGGAATTCAGGTGGTGCCGTAATTGTGTAACTTATTTTGATGTTATGAAGGACATGGGAACTTTGCTTTCTCAAATTGACGGGATGGATGAGTGAAATAGAAAGTCTAGGCTTTGGTGATAGAAATAGAATATAGGAAATTCTTTGGTACCAAATGAGGTTATTTAGGAACGGGGCAAACGGTTGGAAGTCAACAGGAAACGCCCAGACAGAGTACGGCGGAAGCAGGTTAGACTACATGCGACCAATCTCCGGAAGGGTCAGATAGCATTGCCAGAAGGAAGCCCGGATCAACACCGATGTCGTTGTCTGTGTGTCCTGGTTGATCTTCAAAAGCAGTAAGCTCCGTTTCGTGTCGCTCTGACGTACTGCTGTGCTCTGCATGAAGTCGAACTGCGTCACGAGCATGGGGAACGTGCGACACAGGGTCTTCTCCACCGTTTAGAGTCCCCAGATATGGTTGTGTGTGAGACCCCACTATTCTATCACCTTGTGAAAGAGTAGCCAAGGCATTCACAGTAGTGGATTCGGGCTCTGCAAGGCGGTGCATACTGTCATGGAGGTCTTGGAACTCCTCTCGTCCCAGATGTGGGAAATTCTGCCCTTCAGTCTTGAGACGTGTAAAAATTCCCGCAAGCTCGCTCAGCATTTCATGCCAACGCTTCGCAACTTTCCACTTTTCACTGGCACTCTGCAGCCAGTCAAAACTCCATTGGTATTTTTCCTTGGCATTTTCTAACCCGGGTGCCATGTATGGCCAAGTGTCTGCATACACAAGTGCGGCTGCGGCACTAAATATACAAAAGGCCGAAAATGGGGTTTGGAACTGCACATTTCGTATCTCAAGATCTTGCATCAGCTGAACTAGAGTTGAGGCGGCCTCGAACAGTTCCCGTGAACTAAGATGCCACCAATCGGGGGGAGGTGGTTCCTCCAGGAAAGGGGGGTCGATTGGGCCGCATGGACATGAAACCCTATGTGGAAAGAAAGGGATGTATTCCCGGTGTAAGAACAAGATACTCACGTAGTATAACAGATTTAATACGGTAAATCGTTCGACTTGGCTGTGCAGCATATGGGCTTGCAGCTGTCCAGCGGTTCGTGCGTAGACTAATCTAGCTGAATGGGTCGCTCTCCAGGCCTTCACCATGACCATAGAGCGGTTCCATAGAGAGGTGTCCTTCCAGGGAGGCTCCATGGCTTGGGAAGATGGATATCTTCTGCCGCCCCTGCATATCCAAGTAGACAGGGTGGAGAATATGCCAAACCCCTCGATTATGAGGGAAAGCATCTGCTGAGATCCCCATCTTTCCTTATCATTACCTATCAGTAAGGATGAGCCCCCTGACCCTAACTGTCTTAGAAAGTGAGAGCTCGGGGCCGTCTCCGTTCCAAATTCGAAGTCGTCTTCGTTCATTGGCAGCGGAATGTCAGGCGTCTCTATTTCAGTGCCTTGCGGGCCATACCTTCCGCAACGCAGAATACAGTCGAGCACAAAGCAGGCCCAGGCGGTCCTGATGACTATTTCTTGCTTTGTGAAGTTTAAGGACGAAGCATCCTTTGCGTTTGCCTTCATTTGTGAATGTATACCTTGGGCCAATCTTGTAGCCATTCCTAGAAGCCTCGTTAGCATGTCTCGCTTACCCACGGCATGGTTCGCACCACATACCTGTATATATCCATGCCTGAAATCCATTACCCTCTCCCCACTCGTACAAACTGAGCAAAATCAAGGCATGAGCGGCATCAATCCCAGGATACTGGGCCATGTAACTCATGATATTCTCACGAACAACATTGGCGAAGTGTCCAAATATATTCGATAACTCGGGAAGATATCGAGAGCACAGAGCCAGGATTGCGCATAGCTTGATGCTAGGAATCTCATCCTGCAGGCCGTGCTCAAAGAATGTCGGCTTATGCACAAATCCAAATTCTGGAAATTGCTTTACAAATATTCGACTTGCATGAGTGACTAGCTCCGAGTTTACATTAACTAGAGCGTATTCAGGTGATAAAGGAGCTGCCACTTGCTGCGGTGCGACTTGGCTTTGCATTTCGCCACTGGTGGTAACACCGTCGACAGCGTCGGAAGTTGAACCATCCTTTTGCGGGCGTCGGTCTTGCTGATCAGCATGCACCTTGTCTGTCCTGTCGGGGGCCGAGGTTTCTGATATATGATATGTGCGAGTTTTGCTTGTCGGGGGAGGATAAGGAGCGTTTCTTTCCTTCCTCCGTAGGACTGGGGTGCTCAGGACACATTCTCTGCCCGGATTAGCCCTACATAACTGGCACGGAGGGGCTCCATTGTGATGGCATTTAATTTTTGACTTCCTAGTTAGAGCAAGCGTCAGGAACCAATCCACCAAAAGCATTTGGCCATCGTAGGACTCCAAGTTCTAGAAACTAGTAGCATATACGACACGAGGCAAAGAAGGTTCAAATATTAGGACTCTCATATCCAAGGTATCCGACTTACCGACACCACTGGCATGCTAATGTGGTCCTCATCCTTAAGAAAACATCCGGTATCATCCGTTGCTCAAACTACTACTGTGGTTTGAAGCTCATCGTCGGGGAATACGAACAGTTGGTGCCATCAAGTTCAGGCCGAAACCCGAAGCGCCTAATTTATTGGCCAATGAGAGGTCACCTACAAGTAAATCCTATCAAGAAAGGCGGTCCGGTCCGCCTTTGGCAGACCTCAAGAATCCCCGACCGTGGAAATTGGTTTTGTTGCTGGCATACTGGGATGCCGATATCTCGACTAAAATATATTATGTACTCCTTGAAAGTGTCCTGAGAGATGCAAAAGTGCATATCTGCTCTCTAGAGTTTTTTCGGTGATTTAAGATCGCTTTTGGTCACATTCTGAACCTGAGTTCTCGATCCTACAAAAGATGCACGATTAAATGGACCCGTTCAAAAAATGTTCAAAACATTCTTAATTCTTCTCTAGTCCTCTGTCTGTAGAATAGAGCGAGATAACTCGCTAGAAGAAGGCCCTTTATCCTTAAGCTTTATAAATCGTGTTAAAATAATAACCAAAGATTAACAGATATTCTATGTAGATTTAATATCAGAAATGCGGCATTCCGTATTAGTTACCTAGTAAGTAAATCTACCGCTGAATCCGAAGGCATACAATCATAAAATGAAGAGGTCTGATATCTAATCCAATGATAAAATGAGCAATATTTATAGGCCTAAAATGATCATTCAAAGTACCTGGTTTTCGCATCTCAGCATTCGCATCTCGCCAACCCTTCTATCACAACTATATCAACATCTAAAACCCCTTCAGCCAAAAGTGGATGGCTCCAAATGTTGGGTTCGATTTCCGATATCAACGACTGAAACGGTCCAAGAAACGACTAAGTCATAAATGGAATAACTATATATTTTCTGAATATCACAAAGCACCTCTTACCAACGCTACTGCAATCCTATACGCTTTGGTCACGGCCAAAACGATCTCCCGAATCTCTTTCTCTTGCACTGTGAATGGAGGCGCAATAAGAATGTGATCACCTTTGCTTCCATCTACCGTTCCCATACCAGGATAGATAGCAACACCAAGCTTGTGCGCCTGCTTCTGCACTACCAGTCCAAATTGGACCTTCGGGTCGAAAGACTTCTTCTCGATTTTGTCTTGCACGAACTCAACGGCATAAAACAGCCCCCGCCCACGAATATCACCCACATAGTCCTCGTTCCCCAGGTATTCCCACAGGTAACCTCCAAGAACATTCCCCATCCGGGCGCAGTGCTCGACGAGTTTCTGTCGCTGGACGACTTTTTGCACAGCAAGAGCTGCTGCGCAACTGATGGGATGTGCCTGGAATGTATGGCCGTGGTTGAAAGAGCCAGAGCCTTCCTCCAGTACAGTAACTACTTTCTCGTGGATGAGTAATCCTGAGATGGGGACATATCCACCACCTAAACCCTTGCCAATAGTCATAATATCAGGAACAACGGGTTCCCCAGCTGCATTTTTCTCCTGTTCCCAAGCAAACAATGTCCCAGTACGCCCCATTCCGCACATGATTTCGTCGAGAACAAGTAGCGCCCCATGCTTCTTGCAAACAGCTTGCATTGCCGCCAGATATCCAGGTACAGGAGGAACACACCCGCTCGTTGCGCCCACCACCGTCTCCGCCACAAACGCGATAACGCTATCTGATCCAACTCTCTGAAATTCTGCGTCTAACTCCATCGCCAGGCGAGCAACATAGCCATCGGTAGTCTCGTCACTCGTTTGGTACTGATACTGGTAGCACGGACTCACATGGCTAACGTATGGAAGCAGGATGTCACGGTATGGTTCCAGGCGAGACAGGTTGCTTGATATGGACATGCTACCGAAGGTGTTCCCATGGTAGCCTTGCCTTCTGGAGATGAAATGCTTCCGCTGCACTTCTCCCCTCTCGTAGAAATACTGCCGTGCTAGCTTCATGGCGCCGTCAACTGCCTCGCTACCACTCCCCACGAAAAATGCTTTACTCAATCCATAGGGTTTGTGTCCCACCAATAAGTCCGCTAGCTGCTCTGCAGCCGAGGTCGTGTATGTTCCTGTGTGGACGTACGAAATCGACTGCGCCTGCTCTGCGATGGCGGAAATGACCTCTTGGTTTCCATGGCCGATGATTGCGACCGCAGCACCTCCGCATGCATCAAGGATCTCTGATCCGTCTTCTAGAATGATTTTATGGCCCGAGGCGGACCTTGCCAGCAGAGGCTTCTCGCGAAGAGAGCGATGTAAAAGGGATGGCTATAGATGCTTGGTCCAACAAGTCTAGCCTGCTGAGGACATCTGCATGTCGATCCCAGATCCTGTCACGAAATGCGATGGCATGTTGTCGATACGTGACTATGTTGAAAGACGAAAAGGCCATTTGAAGCGAAGCTCAGATAAATAAACAACGTTGCAAAAACAATTCTAACCCGGGAGTTGTACGCAATGGATCCGGATCCCGCATTTCGCATTTCGGGTTCCGCGTATAACGGTGGCCAACAATGTTTCAGCATGGCAAGATTGTGTCTTCTACTCATGTGTAGCTCCGGCTCCTTTAATGTACTATTCAAAGAGGGAAAAAAAGAAAAAAGAAAAAGAAAAAGAAAAACAGACATATGTGATATCTGTTGTGCGGGATTACGACTGAATGCCTCAGGCGCCTGACGCCGACTCTTCCCAGACCGCAATCCAAGGCTGCCGCGGGCGTCTTGACGTGTTAACGGTCAACCTCTGGTTTTACTAAGTGGCGTGCTGAACCATTTCACGCTCGGTAGGCTATGCTATTATTATCTGACCAATAGGTACGGAGTCTGTGAGGCTCTGGCATCGTCGAAATAATAAAACAGGGCCAATATATAAATAAAATATAATATTAATATAATATAAATTAGCGTTAAGTGCCTTGGGGGCCAGATTGAGGGTCTTCAAGTATGCCGTCTTACGGCCCAGCCAGTGAGAATCTCCTATTTCTGCTCATCCTAGCACAATGGCAACACGGAGGAAATCAAACGGTCCAAGGTCTCGCTCTGGCTGCATCACTTGCAAGTGTGTCTTTCTACCCCGAACCATGCGTTGCCCAATAACAAGGCTCTAACTAATGTCTTCGTCCCCAGGTTACGACACGTCAAATGTGACGAAGCGAAGCCCTCATGCTCTCGATGCCAACGAACGGGACTCAAATGTGACGGCTACGACAACGCCTCTCAGTCCCAACTCCGTCAGAGGATGGAAGCTATCCAGCACCAACCGCGCAGGCCGCCCATTAGCGCGGACCATCAGATCATTCTGCGGCCGGAAACGCGGGAAGAGCGTCGGTGCGCGGATTTCTTCCACGCGGAGACGACGCAGGCCTTTTCCGGGTTCTTCGACTCCACTCTGTGGTCTTATTTGATTCCCCAGATTAGCGAAGGGGAACCGATGATCCGGCACGCGATGATAGCTATCGGTGCCTTCCATGCAGGCTTTGAAGATCGCGCACTCGTTGATACATCATTCGCCTTGCAGCAATACAACAAGGCGATTCGGCATTTAATAGATCGCAAGTCCGTGCCTAGTAGCCAGGACTGGGAGCTGGCGTTGGCTGCCTGCTGCCTTTTTATCGGCTTGGAGATCCTTCGAGGGAACAAGAAACAGGCATTAGATCACATAGACGCGGGGTTGAAAATGCTCTGCCAACATGAACTGAAAGGGGCCGCGGTTGGCCGCACCACGGAAGTGTATGGGGAGCTACGCCAGCTGCTCTCGAGATTGAACCTACAGGCTTCGTTCATGGGCCGCCTCTTGTATCCCTTAGAGTGTTCATCCCAGGATGCAGCGGCTACTGGGCCGACGTTAGCCAATCTGTCGCAGGCTAGAAGGCACCTCGATCGATTAATGAACAAAGGGCTTATGTTCATCCGATCAACCGACTCTAACAGAAACCCGCAAGATGTGCAGCTACGGCAAAAACAAGTGATAGAACAGCGAGAGCTTTGTCTTGAGTTTGATAACTGGCTGGCGGCGCTGAACAAGCTAGTCCAGAAGATGGGACCATGGATCCAACAAAAGGACCTTCGCGCATCGCTGGTTCTAAGGATCTACCACCGTGTCGCACTAATTTGGATACGTACAGTCTTAGCACCAGATGAAGGGATCTTCGATCTGTACATTCCGGACTTCGATGTACTTACTGGCTATGCGGAAAGGGCAATCCAACTCACCACGGCTATTGAGAAACAGACTAACAATCAATCGAGGTTTAGCCTCGAGGGTGAGCTTATTGCCACCCTTTACTTTTCGGCCGTTAGGTGTCGCAACCCCGGTATCCGACGGAGGGCCATTGACCTGCTGTCCCGCTATGGAAAGATAGAGGGCATGTGGAACGCGAAGCGATATGCAGCGGTAGCAACATATGTAATGGAGACGGAGGAGGGCGCATGCTCGGGAATTGTAAAGACTGAGAAAGATGTGGGGGTTCGTGCTCGTATCTACGAGTGTATCCAACCCTCAGGGATGGAACAGAACCCCTGCCAGGTAATACTGCTGTTCAAGCTGGATGGGGGCGGCCATGACTTCCAACGGCGCATAGGATTTGTCCATTGGTAGAGCTTATTTATGCGCGATAGTTATGGATATAGTATACGAGGACCCAGAATCTACCAGATATTTCGACTATTTTACACTGGCGTTGCAATTTCTGCCCGGTTTTGGATAGTGGATTTTTTTTTTTTTTAAAAAAAAAAAAAAAAAAAAAAAAAAAGGGCTATAGAACTGCAGTACAGCGTAGGCCTTATCGTCCATACTAATACAATATCATATCTGGCTTAATTTCCTTACTACTCGAGAGTCCCAACACGCCCTGTACATAACAGCCATTAAATTAAGTATTGGGGCTCATAGCAACGGTTAATTTAGTACACTTTGTGGCTTGGGTTCCTCTGGGAGCGCTAAATAGAGTAACGCTACTGCCTAAACCAATGCCTCCATACTAACCCACTAATCTCTAACTCGACGATGCCTAATTACTAGGCTATGTTGTCGATCCCCTTGTCTACACAGTTGAGGACAGAATCCCTGATTGGCTGGGAGCGCACGCTAACGTCCATGAATTACGGAGGAGCCAATCACGGCCCGATTCCTTCGAAGCCTTATGAATCTGGCCTTCAAACGGGTGAAGAACTGGAGTAAATAGATCAATTGCTACATATTACACCCAGGATGGAAAGATGACAAGGATGTTTGATGTTGGTACTCAATGCCGGTATGGATCTCTCATTGGCTGTTCCGTAAGTATACTTAGGATCCTGAAATCTATACAAAGACTTTAATAACAGAAGCATGGATATAAATCCAGGGCGAAGGTCCTTCAAGTAAACTATTAAAAAAAGCACTCCTCAGACTCAAACAAGACAGCATAATGCGGTCTTTCAATTTATTTCTATTTTCTATTATTTCGCCCCTTGCCCTGGGAAAACTGTGCCCAATTCTAGGGCCTGCGTTCCCAGCACCCACGGACGTTGCCAACAGTCCGTCATTCACAAAGGCCAAGCACCAACTGCTCAGCTATATCAACAAAGCGATTCATGCATCCAACACTTCGGAAACTTCGGGGGTCAACCCTGATACGGTATCGTTTGCTATCCAGGTCTTTAACACAAAGACAGACCAGCCGCTTCTTGAATACTACCATACAGCACCGTCGATTCAGAATAGCACGGTAGGGGTGACAAAAGTTGACGCTGACACCGTATTCCGAATTGGTAGTGTTTCCAAGCTGTGGACTGTTTTGCTTCTCTTAATCGAGAAGGGAGATACGTCGTTTAGTGAACCTGTCACAAAATACGTCCCTGAGCTGCGGGATGCTGCAAAAGAGCTTCGGGTTAACTCTACTGTTCGGAATGATGAGGTTGATCATCTCCGCTGGGATGAAGTCACGATTGGAGAGCTAGCAAGCCATATGACTGGTGTCATTAGAGAGTGTAGGATGCCCTTTTTGGTTCCTCTGCTATGAGGATTATTCGTCTAACTTCCATAGATGGGTCTATCGATATAGCAGCCGTTTCTTCCTCAACACCCCAGGGGTTCCCAGAGCTTCCCAAGTCGAATATCCCACCATGTGGAACAGTAGTTGCATGCACTCGCTCTGGTAAGCTCAACCCTCAATAACTGGCCGAAGTCCAATAATAACCCTCGAATTCTCCAGAATTCTTTGACGGCGTTCTGAAAAGCCACCCAATACTTCACACCAGCTCGACCCCTATCTACTCCAACCCCAGTTTCCAGATCCTAGCATATGCTCTAGAAGCCATGACAAACCAGACGTACCCATCTCTCCTCCAAAAGGACCTAGTAAAACCTCTAGGCCTGACACGCTCAAGCTGGGACAAGCCAGAAGACAACGTCTCCATCATCCCCGGACCCGCCATGACCAGCTTCTACGGCGTAGACGCCGCCGGTGAGACACCGTGAGTCCCCCAACCATATTCCCCCATTCCATAGCAACTGCAAACTGACACCCCTCAGCGCCGGAGGCCTCTACTCCTCAACCAGGGACATGACAACTGTCGGCCGCGCAATCCTCAACAACACCCTCCTCCACCCCTCCCTAACAAGACGATGGATGAAGCCCCACGCCCACACCTCCAGTCTCGACTTTTCCGTCGGTGCACCATGGGAAATCGTCACGCTATCTTCTCCCCGACTCATAGATATCTACACCAAATCCGGAGACCTAGGAATGTACTCCTCCATGCTCGCCCTATCCCCAGACCACGGAGTGGGCTTCTCGATCCTCGCCGCCGGAAACTCTACAACCGAAGCTGTCGCCCTCCTCACTGACCTTACCATCGCCTCTATTATTCCCGCCCTAGAAGCCGCAGGCAGAGAAGAAGCCGCGAAACAGTTCGCAGGCGAATATACCTCCGCGAATGCCTCGATCAAAATCACCACCGATGACGAACCAGGCCTTAAAGTAACCGAGTGGTCCAACGAGTCTGTGGATATGATGCAGTTTTTGGTGGCTAAATTGGGGTTAAAGAGGGCTTCTGATCTCAGTGCTCGGTTGTATCCCTCTGGACTTACGAGTGCGGGACGGGTTGGCTTCAGGGCTGTGTTCCGGGATGCGTCGCAGGGGGAGGAGGGCATTGGGCCTGTTACGAGGGCTTGTCAGACTTGGTTTTCTGCTAGTGGTATTGTTTATGGGAATGTGGGGGTTGATGAGTTCGTGTTCGAGGTTGGGGGGGATGGGAGGGCGGTTACGGTTTCGCCTAGGGCTTTGCGGGCTGAGATGGTGAGGAAGGGGGTGTAGGGGGGCTTTTGCTATGAAATTTGGCTTGTGGGGGGTTATTTTCTTGGGTATATTTCCTATATGTGTACAATTTTTTGTTCTTTTTATCTTTATCTTCCCGGCACCCCCGTAGCACTCACCTTATCCACCAACCCATCATGATCCCAAGAAAAGTCATCGGATAAAGCTACGGTCAAATTCAAATTGTAGATGCAGACTTGAGCACGTTTTCGACTCCATTAATCGCAATGGTGAGGTTGGCCAATTAATGGAAGGATCCATAGCTGGCTGTGTCTCCGTGCAGTCATGAATCATCTGAACCTGTTAGATATGTGTTTGAGGCGTCGCTAGTATAACTGACTACCATGCAAGATTCAATCGCCTTTTAACCCTTTCGTTCGGTCTCTATTTTTGCATCTCAGCCTACACGGCTACGCTGCATCATGCTTCTCCTCTACTGGGCAATTCACGGATAAATTTCCTGCGGGGAAGCTGTAGTTATGCCGGCTAGTTTAATTAATTGTATTGGGTTGATCTACGGACTTGCCAACAACATCCGATTCAATTGCACCAGTTACAGATATTCCTTTGGGTGGAGATCTGATCAACGCCGGATTTCCTCATAAACTGTGGGGATGGTTCTTCCAATGAAAGGTGTTCGACAAATAGTACAGCCTGCTCGTACTTCAGCGGTTCAGTTAATATGAATGATCTACTCCAGTCTCATAGATTCCAGTTCTGCGTATATAGTAAATTATTCTAGGAAGATGATTACTGCGCCTTCCGTCAGGCGTTTGATGCCTTAGGGTATGAGCTACCTTGCTTACTCGCAACTGTTCATGAATACGATGGATGATACATGATATTCTAGCGCCCACTTTAAGTCACCATCCCCATTGATGCACTCCATAGAGACTCCTTGTATTCGGGGACCGGTAGATGGTTCATGCGCGGAATTTCGACCATCGGTTCGGTCGCAAAAACGTATTCCGACTTGAGATGCAACTCCGGTCATGCCACATTTTGAACCCTAACTTGTAGGTATAGGTTGAGGCGACGTCTTCTGACATCCTATGATAGGCCTTCTCCATACGAATTGAGAGCTTCCCTAGCAATGCTGTATTGGAAACATGTATTTGTCAACACACAGGTGCACACCATCGATGTCTCAAGTTACACCGACAGAAATTTCAGGAGTTGAAATAGAGGAATACCATACCATGAGTTTTTTCGAGCATAGCATATGGCTTTCAGGGGCTCGTTCTTCCAGGCTGGAGACATGTTTATATGTACCCTCTCATACAGTACGATGCATCCAGGATTCTAGATGGTTGGATAGACCGATCTACAAGGCCTTAAACTAAGTAGGAACCACATGAGTGCTACCACTTAGTTTCCATTAGTAGTAGTTCTTGGTCTCAAAGCCCACAGCTGCAGAACCTATGAGCTGCCCCCACCTCTTTATATTAGAGACTTTTAGAATGTGATGCCAATGTGCTTACCCGGCGATATTCCGGCATCGAGAAGAGTCCTCCACGGCCCCTGCAAGGGATATCTAATAAAATGGCTGGAGTTCTGCGTGCTCTTATTGGCCGCCTAGCCCACTCTCCGATGATCGCCACGGTTAAGCCCGATTTATAAAGAACAACCATGCCCTACATTCCATCCTGACTCAGATGCCTCTTGGTCGGCATAATGGCGCCCAAAGACGGCGATAATTCAACTCCAGTGGTCCAGGATGCTCCCTCGGCACCTCACAGCATCTTTGACAGGAAGCAAAAGGGACTCATTGTCCTGTTGGTGTCCACTGCTGCGACTTGTGAGCTCTTAGCCTTCTCCAAGGACACCGATAAGTCTCTAATGTTCCCTAAGTTTCCACATTAGCATCGAACATTTATTTTCCAGCAATCACAACTATCGCTCACGATCTCAATGTTTCAGTGCAACTCGTCAACCTCACCATCACCTCGTTCCTCATATTTCAAGGTATCACGCCTAGCCTATGGGGTCCTATATCCGATGTCAAGGGACGTCGGACGGCATACGCATGCACCTTTATCGTTTCCGTCGGTGCCTGTATTGGCCTCGCGGAGACGAAGAACTATGCAACGCTAATTATTCTGCGATGTTTGCAGAGTGCAGGTAGTGCCAGCACGATCGCCATTGGATCTGGTGTGATCGGTGATATCACCACTCGCGCGGACCGTGGCAGCTACATGGGCTTCTTCCAAGGCGGATTCATTGTTCCTTTCGCAGTAGGCCCAGTGATCGGTGGTGCTCTCGCTGGCACTCTTGGCTGGCGATCTATTTTTTGGTTCCTAACGATCTACAGTATTGTTTTACTGTTACTCTTGGTTTTTCTGCTTCCCGAGACTCTCCGATCAATTGTTGCCAATGGAGGCTTGCTCCCACCGAACAGACTCGGAGTATACCCCCTCAACCTCTACCAACGCTTCACCAAGGTGATCTGGAACGCAGAGACAGCGCCCGAGCAACTAGCGCCCCGAAAGCGGATCGACGTGTTTGGTCCATTTCGCATCCTCACTAAACGATATGCGTTCCCCATCATCATCTTCTTCGCCATCTACTTCGCCGTTTGGCAAATGTGCAACACCGCCATGTCGACGCTGTTCAAAGAACACTACGGCCTCACCGAGATCCAAGCTGGCCTGACATTCCTCGCCAACGGTATGGGCTCCATTATCGGCACCATCGTCAGCGGTAGAGTCCTCGACATGGACTATCGTCGGATGCAAGCCAAACGCGACATGCAATCCCCGATTGAAGCGGAAAGGGGGCATTCGTCGACGGCCGACGACGATTTTCCGCTCGAAAAAGCGCGGCTCCGTCTACTTCCCATCTTCCTGTTGATGCAGTGTATGTCAGTGCTGGTTTTCGGCTGGACGATCCATTATTCCGTTCATATCGCGGCGCCTATTGTGGCGACTTTTGTCACGGGTTGGACCGCTGTGTCTACCCAGTCTATTGTTACGACGTATCTGGTTGATATCTTTCCGGATCAGAGTGCCGCGGCTACTGCGAGTCTCAACCTTGCGCGGTGTTTGTCCGCGGCTGGTGGTGCGAGCTTTGTAATGCCGCTGATCGACCGTGTTGGGACTGGGGTGGCCTTCACGATCTGTGTTGCGGTGCAAGTGGTCACAGCTGCTGCCTTGGCGGTGCAGTGGAAGTATGCCGGGGCTTGGAGGAAGATATCGAAGCAAGCGGAAGCTGGTCAGTAGATCGTGTCACAGAGGTTGTGGGTTGTGGTGAGTTCAAGGTGAATTTATGGTTACAGACTGTTCGTTGATAATCTCTTGAAGAGATATTCTTGGTCTGACAGTTCATCCTGCCTACTGCCGAAAAGTCCGTGCTTATTGTTCCTCTAGATTCCATATAGACAGCTTTCTCGATAGATAATATACCATTTTCTTCTCGAACATTCTACCAAGTCCTGAGGTTGTCGTACCCTGGCCCATTCCTCTATCTTGAACGTATACAGCCATCAAAATCTCGCCGAGGATGAACACGATATCCTACCCTCATCATACAAACCCAGTACATGTACAGTCACAATTAGTCAATTTTTTATATCTGTCCCTTAGTCAAGGGTAAAATCCCCGTGTTAATCCTGTTCTAATAACTGCGAGGTGCCAGGCAGGAGGAAGTACAGGCATAACATAAACGCAGTATGTGCTATACAACCGACATACCCTAACAAACAGCACCCCAGCGCCAAAACCCCAGCATATAAAATAATTGTATCTCAAAACGCCATCCCCAGCACACCCTGAACTAACTGGCAAATCAACATCCAAACCACATATCCCTCAGTAAATGATAGCATACTAGTAATACCTCCACTCGAAGAAAACAAGAAAAAGCACCCATCTGATTGGCCACCCGAACATCATCACACCGGGAAGCCCGCAATTTCAGGCCAGATTGATTTACGATAAGAGACACTGAATAGTAATACCCCTCGCTCGCTCACCTCGAACCACCACTCAATAACCCCCTCCCTTCCTCCCTCGACTATAAAATCAACGTCTAACTAACCCATCCAAGAAAAAATGGAGTGGGATCCCACGCAATTTTTCCGCGACGATCACACTACCCACCCGTTCGCCCTCTTAATCCTCAACCAACCAATCAATGAAAGGGCGTTCCGCGTCTTAAGAAAACATGGTATGTTCTACTATCACAACAATCTATACAACATGTCTCATAGACACAGGAAAGGGAAAAAAAGAAAAAGAAAGACTAATAAAATAGTCCAGCAAACCTAATAATCTGCGCCGACGGCGGCGCAAACCGCTTCTACGACATGATGAAAACGCACGACCAAGAATCAACCGACGTATGTTCCCTAAGCCCCTAAGTCCCTAAATGCCTTCTCCTCTGTCCCCCTAGAAAAAACCAGTAGTGTCGTTCTAATCCAATCTAACGCTGTAAAAAGCTCCCAAACCTCATAATAGGCGACCTAGACTCCATCGCCCCGTCTGTCAGAGCCCACTACTCCAATCTGGGTGTAACGGTCATCGAGGACGAAGACCAGAACTCGACGGATTTCACTAAGTGTTTGAATTATCTGCGGGATCATGTTGGGGAGGTTATTTCCCCTCCTCCTTCTTCTTCTTCTTCTTCTCCTGGTTCTTCTGAGGGAGCAGTGAAAGGGGGAGAAACGAAGCTAGATGTGCTTATTATGGGGGGTCTGGGCGGGAGGGTCGACCAGGCTTTTTCGCAGATTCACCATTTGTTTCTTATGACGAGGTCGTTTGCTGCTGCTTCTTCTGGGCGGAAAGAAGAGGCGGTAGGGAATCTGTATCTCATTTCCGAGGAGAGTATTACGTTTATTCTACGGCCGGGGGAGAATGTGATTTGGACTCCGGGGACGAATCGGCCTGATCTTCGGGATCAAGGGACGGGGATGGGGCCGGGGACGGAGTCGTTCCTGCTGGAGGAGAATGTGGGGATTGTGCCGTTGACAGGGCCGGCGCGGATTACGACCAGAGGGCTGGAGTGGGATGTGGAGGATTGGAGGACAGAGATTGGGGGGCGACTGAGTACGAGTAATCATATCCGGAGTGAGGTTATCACCGTGGAGTGTGCGGTGCCGGTGCTTTTTACCGTCGAGTTGGCCTCGAGGTTGAAGAGGGCGAGATAGGTTTAGACAGGTTTAGAAGAGTTGGATAACGTATAGACACAGAGATTGATGGTATTTGTATTGGATCCCCCTATATCGGTTTTCAATATCAATATTACATCCAGCAAAGGAGGAAAACAACCACAAAGGCCACGCCACAGCGCCTCCTGGCCAAAGAAAGAGATCAATTCAAAGCAACTGCGATAGAAACCAACCACACCGTTCTCACGCCTGAATCCAAAGAAAGGAGAGACAAGAAACCAAAAATAGTTTAACATGGTAAATTCCCGAAGCACCCTCGACCGACTATTATCCAGAAATAGATCCTTTCAAACCCTCTAGGCGATAGGAAAACCGCTCCCAACTCCTCCTCCTCCTCCTCCTGACACTCGCAGGCCTATCCCCTGCAGGCAAAACCCCAAGCTCGTCCTCCTCCTCGAACTGCGTCCAACCAGCGGCTCTGCCGAAAACAACGCATTCACATATGTACACCGCGTATTTACTTCCGGAGGATGGCCTCATAAAGAGTTCCGATCAGCCCAATCGCCGACCCCGTCACCAAGCCCGCCCACTGACCAGGAAGAGCGGCATTCACCTTGGCGATCGAGAGCCGGCTGTACAGGTCCCAGAAGTCGAATTGCTTAGCATACACCAGGTATGCGAGCCCCGCCTTGGCGATGTTATAGCTCAGCGGATCGAAGTTCGCTTGAGCGGCGCGGCTTCGACGCGCCCCGCCGCTACCTTGCGCGATATTCAGGCTGATATTGAAGAAATATGCGACCGTCAACGGCAGGATAATGCTGGTAAACAGCCAGAGCGAGAACGGGGCCCAGAATGCGCCGTCTACCAGGATAAAGACGTCGGGGACCTTCACTGGAATCTCCACCAATGGGTCGATAAATAACGGAATGGTGGTCACGAATCGCATCGGCATAGTTTCGTAAATGAGACATGCTCCTTCGAGGAGCAAGAACAAGACTTGGACCGCCTTCACGCTGCTTAGAATCGAGCGCACCTCATTCCGTCTCTCCTCCACCCCTAATCTAGCCCAGAAACTGCCCACACAATTGCCAAACGCGCTCGCCCCGCGGTCGATAGCATTCGCGACAACAGCCGGCGATGCCGGCAACGCCTGTTCGAAGTTCAGCGAGGGGCGTCCAGGAGTCTCGAAGACGGGCGGTGGGGACTCGCTAGATTCATCTCTGTAGCTATGAATCGGTCAGTCTATATCGTCGTGATTACAGAGGATGCGCATCGTCGCGCGCCAACTGCGCATCAAGTATCCATGCGCGCGACATCATCCGAGCACAATAGATTTACGGAGGGGACCGGACATACGTCAGTTCAGCTTTCTCCTTTGCCTCCTCCTTAGGCTTATCCTCTCTGGACGCGCTCTCTCTCAGTTCTTCCTCCTTGGCTCTCGTCTGCCTGCGGCGTGCAGATCGCGGCGCAAGAGGCGTCACTTCAACCTTGGGCTCTCTCTTGATCGGCGACCCCTTGCGCGGGGTCTGCGTCAGGCGTCGGTAATACTCGGCGAGTCGCGCATCGCTGGCGAAAATAGACTGATGGGCTTGCAGATGCTCATCCAGCGCCACCGCGAGTTCGGGTTTATTGAGCTCTTCGTAGCTGTCAAGTGTGAGCAGACATTGTTATCGGGGGGGTCGGTGGGGCGATAAACAACCGCACCGAAGAACTGACTTACTCGTGAAGATCAGTAGCTTCCGCCCAGTCCGTCAGTTGGGGCTTGCGCAGCTTCTGTAACCAAGGCAATGCGGCAGACATAACGATGCGCGGAAGGGGACCATGCAACGGTGATGCGATTGAGTATGAGGAATTTGGGGGGTGTTTGTTGTGGGGAGAGGAGGTAGAAGAGATCAGACGATACAGTAGGATTAACTGAAGGACCGGAGAAAATAAAACCAAATATGAGAGGAAAGAGGGAAAAACAATCATTTAATCATAATAATAAAGATCAGTAGGAGGGGAGAAATACCTGCGGGAGCCAATCAGAAGGTGAGAAGGGCGTGGGGCGTGACCGCATCCGTTTGTTTACATTTTCAGCCAAAACAACCACTTGACGTGTCGCCTCGTCGTGACGGTGGGAATAGAAGAGCGAAAGATCCATTTAGTCATGTTCCATTGTTGATTTGGTCTATCCATTTTATAATATAATGTACATCTTTGCGTGATTAGCCATGTCTAAAAGGTCTATGTAAGCCATCCAGGTCCGGAGCAGGGGTGTATGAACATGACAAGATGCGGCCATGCCCCAGACCCATCAAGGCGAATGGGTGATAATAGAAGAGAGAGAGATCATGTAACATCCTTGTACCAGAACGCCAAACACCCCACGTAGTCCCCAATGCCACGATAATACAATATTATCCACAAGTGTCGCCAAGACACTTCCCCTTCGTTGCGGCCGCGTATATGCAACAAAGAAGCCCGGCCGATTAAAGGGGGTTCATCTCGCCCATGTTCTGGTACGACTCCAGCTTTTTCAACAGGTACTGATACATGACCAGCATCGTCCCACTCTGAATGCTAGTCCATACTCCTCGTGGTCCGACTCCGCGGAACCAACCGGCAATACCCTCCGCTTGATAGATCATCTTGAGGCCTGTGAAGAACGACGATGTGTCCAGGCGAGGTGCGCCGGGCGGTGCCACCGAGGTCGAAGCGCCGCCAGTGGAAATGGGCCGCGAGTGCGTTCGCAGACTCGATGGCGTCTGGGTTGATGTGTGCTGTCGGGGGCTTTCCTTGATCGACGCATGTTCCGCGGCCGGTTTTGACGAAGCAGAACCCTTTTTGTCCGGGTTCTGCTGGGTCTGGATGCGGGTCTTCACAACATCCATAGGACACGTTATTACACCAGCCATTCCACCGGCAGTTGCCGCGGTCAAGATCTCCAAACCGAGACCAATGTCTCGGGATCCGACCCACTCCTTTGCCAGTCGGTGTTCCTGTTCGTAGAAGGCGAATTGCAAGGCAGAAAAGGGAAGGTCGCGGTAGATGGTAGCTCGGTATCCATAGAAGAGCGCGGAGAATCCTTCCTGTCGGACGATCGTGCGAAGAGCATCCCGAGTGGAGCGGTAGTTATATCCAGAAATAAAATGAGGGTTGTTATAGCGCCCCTGGAGTTGCAGTCGCGTCTTCAGGACCTCCGAAGGGACATAGACAATAGAAGCGGCCAGGTCCGCAAAGAAACCTAAGGATCCGTATCAGCGCATTGTGCACGCCACCACAGGTCGGCAGGGAAAATCGATAACGCTCTTACCTCCAGACAAATAGGCCAGATTTGCATTGATGCCGGCATCAATCATCTGTCGCTTGGTGAACTCGTACACACCGAAGAAGATCAAAGTGCCGGGAAAGGAGCCGAAAAATGCAGGGACCGCTCCACCGTAAAGACCTCGCAGAAGACCTTCCTGTCGATAAATGGTCGCATATGATGAGGTCATCGACGTATATCTAGGGGGAAAGGTTGGATCGCCTTGCTGCCTCGTCTTGACCGTATCTAGGGAATGCATAAGCATATCGCCACAAGTACCACCCGTACCTCCGGCCAGCATGGCCTACGTGAGACGATCCATGTCAGCTTGAGACAAGAAATTTCTGGGCACCGTGCGGCGAGTCCGCAACACGATCCGAATGTCCATTCACGACGTACATGTAGATACGGCGGTCGAGGCTCTTCCTCATCTTCTGACGGGGTACTCTGTACACGGTCGGAGCCTGCCCTTATCGGGCCAGTCGCATGGTAGACATGGTCGCTGGTGCTGGCGGTTTTCGAATATGAAACGGTCGGCGGGGAGTCCGAGGAGGTTGTCTCTGTCGGGGTAAACAGGCCAAACACGCGCGAGGTCAAGCTCATGGCAAGAATACCGCAACCCACCAAATCGTGGTGCGGACCAGACCACGGGGGGTTGGGATGCGGCGGCGAGGTTTACCGTACGGATGCCACCCCAGTGGAGGATGACGGTGGGGAAAGAAAGGGGAGGAAGGGAAAAATGGAGAAAAAAAGAAAAAAAGAAAAAAAAGTCTAGATTACAGAGAAAACAAAGAAGGTCGGACGGTAGGGAGTAGGAGCATGGCACCTTTAACAGTCGAGAGTTTACAAAACAAGAAAAAAAAGAGGTGCCAGTGCTCTCTCAAATGGAGCCCAAAATTTTGGTCGGGTTTTCCGCTTTCTCCGCGTCCGAGGCTGACCCTCCGCCTCAGGCACCTCCTTTACTCGGCTCCAGATGAGGGATTAAATCAATATATGAGACTCTTTTGCCACAAATAGGGGATCGAGGTCAGACACCAGGTGGTAACTCAACGAGTAATCTAGACTTGAGAGAATATTCCCATTAATAATCTCGCGCAAAATACAGAATGCAATGGAATTTATGCGGGCAAAACATCGCATCGGGAGCCCAGCATGTGCAGAACTTCCCGATTGGGCTCTGCCCAATATTGAACTAAAGAAATATGGCAATACGATGATTATATGAATACGACTCTCCACCCATTCTTCTCCGCGCTCCCTTCCTCCTCGTTCAATCAATCTTTCGCTTATCGTAAAAGGGCCACACCCCAACTCAACGGTGGGGACCAATGGCACATTATTCGTTATACGCTCATCACTTTACAACGAGAGCCCACATTGTAGAATACCTCCGTCGATAACCCTTCGGCAAATGGTCTTCGTCCGTTAAGGTCTTGTCCCACCTGTCTCAGGCCGTGGTCGCCCATTCGTGTCGCGGCCATTTATTGCGGCTTCTTGCCCGGGGCTCCAGCAGTCAAACGGCTCATATCCGTGTTCTCATAAGCCTGGCGAATAACGCCCTTGAAGGTCTCCCATCCTTGGCGCACCGCGGGGGGAGTGCTTTGGTGGGAAACCGAAGCATCCACCCGGGCAGTGAAATGGCGAACGGCCTGCTGAACAAACGAGCTCTGGGTGTATCTCGCGCGGAAGAAAGCCACGTAGATAAAGAAGAGGACAATGGCTCCCTTGGAGAAGGTGAGAATTCCCACAGCCAAGCGGAACAACAGCGCCATCTCGAGTCCAGCGACAAGATCCATGCTAGCATCATAGTACTGCTTGACAAATCTTCCAATGGTGTCCGCCAGAGGGCTGGAAGCGGGTTTGGCAGAGCCAGGAGAGGAGGGCGACGCAGGTCCGGCAGCGCCCTGAGCGGGAGGCTGCAAGGTAGGGATCAAGTGGGCGCGAGAGTATGTCGCAACATGGAATATCGAGTAAACACTGAAGGGAAGGAGGGCCAGCGGGACCTGACGGGAATAGAGCCAGACAATTGCCATGCCTGGTGTTTTTTTCGGTAAGCCTTGTGGCAATTTGACTTGATCGGAAAAACTACTAACCCAGATACTGAACATTTTCATCCCCGGCGAGCTTCACCACAATGCTGGGAACGCTGCCCTGAAGGCGGCCACGGGCGATATGTCCCTTGTACACCACGATACCATATGTCGCAGCAGCCGAAAGGAATGCAAGGCGGTAGGCCACCTGTGCCGACGAAGAATAGTAGTTAAAGGTGATCCACGACAGCGAATAACGGAAGACGGAGAGCAGTAATGTGACGTGTCTACGGACAGTCAGCGGGGTTGCCTTCAATCATTCTCGTAATTCTCGTAATGCGAATGGCGAGGGGATGGGGGGGGGGAGAGAATCGGGGAAGTGTTGACGCCGCAGATTGCAGCAAACACGGTTGACCGGACTCCGGGGGGCCGAGGATGCACCCTCAATCACAAAGGAACCTACCCAGCAAACCAAGCAAATCTATAAAACAGGCCAGATAGTCAATATTCAGCGTTCAGTCTCGGAGAAGGACAACGAGGCACTTACTGCAACGTCTGGGCCAAGGCCTTCAGCCTCTCGGCCAAAGGCAAGTTCGACGCAGGTGGAGCCATGTGAACGGTAAGATAAGGTGTGTGTAAAGGTAGTCAGAATGGAAGCGAGAGCGGACGCAGAGGCACAGCTATGCGCTAAGTGGGAAGAAGAAAACAGGAGAGAGAGATCGAAAAGTGCTGGAAGGGGACCGAATTGAGCGGTGGAGGTCGGCGGGCCTGCACTATTTGGGGAGGCTGGGCGGGGAGGGCGGTAATGGTGTTAGTGGTAGTGGGAGTGGGAGTGGTAGTGGGTTTTTTTCCTTTTCGGCGATGGGCCTTTTCTTGGGCGAAGTACCACTCTTTAATAATGCACTGTAGTCCTAGGACTTAGGAGATAGGTAGGCAGGGAATGAGAAACCTGAGGCAGACCTAGGTTGTCTTTCAGTGACGTTGAAAGCACAATACTCGGCATGATGCAAGTGGCCGAGAAGCTCGTCCTCCCGCACACCCGGCTAGGTGCTATTTTAACTATAATACTGGGTCCGTATTTATTATATTGATGAATTCATTTTTTTTTTTTTTTGGATTTTCTTATTTCAATTCTTTCCATGAATTTATTTCTCTATGCTGTTCAGTCGGATTGTTACCAGCATTGTTTCTACGTCACTCGATACACACACACACACACCCTCACATACACTCATTTGGGACTTTTTTTCAAGAACATCTGAGATTGACAACTAACGCACAAGAATCTGCAATAAAGTAGAATAGGAAGGGGAAAAAAAAAAAAGGAAAAGCGTCCTGAAATGATGGTCGGAGGGTGGGAGAGAGCTCACTAAAATGTGTAGAAGTTGGCAAAAGTGCACAGAGATAAGAAGGAATATGAGAATAGGCCACACAGGGGAATAGCAAACAGGCGGGAACGAGGTATAGCGTAGGCAAAAAGTACATGAACAAGAAGCGAAAAGAGGACATGAGGAGGGCCACCGCATATCATCTTGCAGAACCAAGGGCCAACCCACTCGAGCGAGCAAGCAGACCACCCGACTCTGCTCTGGTGTCCCAGCACATTCTCCTAGTCAAAAGCCCCCAACTGGTGTTGTTCCGACTCAGAAAGAAACAAAACGAGACATTTCTTTTCCTTCGGTCCACCCAATCAGCAAACAGAGTCATTACTGGCAACAGATACGAGATAGAAGAGATTGAGAGAGCGTGGGAGAAGACGAATAAACACAGAAATAAAAGGGCAGGCGAAAAGAGCGCTCGGTCAATCAACAGTCGTGGAGAATCCAACTCAGAACCACCAACGTGCCTCCATCGCCCATACATTACCTGGGGAGTCCATGTCATTGGGTTCCAGTCATTTGGGCGTGTGCTTAACGAAGGGAGAAGCCCTTTCGCTTGCCCTTCTCTTCGATCGGTCGTCCACTTTCGAGGCGACTCTTCTTGTCTTCCAGCTCCTGGCGTTGCCGCTCCAGTTGATCCTTCATCTCGCGATGTCGAGCGTATAGTTCGTCTTCGCTCTGTTTCAGCTTGCTCTCCTTCTCGGCCACCTTCTGTTGGAAGACCATCTTCATCTCCGTCTCCATCTTGGCGAGCTTCTGCTCGTGCAGGGCGCGTTCCTCCTCCTGCTTGACGGCCGGGTTGACCTCCTTGAAGACGCTCGGGTCCTGGGCGACACCCATCTGGGTCAGCTTGTCGGAACGGTAGTTCTCGTACAGGGAGTTGTTGGTGTGTTCCTTGAGCTCCTCCATGTGGGTGCGGATCAGCATCTGGCGCAGCTTGACGAAGTCGCAGTGCTCCTCGTTGTCGACCTCGATGATACCCCATGGGTAGCTACGGCCACGGACCTTGCGGCCATCGGCCGTGGCGACCTCGCTGTTTGCACCGACCACGGCGAAAGGGACCTTCGACATAATCTCCTGGTTCTCGGCAATGGTTTCTTCGTCATCAAGCTCGTAGCGGGGGCCCTCGAAGATCTGGATGGAGTGGTGTTGGATATCGGCAAGGATCTAGAAACAACGTTAGCGTCGGATTAGGGGCGCGCCAGTCCAGACAGGTTGCATACTCTCTGCTTGAAAAGAGAAATCTCCTCATCCGTCAAGGTATCAGCCTTCGCGATCACGGGGATCAGGTTGACCTTGGTGTGCAACCGGCGCATCACCTCAATGTCCAATGGCTTGAGGGAGTGACCGGTGGGCTGAATGAAGTAGACGCAGGCGTGGATACGGTTGTCAACGATGTTAGTCCGGTTGACCTTGTTCTCAGCCTCCAGGTAGGCATCGTATCTCTGCTCAATGTTCTCAACGATGGGGCGCCACGAATCATCGTTGTTCACGAAATCACCGAATCCGGGAGTGTCGACCACGGTTAGGCGGAGACGAACGCCATTCTCTTCAATGTCTGCGGAGATAGATTGAATCGACACGGTCTTCGGGATGATGTCGTGGCTGGGGCCCGTACGCTCCTTAGGCGGGTAGAGGGAGGTGTTGAAAAGAGTATTCACAAGAGTCGACTTTCCGAGACCAGATTCACCTAGAACACTTGTCAACTACGCCAATCGAACCCCCCTTGTCCTTCCAAGCGGGGGGGAGACTCACCAACAACCATCACGTTGAAGTTGAATCCCTTGCGAACACTCTTGCGGTGCCACTGGTTTGGCAGATTGGCAAACCCGACGTAGCCGGTCAACTTCCGGCGAACAACGTTCTTCATGTCGGTGGCGGCCTGGGCCACAGCCTTCGGGTCCTTGGAGCTGACGGTTTGGGCGTTTCCTGATCCCATGGGGTTGCTGCGCTCAACAAAAGGAGAACTGGGCTTGCTGCTGGCGGGAGACTCCACGGCCGGGGTGGGGGAGCCGTTGGTGGGGGGTGGTGAAGCTACAGCAGGCAAAGTAGAGTCAGTAACTGGTTCAGCATCGGGTTGGTTTTCGGTAGACAGAGTTCCCCGAATTGGCGAACATGACGCATGGCTCTCGGATCGGTGATGTTTCAAAACAGGAGAAGCACTTATTCTCCTCGAGTCCATCTGTGAGCGACCCTCCGCACTCCGATGTCTAGGATGTGCCATGGTGCTGTTCACCACGCGCAAGAGCTTGGGGCGGTACACGAATGGGTTGTCCGCCGAATTGAAGAGTGGAAAGAGAGTTGGCTGATGGAAATGGGATGTGGCCAGCAGCGATGAGCTTACCCATTGTGAATGCTAAGGATTTCGTTCAGGAAGCGAGCGTGGAGGGTGAAAAAAAAAAAAAAGTCGACGTAGCGAGCGTTGATGAGGAAGTTCCCCTGAGCAGATCGCACCTACTTCGTTAGCACAGAACACCCTTGCAGAGAGGAAGATCCAGGCGAGGGGTGGGAAATAGAATCAGGAAAGCATCTGGAACAAGACTATTTTCTTCCAAGGGGGAAGGTGGGTGAAGTGTGATATGTGAAACTGAGGGAAGGAGGGCCGGGAGGTGCCAACCATACCTTGAATCCCGTACACCTGGAAAAGGGTGAGGATCAGATGGTCAAACAATACGGCAGGGGGGCAAAGCTCTCGGAAACCACCAGTTCAATAGAAACCCGGTGCAAGAGGTCTAAGGTGTAAAAAAAAAAAAATACAACAAGAAGTAGAAGAAAAAAGGATGCCGAAAGAGAGAAAAAGAATAATGAAGTGAGGAAGACAGGGGAAGGCGAGAACGATTGGGCCTGCGGAGTGATTTGGGGTGGAGAGTCAAGTGGTGAAAGAGCCAAACCACTTCTCTGGCGGAAAAGAAAGGGGGCTCTTCATTCAATGGGAAGCTAACTCTTAGTAGGGATTAGTCCGGGCGACAACAGTAAATGGGAACAATTGATGATCTTGATTTAATCTAACACCTATAAAATCAAATTTCTTATGGAAAAGAAAGAATTGAAAGCTGAGCAGAGATTTGGTTCTTTTCTTTTCTTTTCTTTTCTGTTTTTGGATTTTTTAAATTAAAGAAATTCAAGTCATTATTATTTCACCTCCCACTCCCTCTCAGCCAGGCCAAGCATCAGGTAGGTTCTTACATTAATCATCCCATTGGACATGTCAAACCCATAAGGCGGCGATCCTAGGGAGAAACAAAAGAAAAAAAAAAAAAAAAAAAAAAAAAAAAAAAAAAAAAAAAAAAAAAAAAAAAAAAAAAAAAAAAAAAAAAAAAAAAAAAAGAGGGAGAGGAGATGAAGAGAGGGAGGGGGAAAGGATAAACGAAAGTAAATACATATAAAAGGGAAAACATGACGGATTTCCACATACAATTCGCATTGACTTCAAATGAAAAATCAAGAGGATATCATCCCTGAAGTCACATAATGTCCAATCTGGGACCATTAATTGACCTGTTACCCGAACGTCCATCCATGGATCCCACCTGACCCTGATCCAATATTTAATACATGGAGCTGTATCTTAAAACGCATGGCGTTTCCAGAAGTAGAGAGAGAATAAAACATTGCCCAATTTGCAGCCTGATTACTTTTCCAACGAAATACTCAGTTTTGGCGATAGGATTACCTTCTGATCAAACATCAATCCCGGTCACCCATTCTTCGCATGATTGCTATATAAGTCAAATGTGCCGCTTCAACCATATTTCCAGGGAATCCCTCATCATCCCAGGTATGTGCTGTAGTACATCTCTGGGGTAATACGAGCACCGTTACCTGTGGAATGTGCACTTGGCAGATAAGATGTACTGTGCTCTGGTACTCCGTACTTAATCTGTTTCTGTTTCTCTGGGTAAGACAGAATCAGTCAGGGGGGGGAAGGCAAGAAACGGATACTTACTTACTACTCCGCTTCCCAAACAGAAGAAAGAAGAGGTACTGGATATTTACCACTAGTAACAGGGTTACCCGTATGCTGCCACCGGTACTGAAAAGCGGAAACCAACTGCTGTCCCGTCGTTGCCGATACACCAACTGACCCATGGACGAGAGAATCAAGGGAATGAATTCCAGGATCGAACTCAATGATCACAACATGAGTCAGTATTCTAATTCCGGGCCAATTATTCTCATAAAAAGGGCGCCCTGCAAGCCCGATGCAGGGAGGAGATGAATCTCACTTCCCATCTACTCCCTACCTTGCCTAAGCTTCGCATCAAGTTCAACCCGCCATTGGGTGCTGTATCTAAATATAACTCTCCCTCTTCCCGATGGAAGAAGATAGAGTACCTTTGCGCCGGAAGCCAGGTAATCTCCATGCATTAGTACTCTCCCCAGGACAAGAATAGTGACATTCCACAGGGAATTAAACGAAACACCCGCTACCGAGGCATGCACGACAATAGCCATTGGTTTGGTTTGACATTCGCATGTAGACCAAGTTCGAGACAGGCTGTAATACCCTCAATACAAGCCAACCATGATTCTCAGAAAGAGGGCTGGAGCCCTTAGTAGTTGCTGACTGTCCAACTAATAATGCATGAGGATCTGCAATTGTCTGTGGAATCGGACTCTGTTGAGAAATTATCAGTCTGGTATGATATCCTTTTCTTTCTTCCTAGCCAGAGGGGCTTTTCTTTTCTTTTTTTTTTTTTTTTTTTCGCTCTTTCAATTCCCATGATCTGATCTTCAACCCTACCAACACCGTATATGCATATTAGGTCAACAGGAGTCCGCTAACGACGCCAGAATGAAGGATGCAAATGCAGGCGGGGCTCGATAGTGCTGTCAATAGCAAAGTCAATTCAACTGACGTGTCCATCATATGATGCGTCAGAATGCCCGAGGGTTGTCTGGGTTTTTTCCCGGCTGCATGTTCGCCGGTAGCAAACCATCAGGCCAATGATTAGAGGCATATTAGAGATTTTTTGGAAGAAAAACAAATATCTTAGAAGCTTTCAAAATAAAATGAGCAGAGTGAGAACCCAAACGTGGAGGAAACATGAAGTGGAATGTCGTTACACGGATTATCACTATGTGAGAAAACCCAATGATATCACGTTGGTCCGAGTCTTATTCATTATACAACCATAACTATTATGTCGGAGATGGCGCAAGCTTCCTTTCCCCTAGCTAAGGAATTTTTTAAGGCATTTTATTTCCCAGTCTTCGACTTTTTCTTCGGCCGCTCGGCTTCAGACATGTCCGCATCTCCGTCGTCATCGTCGCCCCCGTCAGAAGCATCACCCATTTCGGCGTCGCTACCACTGCCACTGCTTTCGTGGGCCGAGTCGTATTCTTCCGCAACATCCGATTCAGATTCTGCCATGAAGTCTTCATCAATAGATTCTTCATCCTCATCCGCTGAACCCCTATCAGCGCGTACACCCTCATCGTCGCTAGAGCCCATGTCTTCGTTGTTAAGGGCGGCAGCAAGAAGGGTCGAGGCCTAACGAAAGCGGTCAGTTTGAATTCGAAGTTATCAGCAAGTGTGAAGTAGACGTACATCGTCCGACATCTCATTCTTGAATCGAATGTTCTTCGCTTTGAAGAATTCCTCAAGAGGTTGTTGCTCCTCACTGCAGGCAGTTAGCAGTGATACATTGTCTTAGGTCATCCGGCTGGGACAACGTACCGGTTAATGTTACTAAATTGATGTTCTCCTAGTCCAGCCTTCAGGCTAACGGTGATGTCAAAAGTTCTACTGGCTGACACAGCACCACCGACACGGGACATTGTAATGATGGCGATATTCTCGACCTGAATATACGTGGCAGGCTTCGGGACGAAGATCAAGCTCTTATCCAAGAAGTATAGAAGACCTTCGTTGGCCTTGATTGAGCATTTGACTCCGCTGTGACCGTGATGGCTATGGAAAGTGTCAGCGACATTTCGTGTCGTCATCATGGGCCGAAGATAGATTATGACAAACCTGACAAAGTCTTTCGATGGCATGATGACCTTCTTGCCTGAAAGGCCGCGGAAGATCTTCGTTACGACCTGGTGGATCGGCTCCTCATAACGGGGCTCCAGCTTATCCTTGTAGCGAGTTTCCATCAATTCACTGGGTGCCGTGTTAGATAGCATCACGGGAGAAATTATCCTCACGCATCACTCACTCTGTCATGTTGACCTCCAAGCTGATTTCTTCATCAAGCTTCAACTGCATAACCAGGAATGGATACCGAGTCTGACCCTGTCGCAGAGGGGGGTCGAGTCCGAGAACAATGAGTGTGTGTGTGTCGTCATTCTTAGGAAGCAAGAAGAACTTCTTGATAGAAGAGTACTGAATCTTGTAATCGTATGTTTTGCCGCGTAGCCGGAACGAAGACTCGTACATGTCGATATCGAAACGACCTCTAAAACACTGGTTAATTCCGCACTTCGAAAATACGAACTGATGCATGCGTACCTGGGCGTAAGATGAAGAACATCCAAGAAAGTAGCGAATGTATCGCCAGCCACATCTCCAATCTCTGCCTTGTCCATAAGCATCTCGTAGAAAAGATTGGCTGCGTTCTGTTCTTCGCCCTCCGCTTCTTCTCCTTCTTCCCCATTTTCTTCTTCTCCATCCTCCTCTTTGATTCCCTTCTCTGTCTTCAATACCGTTCCGGGAATGTAAAAGCGCATCTCGACCAATTCATCGGGACCCGAAGCGGCCTTCCGACCACGGTTCTTGGTGCTACCTGCAGACTGGGCATTTGCATCGGAGCCATCGGCGTTCAGGGCGAATTCAACAGCGACTTCATTCTTTCCCGCCAGGTTGGTGTTGGAGATTTCGGAATAAGGAACTTCAAACGCAGGCCGGTTTTGGACGTTGAAAGATAGCTCAGCCTTAGTGAATTCTGCCTTGCCCCAGTTCCAGCCTCGAAGGGCATGCTCCCTGCTGTCCACGTTTATGCCGTACCAAATCCTAAAGGCCTTGCTCAATCGTTCGTAGTCCTGGTGAATACCGGATAAAAGTCAGGCAATAATCCTCTTGGAAATATAACACGGGACGCACCTCTTGATCGAATCCGTCGAGTTGGATGACGCCCGATGAGCGCGACAGAATTTTCAGCTCGAATCCCTTTGCTGCTCGACTCCATTGAGCCGCACCGATATTGCTGCTATCAAGGGTGAAAGTCTCGCCTGCACCAGAAGGTTTCCATCCCAGACCACTTTCTGCAAGCTTGCACTTTCCGGGCTGCTTGGAGAGGTCGAGGTAGATGTTATCGAAGCTCTCCCTGAGAAGAAGGTCAGAGTAATAGACAAATGGCATTTATCGCAGATGGGGGGCTCACATTTTGGAGAAGCTTTCAGGACGTCCAGTTAGGGGTACCCTGTATGAGCTTCGATGGTGGTACAGGGCTTATTCGGATGCAGCGACAAAAGTAAGATGGATTATATATGTGAGATTGTACGGTGATGGTGTTTTGCCTGGCGACGGAGTGGCAGGAGGCTATCTATAACCTTTTTTTTCTGGAGTCTCGCGTTGCGCGCGGCTGTCGATAGTTCACACGCGGTGCGGCAAGAGACTAGTTCCAGAGAAGTAAAGTACATTACCGCCCACGACCGCAATGGGTTACTGCCTGCCTCAGGCAATAAGGTCCCTCCACTGAGTTTTATGTGACTTTGAATGCTCCACAACGCCGTCTACTTATAATCTACAAAGAATATAAAATGAACTCATGATAGCGGATGTGCGGCATCTTATTTTATATAAATATATTTTGAGGTAATATGGACTGTCAATGTCTAGAAGGACAAACAGCCTATTCTATTCATAATACGTATGTGTGTATATTATATATATATATACATATGCGCTTTACCCTACTTTGGGATTATACTCTAGCAATATACTTCCTTCTTAGACCAAATTTGCTTTAGTGTCTACTCGAACACCTAATTTCCATTCCAAAAGCATTTTTATTGTATCTTTAGACCACCAACTCATACACAGGGCTAACACAACATAACATTAAGCTGCCGCGAATTGAAGATGAATTCAGGTGCAAATATTCGGAGAGCATAATCCATTCTGGACCTCACCATCTCATGACCTGTTCAAATTCGGGCATAAACACTCGTTAGGGAAGTCTCAGACGAAGTGATGATAAAGAACATGATCATGACGAATGAATGGGGGTGCACAAGGCTAGCCAAATCGGGGCTAGCTCAAATGGAGACTCCATACAGACCAGGGCACTAGACCAATATAGGCTAGCATTCCGCGGTAACTCTCTCACAGCTTCAATTATATGGAGTAGTATCATACCTCTTCTCATGTCTGATGAAGGAGGCTTCTATGGCTCGACTCTCACCCTTGAGCCCCTCGGACCAATTTTTCGGACTCGGAGATAGATGTGATCCTCAATGGCCAAAGGCACAATGTTCTTGTCTAGTTCAACTATAAAAGCATGGCATGTTTCAGCTTCAGGTCTAATCTATCCTCACCCATCTCAACCAACTTTATAGACCTACAGACATAAATCACACATCTCGAACTCACCTTCCTGCACGCTGTCCGACTTTTCGTTGGCTATAACTACATTTGTCATCAGATAGCCACCATGAGCACCCCCACCAACGCTGCTGCGTGGCTTACCACAGCCGAGGGTTACCCTTTCGAAGTCAAGGAAGCACCTGTGTGGAAGCCCGAAGAAAATGAGATTCTGATACGGAATCATGCTGTTGCTATCAACCCGGTCGACGGTAGCCTCCAGACTAAAGCCTGGTGACCTATGAATATCCCACGATTCTGGGACAAGACGTGGCTGGCGAAGTGATTGCGGTCGGACCAAATGTGGCACACTTTAAGCCTGGAGATCGCGTCGTGGGCCATACGGTTGGCATGGCCACTAAGCGCAATCAGGACAATGCATTCCAGAACTATACAATCTTACAGGTAAACATGGCCAGCAAACTACCTGACCATATTTCCTACCAAAATGCCGCGGTCATCCCTCAGGGGTTCTCAGCCGCAGCCTCGGGCCTGTTTCAGGATACCTTTCTGAAGCTGCAGCTTCCGACGAAGCCCAGCAACCAGCATACTGGGAAGACTCTTTTAGTCTGTGGCGGTGCATCCAGCGTTGGCAGCAATGCAATACAACTTGATGTTGCTGCTGGGTACGAAGTGATCGCCACCGCATCGGCCAAGAACTTTGACTATGTGAAGAAACTGGGTTCTAGTCAGGTATTCGACTACCACAGCCCAACTGTTGGCGAAGATCTCATCCAGGTCCTGAGAGGTAAAACCCTTGCTGGTGCCATGGACTGCATTGGCTTCTCTGCAACTCCTATCTGCATGGATGTGGTGCATAAATCCGAAGGAAACAAGTCCGTGATCACCGTTAAAGGTGGCTTTCCGACTCCCCCAGTCGGTGTTTCCGTGAAGAATGTCTTCGGTACCACAATCAAGGATAACTTTGTCGGTAAAGCTGTGCATGTAGACTTTCTTCCCTTGACATTGGCGGTGGGAAGTTTTGTCCCTTCTCTTTAGGCGTTGGTTGCAAGCAAAGGACTGGAGGGTGTTCAGGCAGAGGTTGATCTTCATGCTGCTAGGGGAATATCTGCGCAGAAAGTGGTTGTTATGCTGTGAAGCGGGGATGTACTGTATCTAATGTTATTCTGAAATTTTTGTCGATTGTCTTTGGTGAAGGTCCATGGGATACCTAGTTGTATCGTGATAAGCGTTATTCCATGGGACTTCTATATAACTAGCAATATCTATAGGTAGTATCGGAATTGATTGAGGGTTCGAGACTAATTACAAGATCAGATTGGTCATAATTTCTCCACATGTTCTTAGTCTGACATGACAAGCTTCATGCTCGGACCTCAGGGTCAAAGAGTGTAACTTCTAATTTTATACCGATTACTTTTTTCTTGGAACCTTAAATGAATAGAAAGCACGGTCACGTGGAGTGTTTGGGGGGGCCATTTCCACCCAGTGCCGCCAATCTCACTGATATGCTAATTTCAGATCTATCCCAACCTAGGGGATATTAGCTTAACAAAGGAAGCGATGAGGCCCGATGGTCTATTGTGGTCCCTCTTGTGCTTGTGAAACATGTAAGTTGCGGAAGAAAAAGGTCTGTCTCACCCGCTCATTAAAGACCCAAGCTAACACAGTATCTTGTAGTGTGACGAAACTCGCCCGGCATGTAAAATAACGTTAGTTTTGCTATTAGTTAGCTTTTGGTACAACGGATTGCGACCATGATGTATCCCAATCAGTGCTCTTCAGTCCACTCCCCTCTCTTATACATGTTGATCTAATGCGTTGCAAACCAGTCGTGTATACGATGTCTCAAATCCAATCGGACATGCAAAGGCTATGAGGTCCAAGCCAACACCAACCTCACATTTTGACAAGCTAAGGTGAAGGACAGCCTCGGTCTCCCACTCCAACCGCCGCTTGGATCTCTGGCGCGCAAGTGTAGTTTACCTGCTCGTGATCCGGCTCCTGGTACTGATGCCTTACCGGACGATGCGCATCCAAAGGAGGTTACCGGTGAGGTTGTCGAAGAATCGGGCCTGCGGGCATTCTTCTATGATTATTGTGTGGTTTCAACCCATCGTTCCCTATCCCGGGGTTTCTTTCATAAGCTCGGGGGAATGGTGCGCTTCACAGGGTTCCGATCAGACCTTGCCAAGGCATGTAAGGTAGTGGAATTTGGAGGCCATGGTCTTAAGCTAAACTGACCCTCTCTCTCTCGCATGGCAGAGATGTTGTATCAAGAACTCCTCAATTCCTTCGCTCAAACTATCGGGGAACGCTCGGTGGAGTCAGCCGGATTTCTGACGACAGTGAAGGTCCTGCTCTCTACGAGTGGAGTTTTTTTTTTTTTTTTTTTTTTTTTTTTTTTTTGGCTAGCTTATATCATGCTATATGGTAAAGATAGTCTTGGTTGGTGAGATACACCTTGGCTACCACAATGTGCACGCTGGCGCCATGGCGGCAGCATTGCAAATCTAGAACTCACCCCTGAGCCTTTTGGGAGCGGTACAGTCAGATCATCCGCTGCTTTGCAGCGGCATGCCGAAGGTAAAGTGATTCAGCAAGCACACGTCCCCAATAATTAAATTCTAACGTATTTAGAACCCAGCTATCTTTTCTTCACCGTCCATTGACTATACACACCAAAGGTTAGACCATCTGTTGCTCGCTCTAGGCCCTCTTTGGGAAAAGGCAAAAGTTTTTATTTTAGCCCAGATTCTATTAACCTGGACTATTTGCGCTTAATCCAGCAAGAAGCTATCAACCTCAATGAGCGCCTCACCGGTTGGCAGGATACTCTCACCGGCTGATTTTGAGCCTACAACTGTCGGCCAGATAGTTCCAGAGGCCAATGCTGCAATTCCTGGGGTCGGTTATTGGCCAGGGAGAGTGGGCATGTATTTTGACTTTTATGTTGCGGTAGTTTGGAACACCTCGCGTGTTGCTCGGTGTTTGCTCCTTGACCTAATCTTGAATGTGGCGAGTATACTTAATTACGGTAACAGGGACCACACCCGGAAGCAGCGAGATGCCCTTTGTCTTCTTGAACAAATCGTTTGTTCAATGCCATATCATCTGGCTGAAGACCTGCCAGACCTTCTTCGCAATCATGGAAACAGTACCAAGATCACGACTCCCGCAAGAGCTGCCGGGGGCTTACTCATGCATCCAATCTACACCACTTCCCAGCTATCCATTGTACCGTTCAACATGCAAGGACACTGAAGAAATGCCTAGCATAGATTGGAACACACATGGGTATTGGACAAGCCTTGATCTTTGCCAAGGTGAATTCTTTTATTCTTTCTAGCAGCTGGAGGCTGGTTCTCACTGACCGTTTGGTCTAGGCCGCGGAGGTTCATCCCCAGGATCTCGCTGGTGGCTGAATGATTGATTGGGCAGTGTTGCTCGGGTTGGGGGGTTTTTTTTTTTTGGCACCGAACGCTTGTAGTGACTGACACCCTCTTCAATTCTTCGATGAGAGGGAAGGCGAGCGATTGTGAGTCGTTATACTCCGTCGGTGCCAACGATCTATGATTCTTCGTCGGGGTTGGTGGAGTAGTGGATTGCTTGCGTGGCAATGGCTATGACTTTTTTGGAGGTGGATACTACTACTACGTATGTCTATCACATTCCCGACCTCCCTAGTAATGTACATATATTCGCCCCGTAGTTCCTGGGAGACTTAATTTTCTAAATGATTAAGGACGAATGCTAGTTGGTCTCGCGGCACTCTTGCATTAACCTTGTCAAGTGTTGGTTGGCTATACGATATGGAGTGGCAGGTTGCTGGAGGTAGCAAGAGAGTACATACAGTATACACATAAAGGGGCGTGGTGAACATGCCATGTACGACCCTTTGTTTTGGTGAATCTCCCTGGTTAGTCGAGGAATTACAGGACCTCCTTCAAAATGACACCCAAAATTGGGACATCCAATAGAATGTTACATTTCCGGTATTCGTGCTGTTTCCACCATTATATTATTGAGGTCTGCTATTGGTAGGAGCCCTGGTATAAGTATCCGAGTCCCATCATGGAAAAATCCAAACAAAAGGAATGTTCTCCTTACTCCCCCCAAATACATCTATTAATATATCCAGACATAATATGATGTCAGGGGAGAGTCCTGTTCTCTACTCCAGAAGTCACTCGAAAGAATCTCTCCCCCAGTTTTTCGGTATAAGCTAAGACTTGAAAAGGGCCTAGACTATCTTATTGAATGTTAGTGCTTAGGCTCAACTCATCCTTTCCTTAGTTTAGTGTTGACATTTTTAACTTCAGTCTTCGCTGGTCATTAGTAGAGCTTGGCTTGACAATCATGGCGAAAGGAAACAAATTAAGTTAGATGAATCGTTCAGGGTATCTTATCGATTCCAATTTTAATTCCAATTCCAGCCAGATCCAGATCCATCTGGGAAAATATGAGACATGACTTGGTGCTAGAGGGTGGAGAAGGTTATCAGGCAGAATCCAATCTCTTGACTATTAATAACCCCCCACTAGTGGGAATTAAACACCACGCACCTCCCGTGTCATTTCCCGTAGTCTGTGAAAAAATACCGTTCCCGTAAGTAAGCTTGAAGGTACAGTAAGTAACTTTGGGAAAGCTGCAAGGAGAAAACAAACAACCAATCGCTCCTGCCATGTCACTCTTCATCCACCCTCACTCAGTCATTCGTTAATTATCAGTCATTCTTTTTCTTCCCTCTTTTCCTTCGCTCGCTGCCCATTCGGTCCTCTTCGTATTTATAACGAAGTGCGCTTCATTCACTCCTTTACCCTTCCCTGTTGCCGAATTTTTGTCTTAATGTTTTTGGCTTTTCGGTGTTCTCAGACCACATTCCTTTCTCACCAACTCCTTTTCCAGCATTATTCGCGTACCTCGTGTTGATACATCGACTGATCCAATAATACCATCGATCATCGTCCAATCCTTTTGCTCCCCTCCGCTTCTTTCACCACCTTTGACCAAGGATAAAATTCAACCCCTAACCATCTAGCGACCCTTTACATTGCGGCCTGTCGTCGCGTACCTGGACAATGAGGACCTCCTCACTGTTTAGGCCTGCGACGGCTGGCGTATCGACTGTCCTCTACCTAGGCGCTCTACTCCAATCGTGTTCCGCCTCTGGACTCTCGTTTACACCGGTCGCACAACCAGACTTAGATCTGAAGCCCCTCGGACAGGTCGCTTTCACCGGAGACTTCGATGCGGTCTCGTTTTACTCGTTCAAGGAACAGTCGGAAACGGCCTCGGTCAAGAACGGCTCCCAATCGATCCTTACGCCCCTCCCCAATGGCATCATCACGACGCTGTCAACCTCCGATGGCTATATTCAGGCCATGTGCCCATTCACCCAGAAGGATGGAACGTATGCGGGAATCTTTGTGGGAGGAAACTTTACCAGCCTGGGAGGAGTGGAGACCCAGGGCGCAGCGTTGTTCAATCCCGACACCAAAAGGGTGACGGCATTGCCAGGTCTCTCAGGGTCGGTCTCCGCGGTATTGTGCGACAAGGAAACGAACCGCGTGTACGTGGGCGGCGAATTCAAATATGAGAATACATCGAACGCCGTCGCGTGGGTTGGCAATGAAGGCTGGAAGAGCTTGGTTTTCGGTGGATTCAACGGACCCGTCACCACGATATCGAAGTCCACCGACGACCACGTTATATTTGGCGGCTCGTTTGATGGCATTGGCAATTCGACATCGTCTAAGAAGAATCAGCAAACCGTCAATATACAAAACGCTACCATTACTTCCGACGCCGTCTCTTCCAAGAGTGGCTATAGTGATCCTCGAAATATCATCTGTCAGACGAGTGGGGATGATGGTGAAGGGAAGACATGGCTTTTGGCGGATAACTCTCCGGGCTACTGGCGTGCGGACATGCGGTTCGGATACAACCCAACAAAAATTCGTCTGTATAACACCCACCTGGACGGAAGGGGTACAAAGAACTTTTTGCTCAGGAGGCTACCGGACAATGGCATTATGAACCTCACCTACACTGACCCAGATACTGCAGAAGACGTCTACTGCGACCAGAACTGTTTGCTCTCCGATAAGAAAGACGAGAAATATCGGGAATTCAAGTTCGTGAACAGCGTCGGCATGAAGGGCTTCCAGATAGAAGTCCTGACCTGGTACGGAGACGGTGCTGGTCTTAATGGAATCGAACTTCTGCAAGATGGTAAGTTGATATATTGAACTCAGGACTGTTGACCTTGCTGACTGTCGATCAAGACATCTTTGCTTATGCTATCAACGATTTCAACGAGCCGACATGTGCCGACCTCAAGTACCCGTCCAAGGCGACGCACTCGGGTTCGTGGACTTCGACTGAGTCCGATCAGAGCCAATCCGACTACCTAACGGCGAAGGTCAGCGACTCCACAGCGTCTGATACTTCCGTTGTCTTCGAGCCAGACGTTAAGCAGTCTGGAAATTATTCCGTGGTTGTTTATACGCCCGGTTGTACCCAGGATGGCACCTGCGGTTCGCGCGGTATTGTCAACGTTACCGCGACTCTGAAGAGCAACAGTAAATCGGCAGAGCCTATCCAAAAAACAATTCACCAGACCAATTTGAACGATAAATATGACACCCTCTACACGGGCCATGTGGATTCCAGCGATGGTTCTTTCCGACCCAGCGTAACCATAACTCCAGTAGCAGGCCAGGGGGACGTAACTATTGTTGCTTCTAGGGTTAAGTTTGCGCTTATTCGGGCGTCAGATGGCCTGGATGGAGAGTTGAACGGCCTCTATGACTTTGACCCCGCCGCGAAAAGCACCAATGCCAATTTTACCCAGTCCGCGGTTAATCGCGCTGGGCTGCAATTGGACGAAAATGCCACTGTAAGGAGCCTAGTATTCCATGACGGTGTGATGTACGCAGGCGGAAATTTCTCGAGCTCGGGGATTAAGAATATCCTGGCTTTGAAGGACGAGGGAAACGCAACGGCTATGCAGCAAGGTGGGTTGAACTCGGAAGTGGCTTCGATGACCGTGTTGGACGATCTTTTGTACGTTGGAGGAAACTTCACAGATACTTCTGACCGTAGTAACAGCGATTTGAAACATGTTGCAGCCTATTCGTTTGGCTCTAAAACTTGGTCAGCGTTGGGAGGAGGTGTCAATGGGCCTGTCTATAAGGTTACTTCGCTTACGCTTAACATCTCCACGGAACTCAATGAGACGACGATCGCCGTGAGCGGCGACTTCAACCAGTTACTTGCCTTCGATGACAACCCGCTCACTAACGTCACTGGCTTCGCCGTTTGGGTGCCGTCCCGGAAGAATTGGCTGCCAAATTTGAATGTCACCCAGATGGCCTTCACCGGTCAGTTGTCGGCTTGCACCAAAGTGGACAACACGACTGTTATTGCCGGGACTCTGTCTTCAGCAGGAATTGCTGCGGCAGGTGCCGCGAACCTACTTCATGAGGGTCCACTGAACATCAAGCCACTGTTCGCCAATGCGAACTTTTCGGGGCAGACTTACGCTGGGGTTTATGATACGAGCTCCAAACGTAACCTCACCATTTTGGGAGGCCACTTTACAACTACTGGGAGTGACGGGTCTTCCGTGAAGAACCTTGCTCTGGTTGATGGCAAGGCAGGTACGATCAAGGGTCTTGGGCCAGGAGCGGACAGCAACTCTACGTTCCTGGCCTTGACTGTCTGGAAAGATAAACTATACGCAGGAGGAAACGTCACTGGTACTGTAGGCGACTCTAATTTAAACGGATTCATCATATACGACCTCCAAAATGGAACCATCGCGCAGAAACAACCTCCGCGGTTCACAGGGGGCACAGTGACCGTTAATTCCATCGCCGCTCGTCCTGACTCGAATGAGATCTATTTCGGGGGCCAGTTCGAAAAAGCTGGAGCTCTTCCTTGCCCAGGTGTTTGCCTTTACGACGCCGCGGAACACCAGTGGAACAGACCCGGTGCGACTCTAGCTGGCGATGTTTTAGCACTGAAGTGGATGTCCAATAAAAAGCTACTCGCCGTCGGTAATCTCACCATTGAGGGCAATAGTTCGGTAATTGCGACGTACACTCCGAAAAAGCAGAGTTGGGAATCCTGGACAATTGCCTCTGAAATCCCGGGAACTGTGACTGCATTCACCCCTGCCAGTGTGGATGTGTCCAACTTCTGGCTGGCAGGAGCTTCCACCAACGGCTCCGGCTTTCTTGCCAACTATGATGGGTCGAAGTTCCAATATGCCGGGGATATCTTTGGCAAGGGCACTACGATTCGCAGCCTTGAAGTTCTTCCCCTCTCGAAGGATCATTCCGACGTTAGCTTTCTGCACGACGACCAGATCCTCTTGGTTACCGGTCAACTGGTGATCCCTAACTTTGGCAACGCGTCCGCAGCACTCTTCAACGGAACCGACTTAACTCCTTTCATGCTTAGCTTGGATGCCGACGGTCAACCGGGCAGCATGGCCCAATTATTCTACGAGAAAGAGAATCCTTACAGCAGCGAAGGTGAGTGTTGACCAATACCTGTCCCAGACATTTGGAAGGCTTGTGTGTACTAACTTCTCGTAGTCGGTAAACATCGCTCCAATGGGATCGTTGTCTTGATTTCATTCTGCTGTGCACTTGGCGCGGTGTTCTTGATTGTCATCGCCGGGGTGATTTTCAATAAGATCCAGCGACGCCGTCAAGGCTACATGCCGGGACCGCAGGCGTACGGGACCGATCGGCCGTCCAGCATGCGGCGACTACCTCCGGAGTACCTGTTTAGCACTCTGAAATCACCAAACCCGGGCACCCCGGCGATATGAACGCCTGAACATCGTATCTAAATTGGGATTTGATTTGGACATGTCAGAACGGCGTTGGGAAGAAAACCGTCTTATACCCGTAATCTAATTCGTTTTATCTGCTTTACATCTCTCTCTGCTATTCTTGTGGCCGGGAGTTACCCCTGGCGCTTTCTTCTGCCTCGGGGCCATCCTTTTAGTGTGTTTGTTCATCTACGTTTGACCGGATAAGGACTTGTGGATAGATCTCCTTGGCGGTCCCGTCGTATCTTTTATGAGCTGTTTTGTTGTTATTGATGTGTGTACTGTACTATAGTCCTGGACCCGGGAGGCTTTTACCCTGTTTCGAAGGGTTGCTCGGCGGACATGTACATAACTTGCGCGAGGTCGCGGTAACGACCATAATGTTAAGTAGTGATCTTCTTTTCTTTCTCTTTTCCTCTTTTTCTCTGAATTCTTTCTTTTTTCCCTCCCAAGACCAGCTGGAGCTACTAAGAGTGGATCTTTCTTGACCGTTGGCTGTAGTGTGAGATGGTATTGGTGGGAAGACGCACAGTCATGACAACCGTGCTCATGATCTTAAATTAACCCACCATGCCATGGCCGATCGGTGAGGTCATGCTGCATACACCAATTGTTGGGGGCTATTTCCAGTACTAGTTGTAGTAAGTGAACCCGGAGAACAAGCCGATTAAGCGAAACGAACACGAATGGTAAAATCCGAGGGTTGGTACGACAGCGGTCAGGCCATAGTGGAATCATAAGTCGGTGGGAAAGGGAAGGGGGAAAGGGAAAAAGTAAAGGTCGAAATTCAAAGATGGAGCAGGTGAGTGGCTCTCCGAATCTAATTTAATTACTTACACAAGCAAACACAAAGAACTGACTGGGATGTATGTTCTGTACCCGGGTATGTACATGCATACCGCAGAATAGTAGTAATAGTGTACGTCTGTATGACTGTCCATACGGTGGTGGTGGTAGGTAAGCAATTAATTCCCCAGCCAACAAAACCCCAGAACCTCTCCCCGCAAGGACAACACGAATAAGACCGGAGGAACACTATCTCCGCCCTTCCTGCCCATCTGACTCGCTGGGTTGGTTTTTGTTTAAACCCATTCCTGCCTAGCCTGGACCCCAATTTGGCCCTCAATGGCTCATCCCATCATTTCAATCCCCGCTTTCTCTCTCTTTTTTTTCAATGAATCCTTTCCTTTCCGCTTCGCTTGTCGCCAAGTCGCAAACAAAAATTCCGTTACGGAATGACTCTCCTTTTTTGGCTTTCTGCGACCCTTTGCCGGCCGTCGATTCTCCCGTCCTTCTTTCCCAACTTCCCTCGCCTCTGTTTCCCTCCCCTGCGCATCCCTTTCAGATTGATATCCCCTTTCCGACCTAGTATCTATTCCCTTAGATCGGTTTGGGACTAGTTACTTTGTTCGATCAACCGACCCTTTTTTACCCCAGTTATCTTATTGGTCCACACCCGCTATTCGGATGCTGCACCTTAACCGTCAACCTTAGCATCCGGTATGCGATCCCGCACAGGCTGGTACGTTATCCCCAATATACCCTATCCTCTTCGATTACTTGAGAGACGACGACGGAAAACCTACTACGACTTCTACTGTGCCTACGCAACCATGTCGCCTCCCACCCGTCTTTCTCTTTTTTTTTCCTTTCTTCCTTTTTTTTTTTTTTTTTTTTTTTTTTTTTCTCTTTTCCTTTCCTTTTTTGCGGTTCCGACGGAGGGAAAAGAATGATCAGCGACTGACTTTGTCCCGGTGCCGTGCAGTTTGACGTGTCGTACTCGAAAATTAAAGTGTACGTTTTTCCGCGCCTCATAGCCATCCCGTTGATGATTATTGAAGACGAAAGACTAAGAGAAAGTCATGGATAGGTGATGAGCAAAAGCCTGAGTGTTCGCAGTGTCGCAAAGGCGGCCGGGAATGCCGCCCGAGTGAAGGGATCGTTTTCCGTCATCAGCAAAATGCCTCGATGAATAAGGACCTCGACGATCCTACGGGTGGGCGGGGAACCCTGAAAGGCTTCTACTCGTACAAGAACACCTTTGATGAAGATAGCGTATGGCTGGATATTCCGAAACATGGTACGAGCAACCCCCTCCGGCTAGTGGAGAGTGGACCTGCCGATTATGCGCACAGCGCTGCGTCAGAGAGAGTGTCTGACTGATGGCCCGTTTTTCTTTAGTGATCTTTGTCGACAACTCGGACCCATATGTAGAAGACCTCGAGGCGGCCTTAGGGGAATCTGAGGCTGCTCTCCTCGCCGCCAATGCACAGAATCGAGAGTGGAGCGACCACCGGACCTTATCGGTGGACGGAGAGACCCCTGGCCTGAAAGCGCCATCCGCTGCGGCCGTCCACGACCGATTACCCTATACTCCCCTATCCATCGACCCGCAGCCTCTGCCAACTCCCGATAGTGGCGTATCGTTCAATGCATCGACTGTGACTACTGGCCCCTCTCCGAATCAGGCGTGCAATGTGATCCCGGGCCAACCATCTCCATCAGTCTCTATGTCGCCTTCTAACAGCACCAATAATAATATCAACTTCCTTCTTAATCCTTCTCAGTCGCTTTCCCCACAAATGGACCCTAATATGCAGCATGCAACGGCGCGTAGAAGCTCTTCACTGACATCGAGGTCGATCGCCTCGCGAGCCGCGGGTGCTGGTGATCCCAAGTCCGATGTACCGGTGGAGACAGACCATGAAATTATGTTTCTTCTTAGACATTTCTCCGAGTCGCCGGGGCTTTGGTAAGTCCGGGAGGGATTGCCCTATCTTGTGCGACGACCATTAATATATATATATTAGGATGGATTTGTTTGATCTAGGAACGTATTTCGCATCATACGTCCCGGTAAAGGCGCGGACAAATCCCCTACTGAGATACGCCGCCTGTGCGTACGCCGCGAAGCAGTTGGGCCGCGTCAAAAAGACGAATCCCACGGCCTGCGAGGCCTTCACGCTGGCTCTCATGAGACGATGGCCGGAGGCGAAAAACGTAGACTGGATCTGGCGTGGCGCCAAGTATTATGAGAAAGCGATCCAACTTCTCATGAAGGAATTGCAGCCCAACAAAGGTCCCCCACCCCTAAGCACCCCCGAAGCATTTGGTCAGTGGCAGGCGGCGGAGCTAAGTGAAGGCAACGATCCTAATAACCCACGAAAGCGTAGAAGGCGTTACTCAGAGAGCCGATTTTCAAATGGGGTTCGCTCGGACGAAGTTCTTGCTGCAACGGCCATTCTGTCGGTGTATGAGTTTCTCGATGCTACGGGTCCCGCATGGAATCGACATCTGAGTGGCGTCAAATCCTTGTTGGATGTGGCAGAGGTTGGCATGATGCCCCTTGAGCAACACCCTTCTCCTGGAGAAGCCCTACCACAACCATTGAAGAGACCCGGTCTCTCTAAGGCGAGAAGAGCCACATTTTGGAATTTTGCTCGGCAAGATTATCTGGCTGCTTGTAAGTATATCGAGTGATCCTCTGTGATGTTGAGATGCTGACCAGAATGTTGTAGTCATCAATGAATGTAACACGAGGTTGAATACCGATGACCTGGTACTCTGGACTGAAGCTGGCCTTCAAATAGATAATATGGGCTTCATAGTTCCTAGTAATACATACGCACCTGGTTACCCTGAAGGCGAGGATGCGATGAAAGAAGATCTTATCGGAAATGGCCTCATATGGATTCTTTCCAAAATTATCAATTTCATCAGCGCGGGTGATAAGGTACAGTTGGAGACCGGCCCGGTCAACACGGGCCCTCTGGGCCTCTCACAGCAGGTTCTGCTTGAGCGATGGTATCGCCTGGAAACCGAGCTAGACGTTTGGTACAACGGCCTCCCAGACACCTTCCGGCCCTGTGCCCGGCTGGAGCACCCTTTGCGCCAAGATGGCGATGGTGACAGCGGCTCTTTGTCAGAGATCTGGTACAGTATTCCCGTGTGCTCGTCAGCTATGCAACATTACCACATGGCCCGTATTCTTCTTCTCATCAATAAGCCGCATGAGTCCACGAGTATGCGGAGTACGATCTCCAACAGACTCAATTCATATCGTTCCATCGAGAGCGAGATCCGATTTCATAGTCGTGAAATTGTAGGCATCTCAATGGCTCACCCGGAAGGCTCGGTGCGAATCAACTCTCTTCAGCCGTTGTTTGTTAGCGGCCAATGTCTCACCGACCCTGGCGAACGCCAGATGGCCCTGCAATTGTTGCGAGGCATTGAGCTTGACCTTGGCTGGGCGACCGAGTATCGCGTAAAGCAACTACTCCGGGAGTGGGGTTGGAACGAGCAACCTGATGTTGGAGTTCCTTGATATCCCCTTGGCTCTTGTTGCTCATTCAATCTCCAGCTCTATCGAGACCCAAGAGGGGTTGCGAGCCTTGGGTATTATCGATCGGGCCCTGCGCTGCCACTGATCACAATTGATGATCATATATGCGGCTTTAGATCGGTCGTCCACCGACAACACCCCGCCCGGCCGTCTATCTGGATGATGCTTGTTAGGGCATAATCGGGACGACTACGACCGCGTCCGCCCTCGGGGGTGATGCCAAGGCTACTTTCACGTCAGTGTGATCGCCTTAAATGTTAATGTCGATGATTCCATGATACCACTGTATATGTATATCTGCGTTAATTTTCGTCCTGATTCGTTTGTGTTTGGGTCGTGCGTTTTGGATGAATCCCCTGGCATGAGACCAAGAGTGAATAATGATATCCCTCCTTTCTTCCGTTCCTTTTTATCAGTTTTTGAGACTGTTTTATGTTGTTAGTGATGTCTGTTCGGGTGGAGCCCCATTAATTCCCCTCAGGTGTTAAGAAATGGACAGATGAGTCGCAAACTGTATATATTAGCATTGAAGCATTTGGCAGCAATAGATGAAGAGAGAAAGTCAAGATTTTCCATCGAGAAGAAAATCTGTCGGGACCCTCTTTTTTTTTTTTTTGAAAAAAAAAGTATTTTTCGTTACTCAAACGGCCGCCGTGCATGATCTTCATAATTGAGACTGGGGGGTTCTATGACCGGTTTTTGTTGTCTTTGAACTCGGCTGAGTTGCCTGAGGATCATCAAATCACACGTGCTCTGATACCGTTTAAGTTTCCACGCCAATAACTTGGCATTAGCCCTATCCAACGGGAATGAATAGACTCTCTCGGCTTTTCTCCCAGATCTCTGTGAGATGTGTTGGATTATGCCGGCGAGGAAACTTTTTTCTCGCCCACTGATAGGGGTTTCATAGCGTCGAAGCGTTTATGCACTAACCTCGGCCTTATCGTCATCTCGAGCCTGCTGCAGAACAACATCTCTCATTTCCATGGAAGGTCTTCCGATCAGTGCCCCGCCACCTTGCCCTGACCGAAAAATTTGGTTCTGCTTCTGGTTCTGTTGACTGCATATCGTCATTAACCCACACTGATCTTCAGGATCGTGAGGATCTTCCTTAATTCCCTCCCGTTTCGGGCGGCTAGGCGGGTTTCCCCATCCGATCATCCCAGTTTCACTGTTCCTCGAACTTGACGAGTTTGACTCAACGTCCAGGAAAGTAACCCGATTGAGGGAATCTTTCTTGAGACCGCGGCTGTGTGTTTCCCCGATGCAACGGAAACTGCTCTGCAAGTGTATGAGACTAATCGAGCCCGACCGCTGGGGTTGCGATCCTCTGTCCCCTGTCGGACATGGACACAGCTAAGGAACTTGAAGGGGCTGATTTGCGGGTGAGATTTGCCAATATATGAGGCACCGGATCCCAGCGGACGAAAGCGCACACAAGTTGTGCTTGTTTCCACAATTTTCCTGCTTGTTGGGGCTGTCGGTCTAACCACCCTGAGGTTCCTTGTTCGTCTGCAGAAGTACCCACAGGTGGGCCTTGAGGCCATTGCAACCGAGGATGTAAGAGATGTGGAGTGTGACGTATGTTGACAATCTGTGCATTGAATACTGTGTACTCCTGAGAAAGCGAGCACCTACCTACATGTGTTCGAATGATGCTGAGTGCTCAAATTTACATTGCTTTCTCCGTATCCCCGACTGAAGTGAAGCTCTCCGTAACCCGCACGGAAATTATGCGAAAATTAATGGCGTCCTGTCGGCCTGGTGCACATCCGTCCCATTCGATCCCCACTGGTAAATGCCTGATGGGGCTTCTGCCTCTAGTATATGAGTTGTCACGATTGATCCTCGGCTACCTTACCCAGCCCATGGCGGATCTGGGGGTGGCTTACGGCTATCCTATGGGTCGCCGGCCCTCCACCAGATGACGATCCTCAGTGACGAAACTTCAACCGTCTACACAGTAAACCGAATAGCTCGTTCAGCTGATGTCTGAGAATCTACCCTGCTCATAAGTCATCCGTATCTTCAGCATCGTGTGAATTAAGATATCAGTCTACAGAAAGCTATCTTCAATACGGGTGTTGTCGACAGTCTAAACTTTTAGATAAGCTATGGGGGCCAATTTTCGCTTTTGTGGCCCTGGAAACTCTAAGAGTTCCGTTCCATTTAATGAGATTTAGGGCTAGATAATAGACGACAATGAATGTTTCCTGCATAACCTTTCTTGCAATTTTTGAATACTTGAAGATGGTATTCAGGGCGAAGCGGATGTACCGAGCTGGGGATTAATACCATTATGATCGGCATGGGAGAAGTTGTGCGCTATGGGCTCGTAAGTATGTCTTTTAATTATTAACAGAGCTGTTCTATTAACAGCTACACACAGATGTCGTGACTAGAAATTTATTGGCGAAGATTGAGTAAGGAGAATTCTAGAAGCTGGGGATCCAATTTCTCGAGGGGGACTAAAATTGCAGTAATCTTTAATACGCTTTTCCTGTTCAATAGATATAGAGCAGAGGTACAACTGACTACTGGAATGGCTCTGCTGAATCTAACCTGTCGCGGGGACTACAAAATGCAGTGTAGAAGCACAGCCGTTCGTGCCTTGTTACACATTAATGCCGTCTATGAAGCCTTATAGTTCAGAATCTAGTAATATGCACTCTGCCTTCGAGGGGGTAAGATGGCAAAATAGCCCAGGGGAGACTGAAATTGCAGTACGGTAAGTCATCGACCGTAAATTGCGAGGCTGAAAGCTGCACTACGCCTCCGACATAGAAACTGACCTGGATTCGTCTGCTTTGGTACTGTAGTTGATCTCTTGTAATATTACCATATTACTGGATGGTCTCTTTAAATTCCATCTCTATTTAGCAGTTCTGGACTGTACAGGCTGGAAATCTAACACCCTAGGTATTGATCTGTATCCACCGGCCGGTCGAATCGGCTTACTTTGAGATATAGCTTATAGCAGAGACTTAAAATGTAGTTGGTGTCCTTTATCAACATATTATACCAATTTGTAAAGTATGGTACGAAGCATGTATTATAATCCAAGTTTAAGTTATATAGAATTACTATTTTATATGCAAGAAAAGCTGACACTGTCTCTAGGGAACATAAATCGCATTGCTAGACACCAATGGGCAAGGATGTAGTCGAAGCTCGAAGTGATGGTGGTGGCTTCGTGGCTGATGGTGCTAGCTGAACTAGGAAAGCAAATAAATTTGTTTTCTATACTAGCTGGCTGCCTGGTAAACCACCTTTTCCTTTCCTTTCTTTTCTTGTAGTTCTATTTTTGGGTCAAGCAGCTCAGCCTTCTGACTGAACAAAAATAGCCAATGATGTCTGACCAAGTCAGGAAGTAATTCCATGGAAGCAATAGGTGTACATCGTAAATTGGCGCTTCATTCCTGGAGTTGTCTCTGTAGTGGTATCGTTTGTGACGCCTGTGTATAAGGCCCCTCTGCTGACCATGATAAACCTCAGGGATTGACCGAGAGCGGCTGATGAGCATTCGAAAGCGATGGTTGCTCTAGGTAAGGAGAAACTCAACCAGGAGTAGGGAATCAGCGTAAGCTAACAATGCCTCTGGTGGGACTAGATTTGCAGTGCTGATGATGGCACGTCACGGTGAGGCTCACCGAGGCATATCCGATTCTTGACTGAATTGGTCTGCCATGGAATTGTAACTGATACATATTAGACGCTCTCTCCAAAGCCCATGTCTCTATTGACCAGGTCTATTCTTCAGGCTAGGTATCATAGGCGTATGAAGCGGCTTATTTTGGGCGAGTATATCCAAAGCCAGCGATTGTCTGATAGCAGTAGCAGAGTTAGGCATCTTGTATCTGGGGAGAATTATTTGTTACACTGACTGGTCTGTATACTATAGAGGTAGCCTATAATTGCTTAGAAGACATAAACCTAATATCAAGCTTGTAATATACAAGGGATAACTTCTCCCAATAGAGGGAATCTACTAGAGCTAGTCTTTTATTTGTGCATAACTTGTCTAGCAGACATAATTACAAACGGGACCTCAAGTCGTAGTCGTACTTTGTATGTACTGTACGCATGCAGATGCTTGAGCAAGAGTGAGAAGCGCACGCACCGCAAGCCCAAGGTGCCGCGAATTGGTACAGCTCTAGAGCTGACACTGTTTCGAGGGGGCTCAAATTGCAGTGCAATCACGCGGGCTGTTCCAGACCTACGACGCTCCCTGTTGGACCAATAGTTAGCTAGGAAGAGATATGGCTGATGTAGAGGTTGACTTGTCAAGATAGCCGTCCCTCGCATTCCGCGATATTATATACACGAAATTAAATGCGGGTGCGCCTGTGACGACGCCGTCGAAGTCATGAGGGTATTTCTGAGTGGATTCGAAACGCTGACGGCCACCTGTAGAACAACCAAGATGATAAGGTTTGTTGAGTCCCTGTTCATAAAAGAGCTTCGTGAGCTGTTTCCCGACCACAACTCCAGTATGATTTGAACCATAAGCAAAATCTTTGTTAACATCGGGGTTATGGTAGAAAGGTTCACCAGACGTTCCATTGTTCCCATTATTTGCTCCTACTGTTGCGAATCCCAAGCCAGAAGTATAAGCAAGATCATAATACTGAATACCTAAAAATAGTCAATATTGTTTCACATGGGGAGAGTTATAGATACCCAGCAGAACATACATCCAGAATGGCCGCTGTTGTGATCTCAGGAGAAAGATGGGCAGAATGATGCTGTATCAGCTACACGTACGTAGCCTACTGAGGACCGGATGCCATTCGGATAGATACTCAATTCTATGGACGACTATATCAACTATCTTGAGCGCTTTTTCTCTTCAATCAACTACTTAATGGGTAAAGCCTTCAGGGGCTGAAGGAGTGGGTGATCCGGCCAAGCCGCTAGGCAATCACATGTCTCCTATAGATTCATATCACTCTCCTTCGTTCAATACCCCGAAATGAATGAAATGAAGCTATTATAGCTTCCTAAATAGGAAATAAAGCAAAAATATAGAACTGGTATATAGGGGTGTTAAACACCTTTATCTTATTAGTCTGAGGATCTTGATGTTATATTATAGAACCTTATTTCAACTCCAGCTACAGTATTCTGATCAATTACTTTAAGCTATCAGCCTTAATTGCCTTGGTCAGCCTATCTGCAGCCATCTCAGATGTAGGGACGTAGAACGGTTTGATATTGCCATACTTAATGAAATCATAAATAGCATAATATCGTACATGTATGTGCTTACTGTGTAGGTGATTGACTGGGTTAGATACTAACACCAAAGCACCTTGATTGTTGATTCCCAATCAGGTTGGTAATTCGCTGTCAATCCCTATATTGGTTGGCTCTTTGGGACACTTCTGGATAGCTGCTAGGAAATATCTGATCCAGATAGCCTGCTTTGATGCCTCTGCAGCTGTGATATATTCCGCTTCAGTAGTAGACATAGCAGTGATAGATTACTTCCTGCTACACTAACTAATCAGTCTGCCTGCCATCATGAATACATAAGCACTTGTTGAGCGATAGTTTGTAGTATTCCTGTATAATAAATCTGAATAGTCCACTAGCTCATCACTCTTCTTTACACTGTACATGATGCCATAGATAATGATTTCCTTAACATAGCACAAGAGTTATTTTGAAGCTCTGAGATAAACATCTTAAGGATCTGCAAGATACTGACTTAATCAGTTAACAGTAAACTATATATCCAGTCTAGTATCACCAGCAAGATATATAAATTATCTGATAATCTTCCTGAACTTACTATATAGATCACGGGTAAGCTTCCTAGATAATCTATTATCCAGATTAATACTAGGGCTAAGTGGAATAGCTTGGAATATTAATTCAGTTATTCTAAATTCTTCTAAAATAGATTATATATAGAACTCTTGGTTGAGCTGTATAGAGCCCTTATTCCAGATAATCTATATTTCCAGTATCTTTTGGGCAAGTTCTTGGTCCTTTATAGGGTAAAAGTGCTTCAATTAATCCTTTATAGACTTAATATCTTTAGTATCCTTGCCAAAGATAAGGATATTATCTATATAGAGCGCTATAATGACTCCCTGGTCATTAATAAAGACTCCAGGATCTGCAGTGCTTTATCTGAATCTAATTAAGGTAATATATCTCTTGACCTTCTGATTCCAGAGATAGGCTGATTGTCAGAGACTGTACAATGACTGTAGGATCTTATATATATTATTTTGATTATGGGAACTGGGACTAATACCTTCCGGGATCTCTATATAGATCTGCTTATTAATTCTTGATCTAATATAGGCATTTGTTATATCAAGTAAATATACTTTTAGACTATAGGTTACTGCTAAAGCAAATAGGATTCAGAGACTTTCTAATCAGATAACTGGAATAAATATATCTTTATAGTCTAATCCTTCCTGTTAAGAGAAGTCTTGTGCCATTAGTCAAGCTTTAAATCAATCGATTTATCTGTTAGCTGAGTATTTAATATTAAAAACCTATTTAGTTAATACCACAGCTTAATCTTTAGGTCTTTTGATATATCTCCAGGTTCCAAATTAAATTAGATTATTCAGCTTCAGCTTGATTACTTCTTTTTATTTAGCTCTATAAGTGGGATTATTAACTGCCTCTTTATAAGTCTTTAGAATAGAGATAGTATGTCTATTAAACTTCTCATTAGCTTTGGCCTTAAAAGTATCCTGATCACTGAGGTAAAGCTCTAGTACTATAGCTAAATTAGTTACTTTATTAATTCACTGCTGCTCTACAGTAAGCTATAGAGAAGGATCCTTATCTGTCTCCCTCTCTTCTCTACAGTGCTGGGCTCGTGGCTTTTGCCTATATATAGCCTCTGTCTGTTTTGACTTAATAACTGCCTGAGTAGGCTTTTAAATTCGGCTTGGTTATGGTGTATCAGAGGATTTAATTGATATCGGGAATGGTGGTGGTGAAATTGGCCTTATTAGGCTTAGTTAAATAGGTCTGTCAGATCGGCTTATCAGTGATTTAATCTCTGGATCCTGATTAGTTAAATCAGAACTCTGACTGTCTTCAGATCTTATTCTGCTGCTTTCAACTTCAGTTTCATTATCAATATCACGCTCACTAACAGTACCTCCAGCGCTTATATTGACTACACTGTTAATACTTCTATCTTTATTACTTACACTATTTCCTGCACTCTCTATAGGCACCTCAATAATGCCTTCCCCAGTTCCTATACTAGGAATCTCTAAATTTCTTTAAATTACAGGTTTATCCCTGATATCTTGAACTCCTGGTTCCTTACTAATAAAACCTTGCTTATTTTCAAGGAATATAGAATTTATTACCCAGTAGATCTTTTAATCTTTCTTTGCCATGACCAGATAATGATTTTTACTTAATTTATATCCTATAAATACTTCCTTAATAGCTTATAACTCTATCTTATTATTAGTTTTTCTATGGAACCATACTCTAGAGAACAGAATTTAAAGCTTTAATATATCTAGAAAATATCTTATCTATATCTTAAAGAGTGTTTTCTTGGTATCTTGCACCCGGACTGTTTAATTTCTAAGATAGATGGCTATTCTAATTATATACAGCCAATACTTCTTAGGAATATTTATATCTATTAGAATTACTTATGTTATCTCTAGAAGATATCTATTTAATCTCTCAGCCATACTATTCTGCTGAAATATATCAGACTCTATAAATTTAATTATAATGTCTTTCTTTAAGATTCATAGCTTTAATACTTTGAATTCCTTTGCATTGTTAGTCTGAATGACAAGCAGTTTAATACCTTTCTTATATTCTGCCTAAGCTAACCATTTCTCTAAGATAGCTCTTACTGTAGCAGCTTTCTAATTCTTTATTAGATAGATCTATGAGAACTGTATACAGTTATTAGTCAGGGAGAGATAGTATCTCTACTTCTTATAAGTCTTTGCCTTACTATATAGATTCTAAAAATCTATATAGACTCGCTTCAAGGGCCTTAATGCCCTAGGGACTGTCTGATAGTTCTGTTTCTTTATACTCTTTGCCTGTATATATATCTTACAGGTCTTCAGTTTCTCTATTACTTCTTTCTCAGGAATAAGTCCCATTCTCTTTACTATATACTTAAACCTGGCCTTTTCTGGATAGCCTAATCATTAATAAAGTAGTTCCTAATCTATCTACTTTACAAGCCTTACAGATTCTCTTTCTGACTTCTCAAGTCTCATGACTAATATATTCTTACTTTCTACCTAATTTAGATAGCTTATATAATTAATATTATATTCTTTTGCTAGAATATCTTCTCTTCTCTTAAAGAATCGGTATTTCTTTCTTATATACTTATTCTATATACCCGTATTCTGCAGTACTTGGATTAATAGGAGAGTCTGTCTTATCCTAGGCATGTATAATATATTTAAAATCTTTATTACTTTCCTACTGCTCAATGAGATTCTTATTATATCTCTACCGGTAATTTCTATAGATTTCCCAGCTGTTCCTAAGCTGTCTCTATATCTCTGATCTAATGACTTAAATAGATTAATCTTGCCGCTGCAGGTGCTTGTTACTCTGCTGTCAATAATAGGATTATTGCTCTTCTTTATTCAGTAGGCTTTTTCATTGCTTTTATCTCTAAGTAAGTGTTCAAATCAATTACTGATTTATTCTTTTAATTAAACTCAGTAGGTACTTTTATATGCTCTATATGCTCTTTTTCTATAAACTTAATGAGTACTATCACTGGCAGAACTCCTGTTGCTATCACTTAAGCTACTATTAATATCAGATCCTTTATTTACTGTACAGGCCTTGTCTCTCTGATATTCTCTATAGTCTCTATAGCTTCTGCGTCACTTATCTCTGCTCTTTCTCTATAATTTCTCTTTAAATCTTAGTTCTTTTATCTATTTGTTTTATCTTGCTCCTGATCTCTCTTAGAAGCCTTACAGTCTCTTGCAAAGTGACCTATCTTACTATAATTAAAGCATGTCCTCTGCTTCACGCGATTTACAGTCTCTTCAATATTTCTAGTCTCTTTAGCAGTTTCTATCATGCTCTCTTGCTGCTGAAGATATGACAATACTACTCTACAGGTCAGATTCTCCTGTGCTAGAAGTGAAAACTTTATAGAATTATATCCTGATAGTAATCTATCCAGGAAGAAGATAATAATAATTATACTATTAAACTTCACCTTTTTGCTGCTAATATCTTCTAACTCTGTATAGTATTGATCCAGTTACTATATTGTCTTCTCAAGGCTTATCTTTAGATCCATTTGCCAACATATCATCTTTCTGATTGTATTGGTGATATTAACTTAAGATCTTCTTTCATACTTCTCGAGCAGGTATGCCCACATGTCCCTGGATAATCTTAGGCTCTATACTGAAGCTTTATTCTCTTGCTTCAGGTTCTGCAGAATATAGAGCTTGGCAGTTGTATCAGATATTTTCTATCCTGGATTCTCCAATAGTCTTATGACCCTTGCTGTATTTCCTCGCCAATTATATATATGCTTTACTACCCTCCAGTAATCTTGTATCTCCAGGAAGATCTTATACTGTGCCTTCCAGCTGCTTACATTTGTCCGGTCCAGCTTCTCTATACTGAATATGGCAAGCTTCTGCAGTGTCACTGCTATATAGGCAGGAATCTCTGATTCTTCCAGCATCGCGGATATCAATTCTCCCTGTAACTGTCTATTAGGGTCTTCCTCAGGCGTCTCTACCCTCCCTAGGGATCCACCTGGCAATATCTCTATCAATTCAGATCTCAGATCAATTATCTTAACTGTCTTGTCTGTCTCGGCCGTCTTGTTTACGGTTGCCTCATCCGTCTTAGTTAGCTCAGGTGTCTCCAGCGTCTCCAGCAGGTCTTCTTATCAATTATCGGTCTTGAATGTCCCTGGCACTATACTCAGCTCTCGGGTGTTCTCACGGCTCAATATATATCTCCCTGTTCTAGGATCTTGCTCACGCGGCATCCAACCTATTCAGCTTTCAAGACATAGTGGTTCGATAGCCTGATCAGGGGTAGATAGGCAGGTTGTACGGGCCTGGCTATCTTCAACAAGATCAAGGATCAACACGCTGCGTACAGCTTCAAATCTGCTGGATTAGGCAAGGTAGTTGGTCTTACGTAATCCCCCAAGGTGCTAGGCCTGTTGGTCAGACACGACATAGCAGCCCGGGCTCATAACCTATGTTGTGATCTCAGGAGAAAGATGGGCAGAATGATGCTGTATCAGCTACACATACATAGCCTACTGAGGACCGGATGCCATTCAGATAGATACTCAATTCTATGGACGACTATATCAACTATCTTGAGCGCTTTTTCTCTTCAATCAACTACTTAATGGGTAAAGCCTTCAGGGGCTGAAGGAGTGGGTGATCCGGCCAAGCCGCTAGGCGATCACGTGTCTCCTATAGATTCATATCAGCCGCCATTGCCAGTACTTAAAAAGCGGCCGTTGTAGTCACGTGGGAGCCAGGCTTTTAAAGTGTTTTCGTCGAAGTTTGAGGTTGCGACACTCATTGTGACTCGACATAAGTCCAGTCACCGGTTGAAAACTAGAGCCACAGCTAGGTGCGTTATCCACGAGGGAGAGGTTCGTGCTGCCCGCCTGACGAAATTTACATTAACATCAGGCAGATGGGCATTGTGAGCAAAGTTAGTACATTTATCTTGGAAACTCTCCACGTGCGAGGACGCCGAAACCAAACGTGAATATGGGCGCAATAAGGCGGATATTGACCATTGTGATTGTGGTATCTCGGTCTTGCTGTAGTCAGCTCAAAAGTTCATCCTGCTCTCTGAGAACCCCGTCAAGCTATATAATCATTCTAGTTGCCTAGACTTGCAGTGGGTGTCATTCCAACAGATCTTCCTATGTGAAGTACGTGCTGGGATCAGGAACTGTGGGATAGGGTCCTGTGGAACTCATTGTGGCTTCTCCGAAATAACACCGGAGATTGTTCAGGGCCAGGAGACGTGCAGTTAAGAAGCAGCTTGGATACGGAGTGCTGCAGGGATCAGCTCTGGATCATCACCCGCCTCCACCATTGGGAAAGCAGGGTCTTGTCTTTCAAGGCTTAATCCTCCACTGACTGCTACTTCTCCCCTCTCTCCTCCTTTTGACAATCACGGCGGCATAAAGACGTAATCCCCCGACGCAATTCTCCACAGCTCGTTGATTATCTGTTTTACACTTCTGTTCAACGAGACCAGAAGAGGGAAAACTACGGTACTTCGGGGCTGGACTCTGAATTCTACTTTCTATGGGCCCTATGTACTAATGACTTCCACAACCAAGCTCCAAAGTAGCCTTGATAGGACCACACTGTAGCGTAAAGACTGCTGGGTCATGCACAAAGATGGAACTCACTGCGCTAAATAATGACCTAATGCAGGAGGACAATGTTGCTTAGGTAGGGAAGCATCATCAAAACTGGGTCGTCTTACCAACCAATGGTGGACTAGCTAGATGACACTAGACGGCCTGTCAGCATTTCATAGTGAAACCGGAGAAGCTTAAGTCCCCGGCGGAATGCAATCCTCGTCTTTGTAGACCGCGTTAATGTACCTATGAACTCACTCGGTACATGGCTAAATGGAAACCGCGGCATGCTCGTGGGCTCTAGCTGTGCGGTTTCAAGTTGTCAGAACACTTTTTATCTGACCTCTACCTTAAACTGAGCTCGCCTGGAAGAGACCTACTGCAGCCCAATTGCATCCTATCATACGCGCCATACTATATCATGCTGGCTACTTCTTTGGACGTCCCAGCTGACCCGGCTCCTAGTTGGAAAGCCACATCTCCCACTCTGCCCTCTTCTTTCCGGCAACCAGTCTCACGTCTCTGCTCTGCTTGTGATGCTTGTCGCCGGTCTCGTGCCAAGTGCAGCGGAAGCAGGCCATGTCAACGCTGCGGAAATAATGGCACGCTCTGTCACTACAGCGTCTCTTTGCGGAATGGAAGATTGAAAGCAAATAGAGAACAGAACGCTTCTGCCCGATCACAACTATCTTTCAACGCTACTCCTACCCTCGACCCTGGAGACTCAAGTGACACAAACGTGGACAGGGGACTTAACTCAAGGTCTATTTATGGGCCTTACCATGGTAAGGAGATGGATGCAATCAATGCACATCAGACAGGGCCATTAATGTTTTTATAGCTCACATTTACTGGTGTCGTTGTCTTGGCCAATAATGTGGCTCGGGTCACTACTGACCCGATCATCCATGAAAAGCCCGCGACACTATATATTGAAGATCTGGTGGTCTGGGGGAACAAGATGCTCCAGATACAAGTCATACGACAACGCTTTCTTATCCTGCCGACAGAGAAATAACACCTATCAATCAATTCTGGCCTTAACGGACTGGAGAAAACTCGTTTAATATATTTCAAAAATATTTCCTACATCGAAAATAGATTGGCCAGTAGAAGCGAGAGCGTGTAGCATATGTATTTAGCTTGCCCCCCCAAAAGACGACTGTTATAGCCTGAACTTAGACCTTTGGCAGCAAGAACAACTAGTTTATATAAAATAGCGGTAACATAAATGGCGGAATAGGGTCAAGAAACGTGCGACTAGTGCACTAGCTTAATACTACTGGTAATCCCATGCTTCCCTTTCTTGTCTCATTCATGTTCCCTTCCTACCGGCCTTCCTAGATTAGTGTCAGTTGCTCAGGTGGATGTGAGCAGTTGAGCGGAGTATCCTCGGAAGAATGCAGGTTCATGGCATGCGGCGGGACCTTTGCTACTACAATGAATGGGCCAAACCCGTCCGTTGACCCTGGACGGGTTCCACTTTTCCATAGGGTGTCCTGTTGTTAAGTTGAAATAGTACCTTGTACAGTTCCAATTGCCCTCGACCTATAGTGCAGCTGCAATTGTGCTCCACCATACCCACCGGGAACTGGATGCAAACTAGCCTCAGACCCATAGGAAATAGAAGGGGCAAAATCGGCCTGACGGCCCTATATAAAACTTATAAAGGGATAAGAAGGCCTTAACGGCAACTCGCAGTGTTTCTTATCTATCTTTCGCAGACTCTCTTTTCCCGAAAGGAGCTATCAGTAAACAAAATGCATTTACGTTTGTAAATATGTATTCACTATAGCTCGACGATCCTATTGAACAATATGACATTATATTGGAAGATAAAATAAACACGCAGAGTATGAATCTACCATATTTAATCCTATATAGCTCTGGCCATAATTATACAATGGATTTGCTGTATGCTTGGCCATGCAGTTAAAGGCTGGCAAGCTCGAGGCATAGGTGAGGTTAGGGCCTCGTCGGAGCCCTTCACAGTACGTGGAAATATCTACGCCCCCTTATGATTACCTTACTCTATTGACGGTTTGCAGCCAGCGTTCTAAATATGCTGATATAGAACCGCGAAGAGAATCCGAAGATTTCGCTCATATGTAGTATGAGAACTTGAAAAACTGTCGAACTATGCTATTGCTAACCTGAAAGATGGCTCAACTGCGCGTTAACTAATGTCTCCAAGGCTCCTGCTATTCAGTTTATCATAGATATATCTCTCTTGTGGACACCATGTATGATGAACGTACTCGACCTGCGCTGGCAATTGTTGAGCCATTGGGTTTATAGGTGACCACTGATGTTCTGGCTAATATCTCGCCTTGATCTATCATAGTTATGAATGGAATTGAGTCCCTCAATGAAGAAATCTAAACAATGATACATCTGAGGTTGAAATCAGAACGCTGGCACAAGAAATAAGTTACAGTATAACATGACGTGGATACTACAATGGATGAAAGAGGTGATGACCAGTAGTGCCATATGCTGCTCCTTGCGACGCACCCAAGAAGGCCTTATACCTCTCTAAGAACGGATGATCTCCCCCGTGGAGGCTGCTTAGGAGGAGGAGAAAGTCCTTCGCCATTGCTGGACTGTCAATGGCAGCACCTGTCTCCGACGATCCCTTGAAGCCTTCAGGTTGCGAAACTCCTGGGTTTGAGACCGCCTCCACAGGGGACACTAATGGAGGTTTATGCTGGAAAGAACACTGGGCATTGGATAGCATACTGATTGCGCTGATAGCGATATCATACAACTTCTCAACCTACTTAAGTTAATGCAGTCAGTAGATTTCCAGCAACGTTTGACACAACTTACCATGCCTATGCCGTGTACTTCAATAGAGTCGGGGCGCAGTGACCGGCATAATCTGAGGGCATCCTTCGCAACTGACATACAGTAGTTGGAAGAAAGTTCATGGTGATCTGACATTGGTTTCACCAGTCCGTGGTTTAAGCATAGAATCCATACCCGATTTTGGAGCCACTTCTTTGTGATAAAGATATCGGCATATTGAGTTTCTCGCAGCTCGCTTGCAGGCCAGTTTATACGGCTGTCCCCCGTGTACGTCATATATTCAGACCAGATATAGGCTTTGCACCATTCAGACATACTGACATTGTTGAGATTCTTGAGGATAATCAAGGCCTTTTCTTCTGTAAGCGTGCCACAATAGCCGGAATCAATGCCGCATTGCCGATCCCAACATGTAACAAAATCTTCATCAACGTTCAAAAATAGTTGCATCAGAAGGACCAGGCCCAGTATTTCATTGGCATCCTTCTTTCTGCAAATGGTGATCCTGGATACAGGGACATGGTTTGTATTACCAATAAGGCTATGCATAGGGCGCATGATGAACGCGGGAGGACCCGTTATCAAATGCCTATATTGCAAAGTATATGCTCTGTTTTCCAATGTGGTCAGCAGAGGATAAACGGGTATTACTAGAAACCATTGCATTCTTACTCAACGGCACTCCATGGGTCGTACCTTTCAGTAATAAATAAAACCAAGTAGATTCGTAGACGCTGGCCCTTCTCATCATCTCTTGATAGATCGTGATGTGGGCTAGGGTCGTTTATGCCCAATGTGGCAGCGAGGTCCAACGCATCCTTCAGATAGGACCAGGCAGATTCATGTTCATTGATGCCGAAAAGGCTGCAAAAGAGGAAGAAGCTGGTTAAGACAGCTTCGATTGTCGGGTTTACCCAGGTGTTAGAAAGGGACCGCATTGTAATAGCTTCATGTATCATCAGTCTAGCCTGAGTCGCTCGGGACTGTAGAGTCGTTCGCTCGTATATCCCAACGGGCTGAGTGAGAGAGAAGGCAGTCAGTGACAACAGCATCGAGCCAAACTGGGGGTTTTGGCGATGCTCCTGGTATAGCATTTGGGTATATAGAGAGGATCGATTTAATACTGGTAGATCCGGCTGTAATCGATCAAAGAAAACATCAATCCATGGGACTATATGTGATTCAGGAACCGAAAAGGGCCATATATCTTTTTCACCGATCTCTGACACTGGTGTTAAAGTATTCCTTCCTTGCAGTGGGATGCCCAGTGGCTCCGAATGGTGCCATAACTGCGGGGTTGGCGTACCGATCCTGCTTTGGGTGCTCGGTGGAAGAGAAGATCTTAGATATGTCCCAGCGCCAGGTGTATTCGTTGTGGGAATCTGCGCCCCTGGACTGTCGGACTTCCAATACCCCATACCCCGGCAGAGAGAGAGCCTGACTGTTTGCGTTCGGTGAAGCGGCTCCTATTCGATAAGCTAAAGGTTGTGTCAAGGTACTGAAGTCTGGGTGGGCTTGAGGGCTGTTGTTTAAGCCTTGGGCTTGCAGCTGGTGGATTTGCGACTCTCGGCTGTTCGAACGATCAGTTATGATAATATCTTCGTAGTCATCCATCAATGTTGGATGGGGAACGGAACGGAGAGGTGGAAAACAAGATGATGGGGCGGCCCTGGACTGGATTAAAGACAGAAGGCTGAAATACATTAAGGAAAGACTCAACTTACAGCTCAGTCGGGCCGCGCTTCTCCTGGAGTTGCGAGAAGGTGCAGTTAAAGTCCACACGAAGGCAAATCCTGCGTGGTCGCGATAGGCTACACTGTACAGTATAAAATCATGTTAGCATGGCCATCCCTGGCTCTTGATTTTTGGCTCCAAGAGAAGAGTAAGGAGGGACAAATGCATAGATGGGATATTGATTGCCTTGATCTTTCGGATCCTGCACTGGTCGCAGGCCCTTTTCGCGGATCTCTTCCTTTGGGACTCCATCCGGTGGCTTCCGGCGACCGGAGTCGTCATGGGATATTCTCGGCGTGAGCAGTGGTAGCAGAGCAGAGAAACAGTGACGTTAATGGCAAGAATTGCTCGCGATGGACCACCCAAGTGCAAAATGATCGAGATCGTGGCCTCTTATAGGGTGCAGCCATGACAACTCGACGCAGTGATCATAGTTCTACCATTGTGTATATGTTCTCCGCGAGTTCCTAATGCGTTTGGTTGTACTCTAATTAACTGCTTTTCGACATTTTGGAGATCTGCAAAAGGTCCGCATAAGCTTTGGGGCTTGGGCATCCGACGGCACTCTACTCTTACCCCTGAATGGGATTTTCCGCTGACATCCCGACGATGGGGACGGCTTCAGTCGGTACAGCCCGTACTAGACTAGTCTTCATTTATGGAGCATTCGGCCAGCGGCATGGTTAATCACCTCGTAGCCAAGAGCATATCTTTACCGACACCCTAGGTTTGGTGTAGTGGACTAGGCTGAGTGGCCGGTCATATGTAGAGGCCCAAGGGTTGAGGATATCATAATGTGTTTCAGCCAGGTTACCGTGCCAAGATCAACCGTTTTCTGCCCACAATTGTCTAGTTTCTTTCATACCTCACCTCCAGGTCAAGTCAAAAACGGATGCCGTGGGTGGTGTGGTGTGGTAGATCTCCCTCGCTTGAGATCCTCTGATTATGATCATCCGCGCGAACGAATCAGGTCCCAGCCGGCGGATACGTTTTTAGACAACGAGAGTTGGCAAAGTCATTTCTAAGCCACACATACGTCGTTATCTTCCGGCTTCCTGGAGAAATTCTTAAGGGGGCGGTGGGCCTTGGGCTGCATGCAGGATTGCCTTGGTGCGTCCTCTGTACCGGTTGTGTCTTGGCGATTCGATTCTGTCCGAAAACTTACTCTGGTAAAGAAATGTATCTCGGCTTTTTAGTTTGTATGGCTCTTTTTATTTTAACTTATATCTTAATTCTACAACTGCTGCAACTTTTATAAAAGAGAGAAGTAATTAAAACTGTTACTTATACTTTCTCGTAAGAGTTAAAGAAGTTAAATAAATCCTAAATCTCTCTGTATTGCCCAAAAGAAATCTGAAGCTCAGGATATATTAATTGTAGAGATAGTATAACACTGACTAGCTTTTCATAAGAGTCTTCAAATATTAGTTACTCAGATATCCTTTAAAGATAACTGTCAAGAATATCTACTATTCAGGGTAGAAGACCTGTCAACTAGGTAAGGATACGTTGGCCGAAAGAGATAGGAAGATCAAAAGCAGGCAGTAGATACTATTCCAACAGGAGACTGATTCTTGCTCCCCTACTACTACTAACGATTCGCTAAATTATAGTCGAAGGCTCTACGCCTAAAGGGTTCAGAATTCCCATTGAAGACCAAACCGTTGCCTGGCCTGATGTTCGTCATCGGCGATCGATTGTCCATGCCCATGCACCTGGGCCAGGGTATCCTGTACGGTCATCAGGCCGAATCGCTATTCGATCTGTGACAATTTTTATAGACTAAATTTACTTCTCTTCTTACTTTCTTTGCTTGTTGTCGGTATAATGCTGTTACTAATTCTGCAGCAGCTGACAGAGCGTTTTTGTAGTTGAATCTATATTATATAAAAACTCAGAATTACCTTAAGACCCACCGCGTTGAGAAGTTGCTCTATATACAGATTAGCAAGAGACAGTTTCGCACAATCCCACCTATAATTACTCAAGGGATACTTATTAAGAAAGAAAATAAGGAAATTAAGAGAATTCTACAGTAATAGTATATACAGGATTACGTGTTAACTACTTTTGACAGTCTAGATTTAACAGCAAATTTAGTATTAAATTTAGCTATAGTCCCTACTGTTTCTACTATTCCGGTTGTCCCTACTGTCCCTACAGCTCCAAAAATTTCTTTATATTCCACGTCAAACCCTCCAGCAATTACAACTGCGATAGAGACAAATAGTGGGATTACACTTAGAAGCCATAATAAGAGAGGGAAGCGCCCATCCGAGTTAGCTTATGGTATTGCAGAGCACTCCCAGAAGCGAACTCGGTAGCAAGCAGATCCAAAAACCTAGGAATTTACACAAATTCTCCCCCCCAAGAGATAGATTTTTTGGCTTTAATCTTACTTTATATTTTATATTGTAGACCTGATTGTAATGACAGAACCGTTGTAGAGACTTTAACTAAATTAAAAAGGTGTTAAATCCTGAAGTAGCCTACCGGCCCTATCCTGTTTTTCCCTTTTTTGAAATTTCAATTACTAAATAACCCTAATAGACAAGCTATGTACATGCAGCGCAAATACCAGCGAGTTTGTCACAGTTTCTCTCTCTCCCTAACCTGGTAATTCAGAAACAGTCGCACGAATGGGGAGTTGGTGCCTCCCGTCCTGTCCATCTAAATCGTGTCTTTGTTAACGGCCGCTTCCTCATGGGGATCTTTGTGATAGCCGTAAAGGCTACGACTGTTATACTGAAGGTTATTGTAGATAGCACGAATGGCAGGTTTCACAGAGACTGGAGACAGTAATATCAAATGTTTACCAAGGTTTTCCTGCAGGGTGATCTTACTAGGTCTTACATGATTGTTTGCTAATCATCTGTCAAGAAATAGTCTAATTAAATAGGCCGTGCCGTATACAAGGCAATTAGGTAAGAATTGATCATGACCGTATAATCGATATGAAATTAATTGGCCAAGAAGTGACTAGAGCGCTGTAGATGTAGTTTGTTACTTTCCAGGAATAGTATAGATTAAATCGAATTTTCAGGTACAAAAGGGTCGGGAGATCGCAATGTCCTTGTACTCGATCTTTCCCACGCACTTGGGAGTCATATGTTAACAATGTTCATCCTTCGAAGCCTGAGCCTTGGGCTCTATGCCATGACTTTGACCATTATCACCCCAATACTAGCACTGCCTTATGCCCCAAGGACAACAGGCTCCCCCGTATCGGTCACGTTTCAGTTCAATAGGAACGGCACATGGCTTGAGAACCTTGCCGTCCGACCCAACGGAGAGCTCCTCGTCACCCGCCTCGATGTCCCCGAACTTTGGCTGGTCAACCCAGCCACCAACAACGCAAAAGAAGCCGGCTCACTACTATACAGCTTCCCGAACGCCACCAGCCTCCTCGGCATCACTGAAATAGACACCGATGTCTACGCAGTAGTCGTCGGCAATTTCTCTATCTCAACGGTCACCAGCACACAGGGCTCCTACTCCATCTGGAGCATTGACCTCTCCAGCTCAAAACCTACCGCGAAAGTCCTGGCCCCGATCCCGGAAGCCAAATTTCCCAATGGCATCGTGCGCTTTGGACAGGACCTCCTCCTCATCACCGACTCCGCCAAGGGCGTCATCTGGCGTCTGAGTCTGTCAACGGGAGAATTTTCGCAGGCCCTGTCTGACACAACAATGCTCCCTGCAGAGGGTCAGCCAAATGCTGTGGGAGTCAATGGAATTGATGTGCGCGGGAAATATGTTTATTACACAAGCACTACGCAGATGCTATACGCGCGGGTTCCTGTTGATGAGAAGGCGACTGCGACTGGGCCCGTCGAGATCATCGCTAGTAGCTTCACGCCAGACGACTTTATGCTGACACGTGATGGATCGGCGTATATCTCTACCAACCCGCAGAATGGGGTGGTGAAGGTTGACCCCCACGGCAGAGTGAAGCTGCTGGCTGGGAATGCATTTAAGATTGAGGTCGGGGGTTCCACTGCGGTTGCTAGTAGCAGAGATGGTTCAGTTCTCTATGTTACTACTAGTGGGGCGCAATTCTCGCCTATCTTGGGCAAGACGATTGAACCAGCTAAGGTTGTGGCTGTCCGTGTTTAGGGAAGTTGCATGTATACGGTATATGTGGTTATACGTGGTGGAATAGGCGGGGTTTGGGAGGATTATAGATCAACAAACGTAGATCGATGTCATCACAGAAATTGGAGGCTAATTTAAGGACGGGCTTGCATGGCAACTAGTACCAACGAGATAGAAAGGAATACGAGGTGGCTATCATCTAGTCCAAGTAGTTGTGGGCCATTTGTAATGATTTGTAAGAATTACTCTAAAGATGACTAGAATGTTTCATAATCGTGACAATCTGTGGATTAGGGTTAGACGTTAGCTCTTTCACCAAGCTATACCACATTGATTCGCATTGTATAGCAAGGAAATCAGAGAAGACCTCCTTCGAAATGCTTGATCCTGTGACAAAGATGGAGATCATATATGCTACTCGCTTACTTCTTCTGGGACAGAGCGAGAATAGCCTCGTTACCATATGCGGCAGCAACATCCTATAGAACGTTAGTATGGATTTGATCAAAAGAAGAAAATACCTCACCACAGTAGTCCGTTGCTTGTTATCCTCTTGAAACGGATCCAAACCCAACTCCATTAGATATTTAAAAGGGTCGACGTAACGCTCGTCGCCTGCAAAGATGGATGGGAAGCCAACATGGGAACACTGTAGCTTGGCTGCGACATGTAACAAGTTCTCGCCCTCATTATTCTGCGTAAATAGGTTTGCCCCACCCTCCAGGAAGCTTTTTATCACGGCGCCATCCGCTTTCCTACCGTACGATGAAACGGGAAGCGAGGTTTCATAAGACCCTGCGCCAACATAGCTGAATAATGGAGATTCGCCAGCCTTGTTCTTTGCGTTTATGTCTACTCCCAGGCGGAGGAAACTATCGATGATTGATGCTGTATGTCCTACACGATCCTTTTGTATAGCAATAGCGAGATGATGAAGCACAGGGTTGCCATCTGGTTCTACCTCTCGAGAATTTGCCCCTGCGCCCAGCAACGGTTGGAGCATACCGATAATTCGTCCTTTGGCGGCGAGATGGAAGGGTTCATAGCCATAGATTCTGGCATTGGCTAGCAAAGTGCGACACCAGAGACGCATTTTCTGCGTGGTCATATTTGTCACTTCCGGAAATGAGAACATGCCTGCAGGATATTATTTCCTTTCATGTCCACAGCAGACAGATCAGCACCCATACGACACAGCTGACGGATAACCTGCGGTCTACGAACGGAAGGCAGTGGATACTTCTCAAGATTATCGAATCGCTTGACAAACCAAGCAGTTCGGTTCTCCTCCTGGCAAGCCGCCAGTAGCAGTGTCCGTCCCTGCTCATTCCGGTACTCGAGATTGAGGTCCGGTAGGTCCAGAAGTGGTTCTAGAATACCTCCTTGATGTATGACATTATGAATTATCGTCGTCCCTTCTTGACAGGAAAGAAAAGGGCTGCATGCTTGAGCGAGAAGGAGCTCCACAATAGCCACAGCCTTGTATCTCTCAGCCGCATTATTGAACCTGGAACTACACGCGAAATGGAGAGGTCGAGATAGCAAATCATTGCGGTCGCCTTCCTCTTTTTGCCTTCGCATACTACGCGGCTTAGACCCCCGGCTAAAGCGACCTCTCCCTAGGTCATCATCGCTGTCGTCTTCGTCAAGGAGCTCTGGAAGATGCTCTTTGAATGGTTTCTGACAGTCGAAGCCCGCCTCAATAATGACACGAACAGTCTCAACGTCCTGGCTTAGGATGGCAGTGTATAGTACAGGATGCTCTCCCAACGCAGGGTCAGCCCCATACTGGACAAGCAGCAGGACCATTTGGCTATTTTGAACAGCCCGATTGACAGGGATAAATCCTTCGTAGTCTAATACATTTGGATTGGCTCCATGTTCCAGTAGAAGCTGGACCATACCAAATTGCCGATATCCCTCCCCCTTTTACCGCAATGTGCAATGGGGTTTCGCCCTTAGGATTCCGTATGTCGAGGTTCGCACCACGCTGGAGCAGAAACCGCATGGCATCCGTATTCCACCAATGTTGCCCTTCTGCTAACGTGTGTAGTGCACTGCGAATCGGCTGATTGTCGCGGTACTGGCCACGCGTGTAGGTGTTCTTGTACACTTGGATATTAATGTCGGCGTGGAAGGTGTCTACCACAACTCGTAACATCTCTAAATTAGGTAGCTTGCGATCCACAACTTTCAGAATAATGGGCACAGGAGCAGAATGATATGAGTATGTCGATACACAGCCATTGATCCAACTGGTTCCTTCTCTCATTTTCCCGATTGACTCAAAGAGATCCGTAAACCCCCAGCGGGCAAGTAGGTGTAAAATATCTTCCTGGGCTTTGCTACCTTTTGGATTTACCGTCAAACCCCGGGTACGTGCGGCTAGCTGTTCGACTATTTTGTACGATCCTAGCTTGAGGAGCCAGTGGCACGCTTTAACGATATCCGCCTTGCCGTCCAATAATTGATCCACAATTGAGTTGACAGAGTCGTTATGGCTCATCCAGTACAACCGGCCAGGAAGATAATATGCGGGGCTGGTGTTGGGTTGAGGGGGTTAGCTGTATCAACGTGCAGCGCTGCAATCATCTCCTGGTTTCCATTGTCCACAGCGAGCTCGAATGGGGTATTGCCTGCTTGATCACTCTTGAGAGTGTCAGCTCCGTGGGCACGCAGAAGTTGAATGATCTCTGTCATCCGCAAGGTGTCGTCGTCACCGATGAGATGGTGCCAACCTGGGGGATCGCAGCGGTTATGGTCCTTCTCGGGCCGGATAATTATCTTTCTGAATGCTGCACACACATATAACGGTGTTCTACCGTCATAGTAGGTAATTACCGGATTGGCTCCTGCGTTCAACAAAAGAAAAACACTCTCCAGTCGCCCAGAGAGACACGCATAATGCAGAGGAGTGCAACCCGTCCGATCCGGTTGATTGACAATCATCTCTCTCTGGGAGTCATAGTAGCTCTCAAGTAGCAAACCAACTGTATTACTATCTTTCGCAGACGCCGCAATGTGAAGTGGATTGGCTCCTTTGTAGGTCGTCGCAGTGAGATCCATCCCTTTGTCGATCAGCCAACCCACGAGGTACTCGGACTTAGCGGCTGCTTCGTAAATGGTCGCAAACCTTGATTGTCACTCATTTCCAACATGCTATTGACCTCTGATGTAGGAAGATGATTGACGGGATTTTCTATCGCTTCAACTAACTTTCCTGGGAATGATGGTACCACGCTCCACAAGGTATGTAGAAGCGTTTGCCCTTTGTGGTTCCTTGCGGTCAGAGGAATGCCCGTTTTCAGGAGCATGTATGTGATGGATATGAGTGACTTGTAAGTGAAAACGTCTTGCATCAAAGCAATGGAATAGGATATCCCCATTATTGTTAACACGTAAGGGATCAGTTCAATCTCTCGGCAATTCCGTACGTAATAACATATTCATCTCCTCTTATCTCTTTTGTTATTTCCTGTGCAAGAGGGTTGTATGCCTTAGAAGGCATCTGCGTCTTAAACTCATGTGTACTGGGGAATGGCATATCTTGGAATTTGGGTGCCCGTGGACTACCAAGTGACGACGGCACCTCATCCTAACCATGTCTAATTGCGGTAGACCTATAAGCGATTTAGTCCCCCACAACCCAACAAGGTGGGATGTCCACTGAAACAGGGGATGAAGTAAGAGTTTCACTGAAACTAGTATGACTGGATCGCTATGTCGGAGGTTGGGGGAAGTGGCAATAAATCTCGAAGAAGAGATCGAGTTGAAACAACCAGTTGTGTAGCTTCACTAGTGAAGCTCAGTGTCTACAGGCAAAGATGCATGACGGGCGGCACTACGTAGGAACGGCTCTTGCCGCGGCTCTAACCAGCTACGGAGTCGGGGTTGTTGACTCTCAGAGGACATTCTCAATTTAGGCTGTGGCATTGTTGGCAATCGACTGGCATTTCGGCAACCATCTAAATCGAATCTTCGGCACACAAAGTTATGCATCAAGGAGAGTGCCTACAAACTGTAGGTAGTGCATCAAGCAAGAACGGGTCTTGTTTCAATCTATCAACTCATCTATGAACACTCCTGTATTGCAGTACTATTCCGACCCTGATAGGCCATGGGACGTAGCAACTACAAGCCCGCCATACTGGGTATGGAATCATGATACACATTCCACATCTCGAGGGAATGAATATACATTTCTTCAGGACAGAATAGTCTAGTCTACGCAATTAACAGTGTGAGATGAAAATTTACAAATATTTGAAGGCTTACGCCTCTATGCGGCGTTGGATGACAACAGGAAAAAAAAAAAAAAAAAAAGAACCAGAAAAACGCATCTGTCCGGAATTCCAAAGCCGAAGTCGTGAGAACTTTCCAGTTAGGGGCACGCAGTGTTGAATGGCAAAAGGCCTCGCTTTCCAACCGAAAGAATGGATCTGGAATGCTGTGTAGGGGGATATGAATATCGACATGCAACATTGCCGTGAGACATGCCCAATCAAAATCAACAGTCCCTTCTCACAGATGAACATAAATACCACCCTGGCGTGGAGCGATAATGTAGCAGGCAATGCAAGGTCTACTCAGTCAAATCTTCAGTTTAGCGTCAGGATGGGCCGCTTGAACCTTCTATTCACAGCTCTATTGAGCGCTTCTGCACTTTCCTCTACTTCAGCTTATGATGAGCCTATTTTAACACCCCTTCAGCAGCCCGAGGCCCATGACGCGACGACTGGACCTTCCAGAGGTCCACTTCCCTGGGGAAAGATCAACTTTATCCACACTACTGATACTCACGGATGGCTCGAGGGCCATATGAACGAGCCTAGCAGTGGCGGGGACTGGGGGGACTTTGTCTCGTTTGTAAATCGCATGCGTGACAAGGCGAATGACTTGAAGGTTGATCTTCTGGTTGTTGACACTGGCATGTAGTAACACCATGGTAGAGTGGGTACTAAGCTAATATGACTTTCTGTAGGTGATCTACACGATGGAAACGGTCTCAGCGATATATCGAAGCCCAAAGGCGCCATTTCCGATAGCATATTCGCCAATGTGGAGTACGACTTACTCACAATCGGAAACCATGGCGTTCAGCAACTGGACGAAGCGAGAAATATTCAGGCCAATATTTCGAAGGTATTCGCTGACCGATACTTGACTAGCAATGTCTACATCAAGGAGGAATCAGAGGAGCCAATCGGTGAACCATACCGATACTTCACGACGAAGAATGGAATAAGAATCATGGCATTCGGCGTATTGTACGACGACAAGAAGAACGATCAGAAGATCCAGATTGACAGTGCCGCGCAGATGATGCAGCGGTCCTGGTTCACCGACGCTATGGCAAAAGAGGTTGATCTGTATATCCTCATTGGACACGGCTCACTGCGAAGGACTCGCAAAAATCCAAAGGGAAGCGATGCTTTCTTAGATTTCGAGGACGAACTTCGAAAGAAACTCAAGTCGGCGAATAAGAACATTCCCATCCAGGTGATTGGTGGCCACACACATATACGCGACTTTAGATGCTTCGACGAATTGACCTCAGGCCTGCAATCAGGGAAGTACGGAGATACAGTGGGATGGCTTGCTCTTGACAACATTGAAATCAAGAACTGGAAAGGGGCCACAACCCTGACAGGTGTTCCCACGCCGACCAGAACGTGCCCTCCTACGTCAATGATGACCTTCAGTGCAGAGCCTACGTCCTCCAAAGTGCCTCACCTCGATCGCCGATACTTAGACTGGAATGTTCGGACATTTATGTATCATGCAACGGGCCCTAATGAAACAGACAAGGGCAAGTTTGACACCCCACTCGGCAGAAAGGTCACTCACGATATTACCTTCGCGCGCCATGCCCTCAACCTTACATACGTGTTGGGATGCGCTAAGCAAACGTGGTGTTTGTGGTGCGTCAATGAGACAGACAAGGGCAACATTATGACATTGGCAAAGCCAGCTTGGAAAGATACTGTGGTGAATTCTAAGCGTCGCAACAATCCACGAGCTGCCATAATAACCGGCACCACATTTCGGTATGACCTCTTCAAGGGCCCTTTTACCGTCGGGGATGCCCTGGCTGTAGTTCCATATACAGACACTTTCTACTATGCGGAAGTCGACTTTCAGACCTACTTAAGAGTTCTGACCGAACTAAAAATTACACGGTCATCTACGGGCAGCACTGATGAGCCGTTGCAGGATAACGAAGAGTCCGACTGGGATCCAACTCTTATGCTGCAGGGAAGCCATTCTAAACAGCATGCTCTATTGTCAAACGTCCTAGGCGAGCCTCCATTGACTCCTGGGTATGTCACAGTTGATGACTTTGGTGCCTACGGGGATGACACCAACCACACCAAGTTTAAGAGTATAGGTCCGAATTTAAACTTGACATACGTTGAGGCCAACTTCCCTCCGCAATGGTCCCCGGGTCAAAAGCTTGACCTGGTGGTTACAGCACATATGGAGAAAAAGATCCGACCAATCGTGCAGCCTAATAAGCCAAACGATCGTCTCCCCTTGTACATGGACGACAAATTTACAACGGGGGATATCTTGCCCGAGTATGCGAGGCGTAACTGGAACTCTAATACAACCCAGAGTTGTCCAATTGGTAGGTAGAACTCCCAGTGTGGAAGGTGGTAACAATCACAATTTATGGTTGTATCTAGCTTTACATCATGTAGAAGCCCAATTCGATGAAGTGGAGGCATATTGGGACAGTCCGTTGAGTTAATTGATAATGATAAAAGTGGCTTGTAGGAATTGCGGGTTAATCGAACAAGCTTATTCGAAAGTTGGCGGCGCTCCCAATGATTAATTATCGCGGCGCCATTGCATGTCAAGTAGGCTTGCACCGTCGTATACCTCAAATGCAAAATTCCAAAGAGATATGTGCCAAACATTTAGAGTGTGCTGTTTGCCAGGCGTACTCTGGGCATCCCTTGTTGGCTATTCCATCCCTGCTGGTTCTAGAGAATGGTAGAGAAATGTAGACATTGCTTCCATCCTCAACGTCCCCTTTGTAACGTAGATCGCTGTGAATACGACCGTATTGACCGTGATATATAGAATTCCCGGCCAGCGAAGTTGCAAGACTACAGTCAAATAATCCCACCCCCTATCCTAATTCTTATAACGTGACCCACGACCGAGCCGGCAGGCTCTCTCTACACCTACCATCGAACATCATTCAGCGCGTCTTTTCTTCTCCACTACTATATATGATACCGCTTTCTTATGCAAATAGAATACAGATGGCTAATCTGCATATAAAAGCAAAAATGCCAATCTCAATTTAAAGCTGCAGGTATCTTTGGAGTACGTAGAAGCACCCTTCAAGACCGGCTACGCGGTGTCAATTCACGATCAGAAATACGCGCTAATGAGCATGAATTGATTATTTCTGAAGAGGAAGTTCTTGTAAAACAGCTGCTGGATATAGATCCAGGTGGTTTTTCTATTTGACCGGAATTCCTATGTGGGACGGCACAGATTTCATTTCGTGGACGACTACAAGATCAGTATCCAACAAACAACCCATAAGGATCAGGTATGTAAACCACTACAAGAGCTTGAAAGCCTGGGGCTGCAGGAGCTTTTCCTAAATCAGGGCTATGGTCTCCTTGGACTACACCCAGGAGGGTGACATGTCAGAAATTTCAGCCCTAAAATGGCCGGAATGGTGCGGGATGTCGGTCAGATCAAATTGGGCCCATTCCTTATCTTTATATGTAGTATCCTTAAATATATTATGGCTCTCCAGATCTCAGTAGTAAACTACTTCTTAACAGTGTGTTTACTAACTTGAACGCTTGTTTGTGTCCACGAGTCACGATCAGGCCGTGCGGACGAGGCTATAAGTCCTTGTCATCATACCCATGTCTTGTAGAACCACACTTCGTGAAGGGGATCTTTCTCATGAGGTATGTCTTTCCTTTTTGTCAGGCTACCTTGGCACGGATAGGCTCACTACATCAGTAATATTGATTTACCATACTGCCTTGCCTGAACGATGGTTCTTAGGGCCTGTTGTTCTAGTAACTCTATTGTGAAATGTCTAAACCTGTTAGACCCAAGTGGTATCCGAAAGGAATATTAAACTACCCTGGTCTTCCCTTCATTGAGGTTCTTAAGCTGTGTGTAACATTGTAGTGAAGGTGTATAGGGGACCTAGATTGGCAATAGGGCTTTATGGCATAGCAACCTACCTATAGACCCCGTTTGGCGAGACTCTGTTTTAGTAAAGTAGCGTAGGGAGCATCAATAGTAGAAATTGCTATGGCGTAGCCTTCAATATACCAAATAGAAAAGTTGATACCCATCGACAGTACAGCACAAGATGACGTACAACACTTGCATTGATATTTTGTTCGGCTAGAAGGCAGATGTATAGTTAGCACCGCTAGGTGTCTATATATTGCTAATGAACACTATTATACACTAAATCTCAAACTACCAACTAAAGGATTCCTCAACCAGAGACAACTTCACTGTCGGGTTCTCTCCCATCAATCTTGTCACGATATTTCGCACCTCATCCGCCATCTTGGGGGGACCACTGACGACCACCGCAACCTCTGTTCCCGCACACTTTGAAACCTCCTCGCGAAGGATTCGAGAAATATCCATGCGGCAATCATGGAACACCTCTGCATTTAGTCGACCAAACCTGTCTGCACCGAGCGAGGACGCCATGGACTCAACCAACGGCTTGCTACGCACCGCCCAGAAAAGCCTATGCCACCCATCATGGCCTAGGAGCATAGGCGTCAAGGCCGTGACGCCAACACCTCCCGCAATCGCGATGATATTGGTCGTATTTGACGCGTTAGTTTTGAACAGAGATACAGGATGGTACGCTGACTCAACGAGGACCGGCAATTGCAAACGTGGACCTCGGAGAAATTTGGTGATGCCTGAGTGCGTTCGGATATATATTAACAGCGATCGTTGGTAACGTGCACGATCCGCTTCAGCCAGGAACACTTTTTCCGGGGTGAATGGTGCATCCGTTGAAACTATGGTGACTCTAGCCCTGTCGTCCTTGAGCATGGTAGTGGGGGCCTCCAAATCGGCGTGACCCCTCAGATCCGTCATGACTGAGAAAGGATGGTTCTCCCAGACTCTCCACGTCAGAGTTGGGAAATAGAGATAGACATGACCCTGGGCTTCTACACCGGGGATCTCCATCTTGATATAATCATCATCAACAACGCAAATGTGAGCAGTCCGGATCCCGTATCGTGCGATTCGTAGGATGCGGAACACTCGCTCAAAGCCCCATATCGCCAATGCCATGTAGATCCAGTTCTGGTACCCCCACTGAAAGGTATACCGATAGTAGATATGCATAATGCATCCCGCTAGGGCCAGGAGAAAGAATACCACGTGCCATGCAAGGAATAGCTCATAGAACCTCTGGCGGATCGGTAGGATAGACGCAGGGATTATGATTGCCATCGCCAGCGTCGCAATAACACCCCAGTACCAGTATGGAAGCTTGCTTTCTGTGACATATTCTCCTTTGGAATCGTATATTTGTAAGTAGATTACGGAGTGGAGGCAGGCTTCAAGGACGCAGATAGCAGCGACCCAGCGGTGGAGTAGTAGGAAGGTGGAATGAGACCAGTCGGTCAGCCAAAGGAGGAAATTGTTACGGCTCGAATAGAGAACTAGCAGCGGGATATTGGCAAAGCTTAGAATACCAGCACGGTTGCTGACGTATGTGACGACCTCGCGCTGGTTGGAATCATACCACGTACTAGGACGAGCAGCCTCGATGCCGACGGCGCACAGGACCACGTTGATGACGATCAGGTAGGCTATAAACAGAGCCTGCCCTCTTGTGGGCATGAGAAAGGTGTTGAAGAATGGGACCTGGTGTCGGTTGCCTATCAGTGGAGGGGCGATCATGTATGCCTCAAAGCCCGCCTTCCATCTTGCGGGGACTGGAACGAAGCGGATAAGCGAGAGCCCGATTGGGATGATCGCGCCGGTGAGGAGGAGAACGAGACTGGATCATTTCAGAGGTTTATATTAGCAAGGCACAATCATCCCCCCGGTGGTCAGAACCTACCCATATCTTTCGTGTGAACTTTCTACCTTCTCAAACACCGACAGTGTCCGATAATTGAGAGTGTAGAGATCTTGGGATACAAGCGAAGCTGAGTCTAACACGATAGATGAGTTTACCGTGATATTTGGCGCAAAGCCTATACTTAGAAGGGCCTCGTGGTAGGATGCTTTCGGTTGCGGTTGGTCTTGCTCGTTCCCGACGACGTACTTTTCCCAATATCTTTGCAGGCTGGAGTTTGCCGAGGTGTGACAATGTGAGTATATGCAGTACGCCAGGGTCTGTAAGAAGGCATCGTTTTCCGCGTAGCATTCTGGGCTTGGAGTCTCCTCGGTCATCCATGACATGCGCATGCCATCATCCGAGCTCATGGAGCAATTCAGGGGGTTTGTTATTGATGAGCGGCAGGCATGCGCACATGGGGGCTGATACATCGAGATTCCATACCCAACAAACCCGTGCCCTGGCCCTTCTGTCATTTTAGAGCAAACTGTGCCAGCAAGCGTCAGTAGCACAATACTGGTGGCGCGAAAACAGCTTTGATGGGACATCATGTCGGTAAACTATGGGTACGCATCTGCCCTCTTCTCGGCCTGCGAGTTTTGCAGACAGCTTCGCAGAGGGAAGACGCATTACGGGTCAAATATATCACGAATTTCGTTAGATTACTCTACACATGTTGAAACAAACGCATCGAAAAAAAATTCCCCGCTTGCAAGCCAAGGCTTGATGCCTCGTTCTTGGCGAAAAGAGCTGGTGCGTCAAGATTTGATGCAGGAGCACGACAAATCCTCATTTCTAAGAGTATGATTAGGCGATATGTGAGTGTACTCATGAAGAAAGCCCCATTTTCTTAGGGCTTCATACGTTTGGAGAAAGGACGAAACCAATTGAGCGCAAATGAGCACATTTTCTCCCAAGTCCAAGTGGGTCAATGACTGAGCGGGTTTATAAATCTGTAACCTTACTCAAATATTTGCTCAAATTCTACGATAAATTGTCCTAACACTATTCATTCCCAAACGTGGGCTATAATCTGCCTTATTCCAATGGTATCAACATGCTCTCACCTCTACTGATACTCGGCCTAAGTCCAATGACCGGCAACAAACCTAGTGTGGTCTGGGACCCGACCCACTGCATTCAGTGTTTACAGCATTATCTGCAGTTCCCTGTAAAATTCCCCTCTTATGAAAGGTATCTTAGACCAGTTCGGTCTTCTAATATCGCCAATGACTCCACTATATGGCCTGAGGTACCTGCTCAGTGGGGTGGCCTCCTCATATCCCGTATGCATTTCGGTATTTTATAACGTAAATCATTTTTCACCCTTTCGCGGTCCCACATATTAATATTAATCCCTGGTTGCGAGGGCTGTGTGTCATTAGACTGAAAAGACTAACTATTTTGTTGTGCCTGCTCAGTATCTTGAGCATCTAAAGCATATACTATCCTCATTAGCTATTCGATATCTATTCGAGTGTTTGTTACCTGCTTTTCCACCATGACTCATTTCAGTGACAAGGACAATATCGTCGATTTCTTGAACCCCCCCCCCCCCCGGCCCCCCAACAAGAAAAAGAAACAATTTGATCATAAGCAGCCACTTATTAACTGCCCTTTGACGCGTGAAAACAAGCATATTCTCTCCCTCACTTAGCCGCTAGGGCGCATGCACCAATCTACCTATGTATATAAATAGGTATTGCAAGGCCTAACCTCAATAGATCAACCATTCTTTGTCCGGTCTCTAACGAGCAAACAATAACACCCATCTTCGGATATCATAACATTCACGTACAACGTCTCTGAGTGGGTGTCGACATCTAGTGCGCATTACGGCCGGAAAGCTTTCAAGGTCCGAGTCGCAAGAGAGAGTGTCAGTATTGTTTCGGGGTAATACTACAGTAAGGCAATGGCGACGGATCAACAGTTTCGCTTCCAGACAGAATGCTATAGAACCCCCGGTCGCCTGCAATGACCACGATACCTTAGACCGTAATTTAGTTTTCCGACCCTGTGCACCGGTAATCCACCCGACACAATATCCAAGCAAGCTCTACTTCTGTCTGGGGCTCGCTGTTTAGTCGGCATTGTGAGAACAGGGCCTTCTCTCTCAATTATTTGCAATGGCAATGCGCTGTCTAGGCAATTTCATGTTCTGTATATTCTTTCCAGAGTCTAATGAAATAGGTTTTCATTCCCTGTCCGGGTTGTCAGTCTTCGTGTGCAGAGTATGGTCCATGATTGCCACAGAGGTATCGAACAACGGCGTCCGGCACCTTTTATTTTCCGGGCTGGGTGAACCATCAAAGTGTTAAGTAATTATTGGTGCCTTGTGAGACTATACGTTAGAAGTGGTCTGTGTTTATCTCAACAAAGCTAAAGTTGACTTGGTGGGCTAGCGGAGTTGTATAAATCGCCAACCAGGATGGATGACTGGTTGACTAGTTCCTGATATCTCGTTAACTCAAAATATATATAATAATAAACATCAGATATGTAGAGCGCATATTGTTTCCCATCCTACCTTAGCTATCTTGAGAATTGCCTCGACTATTCGCAGCAAAACTCCAAATATAAGATGCTTGACGTACTAGTTATATATATTTTGTCTGAAATCGACTTCAACGTGATCAGTGATCACGCCGGATGTCAATGCAGGGCTTACTGCTCGTGGTAGATGATCTGCAGATGGAGCGGGACTAGCTAGAGTTCAGGGACATTAGGGTCCAATCCACTAAATTATTAGAGTAAACAGTGCAGGAGACAAGCACACTCCCATCGCCGAAGTTTGGCGAAGTCATAAGTGCGAGTTCCATGGGACAGGCCTGTCGCTGGTCTGAACCTCATCGTGTAGAGGGTAGAGATTGGTATTTAGGCTACTATGCTTATTTATGAAATCCTCAAAAGAGGATAAGGGGTACTATCGAATCAACCTATAACGTATTTCACCACCGAGTCGGCCACGTCACGCGTTTTGACCGTGGTCGGAAACCTCACTCAATTCAACCACCAACCATGCCTCCAAAAGCGCATCAAAATTCAAGAAATTCAGCTGAGAAAGAGGAAGGATTATACTTGCTATCTCTGTTTTAAAAAATCAGGAAATCTGTAATATTCGCGAAGCAGCGCGTGTTTATAATGTGCCTTGCTCTACTTTACAAGATTGATTACGCGGAAAGACATATCGCTCAGAAACACGCGCCAACAGTTATAAAATAACCCAAAATAAAGAGAAATCGCTTGTACAATGGATTCTATCACTAGATTGATGTGGAGCGCCTCCCCGACCATCCTATATACAAGAAATGACCAATATTCTTCTTACTGCGCGCAGTGATACATCTATTCAGACAGTTGGAGAGAACTGGGTCTCTAAGTTTATTAAACAACGAGATAAACTAAAAACCTGCTATAGTTGACACTATAATTATTAACGTGCTAAATGCGAAGATTCTAAAGCTATTAGAGAGTGATTTAACTGTGTACAAATTACTATAATACAATATGGGATCGCGCAGGAAGATATCTATAATTTTGATAAAACTAGCTTTACTATGGGCCTAGTAGCTACTGCACAAGTAGTTACTAGAGCTAATTACTATAGAAAAGCACTTCTTGTACAGCCAGGCAATCGGGAATGGATTACTTCAATCAAATATATTAACTCTACTGGTTAGGTGCTTCCACTATGTATTATCTTTAAAGAAAAGGTCCACATAGAGGGTTGGTATCAAGATCTAAAGCTTCTACCTGATAGCAGAATTGAAGTTAGTCCTAATAAATAGACTACTAATAAGATAGGCCTTTACTGGCTTAAGAATCTCTTTATTCCTGCTACTACTAGCTGTACAACTGGGAAATACTGTCTTCTGGTTCTTGATAGCCATGGTAGCCATCTTATGTCTTAATTTAATCAGATATACAGTGAGAATAATATTATTCCTATCTGTATGCCTGCGCATTCTTCTAATAAGCTGCAGTCTTTAGATATAGGCTGTTTTCGCTCTTTAAAAAATATATATAGAAGCTTAGTAGAGCAGAGAGCACGTCTTGGTATCAATTATATTAATAAGCTTGATTTCTTAAAGATCTTTACAGAGGCTCGCAAAAGCGTCTTTATAGTAGAGAATATTCAGAATAGCTTTACAGGTACTAGTCTTGTTCCATTTGATCCTGATAGAGTACTTAGCAAGTTAGATATCCAACTAAAGACCCCTATATCACCAGACAGTCAGTCAATTAATTCAGTATCTAAAACACCTTATACTACTAGGCAGCTGGAGAAGCAAGCATCTACAGTAAGAAAATTACTCAGGAACTATATTCAAAGCCCTTCATCTTCACTAGAAAAGCAATTAAACAAGATTATTAAAGGTTATAAATTAATACTTAATAAGCTTGTTCTTGCACGGGAAGAAATATATAAACATCGCGCTAATAACGAATAGAAACGTCAAAAGCAAAAGCAATCTACTAGACAGCTAGCTATTGCAGAGGGGATAGCTGTTCAGGATAGTGTAGAGTAATTCCAGCGCGAGAATAAGGTTGATGAAGCTCAAGATACACTTTCTATAGATCTTGCACTTTCTGCAGTTGGGCCGCGCGTACGAGCCCCCCCAACATGTTCTAATTGTCATCTTCAAGGGCATACTAGGGTTATATGTCCTAATCCACTTAGTAATTAGTTTTCATTTAGAAATGCAATTGTTTGGTTGATAAAGGCCCTCATATTTAGCCCGCGGGCAGGAATTGGTAAACGGTGGCCGACTCGGTGGTGAAATACGTTAATAGCACTTGTCATGAATAAGACAGCACTCACGTGATGAGACGTTTCTCATCGCCACGTTCCCTTAGGCTTGACATCATGGGTCTTTTTCCTGTCCACCACAAGGATTTTTGAGATATCCACTGTAAGAAGCACAATCGCTCTGACTCTGTTCATTTAAAACAAAGCCTTCGAGATAACTAACTCACTGGCAGGACAGCTACCGTTGCACCTCGACAAGCCCAAAGCCAAGAATTGAATGAATGTGGTTGGTCAATTTAAATCACTCACGTTATATCAATACTTGATTCACGTTTGCGCCTCTGCTTCCCAAATATCTGAGCTCTAGTAGCCGGGTTATTCGCTATTCGGAACTTGCATATCGCCAAATGGTGCGGTAACATCTTCAGTCAACCACGAAACTGAAGGCCCGCAGGGGAACGTGACACCCGTGTGGCCGACTTATCAGGCAGCCAGGCTTCCGCTCAAGGGTTACAATAAGAACCACCAGACAACCTCGGTTCAACCTCACAACCCTAATTTTATTTCGGAATATGGGAGGTTTTGTGAGCACCGTGTCCGTTTACGTACCGACCCCTTCTGGTAAATAGTCTATATCTTGTTCATCTCAAGTCACGCGCTAATACAGGTATAGTTCTCCCCACCAACCATTTCACCCCCTTCCGCTTCTGCCAACTAGGCGACATCCAACTAGGATTCGGCGAAGATGGCTGGCGCAATGATGTGCACAGAATGCAAGTCGCCGCGCAGCAAGTCAATTCCGAGAATTTCGACTTCTGCATCGCCGTCGGCGACCTAACACACAACCGGTAAGTGCACTACATCCACACCCTAGCAACCAACGAACCGCCATCAAAGTACCAACCCAATCCAGACACCCGCACGAGATCACCGCCTTCCAACAAACCTACAGCAACTTCACAGTCCCAGTCCACCTCCTTCCGGGAAACCATGACATAAACAGCCTCTCCACCCTAACCCAATTCACCCACGACTTCAACACCACCGACCACAGCACCTTCGCCCACAACGGCTACCGCTTCATCCTCCTCAACTCCATCACAATGATCACCGACAAGCCTGAATTTAAAAACCACACAAGCAACGAATGGACCTGGTTCGAGCACCAGCTCAAAACCGCCGCGTGCGCAGGCGAGCGCATCGTCGTCGCGCACCACCATCTCCCCTTCGAGAGAGCCGAGGACGAGCCGGACTCGAACTGGACTTTTCCGAAGCGCGTGCGCGCCAAGTATCTGAAGCTGATTCGGGAGTATGCTGTCCGGCATATTCTTGTTGGGCATCGGCATGAGACGAAGAATATTTATCCCGGAGATCGATTTTATACGATCTATGTGGTTGCGGGGACGGCGAGGGTCTTTGATGGGAATGGGTTTGGGATTAATTATTTTAATGTGTCGTCGAAGGATTCGGCCCGGCATGTCTTGCAGGAGTATGTGCACCTTAAAGGTGTTACGCATATGAAGAGGTCGGTTGGGGAGCCGACGGGTTGTCCAGAGATTTTTCAGCATCAGGAATGAGGTATTTCGGTCTTGGGAGGTGCGGTTATGATGGTATTTTCCGCTGGGCTGGCGTGTTGGGTAATGTTAGTGCTTATGAGTTCAACAATATATGCAATGCAGATACGAGTTAGAGATGCTTAAAGAAGATATGACTCTTTCAGCAAAAACGCGATATTGCTTGATCTCATGAGGGGAACTGTTCTACTAGTTAGTTTGACTGCTCGTATAAGGATTCTTATAGCCACCGATCTCAGCATCGGGCTGCTGTCGACAATACTATATGGCAATGGAATTCCTGTTGAGCTGGTCCCCAGGCAGGCAGCATCGGTGTCAACAGGCATGATCATGACTTGGCGCGTTTGATATGTTTGCCACTTTATCTGACAAGCTTCGCAAAGTCTAACGTTAGTTCTTCGACGCCATCATCATTTAGCGATATCGCTAGGGCTAGCTACCCCAACGGCAGCACGTGGTCCATCGATCGTCACGATGCAAGCGAGTGGCTCTTATAGTATTCTTTGTCCCACCAGGTATCCATTTCCGAGATGTAAACGAAGATATAGATCTAAAGAGTAAATTCGCTGCGCCCATTTCGCTGGTATTAGGAGCGGAATATCGTCGTCATCGCTATGAAGCCCCTCATTATGCGTCCACGTTAGAGGGTAAAGTTGTTTGTAGTTCAGTATGCAAGTAGGATGTTGAGATGGGACTGAGTCGGCGAGTTCATTCCGCCGAAAAATTGAAGTTCAGCGTATCCTTCAAATGTATAGGTACCATTTTCAACCAACTTCATCTGTCATAACAAAACAAGTCCTGTTGGTTTCTGGAATCTGTTGCCGGAGGTCTTCGATGTTGGCTATAGCTCCGGCCCCCGAGCTCGTTGGCGGACACAATAGCGATTGGTACGACTAACCGAAGACAGTAGTAGTCTATCATAGCACCAACGTCTCAATACTAAGGCGTGATCAAGGGTGTAAGAACCGCGGTAATGTGATGAGAGAGTCCTACGAGTATATCTACTCGTGACAGTGTGTTCACGTGATCAGAGATCCTCCTGTGCTAGGATCAGCACTGAGCATATTAGGTAGTCGCACCGGTGAGTCTATTAAACACTTTGATGGTCTTGTTTATGAGCCTTGCCGTAGGTATCAAGACTATGTCATGTTCATGTCTCAGTGCTTTCCATCTGCATTGATGGTGGTATCAAACTGGCAGGAGAGATTGGATTCCATAGGTATTCTGCAGCATTATTGCCAGGTGTAATGCAGACCGTGAAGCCTGGGGGCTCTGGCTGCTCTGCCGGATTGGTAATAGCGTCCCAGTGGGGCCGAAATATATCTTCGCCTTGCAATGTCTCCAACCAGAGGACGCTCTTGATGCGGGCGAGAGCGTCGCTCCAATTATTCAGCTGCAGAGAAGTAGCCACGGTGCGTGCCCTCCTCATAAACCAGTGATATTGTGGTGTGCCGGTCGAGGCTGTCATTCCAATTGCCAGACACCAGACATTAAGTGAATCATAAATACGCGGTGTCGATTCGAGCTGCTTGAGATGTTCCATGAATCGATTAACAATGGTGTTTAGTATGACGGCATGCGAGTAATAAGTTGGCCCCTGGGTGATAAACATATAGAGTACGATTCCGTAGCGAATGCATTCAGTGATGGGCGACGATTCCGAGTCTTCTGTAATTGACGCTGAGAGTAAAAGCCTATGTATGACAAAGCATGTGAGGTCATGAAGTCGTGCTGGCGGAAAGGGAATCTGTTGCGCGATCTGGAAGGCGTTGCGGAGACGGATGAAGACATTCCAGACTGCAAAGTCGATATCCATACTGCTGAACTCGGGCAAATTATCATGAGGGGTGCCCAAGTCTAACTGCCACTCTGGAATTGGAGGTATGCCGTCTCCAATGCCGGCGTCATCTTGGGTCTCAAACTGAGGGTGACCCTTGACAATCATCGATACCCTATGAGGCATGTGAATGGACTTCACTCTTGGTAATATAAGTGTGACCTACCAGCTAATCATTCTCGCAGTAAGTGGGCTTGTCTGCCGTACTGAATTGATCCCACCTCTCATGCTTACGAGCTTTTTCACTCCATTAACATGCATTTCGCTAACGTCAATATTGCCTTTACCGAACTAGGTAGTGAGAGATCAGCGATGTGCTAGAAGGATGAGAGAAATGGCGATAAAGGATCTCACTTCGATAGCTGCTAAGGTAATGACTGAGTTCATCGTTCCATCTTGTACAGCAAGAGATGTATCCTCAACTTTGCGCCGGAGTAACGACACTGAGTCAGCCATGAGAATTTCGGAAGCTTGGAAGCCCCTCTGGGCCAACAACTCTTCGTCAAGACATGCTGTCTGCAGCGAGACGTGAAATAATGCCGGGTCACCCAAAGCCAGTGGCCACCACGAGATGAGAAACGGATTCGAGGTTGGGCTCAGGTCTAGAGGGTAATATTGGAAAGCGATCTTGTGGACAACTATATTGGTAAGCAAAACTTTTGGTCCGCAGCGTCGATCACCAAGGTACATACAGCTATGGATGAGGCGTTGAACTCGTTCTCGAGGAAGTCGTGTCTGAGGATACGAGTCGAATGGATCGAGAGAGCCAAACCTGTAGCTGGTTAAAGTGCCGGGTCCTTCGAGGGGTGTTAGTGATCCGCCATCGTCCCGCCCGGGAGCTGCCGGCGCCGTCCAAGGCTCATTCGCATACACGCATTGGACTTGGCGCTTAATACAACGAGAGCAGCGCGGTATGCGGAGGTCGCAACTATGTTTGGATTTGGCACATGCAGCACACGACCGACGAAGCGTTTGGCGCATTTTTTTTACGAGAGAGTAGTCGAGTTCAGGTGCGGTTCCGTGGAATTGAGGAGTGTGTGGGTGGAGATAACCGTCTGACATACATTAGAGCCGCGCCAAGACGATACTATCGATAGTATCTCGGCTTACTTAAGATCTCCTCTTTGGCTTGATTCTGTCTATTAACGGGTAGAACTAGTAGATTCTGTAGAAATATACCGTAGAGTGCCATTTTACCTTCTACTATACGCTAGAGGCATTTTTTTTATATTGAGCTACTGGACCCCCAGGCACCACTATCATCGATATCATATATTATCTCTCCCCACGTGAACTTTCCCACTTCCGTAGCCCTTCGCAGCTTGGGGTACTCATCATAGTATGTAGCAGTAAATTTCTCTTGAAGAAGCGCAAGATACATCCGTACACTGTTTCTTCGATTATTAAACAATCCGAGTCAGATCTTTAAAGGTAGACACGCGTCAATTGGCCAGGATGCTGGGCCAGGGGCGCTTCGACACTACTGGGAATATTCTCTTGGTAATAAATAACCTCCGGCTGACACATCAGAGGACTGGCTAATCGGGGCTTCACGAGAGTTATTTGAGGAATGGATGAAGCGTGACTGGCACTCTTTTACTGGGGGGAAATTGAGGGTTTTATCCACAAGCCCTAACCATAAGAGAACTAGATCCAAAGAAGACTAGACCCCGTTGCCAGGAATTCGAACGTCCTTCGGAGTCTAGTCCTCATGCGGTATAGCGTGGATATATACCCATGCGAGGGCAATCACATATCATGATTCGTGTCATTGGCCAAGCACGACATTTCGAAGGACTGGCAACCAATTTGTTCCTGGCAGTAGTTCGAGGATCCTTGTCTCTTCCCCTATCCTCAAGAGTGCTGGCCCTCTAATTGGCCGAGTCAGAACCTTTGGAGACAGAAGATGGCGTACAAAGACCCGACCCATGCCCGGGTTGTTGCCTCTTTATTAATTAGATCGTTCCACCCACGTTGTCGCAAGACCTTATAAAAGAAGCGTAAAGTACCCATTTCTTATTGACCTGGACGTTTCGACGCCTGCCTCGACCATTAAAGACTCTAATATGGAGATTGTGAATGCCACCGGCGCTCAGCCTGGGCTGCAACAGACATGGCCTGCCAGCACCTCGCAGTTGCAAGGCGTTCTGCCAGGATTTCTGGGGGGCTGGTCCACCTGGCAATACATAGTGACCGTTCTGGTGGGAATGGTGGTCTATGACCAAGGTAATAAGGAGGGTCAAACCTATGCAAGATTTTATTCAACTGATATTGTCGCCAGTGATGTACCTCTTGCGAAAGGGCCCCATCGCGGGACCTCCTTTCAAGATTCCGTTCATGGGTCCGTTTCTTCAAGCGATTAATCCCAAGTTCGAAGGATATCTGGCACAGTGGTCAAGTGGTCCTCTCAGCTGTGTATCCGTCTTCCACAAGTACGTGCTTCTAGGTTTCCGTGTACACGCCTGTGCTTACCCTATTGCATCACAGATTCGTTGTCCTCGCCTCCGATCGAGACCTAGCTCACAAGGTGTTCAAGTCGCCGACGTACGCCGAACCATGCATAGTACCGATCGCAAAAGACCTCCTCGGCCACAAGGCCTGGGTGTTTCTTCAGGGGAAGGCCCACACCGAGTACCGGAGGGGATTGGCTCCTCTATTCACCAACAAGGCTATGGCTACCTACCTTCCCGTCCACCAACGAGTATTGGACGACTATTTCAGCAAGTTTGTTGCCATTAGCGAGGCGAATCAAGGGAAGCCAGTACCTTTTATGTCCATGTTCCGTGAAATTAATTGTGCTCTTTCTTGCCGCACTTTCTTCGGCGACTACATATCCCAGGAGGCAGTCAAGAAGATTGCAGATGATTTCTACTTGGCTACGGCGGCGATGGAGCTGGTCAACGTCCCTCTGTCAATGTACATCCCCTTCACCAAGCAATGGTTAGGGAAGCGGACGTGCGATGCAGTCCACGCCGAATTCGCGAAATGTGCCGCGGCGTGCAAGGCAAAGATGACAATCGGCGCAACCCCCACATGCATCGTGGACCACTGGGTTCTCCACATGTTCGAGTCCAACCGCTATCGCGAAAGGATCGCAGCGGGGGAGACAAACGTAGAGAAACCATCAAATCTGATCCGCGAGTTCACCAACGAGGAGATCTCGGAAACTCTCTTCACCTTCCTATTTGCATCCCAGGATGCGTCCAGCAGTGCCACCATTTGGTTGTTCCAAATCCTCGCCCAGCGGCCCGATATCCTCGACCGCATGCGAGAAGAGAACTTGGCGGCGCGGGGCGGTGATCGAAACAAACCCTTCGATCTGCCCATGTTGGAGTCACTCACCTACACCAACGCCGTCATCAAAGAGCTCCTCCGCTACCGGCCGCCCGTCATCTTCGTACCCTACCTTGCGACTAAGAACTTCCCGGTCACATCCCACTACACCGTTCCCAAGGGCTCCATGATCATCCCGTCCTGCTGGCCGGCTCTACATGACCCGGATGTTTACCCCAACCCCGATTCCTTCGAGCCGGAGCGCTGGATTTCCGGGGACGCCGAGTCCAAGAACAAAAATTGGCTTGTTTTCGGTGCTGGTCCACACGACTGTCTGGCGAGGAGATATGTGCCCCTTTACCTGGCAGGTATGATTGGCAAAGCCTCACTGGACATCGATTGGAAGCACCATGCGACGGACAAGTCGGAGGAGATCCGGGTGTTTGCTACTCTTTTCCCCATGGTAAGTTCCTGCTATTAATCTTTGTTATTCATATCTTTCATCGAGTCGTTTATGCTAATTGCCAATCTAGGATGGGTGCCCCTTAGTTTTCACGAAACGCCCCTAGACGTTGCACTGTTGTAAGTTGGGCCGTAATGTGTAATATGATGAGAGCCAGATATTCTTATAGATAAGAGATTAATGCACAAAATTGTCAAATTTAGCCAGCTAGGGTAGAGTGCTGCTAACTACACAGTCACTCCCGAAAGATATATTGTACCCTCGAGAATCACAGACTGCCTTGAGATATTTGTATCTAGGATGTCCGTTAAAGGTAGGTTGCTATTGCCTGTCGTTTCTACCCGGAATTCCGCTATTTAGAGGTGGAGTAGTTGCTATTGGACTTACAAAGAACCCGACATTTGCTGAAGGTTGTAAACACACGAAACTACATTTTGCAATGGGTGGTCCTCATTGTAGTGGATCAATCTTGAAAAAATTCTTACTGGCAACTTGTCGGGTACTCGTACCCGGAGTATTGCAACAGGTCAAAACATTTTGAATGACCACCATCGATTTCCTCTTTATTTCCCCCACGTATTTCTTTACACTATAGGCAAGTTGGAATGGAGCTCTCTTGCTGGAGGGGGCTGAGGCGTCATTTTTAACTGTCTCCACAAATTTGCCACTGGAATAAGGAAGACCTGGTCCTGGCACCGGGTGTTCCTTCACCTACAGTTGGTTAAAGCTGTCCTTTCCAAGCCTAATCTTCGGGAACACATTATTGATCCATACGTCTATGCATAGAAAGTATTCTTTAACATTTGGTGACCTGATCACCCCATCTCAGGATAAGTAGATCCTCAAAGGGCGTATCTGCGATGTGAGAATGCGACCTTGGTAAATCTACGGTGGGCCTATATGTTACTCGGGCATCGCCTTAGGACACAGTCTACGAGAACTAACATGAATGATTGTGGGCTCTCTCTACTGCCGCATAGTGTACCAAGTAGCATATATGACTGACTCGGGAGCATGTACCCGAATGTGGAGAACTATCCGGAATCACCAGAAGTATCAAGGATCAAGAATACACAGCTTTCCGTCTTCGAGTGGGGTATGAAAAGCTTTTCAAAGCTATGAAATGGAACATAAGGAGAGATCTATCAGGAGAGAAAAATCCTTTCCTTTTAAAAGGTTCATGGTTGCCCTTGCCAGACACGTTTATACCCTGTTCGCAGTCGCACGCGCATAGTCTACAGTCTATCCAGAATCTACAGCAAGATGACATCGAGTTCAACCACCTCCCACAATCGCCACCAGCGAGGTGGACGTTCCGGTCCCAAGATATCAATTGAATTTTCCAACTCTTGCCAACGATATACCACATGGGAGCCAATAGAGGGAACAGTGACAATTGGTGTGGATATTGAAACTATTATCACCAATGTTGACATAAGCCTGAAAGGTGCGTTCATCATCCCAGCTGTCGATTTTCGGTCTCAAAATGACTTGGGACGTTTCTAGGGGCATCTCATGTGACGTTATTACAACCAATATCTACTTGCCTAGAGGCCGGTGCTTCTCATATATTTTTAACGCGACGTCAACGTATTGACGCCGAAAATCTACCCCCATCTGGTGGTTTTAGACCGGGAATATCTTATCAATTTCCCTTCAAATTCCTCATTCCTGACCAGCTGCGTTTGAGATGCTGTAATGATGAAACAAGCCACAAGGATATCAAACACTCACACAGAGGAGCCCTCCCTACGCTAAGCTTGGGGACCTTGTCACAACAGTTGTGCGACATAACATATTTTGTTCATGTTACTATATCTCGGCAAAGTTCCAACAAAACAAATGCGAAGGAGATAATCGCGGATGAGAGAAGAGCCATTCATTTTATACCAACTAACGGGGAACGAGCATCTATCAGCAAATTAAGAACGTCCTACGCTTGTCGGCCCCGTACTCAACAAACAATACACAGCTTTTGGACAAAGCGAGCATCAGGGAGACTTGAAATGGTGACTTCAACATTACAGCCGATTCGAGTTCTATATCCGCCATACTTATCTACAAATGAAAGAGACACGCACGTTGAATTGCACCTACGGTTCGATCCCGTTAGGGAGGCTCAGCCACCTTTACTTGCAGAGATATGCTCTTTTCTAAAGCAGTCGACAGTCTTCAGCACAAAACCACAAAAGAGTCATCTCATGATTGAGAACGTTCTCACAGACCAAAGATCGCGTGGAGCATACGTGAAACTCAGTTCGCTTCCGCCACTAAATGTTTCATCTGTCAAATGGACAAAGCATGCGTTGCTCCATGATTCTTCCAGATCCGAGCAATATTACTACACAACATCGGTAGTCATTCCACTCACTATGCCGAGAAATCTCGACTTAGTGCCGACGTTTCACTCATGCCTTATTTCGCGCACTTACTCTCTCGAGCTCCGTCTTTCGTACCGTACGCCAGATGCGAAATTCCTAAAGCAGACAATAATATCAGAAGTCCCTGTTGATGTTGTCGGTGTGTCGACGCGTGATGGAAGCACTAGTGGTCTTCCTCGTCCCAACTCAAACATATCTGACACCAAAGGTATGTGACTACCAATTACGGCAGACGAACAATGCCCACCGCCAAGATATGACTATGCTTCCGCAAAATGAGTAGAGTGCTCTTAGTCACTCCTTGTGGTTTCAATTGGTCTGTAGCCTGTATATCTTTCACCTACTCCGGAGTAGGCGAGTGGGTCAAATAGTAAGGTTATGTAGGGCATAGCCCGAGTTACTATAGTAAGTTCTTCATTATGCTTGTCGTTCAAGAGGCTCAATCTCGGGAAAGTTCATGTATTTAAGTTAATTCAAGAATTTATGCTGAATATATTAGCTCAAAATATATTTAAACAAAATTTTAGTCTAGATATCCGAAATCCCTGCCTCAAGAAATCATATTAAAAAGAACCTCTACATCCATTGCATATCTCGCTGACGGGACTTCCCTGAAGATATACCTTCACCACATCCGACCAGTCCAATAGGAGATCATATAGCTCCAACGAGAATACAACTAGAACAAATGTGAAGTCACACACTAGTTTTCTCCAGTCGGAGCTACCTTAGGGGCGCTCTTTAGACTGTGCGCCAGTGCCAAGGAAATCGAGCCTGATCATGGGTGGCGATACCGGGGGACACTCTACTTCCAGAGGTCAACCGTTCGCCATGGCCTTGGATTGGAAACCATAAATAAGTATGAAGAGGTGTCGGTCTTAGCACCCGCCAGGAAGAGTGATGAGGACACGCTAAAATGGTGCATACGAGTCAGTCTCGCCCAAACTGAACTTACTCCAGAGTAGTTACAGCTAGTAAGCCATATTTAGACTATTTCTCATCCTTCGCCCCCACAAAACAGGAGCTATGAGATGGCGCTACCAGGGAGGACACCGGCTCCTCACCAGAGAGGGTCCCATTTCGCCCATCAATGGTCTTGATAGGCTACCTGGAAGTTGAGAGCCAATGTCAGCGCCATGTCAGTAGATAAGGTGGATTAGCAAAAGTTAGTAATACGAGCTTAGCCTATCAAGAAGGATTACAAGCTACCAACAAGTCAGAAAACATTAAAGAAAATGGGTATGTTGCTGTGGTTGTCCCATATGTGCATGTAAGCTAGGCGTCCTATCATTCCTTCAGCTCAAGATACTATGTTCGATGAAGAATCGTATGCTTATCTTTCCAAAGACTAAGTTGCGTGCGTGTGTCTGACATTGAGTAAACTATTTACGGTTCTCAGATAATACCAACACTTCAGCCTGAAGCAAGTGGAATGCGATTTGTACTTGGTGACATGTGCAATGTCCACTTGCCGGCCCACTGTTCTCTGATGCTGACTTGGAGCCGGACATCGCGCTTTGGATTCAACACTGTGATAGGGTCATTGAAGTCCAAGGTGGGATTATTGTCCCAAGCGCCACTACCAGGCCGTAGATTGGCTCGCATGGCTAGAAGGGCAACCAGAATGAGAATCTCAGTCGCAGCAAACTGTCGTGCAGGACACAGATGTGGTGGTGCGCCCCATGCCAGAAAGGCACTGGCACCACATTTGGCCGAACTTCTGCCCTGAACAAATCTATAAGGGTCAAAGTCAAATGCAGATGGACCCCAGACGTTGGTGTTGTAATGGATTAAATTTCCTGGCATTTGAAGGTAATTTCCTGCCTTCAGCAGGTATTTGCCGTCCAATAGGGTATCCTCCATTACCTTGCGAATAGCGGCGTGGATGTGACGAACTCGCTGTGTTTCTTGGAACACCGAGAGTAAAAGTGGGCACTTGGTTTTGAGGGCTCCGATGTCAAGAGCAAATTCGCCATCTTGTTCGACCACAGCCTGTGCTTCCAGCTCTTCTCGGACGTGACTGAGAATATCCTCTCGGGAAAATAGTTCCCAGATGGTCCAGTAAAAGGTAGGTACGGTATTGCTTAACATACCAATAGGCAGCGTCGCCTGTTGCTTGACACAGTCCATCTCCGAAATGCCGGCTTCACGCAAGACGCGCCACCGGTCTTTAAACAGTAGTGACGCATCTTGAGGGATATTTTTGCAGTACTTTATATGCGCCTCGAAGACCTTTTGGCGTGCCGCGTAGCCACTCCCAAGTAGATCAAAATTCAATCCCGAGATGTGTGCGGATAGGTGGGCGTGCCAGTTCCTGAGCACCGCATACACATTAGCGGTCTTATATTCTCTACAAGAAAGCTCCATAAATCCGGGAACACATACCAAAAGGCCTTTTCAACTTCTAGGTCACGAAATGGGTGTTCTGTTCCATACACACCACAGCTCGATGCCTGAGTGACAGCGTGCCGAGCCCAATCTAACAACTTGATTTGGCAGCCTTGCTTCTTGGTGTCCAAGCCATTCAACAATATATCAATTTCTAGCAAAGCCCTATTTCCCATTCTCTCATTCTGTTCGTCAAGGTGGGGTCCAGGTGCGAGACTCAATCTCATAGCGTGGCTGAAATCGGCTACTAGATGTGGGCCGCCAAAGATGTGGTCAGTCTCGTCACTCGCGTCTCCCCATCGCCGAGCGACATGCTGGAGCATCGGTCGGAATGACAAAGTCTTGGAATGCCTTTGAATAGCGGGTAGGAGCCGGGTGGAAATGGAAGTGTAGAGCTTCAACTTGAAAATTCCAAGGGTGTATATTTCCGCATCGGTGACATTTCTGTAGTTCATTTCAGGCAGATGAATTTTTTCTCATTCTTTCCATATCCACAATTCTCTCCGGAAACAATTGGCATACCTCAGCTTGCTATGGTACGATGTACCGCTTGTTAGAAGCCCAAGGACATGGCCGATCAACGGCACCTTCGATGGTAGGCGAGGCGGCTCTCGGGGGTCATCTTCGAGGCTGAAGGCATACTCCGTCGCATAGGCAAGCAAAGCTAGTGCCACGAGTCCGTACATCAACTCTTGAAGCATCATTACAAAATAAAGGGTACTTCTATCCTAGGATCAAGAAATAGACTTATCACACATTCGCCAAAGGGGAAGTTGATCAACCGAGCGTGAGAGGCTACCAGAATAAATGATCTAGGGAGAGAATCCTGCCAAGTTTCCTGTATATCCCACCATACTAATCGAGGTCAATTTCTCCACTGTACCCTACACTAGGCCAGAGGCTGATGGGGCCTGTTTGCATTGACCTCCCTTGGGCCAAGTACGGGTCTCGAACTCACTGACAGCAGATTTGATAGAACTCAACACTCTTCACGAGAAGGATACTTGTAATAATCGCCAAGCCTTCACTGGATGCATATCGCTACATTTTAGATTTACTACTAGTGCTGACATCAGAAAACGATAATATCTTCCACCAACGGTAGATATGGACATGATGTCTACTATCTGCCGGCATTAGCTCCACGCCACTTTGACACACTGAAGGATGTCTGTCGTATTTCTCCTAGATGTCAGCCTCCAAGTCCACTTCCACTGACAATTTGCCAGTGTCCACTTAATTTAAATGCCTTGGTGAATCGTACATACAACTCTAGTCATATGAATGGGTCTACTAGCTCTCACGTAAGGTTGGCTGGGCTGTCCACTAATCCATACCCCCACACCCTGGAAACGTGGTTGACAACTGCACGCCTAAATGAAACGAGATGACTGGCATCAAGCCAGGCTCGTATCCATGTGTCTGAGAGAAGTGGCTAACGTTTCAAAGTTTGCTGGTAATTCTAAGTGAAGAGCGAACCAGATGGAAGTACCAAGGGAAGTCATTGATATGGTAGGATGGTAGATATATAATTCCGCCGGTCGCCTCAATCGTGGAAGCCATAAGACCTGGCTACACACCACACAATACAACACACACCGTGACAAAAAAAAAAAAAAAAAGCTCTATATTCCAGCATGTACAATTTCACCTTACACCTGCCTGCTGCCAATACTACCGAGACGGCTGGGGATCCCACTATCTTGCACACTTTATTCTACTCATCCCCAACATTCACTGCCGTCATAGGGATCCTGTTAATAGGATGGTATCTAAAGACGATCGACACCAAAGATTCCCCTAACATCTACGGTAACTACAATTTCGATGCGCCAATAGTAGGGTACAAAAACAGGGTTCTAGCAAGGTGGCAGTTCTTTCGAAACGGCCCAGCCCTAATCCGCGAGGGGTACGAAAAGTATAGAGACACCTTTTTCAAAGTGTCGGGTAACGACCTCCTTATCGTCCCCAATAAATACCTAGCCGAGCTGGCAAGCATGCCACCTGAGAAGCTCAGTCTCAACACGGCCATTGTGGATGCATTTCAGCGGCTCCACTCCATCACTGCCGTTATCACCGATCACAGCCTACAATCGCGGATGCTCACATCACGACTGACACCCAAGCTCGGTTTGCATGTCCCGTTAGTCCAAGAGCAATTCCGCAAATACCTCCCACAAGAGCTGCCTGCAACCGAGAAGGAATGGACAGGCGTTAACGCGTTACACTTGTCCCGTCGCATGGTCCACAGAGGAGTGGCTACGCAGTTCGTTACTGAGCTAGCGGAAGACGAAGAGTACCTGTTGACAGCGATCAGTTACTCGGAGAACGGCTTTAGGCATAACTTTCTCCTGCGCGTTTTCCCTGATTTGGTCAAACCAATCGTTGCTCGCCTTCTCCCAACGAGCTGGGGTGTGGACCGAGCCCTTAGGAAGGCAAAGCGTATGGTCATCCCTATCATACACGAACGTCGTCGACGGGAGCAAGATGACCCTCTCTACGAAAAGCCTGATGACTTCCTCCAGCATCTCATGGATGGAGGCCTGGAACTTCACGATGATGTCGAGACAACTGTCCAGCGTTTGATGGTGACGTATCTTGGCTCTGGCCCCTCGACCATTATTGCCGTAGCGCAAGTCTTGTTCGATCTCTGTGCACATCCGGAATATGTCGAGCCACTGAGGCAGGAGGCACTGGAGGCCCTACACAAGGGAGGCTATACCAAACAAGCCTTGGCCGACATGAAGAAGATGGACAGCTTCATGCGAGAGTCCCAGCGGCTGAGTCCACCTACACTACGTCAGTTCAACCTATCCTCTGCTACTTGTTACGTTCCATGATGATATTAACTACCTCAGCAGTGGGTTTCAACGCCATTGTGCGCCAACCGCTAACTCTACACGACGGGACCATCCTCCCGGAGGGTGCCCATATCCAGATGGCAACCTACGCGATCGGCGTCGATCCCGAGCGAGTCCCCAATGCGGACAAATTTGACGGTCTACGCCAGTATAATAACCGGAGACGACCTGGCGAGAGTAATTGGCACCGTATGTACCTATTGAGAACCTAACTATAGAGTGAACACTGACACCTGACTATAGAGTTTACTACCACAAGCGAGAATAACCTGCACTTCGGTCATGGCAAGATTGTATGCCCGGGCCGTTTCTTTGCGGACCACTCCATGAAGATGATCGTTTCCAACATCCTCTTGAGATACCATATTCGCTTTCCAGGGGGATCCACGCAAAGACCGTCGAACTCAAGCATTTATGATGTGGTGGTTCCTGATTTGAGCACCTGCGTCGAGTTCAAGTTGAGAGAAGATGCATCTCAATGTGTTTTCTAGGTTAGAAACATTTGTTCATTTCGTTATGCTGTGGCATGGATATAGGATCAAGAAGATATAGATAAGTAACAGCAACATTTCATAAGGATTATCGCACTAAAAGGATTGTTACACATTCGATATGAGATTTAAGAAGAAACACAGAATCAGGAACAAATACATCCCAGAACCAAAACTCGTCACTACGAAAGATAAAACTATTGTTTTGGGCCTCATCCACAATCACTGATCCGGCTCTCGATGAAGGAGATGTACCGCTTACTCACGTACGTCCGGGAATTGCTTCATTTGGCATGATCCAACTCATCTACGAATTTTTCTAGTAGTGGCACCTCGATCGTAGTGGCCTCATCGTCGCCTTGATCTAGCTCCTCGTCAGAACCATCTCGTTATCTTTCGAGTCCTGTAGGTTCGGACGATTCCTCTTCGAAGAGTCGCTGTACCCGGGTTGGGTCGTCCTCTGGCCGCAGGCACTATAGGCCATGATACTGATAGGGGTGGTGCGGCGGTTGGTTGGTCGGGATCACTAATGTTGTGCTTCTTGGACTTCTTATCATCAGGGCAGGTAGCCGTTTCTGCGACCTGATCAGCTCTCGCCGCCCTGGGACGTTTGGATTCCTTAGGTGGCCTCGTGAAGTCAAGAATATGTGATAAGGTATGTGGTGTAGGAATAGCAAGCGTGTAAGAGGCAGACAATAGGAGTAGGATAAGATGATAGACAGGGGAAGGGGTGAGACGAAAGTAGAAAGCTACAAAACGTGAGAGTAGGGAGAATGTCAAGCTATCAACAACAGTCAGCTTTACTGCCATGGAAAAATAATGAGATCAAAGGGGCGTTTAAAATGAGCGTTAGTTTCTAGTCATTATGCTCCCCATTAGAGCGGCTCGTGCAGTGGATCAGAGACAAGGCTTGTATTGTCTTCCCGAGGTAATCATCTGGAATCATGGACGAATACCTTTTATATCACCTGGAATTCAGCCTCGGGGACTGTGATGGAATGATTTGGGTTAACGCCAGAAGGGGAGGACGGACATGCTGTCCAATATCAGTTGGATCGGCAGGTGCAGAAGTGTTACGTGGGTCTAGCTATTGCTCTGGCTGTCATAGTCTGAGAATCTTATCGTAACTGGTTTAGTCTTTCTAAAGAGCCAATTTCAATAACAAAAGATAGGTGATCCTAATAACCTCTAGTTTCCGGAGAGTACAAACCATCTACTTCTTTTGGAACGCCACTCAGAAGCTCACATCGGCCCAATTTGTAACTTTTCAACGGCGGGAGTCTGATCCCCGACCAACACATATTTGGATGATAGAAATGTTTGTTTAACGAGAGTTCTGTCTGTACTATATGGGAATCCACTAACTATTCAATGTAAGAATTCACAGAGAGTGTATGGATATAAAAATGCTGAAAACTGTGACAGGGTACCTACGGAAAAGGGGCTCTTCACCGTTCAACATATTCATCGAGTGCTCCCAGCTTTCAACCATTCAGGCAATTGTATACCACAACTGCTGCAAGAGGAAACCGCCTGGACAGCGTAGACGAGCCTCCACTGAGCGGTAACTCTTTCTCGAAGGACTGCATACAATCAAAGACACCAGAAACATAAAGCGATAGAGGGGGACTGAAAGAGCCCCGAGGGACCATTTAGAGGCAGTGTCCTAAGCCAGTGCCTAGGCACATGTGTCTGCCATAGCCAACTGCTCGATACGGACGTTAAACTTGATTAATAATAACAATAATAAAGACACCAAAAGACATTCCAGAAGGCCTCACATTTTCATTGAATAAGACCTGTTTCAAACGTTAAGGTTTCGTCATTCTTCATGAGAACCCAAATGTATATACGATATACAAGATATGGATGTTTTATTCACGTAAGCAGTAGCCCTAGTAAATTACAGTAAAACCTGCCCGGGAAGGTTCATCTCCACCTTTCCAATTGCACCGTTGCCAGTCACCCAAATGGTTTCAAAATTGCTCCCTGTCCATATGAAATTCTGAGCATTGAAACTAGTCTGTACCCGAAGGATCAGCTGTCCTGTCTGGTCAATAACATCCAGACCAGCTCCAGTCGCTGTCACGATATATCCGTTCCGGGCACAGCGAACACCATCCGTAGCACCATTTCCAGCGGTATAAAGCGGCCGTTTGCTGACTGGATATGTGTAATCTTCCGATAGCTTGTACTCATAGATTGTCCGCTCTCCAGCAGAGTTCCATGTATCTTTCTTCCCGCGGTCCGCCGGCGCGTCGGAACCGGAGTATGCGCCTAGGCGGGAGTTGAGACTTGAATGGGTCTATTTTCGGGTCTGCACTTACCGCTGTCTCCGATATACAGGATCTTTCCATCAGGACTAAACCCGATGCCATCAGGTTGATGAAGCGAATCGTCAACTATATGAGTTGCTCTAGTCTTAGGGTTGAAACGCCAGGTGGCCGTCTTCAGCTGAGGAGCGGTGTCTGAAGTACCAGTGTACCACGAGTAGTCTTTATGACGGTTTGTCAGTCATGGCAAGTAAAAGCGTAGGGCTGTAAGCTACTTACTCGGATCAGTGAACCAGACATCACCTGTTATTGGGTGCACGACTAAATCATCGATCGTGTTGAAATAATACCCGAAGTAGTTATTGAGCCAGACTTGGCTTTCGTTCGTCTCGGGATCCCAGGTCTGTAGGGACGGCTTGAACTCCTTGCCAGAGGTGTGATTGCCCCCGGAGGCGCCAAACCATACCAGGCCATCCTTGAAATAAGCACCGTTGGGAACGTAAATGGGAGGATCCGGCAGGAAGTGTTCTAATACAGGAGGATGTCGATTTAAATCGACAGAAAGCAGCGGTAGATGTCCGACAGCTAGTTCGGCAAAGACCAGCCGGTTTTGTGAAGGGATATAGACTGGAGCTTCGTGGACGTCATCGCTGACGTTGAACATAATTTCGACGGAAGGACTAGGCCCGAGGATCTCTAGTCCGCGCTCTCTGTCAAATACCACAAACGAGGCATCCTTGATAAGGTCCCATGAGTGGCCCGAGTCGCTGTTAATCGCTACTGCACCCAATGATTGGCCTGCGCCTTCAGCCGATGAACGTTCAAAATGATATCTACAATTGGTTAGAGGTCAAACTTCCTTAGCTGAGTGGGCCATTAAAACACATACGGAAGAGCCGAGGCATAGTCACTCACGCATACTACACCCGTAGGGCCGCATCTCTCAACCAGGGGTTTTCCCTCTAGCGCGAGCCTCCCAAGTAATGCTTGAGTGGTGAAGAAGATTGATTTGATGTTTGTAGTACGCACCATGGCAACGTCAGTGCTTCCAGGAGGTATGGGGTGCTGCCGCTTAAAGTAATAGAACTAAATATAACAACCGAAAGCGATGCTTTATCTATTTTATTTGGTTGGGTTAGTGGTTGAACCAGTGTCTTTGGGTGAGGGGGAAAGCTTCAATTACCAAATTCGGTAATTCAATCTTCCTCCCCGCCACATCTTGATATCCACTGAATTGACGTAAAGGCTAACGCAGCTGGATCTTAACTTAGATTTGATAAACTATCCACGGATCCCAAACCTGTTCCCCCTCCAAACTTGAAGCTCCTGCCGCAAACGTTGTACGAATGTTTTTACAGCTTCCAATTCTTTGGATGCTTTTGCCATTAGTGTCTTGATAACTAGCTGAGAAACAGCAAAAATGCCAGTTGCCTGCTATGGGAGCGTGGCCGGGGACATCCATGATCAAGATGATGCAGAGCTTGAGGCAACTGGATATCAGAGAGAGATGCCTCGGCAGTACTCCATGATGTCACTCCTCGCATTGGCATACGCGCTTATATGTACCTGGAATGGGTTTGGAAGGTGGGTTCAAGTCGTCCACAGAGTAGCTGAGTCTCGGAAATGTTTTGACCATTTCCTTAAATTATACAGTGCATTGGGGACTGGCCTGAGAACAGCCTCAACCGCGGGGAGCATTTTCATGCTTCTACCAGCGGCAGGTTTCATTGGTGTAGTCTCTCTCGGAATGGCAGAGCTTACTTCTGCGTACCCAGTAGCCTCGGGTCAGTTCTACTGGGTTTATGCTCTCTCCCCGCCAGAATGGGCCCCATTTGCATCATATATGTTCGTTCTTACTCTGGATCTATTAAGGCACTGGCTAACCGCCAGGATTCCCAGGACTGGTGTTATTAGCGTGATTGGCCTTTGGCTTGGAGGAGCCAGCACTTACAACTTTATTTCGGGGATGACACTTTCCATAGCACAATTCATACACTCCGACTATGAGATTGAGGCATGGCACAAGTATCTTGTCTATGTCGCAGTAGTTTGGCTGTCTGCGGGGATTAATATCTTTGGGTCCCGCGCGCTCCCCAGTTTTAACAAATTTATATGTGAGCCATGACCGTGTCTCCCAATTCACAAGAATGTGGACAAACAAATGCTTACATACTTGGTGGGATAGTTTCCTTTTCTCTAGCAACTTTTATAATCAGTGTGGCTGCTATGCTGGCGGGATCGTACCCAAATTATCGGCCTGCAAGATGGGTGTTCACGGACGTTACAGACTCAACTGGATGGGGTGGCAACGGCGTTTCGTTGATTTTCTGTTTTATAAACGCCCTCTATGGCTTTCTAGGGACCGACGCCGGTGTTCATATGACAGAGGAGATCCCCAATCCATCAGTGAATGGGCCAAAAGTTATCGTGTGTGGCCCCTTCGTGTACTGTATGACTGCAACGTGTTCAACTAACTCGATGAAAGCTATATCCAGTATTGATTGGCTTAATGACTGGTGAGCCTAGGGCAATTGAGGCTCGCTTTGCCAGACGATGGGCTAACATCTAAATTCAGTTGTCCCCTTCGCCTGCACTTGCATGTTTGTAATTAAGGACATGGATGCGATCCTCCACGCACCGAGCGGTCTCCCACTTATTCAGGTTTATTACCAAGCTACTCAAAGCTCTACTACCACTGTCCTCCTGATGGTCGCTTTTACCGTTTGTTTCTTTGCGTGCGGTGTTGCAAATATGACTGGGGCTTCCCGTCAGATATGGTCTGCAGCCCGGGACGAATGCTTTCCACTATCAGAGTACTGGAAGAAAATCAATCCGACTTACCAAATGCCGCTAAATGCGGTGCTCGTTCAAGCTGTCTTCAATACCGTATGTTATTCATCTCGCCAATGACGAGTTTCCCTAGATTGATCTGAGATTGACGTTGCATTCAGGCATACGGACTTATCTTCCTTGGATCCCAAGTAGCCTTTTCGTTGATGGTTAGCGCCTCCATCATCTTTCTTGTCGGCTCTTATGTTATACCCCAGGCTATACTCACGTTCAGGAACCGGGAAAGGCTACTGCCTCCGCGTGCTTTTGATCTTGGGCGGTGGGGATATATCGTGAACATGATGTCCACTGTTTGGACTCTGTTTCTTTGTATCGCCTGTTGTATTCCTACGGAGCTTCCAATTACCAAGAGTAATATGAATTATAATAGGTGTGCTACTCCAAAACCTTACATCCCCTCTCTGGATTGCTCCCTCTATGGTTACTTTTCGATAAACTAATTCATTCCGGTGAACTTTGCAGTGTCGTGGCCCTGTCGCTCCTTGCACTTGCTTATGCAGGTTGGATCTACTCAAGGAAAGGGGTGTTTAAAGGTCCCAAAATTGATACACAATTGTTATACAATGCCAGGGTAAAGGCTTTGCAGGCTACGGACGAACAGATCGATGAGCGGACCTATCTTATACAACACAATTCCGCCTATGTTGATTTTTAGCAGAGCTCTGTATGCCATGGCTTAACCAGGTCTGTTGTCCACTGATGTATGTTATGTGTAGAAGGCAATATCTCTCATAGTAGATTTAGAAGAATGGACGATATGTCAAATGGGCCGAATGAACTTAAACGAACCGCGCATTTTGTAGCGTCGGGTGTGGGAGTTAGTTGACTACACTTGACCACAAAGAATCTAGTTAAGAGTAAAAATATTATTACTCATCAGGTTTTATTAGTTCTAGGCTGAAAGGAATTACTCAAGATGGGATATATTAGAAGTGGGGCCTGACATCTCGTATATTCTCTTGTTTCATCCCACCCTAATATATCTCCCTGATTCGACCATTCCGCCTTGTCCCATACCTCGCTAAGAATGGAACCATCCTACGGGTGGCATCATTCCCGCCGGAGCGAAGATGCTGGGTGTTCACGTCCCACGGAAAGACATATTCAGATGACGCGCCGGATAAATGCCCCACCCAGAGGCCGTTACAGCCCAGAGACCAGTATAGGTCGATTTAAAACTGCTTAATGAGATTCTCGAAGGACATCACAGACAGCACACCCAGATCTTTACTACCATACATATCAGACAACTACGACATCAGCTACGCGAGTGTTTCCCTCATCTTCGTTGCGAATGGACTCGGCCATCTTGTTGCCACGCCCCAGGCTTATTTTGTAGTCCAGAAAGTAGGCAGGATAGGGGGGCGTACATAATTTTTTAAGCCCTCATGGCTATGAGTTTCTTGATTCTGGCCTGCCATCGTGGTTTCCCTGTTACCGTTGTCGCATTTTGGTTCGTTGGAATTGGCGAAGCCCTCAACCTGGCTCTCAATAATGTCTACTGTGCTACGCTCCAGGGCAGAATATCGGCCTTTAGGGCTTCTCCACGACAGCTATGGTGCAGGAGGAACCCTTCGTCTATTTCTGGCTATGTCCATGGTGTACCGTGGACCCAATTTTACTGTGTTACTTTGGCATGCACAGTAGTAAACGGCATTACCTCATCGGCACTTTTTCGCGAACACAAGTCAGGCGAGAAGGATTCAGAATGTGAGCCTCTGCCAAGTGAGGATGTAGAATCTCGACAAATAACCAAAGCTCTGCGGATTTCCAAGCATCCCTCAGCCTGATAGCCCAGGCCTATTACAAGTTGTCATCCCAAACCGCACCACACTTCTCGGGTAAATTTTATCTTCGCCTATCAGGGAGTCGAAGTGTCCATGTTAGGCTGGATGATCGAATTCTGATCACGTACCGCGCGGGAGATCCTGCAGCAGTTGGCTATATCACCGTCGGATTCTGGGCCGGGATATCACTCGGATGTCTCTTTATCTCCCCCTTCGCCCACCGCTTTGGATAGAAGCGTTCGGTGTTGTATTTCATCGTGGGATGTATCTTGCTCCAAGTACTCGTTTGGTGTGCATGGACTATCATAGGAAACGGGATCGCGACGGCCGGGATTGGCCTCCTGCTTGGACCGGTCTATCCGTGCGCAGTATCCTCTTCGGTCGCGTCCTTCCCCATGAGTTGCACATTACGAGCCTCTTGTGGTATCAGTGCCATGGGGAGTAGTGGTCGTGCCGTAGTTCCCCTTAAGGTAGGCTTCGTAGCGCAGAGGTTTGGCACGGTCATTCTTCATCCACTGTATGAGATAATGTATGGCATAATGCTCACAAGTTGGGTGATGTTACCCAATTCTACGGAAGCGGATGAGAACTAAATATAAGCAATGGGACGTAGACTGATGTCTGCCATGTTCTATGCGAGGATCTGTTTTCGGACAGTGGTAATGGTGTGAAATAATAGGCCTATTGTTAGGACACACTAGATGATTTTTTTTCTCTCCTACATTCTATTGCTTTTGCATTGTATATATTGCTGCAACACTCCAGCTCCTACGTACAAATTCTTAGCGAAGATATGAGTATTCCATCTGGCACGTGTTTTTAACTATTTATTATGAACAATTTGTCGCCACGAGCGGAAAAATTACCCTATTTGGTAATTCTGGATTACTGCAGAATGATTCATGATATTTGAGGTTATTTATTCGGCTGATCAACGCTATTATTGCAATTTAGTATTCAAATGAACACAATTCAGCCTATGTATCTGGACCTTTCCTATTCAAACCCAAAAATACCTTTGCCACAATGGCGTCGTCAATGGGAGAAATATTTACCGGCTACGAGACCCGGCTAGCCACACTGAAGGCAAGCAACAACCCGTTTTCCAACGGAGTCGCCTGGGTAGAAGGCCAGCTCACCCCACTATCAGAAGCTCGGATCCCATTACTCGACCAGGGGTTTCTGCGGAGCGATTTAACCTACGACGTGCCAGCGGTATGGGATGGACGCTTCTTCCGCCTCGACGACCACCTCACCCGTCTCGAGGAAAGCTGCCATAAAATGCGAATGCGACTTCCTCTGCCGCGCGAGACAATCAAGCAAATACTAATTAACATGGTTTCTCAAAGCGGTATTCGCGACGCCTTTGTCGAACTGATCGTGACCCGAGGCTTTAGATTTGTCCGTGGGGCCAAACCCGAGGAGCTCCTCAATAACAACATCTACATGTTCATCCAACCTTATGTCTGGGTTATGGATCCAGCCCTCCAACAGACGGGAGGTAAGGCTATTGTTGCGAGGACCGTTCGACGGATCCCACCCGGGTCTATCGACCCTACCATCAAGAACCTGCAATGGGGCGACCTGATCCGGGCCCTGTTTGAAGCTTCGGATCGTCATGCGACATATCCCTTCCTAACAGATGGAGATACCTACCTTACTGAGGGCGCTGGTTTCAATATTTTTATTGTCAAGGATGGGGTACTTTATACTCCGGACCGTGGTGCACTACTAGGAATTACCCGTAAGAGTGTGATTGAGGTTGCTTCTGCCCGTGGGGTCGAGGTCCGAATCGAGCCTGTTCCCGTGGAAATGGCATACCATGCGGATGAAATCTTCATGTCGACTACGGCTGGAGGAGTTATGCCTATTACTACACTTGATGAGGGTCCTGTCGGTGATGGAAACGTGGGTCCTATTACTAAGGCTGTTTGGGATGGATACTGGGCGATGCACTATAATCCGTTGTACACTGTGGAAATTGACTATGGGCAAGAGAATGGTTTCGAAAGATGTGAAAGATCAGTTTTGTGATTGGTGTCTACTACTTTACCTTGTTGTTGCCGCTTAGTTGGCATATTCTCTTCTGTTTTATTAGCCCAGAAGGCTAGAAAGAGTTCGTCCTAATACTAGATGGCCATAAGAATCACGGAGGATTTATCTGAGATTGCTGCAAAGAGTAATTTGAGTGGCCAAATTACCCGTCTAGAAAGGCAAAGGAAAGACCTGAGGTCCTTGGTAGGAGTAGGGTTGCTGGTTGTCATTTGACGTAATTCGCCTTCTATACATCAGGTCTGGTTCGGGGCGGGGAAGACTTAACCAGAATTGTATGTACATTGCGGGGTTGAAACCCATTTAAAAGTGAGTATAACGTATTACAGGTTGCTGTATCAATGTCGTATTTTACATATACTTGCACTAGCTTTATGAGAATTGGTAAGTGATGCTTTGTATAGACTTATAAGATATTGAATAGGTTACAAGCAGAATATTCACATCACTTGACCCGTTTTCCCACAAGAATATATACAATAAATTTAAGCGGGGTAAGGTGACCTAGAGTCACAAGACCAGGAGATGCCCCCAGGCAAGGTTCTTTCGGTACCTGATAATAATACTCCTCTACTCGCCACACTGCCGTATCGTCACCTGGAATGGGAGGCCTGAATCCCTAGCGATCCGTCCCGGTTGCAATACAACTAAATCTATGTCTAATACAGTAAACAGCTATGGTGAAAGAAGAACAGAAGCCTGGGGCCGGGGCCTTTCGCTTCGTTAACCCTCGGCCCCGGAAGAAAAGACGACCGAATCCTTTCTGGGCTAACCAATATAATACGAAACAACATGGAGTCCCCGGGAGACATAGTCCGGGCGCAACAGAGGATTCGTATACTTCTCGCCCGAGCAATGCCATGAACAGAGGGATCTTATCACCGGAAAATGAAAATAGTCCCACGGAGACGAGGGACTGTGTCTATCAGGAGCAGCATCGGCGATCGAGCATAACCCCAGTTGACATAGGAATGTCAGCGCCATGCGACTCCAGCGCCGAATTGCCGGATCATTTGATAGATACGTTGGACACCGAGACTCTTTGGGATATAATGGACGTAAGAATGTCAGATAACTGGCACAATCACCATGACTTGTCCACATCCCATCTTGCCCTTCCGTCTCCTATGCCGTCTGGTCCCTCATGTCTCGATGAGACGCTAGCTCTGGAAGACCATGACACATATGGTAGGACTGGACTCCACGAGAAACTCAGCCCTGACAACAGTTCAAACCGGCTCTCTTTGACTCCTGTTCCGGATACATTTCCCGGCACTGGAGCCATAGAGCAATGCCCGAATCCATCCCAAAGAACTACACACTCTCTATTCAATTTAGGGCCGTGGCCGCGGAAAAGTTCGCCTCTCGCCTTTTCCATGCAGCCAAAGTCTCCAGATGTAAGTGTGCAGACTCTTATTGACAGATGTAAGTGGAAGCTGGTCCTGGGCATAGATAACAAGATAGAAAAACTTACCAATCGCGTAGACAACCGCCAGTTCTGTGCTCTACCCATAACGTCAGACTTTCCCTATAATCCATTCCGTTGCCAAACGAGGGGCTTGGATACCTCAACTGGCCTTCTCCACGCCTTTCTAGCCATAGCGTATTACCACATAGATCGTGAAAGCCCACATGTGGAGTACAGCGCGGAGATGAACTTTCACAAGGGCGCCGCAAGGAAGCTCTGTGAAACTGAGCTGAAAGACAAGACTCTCCTTCGGCCTATCTCAAGCTTCAGTAATTTGATAAATACAATTGCTGTGTTATTCACATTTGAGGTGAGCAAGGACATTCTCTAATATGATATATCTCACAAATGAGTATGGTAGGCAGCTCAGTCGGCCATAGGCAGGTGGTCGCACCACCTAACATGCATTCATGATATCCTTGAACATTCTGGGGGGGCGTCTGCCTTATCCCGCTCCCCAAAGCTGCAAACACAAGTTATCATATGTCTCTGGTGAGTAACCGCGAATAAAGAATTACTCGGGACTTACTGTGTGAGATGTACTAACAATTTTGCGTAGGTGGGACGTGACTGTGGCGATGACTTCACGTGAGGCCCCTGTCTTTCCCTACAGCTATTTCAATGAGCTCCTCTCGTTGGAAGAAGAGTCCCTTTGGACTTTCTTCGACATGACAGGCTGCCCACGTGGACTACTCGTGGCCCTGGTTCAGCTTGCGCACATGGCTGCGGAACGAGAGAGGGTCCTTGGCATGCGGTTTGCATGCTTTAACTTGAAATTAGTTGATGATATCGAGGATTCAATATACAATTGGTCCCCTTCTTCCCACGAAGAACCACTGGACTGGAAAGATGAAGAGGAGATGCACCTTGAGCAAGATCGGATTCATTGTTTTGAGGCGTGGCGGTTTGCCCTACTCCTGTATATCCAGCGCGTGTTTCGGTGGAACAGGAAAACTGCCCCGTGGGGTAGAATTAAATTCCTGGCCCGCAAAGTTGTGGACCATATCCAGTCATGTCGACTCTCGTCTTTCGTATCAAAACAGGTTCTCATGCCAGTGTTTCTCGCTGGCGCTGAGCTACAGAATCAGGATTGCCATGATACAGTGCTTCGGTATTGCCATGAATGGCACAAAAAGAGTGGATATAAACCGTTTGGAGATACTAGATCCTTGTTGGAGGAGATCTGGAAGGAGCAGGAGGAAAGCGATTCGCAGTTGGTCTGGTGGGGGTCGGTTATAGATGCAAAACATAAGAATTTCGAGTCATGCGAGCGCTATAAACTGGGATGATAAATTTAACGGATAGCATTTTGCTTCAAGAATGATGTTTGGATAGCCATGAGCTGTCATAATCTTCATCGGACTCCGAAGGTATTATTTCTTGAATTAATTCTAGAGTAATTGCATTTAGTAGGCTTGTTTCCCTGCTTGGAGTGGTTATTGCTTGACAAACCATCCATAGCGATATTGAGGGATGTACTCCACCGAAATAGGAACGCCAGTCAGCAAACCGACCCTATCCTAGGCTCCGGTGATGATAGGTTTTACGTTTGTAAACAAGATGGCCACCAACTCAATTACTGGCCGATTTGAGATCCTATAAATATCAGACAAGGAAAATGCCAAGCTTTGGCGAGTGAAAAGGACAGAACCTAGAAGAATTAATTACTAGGGCCAGTTGTATCAAAAGGCTTCTCATTGCTCTATATACCAACCACCAAATACCCCTCTAATCCTAGACCTATAAATCCAATATATATCTTCTATAGCCGTGCTTAATCGTGATACCGCCCTGGCGCCAGATCGTAGGTGATCACGCGCTCATCACAACGCTGAAAGTTAATACGTGTGAGTTTCTTGCTGCAGACGGATATTCAATCATTTTGGAAGGTATAACACTTGAGATATGGAACATACACTCAGATGACAATATGCAGATGTAGCCTTCCTTGAAGCGGGGCACAACTGGCATTTCAGTATTTGACGGCAAGGCCGAGATGTTTCCAGACCTGAGGACGGCGCTTAGATGCTACTCGACATGCGAACGGCTGCACATAGATGGTCTTCGTGACAACCCCGAGTATCAGGCCTTTACAAGTGCCTTTGGACAAACGCACTCAATGCTAGACAGCGCTAGGCAAGGCCGTGAAGAAAGCGGGACGTGCTCTACCCTGTGACTGATTATGGCCAATATGATCTGAGAACTTGGTTAATATTTTCTGGTCAAACGTTTCTGGAGTTGGTGTCTGGGCCACTATGTCGCACTTGCAAAATTCGGTATGGGTACCGTAATGTTTGATATGATATGGATTACAATCGTACAATGTGTCCCTGACTTTATAACTCGTGTTTTAGCTGCAGGGTGCCGAACAGGCCCACTGATGTTCCAATGATGAATCTTTCTTACTTTCATGTAATGCGTCCACACTACAGTGCCATTGCGAAGCCAATAGCAGGAAAGTACGGTAGCCGATAACTTAAGATGCCCTCCAATTTGTCATGAAAGTGAGGTCACTCTGTGTGCATATCAAATCATGGTTTATGCTCAAGGGCTTTCTCAGGGTATTTATCAACATTGAATGCCCGGCTTGTGTTGGTCAGTAGACATTGTCAGTAGACATAAAAACCATACTTGCGAAGCTCGGATCAAGGCTGGTATAAAAGCTGTACATCCGTCTCATTCGAAACGACTTTGCCATCATAAGTGCAGTATAATGTCCGTAGCCCTTGTTCCATTAAGCTGTCGTCGATATCAGAGGACATTACGGTAGAATATATGGTGGAGCTGACCGAGCATGATTGGGCTATTTGGCGTCAGTATTGGCCCAATACTGACCACGAATATACATTGGAAGATACATTTCCAGTCTAGAGTATTAGAAAACAATGAAAACGGGTTCAATATAGCTACAGGGCACATAGAATATCATACTTATGATTTATCACAACTGAGGGAATATTGCCGATTACGTTAAAATGCCGCATTCCAGGCCACTTGCCCACATCCACATATATCGAGGTCCGGGAAGTCAATCAACCTAATCTCTATGCACGTCTTTATACCAACTACTCAGCATGTCGTGCAGCAATTGTCCCTCTGATAATGGAAAAGTCTCCCCGCCCTATGTTGACGACAAGAGTCTCTCAGTACCTGAGGGATCTGCTTTATTGTCGTCGTCTTGTTGCTGTTACCGGTATACCTCCCCAATTGATCATAATTATTCCATGCATTCTAAGTTGTGCTAGGCTGTCTTTGATCTTCTCTTTGCGGGCTCAGTTACTACCGCTGGCATTGAAAGACTACGCCATGTTTTGTTCGCCATCTCGATCTTAACCCTCGTGTAGAGCATTTTGCGTGAAGGCTTCAATCGCAGTATGCAAGGCCGAGCGGTGATTTGTGCTGGTCTGATAGCGTGGGAGCAGTATAACCGGAGAGTTCACGCTGCACAGGAGCATCACAGCTGCCACTGACTCTAATTAGTTTCGGGTTGAAAGTAGCGACGCGAGGAGTATCATTTGAAAGCTGGTTTCCATGTGAACAGTGTGATCGTATCCAACCTGGGTTTCAACTGAATTTCGCTTTTGCAGCCCAAAAGAGGTGGAGGGATGGTGTCAACCAAAATTACCACTAAAGCTCTGCCATCAGCCACCACTGCTCCATTCAAATTAGTGCCTTGATCACCATCTAGGCCACGATTCCACCATACCGCCATGAAATCGTATTGTTCAATGAACATTTTGAGGCCTATAAGTATTGCTCGTTTCATCATTAGATCAGAAATCAGACCTTTGCATTTTCATCTCTGCATGCCTTTGGATTCAGCGGTAGATTAGTAGGCAATACGGAATTCCACATTCTGATAAATGGGAAATTAGACAAGGAAAGGTAGTGACCACCATTACATATTCGGATTATGTATATTGGCCTCATTTCTGGCTGATATTTGATTTCAACCTACAGGAGCCCCTTCTACTGCCGTCTAGTTCGCTGTTGGGCTTCTCACAAGTCCTGCCATTATCTGGGTAAGTTCGCTTCGTAGGGGAATAGGTCACTTGCTATCTGAGGAAGTAATTCTAGTGTCCATGGTATGATGGGGAGTATAGAGTATGTAAAATATCTGACTTCGATGGATCCCTTCAAGCTCTCCTCCGCCGTTTTGCAATAGACGACATACTACAGTCTAATAATTGGAAATTCCCATCTTTCACCACAAGCAAAGCCCACATTTCTCAAGCCTCCTAGCTCCATACCGACGGGAGAGGTTTGTAGCTCACTCATTTTCACCTTCATCTGATTCCAGAACACTGCCCCCGTGCCCCCAATTCACTCTTGCCAAAGATCTTTGAAATCTGTCTATTCCACTGGTAAGGGTAGGATCGCTCTCAATGCAAAACTCCCTACTCTCTCCAGGTTCGGTAAACGATGACGGCGCTGTCACAAACAACTCGTGTGTCCGGTTTTCGTCGGCTGAGCCCTCATCCTTAAGCAGTGAAGATGCTCCATAGTCTTTATGGCTATCGCTTTTTGATGCCTCTGTCGCAAAAAGTCTTCCTGGAGTTGTACCGCCTGAAAAAAGGCTCCCACCGAGGGAGTCGGAAACCTTCGATAAATCAAGAGAATGTGCTGCCATCAGAGAAGCTAGGCGATTTGAAATTTCATCGTCACAGGGTTCAGTCTCTGTATTTTCCAATTTCATCAACGCCAATTCTGATAGTTCAGGAATACTCCCTTCTAGCAAAACACTACTGGAGACTTCAACTTGTTCGCGCAGAACCATTGCAAAGGTTCCGCAAGCAGCTGGGTGGTTTATTGATAGAGACTCAATCAGTGCCTCTGGGAGGTGCTTTGAGTAACTTATATGCCTTTCATTTATATCACAAGGCACGACCACTTGCAGATGCCCAGTTGAGTAGTCCATGTGTAATCTACCAGGTGTTTTGATAGATGTAATTAAACCAGAAGGCAGCTGCAAACTACGCACTTCTGTAATATCGTCACTGGTATAGACGGTTGCATACCTGGATATTCGGTGCAACTTCTGGGTGGCCTCATTGTTTGTTGCACCAACATAATGTACGGCACATCTACTATAAGTTAGTTGGGTTCGCAGATTATAATAAAGGCGTTTAAGGTGTGGCTCACGAACCGACACAATACTGTGGCTTTTTGCTGGAACTCTCGAGTAAGATCCGGAGAGAAAACGGCGCAAACAACGGATGTTTTGCTCGTGGCGGCGGTAGATACAAATCGACCGCTTAACCCTAGAGCTTCCAGGAACGGCCTCAACTCTTGGGCTTCTTTGGGTGTAAGTTGAAGCGTTGGCGCCTTTTCACGGAATAGAAGTGGCCAACCATCACGATCAATGATAAGAAAGTCGTCCCTGGTTGAGCCATAGTGAAAGTTTCCGTCTGGCGTAACTATCGGTAGAAGCTTGACATCCCTGAGTGATTCAAGGGCGGACTCTATGGGTTTATATTTGCTTATATGACGGATTGCTTCGATAACCATATCGGCAGGGATGTTGTCTTGAGTAGACAAGTACTCGATCTGCGATATGTAGGTGTTCATTGACGGTCGTTGTACACCCATCTTGATGAAAAATTTTTTCAAATCTGGGTATATTTCGCTTATCCCGATTTTTTCGCCTACTGATGTTGCAATCCATATACAACCCTTGGGTGAATACCATTTCTTCGAGGCCGGCTCGTACAGTAACCCGTAGTTATCAAATTGGTTGCTAGTCATTATAGTGTGCGATTAGCGTCTATATTTTCTCTGCTCCTCCCGAGTACTTACCGCAAGCTCTTCCAATCCTCGTCACCTTTTGCATCGTGAAGGATAGCCTTGTACACGTTGTAGATCTGTTCGAGGCTCCCGGCGCTGGTAAGTTTCAAGAAGACCAAATCGTCGAGGTAAGTTTGCAAGTCAGCATCTCTAACCCCAAGTAGGGTTTGGAAAAGATGCTTCACTTTCGCGTTTTGGGAATACTCAGAAAATGAGGCAAGGGCATATGAGGCATGTAGCCACGGAGGTCCGTTCCACATGCACTTTTCCAGCTTAACGAGTAACCCCTCTTTGCTTCCGGCCGGGATGTATACAGCTGCTTCAGTATTTAAAAAGACCCTGTGATAGTCAGTCCGAAGACCCCTCACTGGCTTTAAGTACCTATACATACCGTATTTCCTCACTCCAGTTATCTTTCATTACTTTGTATAGTGAAAAAAAAGCCCTTTTTCGATCACTCGGTGTCATGCCTGTCGCCTCCGCCACAATCTCCTTCAAGAATGGCACTGTAACATTTCCAGTTGAGCCAAATATACCCAGGAAGCACGCTTCCTTTTCAATATACGGCCCCCAGTTCTCGGGTTCAGCTAGGTAAGGAAACCTATATCCCAGGCCAAGTACTTGATTAGATATCCTGCGAAGTTGTGGCAGGGGGATGTAAGTCTGATCAAGCCTTCTGTCACCGGCACCTGTTGGAACAACTGCTTGCTTTAATGCAGATACAACTGACGGCGTCATCTCCTTCTCGTAGGTTTTCCAATGTGTCTTGAGGATTCCCAGTATGATATCTGGGCAATGGCTCACAATTGCCTCAAAGAAATTGGAGAGTCTATTGGGAGCTTGCGGATTTGTTAAGCGTGGGATTTGACGAATTAATGCTACATCCTCGAGCCATTGTATCCACGGATCAGAGACGCCATGTGTCGTAGTTTCTATCGAGTCATAGTAATCTGGGTGAAGGAAGCGGACATATTTCTCGTAGGATGATCCTTTCAACTTTTGTAAGATGTTTTTGAGTCCGTAGGCACCCTCCGTCTGAAAGTAGACGTCGTCGGTCTCATAATTGAATAGGGTACAATTTCTCCTGAATGGAGTCATGGCCTGATCAAGGAGCAATAAGCAGGGGCATTTCCCATTCGCGCCGGTGAGTCGCGTTTTATACATATACTTCAGGATTTTGACGGAGTCAGTAACAGGTACCCTGCAGGATATTCTGTGGTTAAACGCTACTATCATATCCATGACAACTTTTCGATCCGGATATTCAACACCAAGTAAGTGAAACACTTCTTTTCTCTCCATAATACGCACCGCTTCAGGGGTGATCACATGAGAAAGGACGCAAGTCGGAATAGCGTTGCCATCAGTATCGATCGGAAAATAAACCTTTTGTGTGATGCTATTTGTATGCTGACCTTGTGACACCAAGTTCGTTCCGAATGGTTCTTTTAATAAGGGAAGAAGGGGTAGGTCTCTAACTTTAGCTATCAGGGTAGGATCCGATGTTGTGGTCAACCATGATATCAGAAGTCGGGCAACGCACGTATGCCAATGATCGTTTTTCGTGCAATTTTGATATCTGGGTGCTATGCCATTCATACATGGCCTGAATCTTTCTAATAGTTCATGATTCGATATCTCTTGGAGACCTAGAGATTTCAGGTAGTCGAGATATTGTGTGTATTGAGTCGAAAGATACACGTCTTGGTCTAGATCATCAAATAGAGGCTTATTATCATTGGTACAGTGGCTGGGCAATAGGTATCGAAGAGATAGAAGGTCTTTTTGACTTCCTTTCTCTGTTATGAAAATTTTGCACTCCCGAAGCCTTTCGCATAACCTCTTGAACATGTCCCGCCAGAGTCGCGAGGCGATATTCGTGTTGGGAATATACTGAACCCAACAATATTTCATACTCTTTCTCAGAGCATTGCCGGTAAACGCGTGGTATACAGCGTCAGATATAACGTCCAAGATACCTTCAGCGAAAAAAGCCTTCTGGCCGTTGCCTCGAAACTCAAACGCCCAGCAAATCGCGAACTATAGAATTAGACCTTTGCTGTATATATTGTACAAGCACTGTTTAGAATACTCACATTAAAGCCGACGGAACCAAGAGGGATTCCACAGCTTCCAGACAGGTGATAAACATCTTCAGTGGAGAGAGAAGGTTTCGACTCCTCATCAATGGGAAAGCATAAATACACGGAGTGAAAAATTGGAGGGTACTTATGTACGAGGAAACGCTTATAGGACATCCCCTTGCTGGTGTCGGTAGACCAAGATATAATGTCTTCATTCAATTGAATTTGATGATGTATCCGGCTTGGGGCTTCATGAGGTGGATTTAGCTTAAGGAAGAAGTTGCTGCATCGAGGCTGGAACATCATGAACCCCTTGAGCAGAATTCCGCTTATTCCTTTAGCTATATCGGCAGACAATTCGGGTCGATAGAGGAATAGTGTAATCCTGGTTCGGACATTCTCTGGAAGAGACTCCTTGGCCTCGTTAAAGGGGGTCATCAGACCCGGGCGTTGAAAGGCAAAGCTAAACGGGCCTGATTGGATGTGCACTTTCCATGCAATATGGAACGCATTTTTCAGAAACTTGCCCTGGATCCAGTTCACGCCCCTCGATACAGAGTGTTCAATATCACAGAGTATCCTTACATCTCCTTCAGTGCATCCGTCGTCATTAGAGTCAACCACGATACGATCTGAAAGCACCGCAAACTCAAGAAATGGTTCAATCTCTGGAGTTACACGAGAATAGTGGAACCTCTCCGTGCTAGCAATCAAATCATAGACAAATTCGGTGTTTGTGTTACCGGTGATGGAAGAGTCTTTGGAAACCAAGAACATGCTCAGCTGCCTGTGAACATTCTCCAACGCTTCTAAGACTCCCACAGGCGTTGCAGCTCTCTCTTCGTCAGTTATTCCACCATTCCGATGCCGGATATCATCCACGATCTGACCTGCTTTCTCGGGTGTAATTTCTGCCATGGTGCAGAACCTGGGGTACTGATCCGTGTGTAGCGAGTTGAATGCACAGGAAAAGGAAAACATGAAAGAAAAGGGGGAACAGCTGATCGACCATCGCAGACGGGTAAAACCAAAGGAAATGCAGGGGTAATGAGGGGAGGCACTAGCATGAGAGACGGACTCTCCGACAACCCTGGTCTGTATATCGCTCATAGGCTCTCGACCCCGGCGCCAACTACCCCCTGGCCAGTTTAGTATATTTCTGCGCTGTAGAGGTACTTATGACTTGTTGCGCCTTACTCCCCGCAAGACTTAACGAATAAACCCCGATTGTTCCCATCTTTTACTCCTGAAGCTAACCTGGTCTAGCCATAGGTATCTAATTAGATAACCTGTAACTTCCGTAGCAGTCATATAAGTACTACGACAGACACGTAGACAATCAGCAGAGGCTCCGAGGCATAACTGCTAGATAACCTAAATCCCAAACGTTTTCCTTGCCTATAAGTCTGCATATCTGACCAATATAATATTTCCGGACTTAATTATGTTCACTGGATCGCACCTCGATCATTCAACTTCATCATGCGAACCTGTCTAGGACTCTTACGTATGTATAGTGAATCCACCAAAGATATCTTGAAACTATGTTAGCACTCCTTTTCCCCTCCCTCTTGCTGTACATCCTCCGGCCACAGCATCCTCCGCGTCCATACAGCCCATATCGTCCCCAAACCTACCATCAGCCATGCCACAACCTGCAGAACTGTCAAAATCGAAGCAAGCCACAGAATCGCTTCGGACTGCAACACCTGCCCAATTCTAATCGTCGCAATCACGAACCCAGTGTTAGGAAACACCATACTCCAGTACGGAAGTGACATGCCCGGTGCCCCAGGACCTCCAAATATTCGGCACGGCGCCAGGACACTGATAGTCGCAATGCAAAGACAGAAGAAAGCTATCGCCCACAAGAATATTCCAGCCAGGGCCGCAACAACAAGTGCGATGTCACCCGTCGTCACCGTGATCGTCTCGCTTGATGAAGAATCCGCATACGATATTATATACCGTGAAGGAAACTGCTCAACCGCAGCATTTGCCATTCCAATTAATGCAATAGCCGTGAAACTCCATGGGCCGACGGCGATGAACATTTCCGGTCTTTCAGCTGGCTTTGGGAGACCGCTTTTGTTAACCCTGTAGAAATACTCGCTATAGATGAAAAGCGACATCAGGAAGCCGAACCCTTGCAATGTTGTCCCGCCTATGATGATAGGTAAGGCGTGCTTTTGGGGTTGCTTAGATGCAAGGACCGATGCGATGGTACCGGAAAGCATGGCTGGGAATGAAGGCAAGAGTCTCACAAGAGCAAATGGTTGCCGACTGGCCATGCCGTGGTGATACAAGTACCAATTGTGGAAGATAGCCTCAATAATGGAGATCGTGACATAGATCCAGAACACAGTGCGCAGGGCAACTTGGAGCCATGGACCGCACGAGCTTGAACCGTAACTCTCTGCTCCGATGATGATAGTTGCAAATGCTAGAAGGCATGTACCTCCAAAGTGGGTCTCATTGGGGTGTTGAAAGGATTGTTTCAAGGCCGATGACTTGCGCAGAAAACGGACGCTCAGGCAAAGTGTGATTAAGACAAAAAGGACCAAATTGAAGATGTATACAATCTTTCCGATCGTTTCGAGGCCGGAGAATTGATGTGGCGTGTTATATAGCAGAACTGCAATGCCGCCTGTAGCCATGGACATAGAGTACCATCCCCAGGTAACTCGACATAGTCGATCTCTAATGCATACCTTTCCACCTCTTCGAGATATCGTGTCCATTTTAGTGTCGGATTATATGTAAGAGCTCAACAGACGGAACCTTCATACCTCGCAAGGAAGGATCCCCTGCGGATACATATTTAAAACAGTTAAATAACATTGTAAGCATTTCTTAGCGTGGCTCCACCGTCTATTATATCATAGCCCTTCCTTGGATGGGATTTTGGCGTCATATGTGGGTCCCATCGGGATAAACAAGGCCATTCCCGAGTACACAAAATCGGGCCGACAGTTAATGATACCTTCTTTACGCCGATGCCGTGCCTTGTTTGTGTATAAAGTCTATGTACGTGTACTTTGCATCCGAAATGAACTATATGTAGAAATTCTGGCACTCATCGCAATATATTTTTGGCTGATATTCATGACTGGTAAATATGGACACAGGGATTTATCACTCATAGTAATACGATCATGGTTGTCTCGAATTTACTAGCGGACCCTTCTCAAAATGCATGAAATTACTGAGTTGCTTTGGTTCATTCAGATTGCAGTAGGTGAGGTCAGTAAAGGCAGTAAAGGTTTTCATCGACTGGATGGTTTTTCAATGCTTCACCGTTCATTAACCCGTGGCAGTAGCACTCGCCAATAAATCACTGATATTCGCGTGACCCTCGGACGATATATGGAACGTTCCCTCCAAATAACACACAGATCTCATCTCCGGGAACGGTACTAGCAGGCCCAAGACCAACATAACCATTTTCAGTCATTATGAGTTTTCTCGCCGTGCTTGCTCCTTGGAAGCGGCTCCTACTCGACGTAAACTTAGCTACAATAATCCCAGTGAAATTTACTATCATCAAGCTGTTGTTTACCTTATCCTAGCAAGCTGTATGAGACGGTCAAATCCAGACCCCTGCGGGAATGGCACGTCAAGTCCTTCTTCGTTTTCCTCATCTAGGTCCGCCACCATGGTCTTGCAGATCGCCTCAAGGTAGGTTTCATTAGGGCCAAAATATGAAGACCACCATCGGACGCCTAGTAGGTTCGAGATGTGAGCAGGATTTGTCGCACAACCAAGAATATCTGTATCGAGGTTCAGTACTGCTTTGATCTCGGAGATGTGTACCCCTTTTAGCCTGAGCTCAGTCGGTTTTCCAACAAATGACATGGATAGAGGCTTGCCACCCGCAGCCTGAAAGCCTCGTTGATTGTTCTCAATGGGCCCATATGAAATGTCGTTTGTGAAATCAAGGAGCTGCACTCGCCGCCTCAAGAATGACCCAGCCCCTGCTATGTTCCGAGGGTCTGAGCGAGTTGATGTGCGATATATAATAGGAGGAGCCACCCATGGCCTGCGCCAATCTGGAGCCCAAGATGGAATATCCGAGTTCGGATTGAAATGCTGCACAGCACTTAGAATCCGCAGGTCTTTGCGGGATTCAATCACAAACCTAGCCACATTCGTGAGGACCTCCGTTTCTGAAAGGCTATAGTCGGCGAAGAGACGGCCACTCTGACCTTCTGTCGACAGCCCAAGAACAGCGTAAACTTTGTCTACTGGTACTGAGCTTTGGCAGTCTCGCCTGCTCTCTAGAAGAGAAAGCAAATCTAGACCTGTACTTCTGGATATTAAATACGCACTCCGTCCTCTTACTAGAGGTCCAACTCGGCTAGTAAAAGAGCCAAGGCGGTCGTACTGCCCCATCCGTCTCTCGCCGAGAAAGTTGTAGTATCTGGATAAAGTATCCCAAGGAATGGAATATGTTATTTTAATGTCAGTCTCAGAGGTGCCACTGTATATGGTGGCTGAACTGGCGCTGACAACCTCCTGGTAGATCCATGCACGTTCGAAGTATACGTTCTCCAGGAAGTCGGCTATTTTAGGATTCCATCTCACGTAGTCTTGGACATCCCCGCTCTCAATTATCTCCTCCATCTCTTTATTCAGCTGCTGCATTATACTAAATGTAGGTCCTAGCTCATTGTTCAGCCCAAGCCAGATCAAAACACAGGATGCCCTAGAGTATATTGCGGTCATGTTTTGTACTTGAAGGTTCCGCTCAGGCATATTGTCCTGGTCAATGCAAATGGCATCAACCCATAGCACCCTGGGGGTTTCCCGATGCCGAAGATGCCGAAGCCCCCAAAATAAGTTCCTGCGCACGAATACTCTCTGTCCTGAGATTCTAATTTCCTCGGAGGGACTATCTGTTCCCCAAACATAGGACAGAGCCTCATATCTGCAGTGATAGGATTTGAAATTAATCAACTCTAGAGAGCAATGTATTTCGTCGTGGAACTGACCTGGTTGGAGGACTAAAATCCGTGTACTGCGGGTACCAGGCAACGGTATATAGGTGAGGTGTGAAGATGGGGATGATGTACGAATGCTTTCCGCTTGAATGAGGAGCAGTTGTTTTCTTCGTTCTTCCGACAGGAGATGAACAACTCGATCCTGTCCGTGCGCCTTGGCCAAGCCCCACACCGAGCGTTCATTACGATCCGCAAGATCTATATTAGCTCCAGCGTCAAGGAGCAGTTCCACCACGGTGACATGTCCATTCATCGCCGCCAGGGCTAATGGCGTGTTTCCATTTTTATCTTTAGACTCGAGATCGCCACCGCCTTCTACCAACAATTCTACTGCTTTGGCATGGCCATTCTCGGCCGCCAACGATAGTGGGCTTTTCCCGCTGTTATTGGTAGCTTTTATATTAGCCCGCATGTCGAGGACTGTTTCAATCACCTCATCTCTGCCACCAGCCGCTGATAATGCCAATGGTGTATTACCATCGTTGTCCTTGACCTCAAGTCCCGGGTTCCCGAGAGAAGAGCCTTGCTTCAAAAGGTATAGAACCATATCTCGGCTGCCGGAGAGGGAAGCAGTAGCTGCCAAGGCCAGTGGAGTTTGGCCGTGTTTATCGGCGATCACCAACGCCGACGGAGCAACCCGTAGAAGGTATTGAGCATGTTCAATCCTGCAATAGAGCGCTGTCAGCGCCAGTGGAGTACACCCACTATCATCTTGGGCTATTACACTAGCACCCGCCTCTACCAACTGTTCCATTACTTGTATAGATGCACGCCCTTTAGCCGCCAAACCAAGAGATGTGCACCCTTGGTTATCTCTGGCGTGGACATCAGCTCCTGCCTTCAGCAGAAGTCGAACCACTTCCGGTTTGTCCTCCTTGGTGCACGCCTGGCCCAATGCTGTTCGCCCATCATTGGCCTTTGCGTTTATATCCGCACCACTGTTCAACAGAAGCTGCACTGTTTCCCGCCTTCCACTGTAAGCTGCAAGTATTAAGGCAGTTTCACCAAGAGATGATCTAGCATTCACCTCGGCACCGTTTTGTAGCAATATTCCCACATGGTCCACGGTTGACATCAGCGCTGCGATGTGCAAAGGGGTTCGCCCATATGGCTCAGCTGTGGTTGCAACATCTGCACCTCTGTCAACCAATATTTGGATTGCACTGGACCGACGCCATCCACTTGCCGCATAATGCAAAGCTGTCCAGGATCCGGGTCGCTTTTGCCAGGTTACATCTGCCCCTTCATCGACGAGCTGCCGTATTGCATTCAAATTGTTTAGCTCCGCTGCCCAGCTCAAAGCGTCTTGAATGCCAAATTGTTCACCATTATCGTCAACACCTCTCTCCAGTAGTTTATCCATTTTGTATAGGGCATTTGATTCTCGGATGCTTTCACTATCACTTTCTATCTCCATCTCGTCGTCCCCTTCGTCTTCCTCATATCGGTCGAAGGTTGGATACGGTATATGATCCATCTTTAAAAGGGTATAGTGTCACAACGCATCAGTCCTACCCATCATATGACGATTAGTCTCCCTGGTGCCGTTTTCTGTAACTAGGATAATCAAGCCTTTCTAGTCTCGGCGTCTGAAGCTTTCGGCTATTTATTATTTTAGACTTGTTAATCGAAATGACATTGTTAGATCCGTTTATCACTCGCTAGACGACCCCTCTCTTAGCTCCGGGGCTTAACCATTGCTGACACGAGACGCCACATTTGTACCCAACGCGCCATATATCGATGGAAGTCTTCCCAAAATTGGCTAGCCACCTGGTGGCTTACTCATCACAGTCAAAACACCAAATGTACTGGCTAAGAGGAACCGATGAAGAGATTACTAGTAGAGGGAAAGCAATAACTGTCTGCATGCAACCGATTCGCTGCTTAATATCACAGATGAAAGACACAAATCAAGCAATTATAAACAAATATCCACCGCGTAATAATAACGGCCCTCCAACTCAAAAGCCCATGAGTTAGGTTCGTGTTTCCTCGCTCGAGCCGCCTACCTGCGCCAGAGCCTTTGGGCTATGCCCTCCTCAGTATTCATAGCTTGCTGGGCCTTATCTAGGCGTGTCTAGATTGCCCTTTCTAATATTCTTTCTCTCTACTCTCTGCTTCTTTTACCAGCTCCTAGGCCCCAAAGATTATCTCTAGAGGCTCTATCTATCTCCCTAGCTGTCTTCCCTAGGGAGCAGCCGAGATATGTTGTTGCCAGGAAGGTCATTAGGTCCTTTATAGCACTCTGATCTTCAAAGAGACAGTATTCTGGGGCTGTTTCTTCCTATCCAGGCGGTAGACGAAGTGAGGAGAAGCGGCCGATCCTTGGCCTTATCCTTGAGTTTAATCAGGCAAAGGCGCTTGAGGATGCAACTGTTGAGACAGTTCGCCTTGCTCTTTCTACAAATGTTACTGAAGTCCGCGATAATGCGGAAATTTGAAGGACCCCAGTTTGCACAAAGAATCCGTCCTCCATTGAGTTACCCGTATCATACTGTATAACCCCCGATATATACCTGTCGGCTGGCTTACCACCAGGTTGCTAAGGCGAATATCGTAGGCTTTAGAAGGAGCGACCCCAGTTTATATACGACAGCAATGCTATAATATTCAGTGTGGGGGGAGGAGAGATATAATTTATATCTTTGCTGCTATTCGGGAAGTGTAAGTTTTATCATTCCAAGCTGTGGCTTGCCAACGCATTTGAGGTGTAGCGGTGTGCATATAACGAGCCTAGTTCAAAGTGCATAAGCTTAGAATTTTTATAAAAAAAAAACTCCACAAACGTGATTAGGTGCTTGTGCTTCAAGTTCAAATGTCAACCTCGGCGGCAAAACAATGCCAAGAGTTTCTATTATTTCCCAATGCACGACTTTTCTCCCGATTTTGGCAAGGGATGTGCCCTGATTAGGACAAGCGCCACCCGCCGCTACCCTGATAAGCCCAAGCGGGAAACTTCGGGATGATAAGTGTCTTGGAGTAGAGTTGGTGCTGTTCATGGATATATAATGGCTATATAGCGAACCTATTTCCAGGAGGTGGCGGATACCAAATATCACCATGGCAGACTTACTAGCAGAACAATTCGGGACATCCTTATTATCCTTTTTATCTTTCGGCGCTTTCTCTTATATCGGCCGCCATTTATTATATGCTATGCTTGACATGTTCCCGATCTACTGATCAAAACAGTCAAAGCATCATCAGATATTCTACCAGGGAAGGAGGGGAACAGAAGCAATCATGCGGAGAAAGAGACCTGAAATCGAGTCGATCGAGTCGTGTGGGGTTTTATCGCGGCCATGTGAGCTCCATTCGAAAAGCTTCCTTACCCTACATAGCTCAATGATCAACAACAACTCTACCACATATCTGAGCTTGAAAGCTCTATCGTTCGATATGCCCGTTATTCTCTCGTCGGAAAAGATAGCCGCGGGAAGGCCGGGATGTGGACCGAAAACTTAGAAAGGCTGAGGGTTAATATATACGTGGACGCCGAGCATTCCCAGCGGGTACCATGGATTCTCGATTTAATCGATTAATCGAACCGGGGTTTACTCTCGCGGGGAACCAGTCTGATCTCTTTACTACCCATAATGTCGGATATTAATTTTCAGAACTTGTAACCTGGTCAACCCTAGGGCTATTGACAAGTGCATGACGTGGTGTCTCAGTCGTCTCTTGCTGAACACAACTCGACGAAAAGCCACAAACAAACCTAGATCAAGTTTCATTTACTTCATATATCATATAGTACAATATATGACATGGTGGGTCTTGCCCAGACCGGCTTTACGGCGCATCTAGACTCTCAGTCAAAAGTTCCCATCGCCCAATCACACGTCAGGCTCCAATGGATAATCGATGTCGAGAACTCTCATAGATCTAAAAGGGAAACTTATAGCTGCTTGTTCCCTCATTCTAAACCTCTTCCATGAGAGATGAGCATACTCTATACATTCAACCGCAATACCCCCAGAAGCTTGGAGCCCTCTGTATATGAGCCATTCTCGAAGATTGGTGTCAAATTCTGCATTGATACTTGATTAATTGTCGACCTTACGGCGTGTGTGAAAGTTATATTTTAGTAAAGAGTAATGAGTCGACTAAGTCACGACTCTATACCAGACCCGAGTCAGCCGGCCACAGTTACCGTACAGGGACTAGAAGCTGATTATTGTCTCATTCTATAGGTACTACACAAGGCTTGAATTCCAAAATGTCTAGACTGAAACTGTGCTGTGCAAAGGATGTCACGACTAATGCTAATCGCGGGCGAGAAGGGCCTCAAGTATCGCGGTGGTAGCTTGTGACAGGATACTTAAGAAGGGTGTCGGTTCTCCCCGTCGGCCTTTTTGATCAACTCATCCTCATCGCCTCTTCTCCTCTAGCACCCACCAAGGCTCTTAACAGTCAAAAGCCCTAAAATGAACTTTTCCACTTTTCTTCTTAACGTCTGTTACATAATAGATCCGAAGACTTTAAAAGCAATAAAAACAATACGCCAAATATACTCTTTGTTCCTGAGTGCCCATGATATTTTTGTCTCTTTGACTTCCACTAGTCCCAGAAAATTGGCTAGCCTTGCCGTATGCCTCCAGAGACTCCTGCTCCTTCAAGGACCTGGTCCAGACATGCTTATTCTCCGCCATTTTAACCGAACCTGGATCCAGGGAGGCCTCACCGCCCCTCGGTGAGGCAATAGCAAGCTCTACTTATCATGTAATACCCCCCAGAAATCCACAAATTCCGGCTATTAGCATATTAGACACTTATGCGTAGTGTACCGAGACTGTCCACATCTGTTTTGCACATACCAGAAACCACCCTGTTGGATAGCCATTGGCGGGAATCTTCTCTCGTAAAGAACGACGAGGACTTTCGCAGGCAATTTACAATATAAATGCGCTATTATAGCCTGCTATGGATGGGACCTGACACAACCACCCGTAGTCCGCTCTATATACAATCTTCTTAGAAAGGAGGGAGAGATTTTACAACCACTTTTCAATTGGTCTCATTTTGTTTTAATAATTCTATTAACGAATTTGACGGAAGTTCATCCGAAGCCATTGGATTGAGAGTCAAGTTAACAGGGCCTTGTCATCGCTCTGCGCAATCACTAAGCCCCATAGCAACCAAAAGGGACTATATGTGCTACGTGACTTTGAAAGGAACCTTGACGAAGTATTTGGAAAGCAACGGACACGGATGACATTCCATGTCGTAACTGTTTAGTTAAGTTGGAATCGGGCAAAGAGTGGAGTAGGACACTTTGCATCAAATGGCGTATGACATATACGCGTCATATAACCAATTTATGTGGTGTTAGATAAATGTTCCATTTTATTCGTCACTTGATACAATTCTATAGTATCGAACAGCACTACCCTACTACAACCGGCGCACTTACAAATCCGCTGTATCAAAAAAGTGAATAATCAAAATCAGAACGTGTTGGGGGGAGGGGGGGTGAGAGGGTGGGAACAGATTGCTGCGTCTCAGGGAGTTTTTGGATGATCATACCGCAGAGGCGCAGGAAGACACAGCTGGCGATCGCTGCGGCAACTGTAGCTCCCATTCTGGGTACTTCCGGCTTCCAGATGAAGACTCTGAGGTAATGATGTGCCGTGCAATGTCGATCAGAACCTAGCCGTACCTGAGTTTATTGATGCCACGGGCCGCTATTTTGGGGCGGGTTCTAGAATTTGGACCTCGAACACGACTCGTTAGCAATACTATTGATAATAACGTTTCTTAGTAGTTTCTTAGAGTTAACTACTAAGGGTCTTAAGATAGATCTTAGTAAAATTATATAGATTAGGCTTCATTCGATTTAAATCTGAGTTGAACCTAATAGAACTGTAATCTGACTCTGGGGTCAAAAACTTGGAACCTGCGAATCTCTGGTTCAGATTCAAGGTCCCGGAACTTTAGAACGTGAGTCGGACCATTTCAAGGCCTAGCTCGCTATCCTACATCTGGAAATGTTGGGTCTAGGATTGGGGTCCCAAAGTACCCCAAGGAAATCCTGGGGTTTTGGCCAGAACCCTATCCCACTAAAAGAGCCAATTGCTTGCCATGTGGCACAATGCTAGGATTGCCGAGAATGGGGGCCGTTCTACTTAGCCCTGATTAGGCCATTGTATTGCTCGTGTTCCTCATGCACAGCGACTAGCATGGGCACTAGTGTCCACACTGTCTGGTGGATACGATAACAAGTCGGAATATACTTAGCGTCCGTATGCCGTAGTGGTTTAGCAAGGCAGCGTAGTACATTCACCAGTTATAATAGGCATCTTTCCCATAAGCACTTTCTCAGCATAAACAGGTGTGTGGGGCCTAGCCAGTTTAATTGCCATATCAGGAGTTCCCTTGTAATAGGCCATGCCGCACGTTTAGCCAGGGAAGCAAAGATATACTTCCCCTTGCCCACTCTACGCGTTTACGATCTGCTTTCATTCCGTTTGCTTGTCTATGACCGGAGAGAGTTGGCCAATAATTCTGTGGGGACTGGGTAGCAGGTCAGACATCCTGCGAAAATCATGGGTGACGCCTGCTGCCGTGCATCGCAACCTCATAGGCTCATATTGTATAGAGGCCTACCTACCTTGGCGGCCTTGATCCTTGGCGTTTCAGGGTTGCATGATGGGAGGCTATGGGTGGCATGAGACATGCATACAGACTGCATCTACATCTGCATGAAGGCCACACCCCAACGCAACCCAAGAGCCACTGTTCCCCGCATGTAATTTGGTTATTGAGGTGTATTCCTACTTGAATACTTGTAAACAGTGTAAATTACTAACGTGGCTCAGAGTTTCCAGCCCGTAACCAACTCCAGCACTAATCGATTCTGGGAGTGGAAAATAGGAACACTAGTCTGCAAGGATGCCCCTGAGAAGAATCTTTTATGAGATTGAGAGTCAGCCGGTTAGGGCCCCGTCTCGATAGCCGATGATATGCCACGAGGCACTACGGCTCACGCACTGCATGATCCGCCTTGATAAATGGATCCTTCGTTGCAGAGCTTATAATATAAGGAAGTGAAGGATTGTGGAAGAAGGAATGCAAGGTGGTATTGTATTATATATTGTCTTAATCCATACTTTCTCATTCAACATGGAGAGTCCTCGCGAAACTACTCCAAAGAAAAGGCTGGCGTGCGATAGATGTCACGCCCGGAAACTACGGTGCTCCAGGGACCCAACTGGATGTTTGCGCTGTATTCGCGACGGATCCACTTGTATCTATAGCCCAGCGCTTAAGGTCGGACGGCCAAGCAAAGCATCTATGGCCGCGAAGGATGTGCAGTCAGGCCCCTCCCGGACGATCGCAGATGCTGCGCTCTTTACCCTTCCGGGTACCGAGTCCGTCAGTACAGATTCTGGCATATCGCTCTGCACACCTCAGTCACACATGCGGGGTGAATTGATCCCAGGTAGCTAAGCCACATCTATACCGTACGGTTAGACACATTATTGACTCTATTTAGGGAGCAGTTCATTTTTCTTTGACTGTTTGGATTTGACGAATCATTCCAGCGCTGGTGATGATAACCAAGAATTCTCTAGTATTACAAACCACGACGAGGTTTGGACGACCTTCGCTAGCCCTACGCTCAATCCACATGAGGCCATTCTTGACCCTCGTCTGGGATGCACCTCCCCTACTAAAGAACCTAGCAATGTGACGAATGCTATCGAGAGATTGTCCCACCTGCAGCAGGAGCTATTACGCACTAGGATGGCCGCCCCCCAGTCAGGAGATACTTCTATAGGCAGGAAATCTGTAGAAGCAGCTTTGAAACCAGGACAAGAGACGTTGGATGTTGTGAGGGACCTATTACATCAGGCCCCGCGAGATAATGGCCGTAACTCGAATTTAGCGTGTTCAGATTGGCAGACGGCCCTCCATCTCGTCTTAACCCCTCTCTCCCTGCTTCTGTCCACATACAATGAAATAGTCCGCGAGATCCAGACTGCAGTCATATTTACCACCCAGGGCTCCTTATCCGGAAGCCCGTATTCCGGTCTCTTCGACGCAATGGATCTACGACTAGGAGACTTACGGCTGGATCGGCAACTACGCTTAATACTCCTAGCCACGGTCATTGAATACCAGTTGAACCAACTACATCATACCCTGCGGCTATTCCAAAATAAACATATGCAGTCGGAGATGAGCATGGCAGAGGGTATGCAATCGTCAGCAATGACGGAGTTACAGTCTACAATTCGAACGTTGTTGTTACTGATACGAAAGATATTGCAGCAATCGCCGGAAATATAGTTTTTGTCGGCGAGGCATTCTCGAAAGGCTGGAGAAGAAGTGCTGGATACGAGGAAGACATATATTAGTCGTGTTTTGGCTGGCCTGAAGACGAAGTTTGAATTATAACAACGTGATACATCTAAGCTGCTGTACAATAGTGTATATCTTGAAGGAAAATAATTCTTTAGTATCCATACAACAACATACTTCGACATACCTGGCGTCATCATTGTTGTCCAGTTGACATGATTCCCAATTCCAGGACTACGCGTCTTGAGCCTCCTTTCGCAACGCAGCTGGCAATATCTTCGATTTTAGGGCAATGTCTCCTGCCAATGCCATCACTGACCCTTTGCCGAGCACCTCAAACACGGCCACGTCAGCCTTGGCCTCGCGGAATAGCCAGTTGCGTAATTCCACCGCAACTAGTGAATCCAGCCCGTACGCCGCCATAGATTGCGATGAATCGATAGACTCCGCTGGGACTCCGAGCATCTTTGCCATCTTTCCAACGATCGCATCGCAGATTATATGGGTTGCCTCGTTTAGTGATTCGGCTGCTGGGATGGCTTCGATCAGGCGCATCCCACGGTCTGAATCCTCTTCTTTTGTTTGTTTGCGGCCCATCTGAAGTAGATGTGAGAACTTTGCATCATGGAACCAGAAGGGAACCTCGTCGGCGCTGGTGTCTCCACCTGCCTCGACCATTCCTTGAGTCCCTAAGCCGGTAATCACTTGACAGTCGGTCTGCGACCGTTTGGGCTGCAAAATGGCCTGCTTGATCATGGAGAAGAATTCGGCTTGGGCAATGGTGAGATAGCCCCAGCGCTCGAGATTCACAACGTAGTCTTGGTTTTCTGCTACAAAGCCAACGTCATCGATACTACCGAGATCGAGCGTGACGGCTGGAAGTCCTTTAGTTGTGCGGTAGTGTGCAAAGGCGTCCTGGAAAGCGCCTCCGGCAGCGTAGTTGCCTTGGCTAGAGTTGCCCACGATGCCGGCTGCTGAAGACAGCATGATGAAGAAATCTAGATCCTTCGAGGTAGTAAGCCTGTGGAGGTTCTTAGTTCCGGTAACTTTGGGCCGGAGAGCATCTTGGAACTGCTCGTAGGTCATAGCTTCGAAAATGGAATCCTAGTAAACAGTCAGCAATTAAATCTTCGGCCTCTGCAGTCACTCCACATTAGGATCGATTTCGGGGAAACATACATTCAAAACCATGCCGCCATGGATGACACCGCGGATCGGGGGCATTGCGGTCTCTGCCTGCTGGACAGCAGCAGACAGCTTATCATAGTCAGAAACGTCACATTGGAGGACGGCAACCTCCACTCCGGCTTTCTGAAGCCGCTCAACTAATGCCGCTGCTTCGGGCTTAGCTGTTCCAGACCGAGAGACAAAGATAAGATTCTTCGCCCCATGCTCCGCCATCCACACAGAGGTCGCACGTCCTAAGCCTCCAAGACCACCAACGAGCAGGTAGGATGCATCCGGACGCAGCTGAAGCGTCTCTTCGCGTTTGGGTAGTGCCTTCACAAGATCAGTGGGACTGGTGGTGATGATAAGTTTGCCCAGATGCTTGCCCGCCTGCATCATTCGGAAGGCATCCTCGATCTGTGACACAGGGAACGTCGTAATGGGGTCAATCTCATGAACCTTACGTTCGCGCAGCAAGTCCATCACGGCATTGAGTGCAGCCGCACCGAGTGGCTTCCGGTGTCGGAAGATGACCGTCAAGTCCACGGAAGCAAACGTGACATTGCGGATGAAGGGGGACATCTCCAGCTTAGTATTAATCTCGATGTCTCGCTTGCCGATCTCAATGAATCGGCCAAACATAGAAATACAATGCCATGTTTCTCGCAATAGCTCTCCGGCTAGCGAGTTCAGCACAACATCAACTCCCTTGCCCTTGGTCATCCGTCGAACTCCGTCCGCGAAAGAGCTGTCTCGACTAGAGAATATGTGGTCGTCGGGAATTCCGTACTTCTCCTGGAGGAACCGGCGTTTCTCTACAGTTCCAACGGTGGCATAAATTTCTGCGCCGATCATTTGCGCCAGCATAATAGCTGCCTGGCCGACACCACCTGCTGCGGCGTGAATAAGAACACTCTCGCCCTTCTGCAGCCGAGCAGTGTCCACGATCGCAAAGTAAGCGGTACAGTATACGATTGGCAAGGATGCGGCAACCTCATATGACATGTCGTCGGGAATCACTTGCACCAAGGCTTCCGGATTCCGCACGTAGGTGCTGTAACAGCCCAGCGTCCAAGTGCATACGCGGTCTCCTGGCTTGAGTCGGGTAACATTCCGACCGACCTGGGTAATCACACCACTGCATTCGCAACCTAGGAAATTATCGACCAGCTGTCCCATGGACACCATGATATCGCGAAAGTTAACACCGGATGCAGCGACATCTATATCGACCTCGTCATCTCCGATCGGTGACAAAAACGTCGGATCGTCGACGAACCGGAGTGTATCTAGCAAACCGGGAATGCCAATTTCTAGCTTCAATGGCCGGCCAGGCTGCTTGAAAGGCTGCAGTTCAGGGGTCGCTTCCTTAGTCTCCCGTGCGATGAACTGATTTGCGACTACATCCTCAATCATACGTGGGATTTGGAGACGACCATCACGTTCACGTAATTCCCAGTCTCCTTTTTGGCCTTCCTCCTCGTTTCTAAAAGAGCATTGGAAGACATGGAAAATTGAGGTTGCAGCTTCTGTAGCAGACAACGGGCGCTCGCCATCCAGATCAAGGGTGATCAAGCGCTTGCTTTGATCTTCGGAGCGGATGGATCGAGCCAAACCGGCAATCAAGCTGGCATTAGGCACGTCATCATTTGTAGCTGCACTGCGGACGACCCAAAGAAGGCCTTTGCTAGATGAAATTGCTTTACGGACTTGGTAAAACCGTTCGGCATCCATCTGGTGAATGAGGCTCTGTGAGGTCTCATCAAGACAGAGGCAGACCTTGCCCAATAAGTCTGCTGAGGCACAGCCCTCAAGAGTATAGATCTCGGGCTCAACGGAAGTTAGATTTGCTAGGGCCTGGCTCAATTGCTTTGTGGCCACCGACTGGGTTCCAAAGGAATCAATAATCACTGCCGGGGGATAAGAGCTGTCTTGGCCCCCTTCTGCCGTGCTGACCATAACACTATACATGTAGTCTTCCTGGTCAGGGAAGTCCCTAAGACAGATATCAAGACCCGAGAATCCTGTATCACACAGGAGCTCACCCCAAGAATCTTCGGTAAGTGTTGGCCCATGCGTACGACCTTCCTCCGCGCCCAGCCACCATCCAGGGAGATTACCGAAGATGACTGAACCGCGCAGCAGAAGACGAGTGACCTCCATTAGGATCAACTTCCCACCAGGCTTCAGCAGCTTCCGAACATTCTGCATGGTCTTTTTCATTGTCTTCGTCGCATGTAGCACGTTTGCGGCGACAATCACGTCGTACTGGCCTTCCCCAAAGTCTTGATTCGCGACGTCTTCCTCGATATCGAGACGCTTGTATGATACGAGGCCCGCCCACGCCTTGAAATTCTCCTGGGCCTTTTCAAAGAAACCATTCGAGATATCAGTAAAGTCATAGTGCAAGAATCGAGGGTAATTATCTCCCTGTCCGCCCAGCGTCTCGAGGATTGGTTTTGTAGCTCCGCCGGTGCCAGCACCGATTTCTAGCACTTTCAGATCCGGCCGCTTGTGCGACAGCTTCTGCATGATCCTAGACATCTGCTCGTAACAGCGGTCTGTACCCAAGGCTGTTCGGTACAGATCATACAACAGATCGTTCTTCAACATAAGCTCCAGCGGGTCAACCTCCTGACGCAATATTGGCACCAAGTTCTCACCCATACGGCACACCATCTCTCCTTCCGCACCGAAGGATGCAACCATTTGGGTCAGTGCCGAGTGTTCTGAATCTGAGCAAGCCATCAATAATGATGATTGGCGTGCGAGTGCCTTGGCCTCTTCCCGTTGACAAATGTCTTGCATTGAAGCATAAAACAAGCGATGGTGACTGGACAATTTGTCAATATCTTCGGGCGTGAGCGTGTCCACCGCCTGCTTCATATACAAGTATCCTGCTGTTTCCATCATCTCGATTTGTCTCGAGAGTTCAGCATTGCGGCAGCTTGGTGGTAGCACCTTTGGAATATTGCTTGGCTGCAGCAGATCGAGGTCGTCATCCCATACCATATTAAAACACAGCTTCCGACTATCAGCTGCCGTGTCGGAGGTAACCATGTGCGCAATAGTGGAACACCGCAGGCCTTCTATCTCGACCACTGCCCCTATATCCTTTCTGGAAGTGTCCGTAACTGTGACCTCGGCATCAGCATGCCGGAAGCCCTTCCACAAGGCAGACGAGGCGACTTCTAGAACCTGTCCCAGGGAGGTACATGGGTAATTAGCAATATTGATCCGTCGAATAAAGGTCGGTACTAAGGGGCTCGTGAGATCCTTCCCACCAGCTGTGAGTGCCGGAAAGATCGTTTGCAAGATAGTGTCTAGGGTCGCTGGATGTAAAAGGTGTGGGTACTCGAATTTATGCGGCATCAGCTGCGCGGTGTCGGGGACAGCAACACTGGCAAATACGAGATGATCTTTCTCTGCACTTCTCAAACTTGCCAGATTCTGGAATGAAGGGCCGTAACTCAGTCCAACATGTGTCAAGTCTTCGTACATGCGCCGTACATTGACATTAGAAGTGCATACTTCTCTGTGGTGGTTGATGAGCTGCTGCGCTGCTTCCACACGTAGCTTGGACTCTTGCGCGCTTCCCAGCTCCCTAGGGCCCGTTGGCTTAACAGCGGCAATACATCCACGGCAATGCTCGCTCCAACCCTCGCTCTCCGTGACTGAAAACAGCCGAAACTCATACCAGTAGGTCGACGACCCAACAGATGATGTGTTCCAAGGTCGCAGTGCGAACATAGTTTCGATATCTTCTCCTCCCTCATTGACCATGATTGCCTTCCCGATTTGGATATCCCGGAGCTCGAATCCAGTAATGTCGTCAGAAGGCGTGATCTGGCGCATAGCTTCGACTGCCATCAAGATCATACCAGCAGCAGGATATAGGATCTTGCCTTCCACCTGATGGTCCTTGATCCAGGGGAGCTCTGACATACGGATAAACCCACGCCACCGTGGCTCACTTGGATTAAAGTCTGATACTGGAGCACCAAGTAGGTCTCTCCGAGGCTGAGATCGCAAGCGGTAGTTCTTGCTAATGCGGGACTCGTGCCAATACCGATTGGTGTGATTCCATGCATAAGGGGGCAAATCGGGCAAAGCTTGGGGACGTGGGCCATCCACTGGCTCATTGATACGGGAGAAGTTGACTGGATAACCATTGACGAACATATCGCCCGCAGCTTTAAGTATAGTTGAAACAGAATCATCATTGCGGACGAGGCAGGATGTATAGGGAACCTGGGAACCGCTTCTAAACGATGGGTCTTTGAGAATGTTCTTGATGGGACCAGCGAGAGCCGAGTGTGGGCCAACCTCCAACAGCATCTGCACGTTGAGTTTGTTTCCGCGGACAATACGTTTGCCGTCCTGCTTGATGCCCAGGCACATACTGCGCATAGAGGAAGAGAATAGAACAGGGGAAACCATGTTTTGTACCCAATAGTCAGCGCCTAACTCAGAGTTTGAGATAAAGCTGCCTGTGACGGAGGAGTAAAACTGCACTTGTTCGTCGTTTGCAGTAGCGTCCGGCTGGGGAAGGTTCTGCAGCGCGGCACGATAACTGTCTGCAATCTGTTGCATGTGGTGAGAATGGTATGCCACAGTGACCTTCAAGCGACGGAAGAACACGTCTGATCCTTGCAGTGCAGACTCGAGCTCGTCCATAGCAGCAATGTCCCCAGATACAGTGACATTTTTAGGCGAGTTATAACACGCGATACAGAGCTTTCCAGTCGTCAGTTTGGCCAAGTATTCTTCAACTTCAACTGGAGACAGGCCAACAGAGGCCATGCATCCTGCAGTATTAGAATCAGCAGCAAGCTGAGAAGAAAGCAAACCACGATAATAGGCAGCCATCATAGCTGCTTCGTGTGTCAGGGCACCGGCAGCGTATGCAGCAGCGATTTCACCGCTGGAGTGGCCAGTGACTGCTAACGGCTGGATACCCCATGACCTGAGTAGGTCAACAAGCGCAACTTGCAATGCGGTGCAAAGAGGTTGACTGTAAAGAGGCTCATTAATGAGGGTGCAGCTCGAATCTTTGAGAAGTTCCTCTGTGTCCCCGACATTAGTTGGTGTTCTGTATATACCTTTTTAGCGGGTTACGCCTACCTCTAAGATTCCAAGCACACCCCAGCCCCTTCAATGTTCGGCTCGCACGATGTACGCTATCTGCAAAAACAGGGTATTGGTCCAGGAGCGCAGCGCCCATCTGTGCCGACTGGGCTCCTTGACCTGTGAAGACGAGGCCTAGTCGTGGAGCCCTCAACGACTTCCGGATTTGAATTTGTCCATTCTCCAGGGCATCGGTTAGTTCTCCGACAGAGGAAGCGGAGACAGCCAGTCGATAAGCGAGTTGGGAACGACGTTGCGACAGGGTAAACGCTAAATCTCGCAGCGTGGCCGTCTCGATCGGACTAGGAATATCCCGCAAATAGGAAGCCATACGCTTGATAAGTGAAGTTGCCGCAGTTTCATCGCTTGCTGTAAAAACAAAAACTCGAGGCCCAGAATTGGAATCGCCACCATTTGCCAGAGGATGGCCAACTTCAGTCCGCGACGTGTTATACCCATCAAGGACCACGTGGGCATTTGTGCCCCCATACCCAAAGCTATTGACAGACGCTCGTCGAAGAATTTCAGTTGGCCATGGCGTGAGTTCCGTTGGGATCTAATTGTCAGTCAGCTTTAGGCCCACAAAGGTCGCAGGTGACACAAACCTTCAAGTTCCACTTTTCCAAGTCAAGGCGCTCATTAGGCTTCTCGTAATTGATATTAGGCGGAATTAGTCCCTTTTCTAGACACAAGATTGCCTTGACCACACCAGCCAGCCCACTGGCACCTTCTAGATGGCCAATGTTTGTTTTAATTGAGCCTACATATAATGGTTGGGAGCGCTTGCAATTGGCTGTGAAAACACGATGGATAGCGCCTGCTTCCATTGGGTCACCAGCCTGAGTGCCTGTTCCATGCGCTTCAAAATAACCGGTGTCGACAGGATCAAGTTTGGCATTTCTGTATACCTCGCGAATCAGAGCCTCTTGTGCATCGCCGTTCGGGAGAGTAATGCCCGCAGTTCGGCCATCGGAGTTCACCCCAGTGCCGCGGATTACAGCCCGAATGGGATCACCGTCACGCATAGCCTTGTGTAGTGGCTTCAAGACGAGGGTAGCAACACCTTCACCCCGGGCATAACCTTTAGCTCTATGATCGAATGCATATGATCTTCCGTCAGGAGACAGAAATCCGAGCAAACTCATGGCGACCATGATATCCGGACTGAATATCAAGTTAGTACCTCCCACCACAGCCTGCTCGGCCTCGCCAGTCCGAAGGCCCTGACAGGCAAGGTGAAGGCCGACTAAACTGGATGAGCACGCCGTGTCCACGGTAATACTTGGCCCTTTCAGATTAAAAAAGTATGATATACGATTCGAGAGGATCGATTGCCCATTGCCCGTCGCTTGATATAAGGGGCCAGTTTCAGGGTCGCGACCCATGATGTCAGCATAATCTTTATTGAAGACTCCTATGTATACTGATGTCCTTGTCCCTGCGGCCTGTTCAATGGGGATGCCAGCTGATACACGTCAGATATTTGTCAAATATGCGGGCGAGATACCGACCATTTTCAAATGCTTCATATGCGGATTCTAACTGCAGTCGCTGCTGCGGGTCCATGGCCTGCTGTTGTATCAGCATCTTCATTGTTGAAGGGTTTACCGGAACAGCTCACCTTCGCTTCATTCGGGCTGATGCCGAAGAATGGAGCATCGAAGCATGCGATATCATCTTCTAGGAAATGCCCACCGGTGACATTCATCTGGCCAGGTCAGTGCATGTCAGAAAATATCAGGTACAGGATACATACAGTGCCATTGCGATCTGGATCAGGATGGTAGAATGAATCTAGTGCAAATCGGTCCTCCGGGACTTTTGACCAAGCACTCTTTCCCTTCGAGATCATCTTCCAGAGTGCTTCCGGGCTGTCAGCTCCTCCGGGGAACCGGGTGCTAATACCGATGACTGCAATTGGCATATTGGGATCAGGGAGGTCATGTTCGACCCCGTTTGCTTTCCCGTTTGTACCATTGTTCTGAGCAGTTCTGTGAGATCCATTTCCGTTGGCGCTCATCTTGGATTACAGGATCTCGTTTCGACCTCGGTTCTGCACCAAAAAAGATAATGTAACAAATGTAATTGAAGATTAATATGAGGATGTGGTGTCTGTCTGTCTTTCCATATTGCATACAGAGCGGCGTATGTCATTATATCAATGCCCGGTCAGATTAAGATGTATAGATCTAGACTCTCGGGCCTGGCCAACATCATTGGTTAGGCCATGCTTCCGCTCTAAACCGTTAATGGCATGATGCAGATCTGGGCTAGGGCTGAGTGAACTGAATGAATCTCCCGTCAGCATCCTCGGACAATTTCCTTTTGGACTTAGCTTCGGAGGTTTTCTTTCTTGTCCGAGGATCTCGTGATCTCAATTGCCCGACGTTCTTTCATTTCATTTCATTTTCGCCAGGCTGAGGGAGTCAGCCTAGAACAAGCTGCGCATTCTCCAGTCTAATTACTCAACCAGATAAACTTTTTTTGATCCTTCTTCTCGTATTCAGTCTCGTTATCTTTGCGACCATGAGTAGCCACAACCCACCACGTAAGATCCTCATGGTAGTGACCGTGGGCGGTTTTACTCACGCTGGTAAGCGCTCCAACCATAGGACGAGATTTGCTCGTGCGAAAGCTGATGTAGTCTTTCAGCCCCCGTACTCGAAGTGGGAAAAGTCCTTTCTACTCGTGGACATATTGTTGATTTCGCCACACTCGAAGGCCAGGAAAACTGGACAAAAGGTTACGAATATGTGAACCAGCTTCATTTGATGGGCCCCGGTCCCTCTCACGAGACGCTTGAAGCGCATTATTTGCGCATGCGGCAATGGGATGCCTCAAAGGGCTTTGCCGGCGTGATGGATTCGAAATACCTATTCGACTCGTTCTGGACACAGACCTATAAACACCTCAAACAGATAGTGGACGACCCTGCAACGAGGCCTGACTTGCTTCTGGTAGACTTCTTTGTTGATGCTGCGAAGGACATCCTCTATCAATACAACCTTCCCATCGCGATAATGTACCCGCAAATGCCGGCCTTGATATGCCCTTGCTCATATATTCCGGGCCAACCGGGCTTCCAGATTGATGGCACGCTTACCTCAGAGCACGCGTCAATCTGGTCGCGTATCAGAAATGAGCTAGTTATGGTACACGCGTTGCCGTCAGTTCTGCGCTGGATAAAGTGGACTAAGAAGATGCGACAAGCGGCAGGTGTTACCTATAAACTGCCGACGCCCAGCAAGCCCAACCACCTGGTGTTGATCAACTCCTTCTTTGGCCTTGAGGTGCCTAAAGACCTACCGCCGCTTGTCGCAGCGGTCGGACCCATTCTCGCCGATGAGTACCCAGCGTTAGAAGAGCCCTATGAATCTTTCTTGGCTCAACACTCGAAGACGCTCTACCTGGCACTCGGCACCCATATTATTCTCTCTAATACAGACGCGGTCAAGCTCGTCAAGGGCTTGTTAGCAGCTATAGCTCGGGGGTATATTGACGGGGTGATCTGGTCCGTTTCTCGAAATGGTCGCCGGGATATTGATCTTGAAGAAAGATTCACTGACAAATTCGGTAAATCTATCACCTTCGCCTCCTTAATCAATGGAGAGGATTCCAACTTTCTCTTTACAACTTTTGCACCTCAACGGGCCATCCTCGATCATCCGCATACGCGCATCTACCTAACTCACGGGGGCGGCTCCAGCGCCAACGAAGGCCTGTACCATGGAAAAGCAATGTTAGCCATGGGATTCTTCTTTGACCAACTATCCAACGTGCCGCGGCTTGTCGCAAGCGGAACCTCCGAATCCCTAGATAAGTTCCGATTCACGCCAGACGAGGTCTGTCGTAAAATTGGCCTCCTCTCTGAGGATACAAATGGGGAGTATAAGCGGAACTGCGAGCGAATGCAGCGTATCGCGCACATCGCCTGTCGCCGAAAGGAACTAGGCGCCGATCTCATTGAGGAACTGATCTATGATACCGAGGCACGATATGACGGGGGCCGGGAGCTGAGACCTATGCACCTTCAAACGGCCGATATGCGAATGTCGGCATTCAAAGCCAAGAACTGGGATCTGTGGCTTATTAGTCTGCTTACACTTGGCCTCGTACCCTTGGCTTCAATTGCGGCAGGGAGGTGGGCGTGGGCTGAAAGGAGGGCTTTAAGAGAATGGGCTGGTGCGGTCGCCAATATGTGGAAGTAGATGTAAACTACGAGTAGAATACTTTAAATCTATTACCAATGGTGTCTCAAAACCTCTTTCGTACCGTTATACCCAAAACTGTCTTGTCCTTTAGTTCTCTACTTCTATATAAATTACATATGTATCACCGTACACTACTAAATCCAACTCTGCAGGCATCTCACTTATCGGCCTTCCATTCTTCACACCAAGCTGACGGTAGAAGTAACCCGTCGATCCCGCGAGCTAAACCCAGCACTAATTACTATCTCGCCGCTCGGAATCTTCCAGTCCTGGGCAACAACATCCCAGTAACTCATATCACGGCGTGTCAATGCGAAAGAGACTTTCTTTGTCTCTCCAGGTACAAGCTCGACCTTTTCGAATCCACGAAGTACGCGAACTGGAGTGCCAGCCGGAACATTACCTTCAGGCAGAGAGATGTATAACTGGACTACTGTAGCCCCTGTGAGATGGCCAGTGTTGGTTACCTCAGTTGAGCACACCACTAGTGTCTTCCAGAGACTCGGGTTTCCACCCAATGCAAGCGTTCCGTTTGTCACTGGTGGACGTGCAGGAACCTTCGACGTCGGCGCGGAGATTGTCAGATCGGATACCAGGTCAAAGGTCGTATAGCTCAGTCCAAACCCGAATTCGTAAAGTGGAGTAGTGTTCTTTTGATCGAAGTGCCGATAGTCAATAAAGAGCCCTTCCGTGAAATCACTTTGCCACGCTGACGAGTCTTCAGCCTCAGGCCCTGTGATATTCACTATGGGGGTATTATAGTCTGCTTCCTCAGCAGCAATCGTATATGGGAGTTTCCCAGAGGGATTCACCCTCCCGGTCAGTATATCCATAATGGAGTTTCCAGATTCTTGGCCGGGGTAATGTGCCGCAATGATTGCACTGACATTAGGGTTCGTCGCCCATGGCATAATGTCTGGCCCTCCGGAGTGAGTGATCACGATAGTCCTACCAGGGCATAGTGAGGCAATCTTATTCACGGCACTTGCCGAGTTGTCGTCCGGCACTAGGGTGCTGCGGTCGACACCCTCTGATGCCCAAGATTTCAAGAACATAAGGCAGACTTCGGGCAAGGGATATAGACCCGTGAGACTTCCCGTTACGATGGCAGTATTATTTGTGACGTACTGCACCCGTGCCCCAATCCCTTGTGCATAGACTCTGACTGCATCCAGAGGGCTGACAATATAGCTGGGCCGGCCACCGCCGGATCCTCCTCCCACGATGACCGTCCCAATTTCTGCTCCATCGGTCTTGGGATACAAAAGCCCCATCGTTGGATCGGCTGCATCGTTGCCGAAGACACCTATGTTCGTCAATGATTTATTTAGGGGAAGGATAGAGTTCTCATTCTTCAAGAGAACTGTCCCCGCTGCAGCTATATTGCGTATGAGAGTGGAGTGATTCCCTCGGACATCGCGACCTGCTGGTGTGAACCCGCCTGGAACGGGATATCCAAAGCTATTGTACAGAAGTGGGCCAGATGATGGGTCAATGGCTGGATAGTCTTTGTCTTGACCTAGGTAGAGATAAGGAGTAAGAACCCGACGGACCATGTCATCTAGTCTTGCCTCCGCTAAAGTGCCATTTTCCACAGCGGCCGCAAGGTTCCTTCCCCAGTAGGTCTCAGTCAATGGCAGCAGAGATGCTGGCCCAGGTTGGTTCATATCCAGTCCCGCTTTAATGGGGTCGACACCGTGAGGTGTAGCAAGGAAATCAGACATAACATATCCCTGGAACCCCAGCTCATCCTTCAGAATTTTGTTCATAAGATGCGCATTCTCGCAGCTGTAGGACCCATTAACCCGGTTATATCCACACATCACTGACGCTACTCCCGCATGGACGGCGTCTGCAAAGGGCCACAAATACAGCTCATGTAGAGTGCGATCGTCAATATTGGAGGATACTGAGTCAACCATCTTTCCATTGATCATGGTAGGCTTTCGCATTGTCTCCTGTTCGTTACCGATAAAATGCTTTGCAGTAGCCTGGACGCCTCCGTCCTGAATTGCTCGGATTGTGTAGTCCATGGCTGCACCGGTCAAGTAAGGGTCTGGCGAGAATCCCTCCCAATTACGGCCGCCCCAAGGGCTTCGTCCAAGGGCGCCTCCGGCTGGACTACAGATTGTTAGTTTTTTTTTTCAAAAAAAAAAAAAAAAAAAAAAAAGGACTGAAAGGTAGTACACACCCAAGTAAAACGTGTGCACCTTTTGCTCTGAACTCAGAAGCCATGGCTGACCCTCGCTGATACATCAACTCTTTGTCCCATGTTGCCGCCGTAGTCACTCCAGCGGGAAAGACGCTGGCCAGATCAGCAAGACGAATACCGGCTGGACCATCTTGGAGGCATAAGCCTGAAAACCCAATACTCTTAATTGGTGCTATATCCTCAATGCAAGTCCCTGAGAATGTACCAGTCACAACGAATGCTTTCTCGGTCGTATCCATTGCTGCTATCCATGAATCGACCTTGGCACGCGCGGCGAGCCATTGTGTGGTGTTTATGAAGGCTGTAAACGTAGCTTTTAGCGACAAAGTTATGAAAAGAACTACCGGGTCAACTTACTATGAGACAAATCCTGGGGGTTTGTTTCGTCGCTTTGAACAGCGTTCGCCGCGATGGGTAACAGAGTTGTGGACAGAGCCGTCAGGAGATACCAGTACATTATCACGTCCCTGTTCTACTGCGATTTGGTCCTGCCTTGTCTGAGGCGACACGGATAGCCCTGGGCTACATTGTGTACGGCTATATATTCTCCCCCACTCCAGTAGCAGGGACTATGCTCAGGCAACGTCGACAGAAATTCCCCGAGACGGGCCCATATTTGACCAAGGATCTCTTGGCAGGGAAAAGTAAATTGCATTGGCTACGGTACCTAATCACCTGCCGCCCACCCTCCCCCTGCTGCCTGATTTCCTAGGGAAACCAGATTTTGATATGAAGCTCTAGTACTATAAAATTAATATTTTTATAAGGTATTTCTACAGTTTTCCTAATATATCTAGATAGAATCTAAAGAGCTATTTTAATAGTTTTAAAGATACTCAAACAGGCAGAATATCGTAATAGTTTAGTATAAAAAAACATCTTTATAGTATTAATAGGGTTATATTATTTAAATAATAATAATAATAAAAAGTCAGTATATATCAAACAATCGGGTACCAGGTACGGCCGGGCGTCAGGTGATAAGATACAGTACTGGCTGCTACAGTAAACAAGGAGCCCTGGGGCTCTCTCCTTTAATGGCCGAGACGTAGTTTCTGCTCTAGTCAGCCTTTTGTGCGCTCGTTAGCCATGCGAGCCGACAAAACTTCATCTTCACCAGAAATACTCTGCAAATCCTTCATCTATATCTGATGTAACCCCCTCCACCAAGGAAGTTGCCTTGCCTCTTGGTACCGCTACTTGAGCCTCATATGCGAACCTCAAGTCGTCACTCCCTTGGTGGTCGTTTGCGCGGTAAATCATACACCAGTTCCTAACTGGTAAATTTTCCACCTCCAATGGCTGACAAAACAAATCTTGGTGGAGGCCAAAATCTACTGATTCCACTGAAATTTTCGTCCAGTCGTTGACATACAAGGTATCCGGGTCAAATGCAGGAGTGAGCATCATCAGACCGTTGGCCGACTGGATCGCCTGGATCCAGTCATCCCCTGCTCTCAGAGCCTCTGGTGATAACGATAGGATCCCGTCTCTAACCGCGAGAGCTATCTCAGCTAGTGACTTCGATGCTGGTAGATACGGTGTATCTACAGCAGTAATGCAATTCCCGAAATATGTCTTGGATACTTCGCGCACCTTCCTTGCATCTACAATTGTGACTATACGAGTAATGCGTGGGAGGGCTGTGAGACCATTGTAGACAAAACGATTCAGGGCCTTCAGAAGATATGCCTTGAAGGCGTCTTGAGTTGAACAGGTTGCTGGCAATAGTCGAGACTGCACCTTCTCTGATAGTATGGCTAGGTCACTTGATGATATGCGGAATCTTGCGTATTCAAGCGTTTTAAAGACGACTGCGTAAGCCAGCGGACCGTATGCCTTAACTTTGCTTAACATTTTCGGGGCAAATCGCTGTGAGCGGCGCGGCAGTCGTTGTGGGATTTTGTCAACTGGCGTCGGTATAGCTACTGCTTCGGTGGAGAACCTTATTCGCTCCAGAGCCGGAGGACTGTTCAGCATCGTACCAGTGGTGTATATGTCCGACCATGCCTTAAGAAAGGAGCAGAGAGATGACGCATCTCCTAGAAGATGACAGAAACTCACACCTATGACTGACTGCGACGTATCTGGTAAATGCGTCACTGTCACTTGTAGCAATGGTGTGCCTTGGCCCTTGATAATTCTGCTGGTAGAAACACTTTTCACAAAGGATTTCCAGTTGTAGCGGCGAAAAGCAGACTTTGAATCTGGGAGCCAGAAGATCGGGACGGAGTTGTAGAGTTGTAGTCTCAGCTCTCCTTGCGTGGTTTGGGAGGGCCGTTGAAAACGGCCACATACTGGGTAGTAAAAAGACAGGGTTTCAGATAATGATTGGCAAAAGCGGTCTCGATCCAGGTTGCCTCGGAGTACGAGAATAAGATCGATAGGCATAAAATATGTGTCTAAGAAGCTTAGGGGAAAGTCACCGTCAGGACCCCCATTCTTGCTAGGTCGGATGTGAATACACTGCGTCATTGATTATGAATGGATTGATTGTCTTTCAGTGTCTACAATATTGTAACACGCATCGAAGCACATATTAAACATACAGTCAAATCGGGCGAAAATCAAATAAGACGTTATGGTATCCTTGACCCCACATCTGGACTACTGTGCCCTAGACATATCGGCCTATTTTCGTGAGAAATACGCCGCTTGGCCCCCAAAGCAACAATGCCAACAGTCCGATGGCCATAAGGAGCATTTTGGCCGAGATGCTGCTGGTGAGCCAAAGATTGGCGACCTCCATTCCATAGTCTCGCAGGGCAGCACGGAAGGTGGTCGTGCCGAAGAAACAGATGTTCATGACAAATGCGCTGCGTTTCCTCTCCTTTAGCCGTCTTTCCCGCATAGTATTAACATACTGTCGCAGCATGAGTCGGCGGTCCTGAGCCGTTGCTTGAGGCAGACCTATTATTGTCTTGGCTAGGTCTATAGCATCCATCATAGCACAAGCGGCGCCTTTGCCTAGAAATGGGGCCATGCTGGCATGTGTGAGTCTCCTGGACGAAGGATTTTCATCGGCCGGTATGTACTCACTTGAAGGCCGCATCTCCTGCAAGTGTGACTCTATCCGAGTCCCAGGCCCTCGGAACATCAACCATCCTGAAGATATTCGTATAACATGAGTCCGTAACTATGAGCTCTACCAATGCCTTGATAGAAGAGTGGGTCGGGTGTTCATGGACTCTCGCAATGCACTCCTCCTTAAGCTCACTCGAACTCATCTCAGTCGGTGGTTTTGACCGATTGATAAAACTATCTAGTCGGCTTCCAAATCCGACCATGACATAGGAAGTTTCCGGTTCAATATGCTCCGGGTCAAGTCCCTTCGCATACGGCTGCTCCGGATTCTGCCACGTCATAATCGTGATTTCCTGGCCATTCGGGTACAGGACCTTATTGTTTAGCATCAACACCTTTTCGGGGGAAGACTCCACCTACTAGGCAACCAGTCTTATACGGGATCATACTTTCCACCTCCCGGGTGTACGGCACCTTGAAGTAAATGATGGCCATATCAGTTTGCACTGTTTTTATGTGCGGTAAAAGCTTGCGTCGCACGCGCGATGATATGCCATCAGCACCAATAAGAAGGTCGCAAACACAACTACTTCCATCCGTAAAATGAGCTCTCACTAGCCCATCTTCCAACTCTTCGTACCCAGAGAATTTCTTTCCCAACCGCAAGAACTTGGCGGACCCATGTAGTAGCCCCTTCCGCAGCCTCAGCCGTGAAACTGCTGCAGTAGATCGAAACTCGTCTGGCAAATACGTGTAGAAAATATGCCCGTCGGGTCGCATGAAACAGGAATGGTAGTACCCTTCTTTCGGAGTCTTACCAACGCTAGGTAGAACTCTGTCCCAAGTTTCGACAGGCAAGTGGGTCTTCAACAGTTCGAGCGTTTCTAGACTCAGTTGTATCCGATACCCGGCTAGGCGATCCTCGCTTTCATTGTTCCGCTCATAGACTTGCGCTTCGATGTCAGGGCTAGCCGAGAGTAATTGTCCGAGTATGAGACCTGCAATGCCCCCTCCAATAATCGCTACACGGAATCGCTTCGGTCTGTTGGTCATTTTGGGTGTTCAAAATATTTGCAATTATGCTAGCTCGCTAGGATGAAGTAAACAAGTGTCCAATAGCAGGTTTTTATATGTTGATACGCTAGTGCTACAGCCTCAGTATTGTGTGCTGCCTCGGAGAATTTCCAACCCCTAAAATCCCCTTTGACCACCGACCCGGTGTTGCCCACAACCTCACCCCATCCTCTGCCGTATGCGTACTAAATACTCACCAGATTTGATATACAGAACGCTATGATGCCGGAATTCTATATTCTGATCCGGTACAAGAGAGATGTGAAATCGGCGTAGTAGAGTGGCCAGAATTAGCCGAACTTCTTTTAACGCGAATCTGGGACGAAATTAGCCCTGATGATTAGATTTTGACTGTAGGGTATGGGGTCCCACTGTTTTCCAATGCATGTCCTGGAGCCTGCCGAGAATGGGTACCAGTTCCTCTCTGAGGCCCGCACGCCTTTATGACCATCGATCCAGCGTTCTGGGATGAAAGCATCAGGATCCGGCCACACGCGCGGGTCTCGGTGGAGGGTTGTAGTGTCTGCTGTTACCAGGGTCTAGTTCACGTTAATCAGCGACCTTATACGAAGACAGACGTCTTTGATACTTACTCCCTCTGGAAGAGCGTAGTCTTGTAAGACAATCGGTGTGGAAACTTGTCTAGCAAACCCTACACGGGACTCAGTCATACAAGAGATAATACAACTAGTGCTTGAGTGTGGTGCTTACCTCCGGCTGCAGGAGGAAGGAGTCGAAGTGTTTCGTAAATGACTGCATTTAAATAGGGCAAATTCCGAGACCTCTCATCCACGATCAGATCGTTACGACCAGGCAGAAGAGTTTCCAACTCTTGTACTAGAGTCCGATGGGTAGTAGGATTCTCGAGCAGTTTCATAAGACAGAACGTTGCTGTGGCAGCAGACGTGTCACTCCCGGCAAGACTTCCAAATCATCAGCATAAAAATGTGTGGAAATCTAAAAAGGGATGGAGGCATCTATGTATAAGAAAGTGAGATGATGGTAAGAACTTACAGAAAAACAAACATCTCTGCTTTGATATGTTCCTGGCTCAGTGTATCCGGGCTCTCGGCGCTGGCCTCCAGCAGGATCTGGAGAAGGTCCTTCCGTCCGTCCAATTTCTCGCTATGCAGTCGTTTGTCAAGGATAGACTGGACAGTAGCATCCAATTCTTCGTCTCGCGGCGTAGAAACAAGGTTCAACAAGGGGATCGTTTGGAACAAAGCTGCTTTTTTCATGTAGTTCGTGATTCTGGTCTTCAGTGGGTGGTGTCCGTGTCTGACGAGTCCGAATGAGCCTCCAAAGGATGATTCACTCATTATGTCCTGCACATTGCTATTAGTTTGTATCTATTTGGTAGCGTTCACTGCAGAGTTTTAGTTACAGATGCGAGACTGCTGATTAAGTCATAGATGTTCACGACGGCCGCACCGTCCTCGACTGAACAGCGCTCTTCCAGGACATCTTGCAATACCTGGATGCAATCCAGCATCAACGGCTCAAGGGCTTTTAGATAGCTTATCGAAAATCCGTTGGATAGTAGTCTCCGCTAATAAATGTTAGCCTGTTAAAAACCCTCGGGGTTATCCTTTTAGCTCATCAACCTTACCCGGACCCTGTACTTTGCCTTATCACGTTCCGTAAACAATGTGGCAATATGAGGTTTTTGTCTATATTTCTCATATAAAGGGCTCTTTTGCAGGTCCAACTCGGAAAGAACTTTATGTACGGAACTGGCGTCTGACACCAGAACTAAGTTTGGTGCTATGCGAATGTCAATTATCGCTTACCCACGGTCGGTATGGACAACTCACCTACTCGCACAATGTCACCGTATTTCCTGTGTAGGTCTTGAGCCAGAAGAAATGCAGTTCCCCGGAGAAATTCCACACGCCACGGCACGGGCGATATCTTGTTCCAAAAGGGGCCAGGGACCTTGGACAGGGGTCCGGTGAACCCTATAGTCAACACTTTATACAGACGCCGGAACAGCTCTGCGCAAACAACTAGGAAAACAAGTCTGATATACGGAGAGTCTAGCATGATAACCTATAGCACCTCAAAATACAGTGGCTGCTGAACACATTCATAGTACTTTAACTGCCATGCCGGAAAGGGTTCATATGTACTAAGACCTCCAGACGGGCGGTCTGCCCTTTATAAACCCACCGAGCCGGAGTCGAGAAAATAAAACTTGCCGAGTTCACACCACCCGGGTTTCTACGCAAATGGTCTGAAAGAATATCATATACAAACGGATCCAGAAATAACGCACTAGATTTCTGTCTTGGATTGATAACATACTAGCGCAGTCAGGAAAATGTCACAAGTCCTTACTGGCTCGCAAGATGACCCTATGCCGACCATACGCCTGGAAGGATACAAGTTACATCTTTCCGTGCTAGGGTAGAGAAACAGTAAGAGCTTTTTTCTATTTGATCCGTACTAACCATATGTCTAACGGTAGATTGGCTCTCGCACTTTTCTTATCCGCCCTCGAGACTACTATCGTTGCCACGGCCCTCAGCACCATCGCCGAGCATTTCGATGATTTTCGCCGGTACACCTGGATAGTAACGGCATATATGGTAGCTTTCAATGGTGGGGAGAAATCTGTGATAGTTCTTTGTTCAACAATATGCACTACGCACAGATTGCTGAGCCGTTGGTAGGCTTTTTACTACTACACGCCAGGCTTAGCGACATTTTTGGCCGGTTCGCAGTCTTCTACAGCTGTTTAGCCACCTTTGCTCTTTTTTCTGGCCTATGCGGAGCCGCGCAGTCCATGGTACAACTGTATTCATACCTTTTCAATAATTATAGGCAGGATTTAAAACCTAACGCGGCATAGGATCATCTTTCGTGCCCTCCAGGGCGTCGGCGCCTCCGGGCTCTTCTCCTTGACCATGGTGATTGTACCTGACATCACACCTGACCGCTGGTTAGGAGTATACTCCGGCCTCATTAGCTCCGTTTTTGCTCTATCGAGTATTCTAGGGCCTTTGCTTGGCGGTCTGATTGCTCAGCATTCCACATGGAGATGGGTATTTCTCCTGAAGTATGAACCATAATATGACTATTCTTCCCCGTGCCTATTCTTATTCTAATATCACACTTCATTATCAGTGTACCAGGTTCTGCCATATGTGCGTTTATGGTAGCGCCTGCCGTACGATCTCACAACGCGTTCAAGTCAATTAGAGGAAAATGGAAGCAGATTGATATACCTGGCTCCATTTTCTTCTTAGCAGGGACCATACTTTTAATATACTCTCTACAAAGCGCAAATTCGTCCGGTAGCAATTTTGGTTGGTCGAGTAGAGTCATCATCGGCTGTCTAGTCGGATCCGGTGTCTCGCTTATATCTTTCATCATCTACGAGTTGATTATGCAGCGATATTTCTCAATATCTCCTTTATTCCCACTTTCGTTGCTGCTTAGGTTGGATATTGCTTTGCTTATGGCGTGGGTACTCCCACCGAAAGATATACCTGTCACATCTGTTTGATTGTACTCACTCAGTCTCAGATCAGCCTTTTTCATGGGCAGTTCGTTCTATTCGACCATCATTCAGCTACCTCAGCGATTACAGCAGGTGAATTCCAAAAGCCCAACTACATCGGGCGTGCTTCTTCTCCCGGTACTACTACCTTCAGCGGCGTTCTCTGCCCTCTCCGGGGGGCTTTATCGCAAGTTTCCAACTTCTGCAACATTGCTACTGACTCTCGGAGGCTGCCTACAAGTCATTGGTGTTGGGCTTTTATCCACTTTGTCCATTAAGCAATCCGTGCCGGCTAGACAATATGGTTTCGAGGTGGTAACAGGTGTAGGCTTCGGACTCATGCTTCCGTCATTTATGATTCTGGCAAGGGACTGGGTTTCGAAAGAAGAATACGGTTAGTAGCCCTTTAATATTATTCTGAACAGCAAAATCGTGCTAAACTTCAAATAGCTACAGCAATGGGTCTTGTGAATACCTTCCGCACATTGGGAGGTTGTGTTTCTATTGCGGTCAATAATGCAATAATGAACGAAGAACTTCCGAAGAAAGCTGCCTTCTTAAGCTCAAAGCAGCTTGAAACTATAAAAACGTCATCTTTGACACTACTACATCTCTCACCGGACGAGGTTCTCAAGGTTCGTGCAGCTTACGGTGAAGTGTACAATCAACAATTTTTTGTGACAGCTATGCTTTCAATTGTATCCGCTATAGCGGCAAGTGTACTTCTGGCTAGACAGTACAAAACACCGAGACAAGTTCACGCTAGTGTTGGAAGTCGCCAAGAATAATAAAAGGCGGGGACAATATTGCTCCTTTGTGGTTGGTGTCGGTGGGTTTCTAGTCTGGACACGAAGAAATTGTCCGAGGGGACTCACCAATCAGTTGCGTGGCATATTATCAGATTCGGATGAAAAGAACTGGGTTGAATATTATAATGATTATATTAGAGCAGGTGTATAGATCCTTACAATCTTACTACTCTTTATCCCAGCTCAACGAATCAGGTACCAACGTACAACAATATGAGGCTACTTTATCTTCACGGTGCCGGGACCAACTCTGATATACGTGTGTATAAACTACACAAAAGCTAACATGACTATACTAATAACTCTAAGTATAGATCTTCAAAATACAATTAGGTAAGATTCGATCTTCTCACCCTTTCTGGCATAAATCCGCTACTAAATTACTTAGGACCACTCATCCACCATCTTCTCAAAGAAGACTCCACATATTCATTTGAATTTGTGGATGCAGAGGTAGATTGTCCTCCAGCCGAGGGTAATTCCTCTCATACCCGCCCTCTACAGTATAACGTCTAACCCTGAGAAGGCATTGAGGCACTCTATCTAGGCCCATTTCGAGAATGGTACACGTGGGACTTCGTCAAGCGAGTACCTCCAGGAGAAACGGTCACCGACGCAATAGAAGGTATACTCTCCATAATTGAGGAAGACGGCCCATTTGACGGCTTGATTGGCTTCTCTCAAGGCTGTGCAGTCGCCTCTGCTCTCTTAGCACACTATTCTACTCTGCACCCATATGAACCTCAGACTAATTTGTTCAAATTTGCGGTGTTTATATGCGGCTCTCGTCCTTTTAACTACGATGGGTCTGAGTTGTTGGATGCCTCGGTACATGGGCAGGTTATTCAGATTCCTACAGCGCATGTTGTTGGTAGGAACGATCCGTGGCATAAGGAGAGTTTGGGACTCTATTCGTTGTGTGACGGTCAGTCGGCCAAATTGTATGACCATGGTCAGGGGCATTTACTCCCTGTGAATCAGAACACCACAACCATTGTCGCAGATATGCTAAAATACACAGCATCGAGAGCTTTCCTGACTTGTTAGCACTCTTAGATAAGAGTGAATCTAACATGATATGAAAGTGGGGGGAATTTTCCTCATTATTGGATTGTTTTACTTGAATTTCAAAAGTCGGGGCTAGTCTGCACAGAAAGTATAGAACACGAGGTTGAGAGTTATAATTCATAGAATAAGCAAGCTTATTGTTACTAGCAGATTAGAACGACGTAGGATAGAGTAAGTCCTGCTAAGGATCAAGTAGACATGGACGCGCATACTACTTCGGATTAGCCTGACTACCCTATTGACACAATTCTAGCGAAGAATTGATTACAGTGCTCTGTTCCAGAGAAACACGCATATCACTTTCATACTCTTGTATTGCGTTATCTCCTCGAGGACAGGAGAGATACAGGACAATATGCGCCCACAGTCAGGGACACGAATTTAATAATTAAGCTTAAATACTAATTTTTTTAATAGACAGGGTTCAGGGTTACTGCAGTTGGAGGTGTTAATTAACAAAAGAAATTAAAATATAGACTAAAAGTCGGCTGTGGCCGCGCCGACGATGACACCATCGCAAGCATATCTGAAGCCATACATTAGCAATACTTCGGCCAACCACCGACTACCTATCATACCCCTTCAGTCATAAATCATGTGGGATGCTCTAAGCTTTCCCGGCTTGGTGCGGCTTAACTATGTAATATCTTACTCGTCACGCAATTGCATGGCATTTCGTCTCATTGTGGGTAAAGTTAGGCTACTCCTATATAAATGCAAAACAGACGCGACCCGAAGAATCCGTGAAAAGTTAGAGGACAACTTGCGCCTGCAAAGTGACGAGAATGGGGCAAGGCGATAACACAATAACTTGGGGTAAGTTGAAGTCAACCTACCAGAAACGAATATCTGCTCATTTTCTATCCATAGTTCATTCACGGAATGAAGACACCGACCATGACGACCTCAAAGTGCAGGACTCCTTGAAAGTGATCGAATCGCATATACTTCAAGAGAGGCAAATTGGTGTATTCGGGGCTATTTCACTAATTGTGAACAAAATTGTTGGCGCTGGGTATGTCCATGCTTCGGTGTCTTCAACGAAACTCCAGTCTAACTTGTTCTCACAGAATATTCTCAACGCCAGCAACAATTTTCAAACTCAGTGGGAGTGTCGGCATGTCTTTGATGCTATGGATTGTTGCAGGCATGATCTCTACATGCGGCGCTTTGGTAATGTTGGAGTTTGGTACCGGCATTCCGCGATCTGGAGGCATTAAGATCTACCTTGAACGATCATTTTCTCCAAAACTCCTACAAACTTGCATCTATCTGTTCTACTGCGTTTTCCTCCGTGAGTGACATATCCCGAAGCCTTAAAGGGCCTTCCCACTTACAGAATTATTGGATAGAGGTTTCCGCAAGTAACGCCATCACGTCCTCCTCCTACCTTCTTTTAGCCGGAGGAGTCGAGTCAACCACCTGGAAATTGCGAGGCGTGGCTATTGCTGCTGCTGCCTTTGCAGTAAGTATCCATACAGTTGTACCAAGGGTAGGAAGAGGATTGCAAGATCTCCTGAGCGCAGTCAAGCTCTTCACATTACTTTTTATCGTATGCACTGGATTTGCTGCTCTTGCCGGTCATCGCAGAGTCCCTGATCCGCGGAACTTCGATGTCAGCACTTCTTTCAAAGGCACATCTAACAATGGCTACAATATTGGTACTGCGCTATTAGATGCGATCTTCTCTTTTCAAGGTTATGATAATGTCAATGCGGTATGAACCACCCTAGCCGCCGTTTGACGTCCTTCGGCCTTCTAACTGGGTACTCTACTTGTTTAGGTTCTGTCGGAGGTGAAGAATCCCAAGAAGACCCTTCGTATTGCCCTGCCATCGGCGATGGGTATAATTACCGTTCTCTATGTTCTAGCAAATGTAGCCTATGTACGTCTTTATCTCCATGCTCTTTCAAGAAGCCCCGTACTGATTACATTATGGGGACAGTTCGCCGCAGTGCCAAAAGAGGAGTTCACCAACTCCAATATTACGATCGCAGCATCACTATTCAAAAATGTTTTCGGAGACTCGGCCGGATCTAAGGCTCTTCCTGCCCTTGTTGCCATCTCTGCCATTGGCCATCTCCTCGGTATTGCATATACAGTCCGTAAGTGTGTCTATGCATACAGCATCTTCGGACGCCGCGAAACTAAAATGTTCGACGAATAGCCCGTGTCCTGCAGGAACTTGCTAAAGACGGCATCACACCCTTCCCTAATATCATGATGCAGAACCGCCCATTCCGGACACCCATTATCGCACTGGCTGTTCATCTAGGCATCACAGTGCTATTCATCTGTGCACCACCAGCAGGAGACGCCTTCAACTTTATCGTCAGCCTTAGTTCGTACCCTACTACCTTCCTCTTGACAGCCATCACAGTGGGTCTAGTCAAGCTTCGCCTATCCAAGCATGAAAATTGGACCTCCGCATTCACCGCTCCATGGGTGGTGATTGGATTCTATCTCGCGGGTAATATCGTATGTGCACCACGCCCTTAAATCATCTGTCTCTGGTATACATCTTTTCTAACATTGCCAAGTTCCTAATCATCATGCCTTTTATCCCGCCGCCCAACGGAAAGGGAAACACCAATCTTCCCTACTGGCTGAGCCCGGTTGTTGCTCTGGGCATATTGTCATTGGGTATCATCTATTATTTTCTGCGGTTTGTCTTGTTTCCTTGGGTCTTTAGGTACGCATTGCAGCCTGTTGCTGTGGAACTCAGCGATGGGTCACAGGTCACTAGGTATAGGATTCGGAAGATAGGTGATTCCAGTTAGACATAGCGATGGCTTAATATATATATATTTTGAAGCATTTCACACTTATAAGGTTCTACTATATGCGTATACACTCTAGTATCTTCACTAATAGAGCAAGATATCAACTCTGATTAAGAGAGGAAGTGAAAGAAGAAAAGATACAGAGCAACAACAATTACAAGTCAACCATCTCACACTCTTCAACTGGCCGAAGGCCAAACGTCTTCAGACCACCTTGCCAACTCCTTCCAACAGCCATCTTCGCAAACTCCCTCATCTCACTCTCATAACTACCAATAACCTTCGGATCAACCTTGTCAACACCACCAGCCTCAACAATCTTCCTCGCTAGTTCCGCTGAATCCCTAAGGGCAGTGACCAGACCCATCGCCCCGGTCGGTGGCATAACATGAATCGCATCACCGAGCAGCGTCACCCGCGGCGAAACCCCCCAGGCAGGAATCTCCAACGGAGCGGACGAGATCCGCAGAGTCGACGTCTGCTCTGCCCCCTGCATATCAAAAATAGCCCGCAGCCCAGGACTCCAATCCTTCGTAAGCTCGACCGCCAAATCCGCAGCTTCCTCATTATCAAGGTACAAAAACTTCTCATCCGGAACCTGTATTGTCGAAGAATGCGCCCCAAGAACCCAGTACACATACGGACTAGGGAGTTCCGGCTCCGAAACCCCATCCAGATTCGGAAACCACGTAGCCTCAAAAAGCATAGTCTTCTGCTGCCCCGGAACACGCTCATCAATGACAATATTCATGCCCCGCTGGTACTCCTGCGGAAACCGCTCGAGAAACTCCGGCGTCATGGGCGTCTTCCCGTACAATGAGCGCATGCCGGTATCAATGACCTTGAAACCGGGGATAAGTTGCTTGCGAACGCGCGATCCCACACCATCTGCACCAACTAGTAGCGCGCCGTGCTCGACACTCCCGTCTGTGAAATGGGCTGAGACACCATCATTGTGGAGCGTGTAGTGATCAAGTGCCTTGCCGAAAAACACGTCGTCTTTTAGCCCCGTGAGAAGGACCTTCCGGAATGTCGTCCGGTCGACTGTATATGGCTTAGGGCCCTTCAGGGGAGGGGGCCCTATACGGGTTGTATCGTCCACGAGTGACCCGTCTGCTTTGACCTGGACGCCGAATGCGATAGCGGCGGCGCAAGTTTGCTCGAAGAGGGTATATAGTTCTGGTGTTAGGGCATACTGGAGGGCGTAGATACCGTGTTCCATGACGCGGAGTCTGTACCCTTGAGGGCGGAAGTCGATTTCTGCATCTTTTTCGAAGAGCTTGAAGTGGATGTTGTGCTTTTTGAGGGCTTGGGCGAGGCAGAGGCCTCCTAGCCCGCCGCCGATGATTAGGATTGGGCGTGACATTTTATACTTATTTAAGGGCTTTAGTTCTTTACTTGATGCCGCAGTATATCCAATGCTCAATAGTATGTATATATGTGTTTGCTATATAGCTCAATCGCAAGAGCGCAGCCTAGCTTTATATCCTCGAGATCCATACTCCTTGAAAACTATGGCTTCATCGAGGCACATATGGGGCTGACGACCTCCGTGCCTCCGATCTAGATATTAAACATAATGGCCGTAGGCGGCCAATGATGGCTCCCGATCGCATGATTGCATCGGGGTGTTTGTAGCCGAGTGTCCGACATTTCTTAAGGTGGGTCAGTTCTGGGCGCAACATTCATGTGTGGTTTTCGTGCAGGTAAAGTGCCAAAAATCGCTCGACAGGGGCAACATGAGATTCTTAAAGACTAGGAGCAGTATGATTATATAGTAATCAGAATTCTGCCAGATTGTTACTCGGAATTCATTGTTTTAGAGATCTATTGTCATTTCATCTAGAAACCTCCACTATTATGTACACTGCGTCATGATCAGCCCTACTTAACGGAAGCGCCACCTGATTCGCGGAAAGATCGCCCTTCAGTGTCCAGTCCAGTCCAACATTTCATTGGTTGGCTGTTACAAGAGTCGAAAGCTGTATGTCTACTAGGAAAGCATCATATACCCGTGGAATTTAACCACTAACTGCCCTACCAGATCGCTGGCTCTAGGGTTATTCCTCATTGGACTTGCCCTTCAAGAACTAACCGCGAATAGTATCAAAGAAAATGATGGCTGTGCTCTGCGCCCGACGCGGAACAAGCCGCTAGGCCCGTATTATCCCAGAAGCAGTTTTGAGATAACTGCACTTGCCGTGATTCCCTCAAGAACAGACGATGAAGAGCCTCCTCAAGGGTTGCAAGACCCTCGTGACCATTGGATATCACGTGGCGATGGCCATGGATAAATTGTCAGCCTTACATCTGACGTGCATATCACCTTCTAATAATTCAATTCTTCTAATCGTTTCTCACTCATACCGAGAACAGAAGTATTGAATATACAATTTCCAACCAATATGTCCAAGGCAGAATTTACGACTTACGAGGAGGACATCCCTTCCTACGAAGAAAGCATTCGCTCACCCCCCACAGAGAAGCCACTCTCCACCATCACACCCAACATAGCAACATCCCTCCATCGCCATCTCGATACAAGTCGAGTTCGACGCGTCCACTCTATCCTCTCCCAGTATGTGGATCCACTCCTAGCTCAGCAAGCATCGTCAGGCCTGTACAAAACTACCTTCATTCTCATCCCCTCCAATGTCACATCACTACATCCCAGAACGCAGAATAGCTACTCCACTCCGAAAGAGCCCGAGCCGGTCGGATTCCCGACCTCGACGGTAGTAAAGCTCGTCCAACTAGAGGGAGAGGAACATACGATCGAGTTCTGGCGACAGCCTGCCGTGTTGCGGGAACTAGAGTCGTCGCTTCGAGCTAGGCTTGCGGCGAGTGGTCACAAGATTGAGGGGCAGGGTGCGCTCCCTGTATCTATCGGGGAGCCGCAGTCGCCGAGCTCAAAAGATGAGAGTAAGTCTAAGCGGAGGCGGTCGCTATGGTCAAGACTCACGCAGGGCCCGTCGGATGCGGTGATTGTGGATCGGAAGTTGGGTTGGCGTGCCGATCACGAGGAAGCAACCGGTCGCAAATTGCCGAGGGATCAGGTCAGGGTTTCTGTTGAGTGGAAGGAGGTTTGCCTGCGCGTAGAGAATGACATGGGTCTATACGAGAATTGCTATGCGCCGGGGATCTGTCTCTCAGTAGAGGTGGGAGAATAGAGCGATCAGAAGTACTTACGCTTCAATACTCTGCATGGTATCTTTTTGCAGAAATTATGAGGAGCCACAGAGGACGGTATATGGTTGTTTAGTGTCATCGATATTTAGACAGTCTAGTTTCGAACCTAGACATGGGTGCGTCGACAGATCCCTAGTGCAGCCGCAGCCATTCTCCAGGATATGGGTAAGCCTTAGCCTATTCAATGGGAAGATACACGAGACCGTTTCGGTGGAATATGATCGGAGAATAAGGCATACTATCTACCTCATTGTTTATACATCCAGCTTTGGGTGTTGTGTAATGCATTATTCTGCCACCGCGGGGCCACTGTATTCTACGGCTGTGGTTGAAGTTCCATCGCCTGCACCTTGTCCTCCGCTAACTTGTGCGAGGAGTTCTTGAATTACAGATGCGGCCGCTTTAGCATCCCACAGCCCGTCTCGGCTGGGCAAGTTAGGATGTTGCAGGAGAGAAATCGCCGTCTCCAACGTTTGCTTACTGGTCGTTTTGAGGCAAACATGCAGCAGTCCCCCAACAAGCTGGGTTGAGAGAGTGAAAGGTCGGTTGTAGCTCGTAGTAGATCCCGGGGGGGTATCAAGAAGTGTCGATATCTCTGAGAGGGCAGTGTCCAGCCAGTGGTCGCTAATTTGCCGGTGAATAACTGAGGTCGAGGACGATCCCCGATCAGCGGTAACGGACAATGCTTCCGTACACGGCCAGGGAAAGCGCTGTAGAAGGACGCCGTAGTACATTCGTGCTTGTATACGCAGTAGCAATATGCGCTTAGCAAATCTTTCCTCGCTGGCCTCATATAGCTCCTCTATCGCAGTCATAAAGCGTTCGAACTGCATCTCAAGAACCTCTCGCTCGTGTAGTACCTCTAGGGGTATCTGTGCTAGTGGTTTATGCTTGACATCGGCATAAATTTTGAGGTGACGCGTGAACCAATTCTCAAGTTTTAGAAGCACAGCCTCACCCTGGGCAATGTTTTGCAAGGCCTCGGGGACAACATGGTACACGCCGTGGACCTCGTTCGATGAGACCAGGCTGAGCATCGGAGGACCTCGACTAAGATCATAGACACTAGCTTGGATGTCCAGACACGAGAACAAAGCTGTGATATGAGGAACAATATCATCAGGCCTAGACATGTGTGAAGAGGGTGAGTCCTTTTGGCACCGCTGCAAGAGTTTCAGACCAAGGTCAAGATGTCTTATCGCTTGCTGAGGATTGCCAATGAGAGTCTCGAAGGCATAGAATACGGTGCTACATGTAAGCGCGACTTCTGGCGAAGCACCAGCCGTGGAAAGATAGGACCTCAACTGTCGATGACACTTCGCGATACGCTGTAAAACTCTCGGCGGCGGGGGGCTGGCGGTATTGTAACGAGATAATTCCCCCGATAGATGATCCTGATATAGTGAACTTAGCGTCACTAGTGCATGACGGATGACGGGCTCATGGTAGCTTCTCTGCAGGATCAGAGTGGTCCACAACGTCGGATCAGTATAACTCGATAAGCTCTCGGCAGCCTGGCAACAGTAGAAGTGTAACAGCTGCCTATCAGCCTGGCTACCCGGGACTTTGAATGGGATGCTATACGAGGTTATGGGAACGGATCTCCCAACTTGGGTCTGCACCGCAATTGAGTTCGAGAGAGAGTATCCATCGCAATTGCGGCCGGTGCTGGTACATCGGTGGCAATGAGGTTTCTGCTCGTCACATTTTACCCGACGAATCCTTGGTATTTTATAGCCTCAGTTAGACAACAACTCATGCAGTGGGGAATATGTTGTCGATCCCTTACTTGCACGTAAGACAACCCGTCTTGACTTTTGGCGCACTTCGTCGAGGCTTCTTCATCACTTCCGGCATTTTACTATAATTCCTTGCAACCCATAATTTGAGTAACATGGATTAGAAAAGGAAGATCACGTTTACAGGGTTTCGTCATCTTTTGGGGCCAAAAGAAATCCGAGGCTAAAAATAAAACTCTGGCCACTTTACTCTTCTTGGCCACGTGCATCCAGAATGTCAGGGCTAAGTTATACAGTAGTTGAGTTATTGACAATACACCACCCTATTTTAGTCTACTTGAAGCGTGACAAATTGATGTCATCCTCTCTGGCAAGCAGTGGGTTAATAGAAGAAACAATTGCAAAGACCCTGTGTGCGGGAAATGCCCCACCAAGGCATATATAATAATGTCTTAAGAGTATTGCTCCATACTACATACCGAAGAGGCGTGCGATGAATAGCCGGAAGAGGAATTCTGTCCCAGGGTGTAACACCGTGAAACTGAATCAGAACAACCTCAAGTGTATATTTTACTTCAAACCGTCTACTCCTGTGCAACAATCATCTACAAGAAGATCCACTTCGTCGTGGATCAGATAAATAGCGTGATTATCGACCATCCATTAAGATAAACAGCAAATGTCTTGGCACCAAAGTATCGCCACCAAAGGGTATCGAGGGTATAAAGATCCTTCAACTTGAACACACAGCATCCGGAATAAAATTAACAGCAATCAGCACAACAGAAGCAACCCGTTGGGAAACTTGAATATTATGTCGTTAGTGGGATTATTCCAGGAGAACGAGAGGCAAAGGCAAAAACTATTAATAGTATTACTAACCATGAAGAGCCATGTTTTACATCGTCTTCCCCCTTCTTGTGGACCAGTTCATTTTCTATGGCTTGTATGGCCCTCTCATAATGTGGATCGTTTTCCTCCTTCAGGATATCTTTCGCCTGACGTAACTCGGACTCTTTCATCCATGTCAAGAGAAACTGTCCCAGGCGTGGTCTGTGGAGGTCAATAGCATCTTCCATTGGCCCTAGGGGACTCCTTTAGTACACACTGAAGATTGGAGATCTTCCCAGAGAACTATAAGTAAACCTGGAGGGGACAAAAGGAAGGAATATAAGAAGGAGAGAAATCTAACGTACTGTCTACAGTTTTCATCTGCCGGAATGACTTCCAGATCTTCATCTGTTCTTCTTCCTTGGTATGCAGAAAGACCTGGAACTTAAATTTCTTTTTTCCGACGCGTAAGTTCTGCCACCAGAAGTACTCGTCGCACGAGAGGTATTGTTCCAACACGTCGCCTAAAATGTACCTGGCGAGACCATCATCTGGGTATCCGAACCGATATGGTCCGAGACTGCGGTCCATAGCGGGTTTCTGTGAAAAGGGGGTAGAATATACACCGAAAGTGATTTACAGAGAGGCGTGTTTGATCTTGACCTTTGGGGGAGGATAAATGGTAATATGTGACGTCGTTTGAACAAGCTCATCCCCTTAAACTATTAGACTTAAGGGATCCCCCTGAGAGAGGAAAAAGAGAATATACGTATGGGGAGGGGGCTGGTCAATTCTCCAGGTCGGGTGCCAAGCCCTAGTACCTGACTAAGAAAGGTCAAACCGTACTCGTTTATCATAGCTTTTTATTCCGTCTTGTACGCGGCAGGGTCCCACTGATCGTCTACATGGCTACTGGACTTGGCTTGAACCCTAGAGCTTAGTTCTGCTGGCCCCTCCTTTGTGCCCGGTTTGTTTCTTTTTTTGAGTAATTGTTCCCAGGGACCCTGCTCGACACAGCCTTCTCTCCTACACCAATCATGACTCCAACCCAACCTTTAACATGCGGCACACAGCCCCCGTTTCACTTGGCCCGTATTCCCCTAGAATAATTTGGTTGACTGATCTGGATTCTATATTCAAATTCAAACAATTAAAAAAAAAGTCAATGCTTTTCATGTCCCACTCGTTTCAAGTTACAAATGGTGTTCCCGCCAACCGTTGGGTGATATCAAAAAACTAGAAACATGGCCTCCATTCCCAGGGCGATGCCGTTCCCACTCGTGGGAAGCTAAGACCAAGAGAGACACTGTAATACAACATCGTCGCACCGAGAAGCGTGAAGACAAAGCGCAGGGCCCAAAGGGGGAGGCGTAAGATTCTGCCCGTCTCTCTCTGATTCAGGAGATGAAGACTGCAAATCCCAGCGGAGAGGGACCTGTTCATCGGAATGGCTGGGAGAGACGATCGTAGTCCCACCTAGCATACGTCAACCTAAATCTCTTTTAATGTGAGCTGAGGTAAACTTCTCGCCCCAGACTCCGCGAAAGTGACCTCAAACGATCTCATCGCTCGTGCAGTCGACACAAATGACCGATTCTTCCCCAGGAAATTCATTCTTTTTCGTGCTTTGATTTCGTACTGGTTCCTTTTTATTTTTTTCCTATTCTCTTTGTCAGTTCTCAGTAGACATGCTTCTAATATCAATATTGTCAGTACTCACTTTTCTTTGCTCGGTGCCTGTCTCGGCTTCGCGAGTGATCAAATCCAACTCCCTAGACCTATGTACCGACAACAAGAACTTCACCGCAACCTTTTTCAATGTAACGTTTACGCCTGATGACCGACTCCTGTCCGTGGGCTTCAACGGCACGGTAGCCATCTCCGGAAATGTTGTCGCGGACCTCTCGTTGACGGCCTACGGCAAAAAGGTCATCACGAAGACACTGGACCCGTGCAAGATGAAGGAACAACGCCTGTGTCCCATGAACATCGGCAAGCTGGAAATCCCGGCGATCCAGACGACTTTGCCGCAAAGCGTTATCAATCAAGTGCCGAGTAAGAATGATCCGCTCACGCCTCTCGTCCAACGCAGACTGACACATGTATCCCGCTAGACGTTGCATACACCGTACCTGATCTCGATGCATCGGTTCGCGTCTATATCAATTCCACGGATACGGGGGCCCCGATTGCCTGCATGGAAGCAAGCCTCTCCAATAGTAAAACCGTATACCAACAGGCGGTGGGGTGGGTTCTTGCATTGTGTATCGGGCTGGGCCTGGCTTCATCGGGGATTGCATCAGTTCTTGGTTATTCCCATGCCGCGTTGCATGTCGCAGCTAAAACCCTTGCGCTCTTTGGCTTTGTGCAGTCCCAAGCCATCCTCGGAATGACCAGCGTCCATATGCCCCCGATCGTCGAGTCCTGGACTCAGAACTTCCAGTGGAGCATGGGCATCATGCATTTAGGCTTCATCGAGATAATCGCCACTTGGTACCTTCGGGCCACAGGTGGTACCTCGTCAAATCTGCTGTCTGACCTGGAAAATACGTCGGTCAATGTGCTCAAACGGAAGCGATCGTTAGGTGTTAGCGCCGGCGCGTTGATGAAGCGAGGCTCCAGTGACGAAGGCGCACCCGACGGATCCAAAACCATATACGGCATCGATCGTGTTGGGTTCAAAGCCGGCATTGAACGAACTAACATTTTCATGACCGGGTTCATCTTCGTCATTATCTTCATTGGATTTACGATGCTAATCGTAGGGCTCGTCCGACTTATCTCTGGTCTTCTTGCAAAATCCGGAAAGGCCGACAGTACCAAGATGGACAGCAACACATGGGCGGTTAGTATGAAGGGCATTCTGCTTCGCCTGATCCTCCTGTGCTATCCCGCAGTGTGTATTCTCTGCCTCTGGGAATTTACTACCCATGATTCTGTCGCCGAGGTGATCCTCGCCGTTGTCATGCTTCTATCGATGACCGCTATATTAGTCATGGCAGCTGCACGAATCATCCTCAAAGCAAGGCGCTCGGTCGAGATCTACAAGAGCCCTGCCTTCATGCTGCAGAATGATACGGTGTTCATGAACAAATGGGGCTTCCTATATGCACACCACCACCCGCAGGCGTATTACTTTGTCGCGCTTATGGTTGTGTACATCTTTGTCAAGGGCGTCTTCGTCGGGCTATGTCAAGTATCGTCAGCCGCTCAAATAGCAGCCTTGTTCGTCATCGAGCTTCTCATGCTGGTCGCCGTCTGCGTCATCCGACCATGGATGGACAAGAAGACCAATATCATGAACATCACCATCGCATCCATCAACACCCTTAACATCCTCCTACTCCTGATCTTCAACTTCCGCGAGCGCGACATGGCAACCAGTATCATGGGCGTCATCCTCTTTGTCTACAACGCCATTCTCACTCTCGCCCTCCTCATCGTCATCTTAATCGCCTCGATCATGGCCCTGGTCTCCAAAAACCCAGACAACAAGTACCAGCCCATGAAAGACGATGGCTCCTCCATCATGTCCCGTACGCATATGACAGAACTGGACGCCTTAGGTGCCGCAGCGCGAGGCTCTCCGGACCCAGGCCAAAAGCAAAACCCCTTCGCTCATAACGAAATTCCTCCGAACAACGCCCCTGGCCTCTACCCCTCAAATCCAAACTCTCCGAACCATATGACCGGTGCAGCTCACTCCCCGTCCTCTCCCCTCGACCCATCCGTCCCTCTCTTCCCCTCCAGCGACACCCGGAGTGGTTCACCCTACCAGTCTGGCGACCATAGCCTCAGCCCGTCTGACTACAGCCAGCCCAGCGCCTCGCCAGTCAATCGGGGATACAATGTCTCGCCCGTTCGCACACCCTCGCCGCATGCATACAGGACAGCCAACAACGCCAGTCCATGGCAACGAGGAGCCGGATACGAACACTGAGATCCTATCCTGTATAACAAACAAGCACATAGCCCTCGCGTATCCTCGCGTGGTCTTTGCCGTGGATACGTTAGACACGTACGAACGACAATTGTCTATATAGACAACTGGCGATTTGCCTGGATGGGTCCCCCGATCACCGGTGAGATTCGCCATCTGTACAAACATTGTTTTCTTCGCACTCGGACATACTTCTTAGAGATATATATAGCATATCAGCAATTGACTCGCTGGACAACAGTACTTGGAAATCTTGATATGAGTTTAATCATGGAAATTTGGCTAGGAGTTATGGTGTACATAGCAGGTATTATAGATCTTGTCAATGATTACTACTTGAGTAATTCGAACCTTGTGCTCGAAGCAAACAGTTGCCTTTGGGAAGAGGCTCCTTCCACTCTTCAATTAGGCAGTGTTCACGGCCAACACACTATTCCCGACCTTGTACGGCCTAAATACGGCAGAACCCTACGTAAAAATTTAAAATTCGAGACCCCGACGTCGAACCGTCATTCAATACAGTGAAGGAACCTAACGATGCAAGATTGAATTACAAAACTCGATACAGGCAACAACTCAGGGTGGTGTACCTAGTCTAAGTGGGAAACGCGAAGGAGCTAGATCCCAGTATACCACTAATCCTGCGATCCACTGTTGATTAAGGAAAAAAAAAATAGATATCGGTCTTAGAAGGCGGCAATTTCTCCTCCACGGTAAAGTGTGCCTAGCGGTGAATTGTCAACCGGTAGTACATTGATTCTATTAAACCGCTATTATTATATACTGCTCAGAAACGTTATTTTCAACAACTGGCCGAGTGGCGCAATGGTAGCGCGTTGGTTTCCGGTACCAAAGGTTTGCGAGTTCGAGTCTCGTCTCGGTCGGATTCTTCTTTTTGTCTTTTTTGTATTTTGCCGGGGATGGAAATTTTTGGGGTATCTTTTCGCTGTTCTTTTTAGTCTGTATTTGAGATTGTTTTATAGACGTGAAACGATATCAGATAGAGAGGTAAGGGTTGTAATGCCAATGTATTGGGTTGGGCTGTGGTTGACGAACACAGCCGATAGAAATATATAGCGACAGATGATGCAGTCAACCCTACTTTCGGCATACCAATAACCAATAACCAACTACGCATTCCCTTTTCAAGTTACAAATCGTATACATATCATCTGAAAATCACCCAGAACCCCGGGACGAGACCATACTAACCAAGAGGAGGATCACTGGAGAATTGTCAATGTATGTGCGGCTTGTCGGTCAGCGAGTAACATCTACGGCATGGAGAAGTCGAGACCACGCTCCCGCAACTGGAATGCGGTCTAAGGAGCGAATCGGCATGAGAATAGTATACAACTAAGACTTCCTGTCTCCTTTCGGACAGTGGACTTGCTATCCAACACCTGTACATTTAATGTCCGAAGATCTCCCATTAATCTATACGAAACGCAAACAAATAAAGTGAACTAAAGCTAAGCGTCACAGACCCACTTCTCCGTACGCTGAGGCAGCCACCCGCTTGTTCTAGGCAGTGAAGTCTGCCGGCGGTTATCACCGACGGGGATACCCATGCCGAGCAGAAGATTCTCATCCATGCGGCACTGGTCCTCGTAAAAAGTCCACTGGACACAATTCTCCCAAGCCACGCAGGCAGCCTCGCAGGCATCCACCGACTCCCAAGCCTTGTGCCAGATCTCCTTGGGCACTTTCTCGGGTGGCTGCGCGTCGGCGACATTGTCCGACCGGAGCTCGTACCTCGAGGACTGATTGTCCCACCATTCCACCCGACGACGCATATACGGCTCGACCATCGCCTTGAAGAAATCGCGAAACCTCATCTGGCCCTTCTTGGCATAATCCCAGCTCAGCTCCAGATTATACAGCCGCGCTACATCCTTACTGTGCATATGATGCCAACTGTAAACGGGATGACACCAGCTCGCCCGCCGGAACCAACCCCCCCAGTGCGGCTCGGGGTTAAACCCCCATGAATACTCCGACTTCCCATGCGTCTGCCCGAAATTAATCCCGTAGTCCTGCATAACATGCCCCAGCACATGGTCCCCGCACCCATGCGCCTCCGTAAACGCCGCATACTTGCCCACCATATCCTCCTCCTTCCCGAAGCTCTGCTCCCACGCGCCCCGCGAAAGCACAAACCCCGCGCCGCCGTGCGCGAAATAGTCGCCGTGCTTCCACGCCAGCCCGCCGAAGTACCACGGCTCCTGCGACGAGAACTTCTCCAGGTGCAGGAGCAGGTTGGGGAGGAAGATGTACCCGTCGTCCTCGAGGTAGATGTACCATTTTGCGTCGGGCTTGGCGCGCCCCGCGTGCTGGATTAGGGGCAGGAATTTGTACTTGTCGAGTTTCCAGCCGCCGGCGGGACCGTTGCCGTCGCCCTCTACGTTGGCCGCTTCGGCGTAGACTTGGCGCGCTTCGTGGTCTGCTTGGGCGCGGTAGGGTTCGTAGTTGTCGGATTGGCGGACTGTTTCGGTTGAGTTTTCGAGGACGTCGATTACCTGCCAGGGGCCGATTGTTTCGGGGTAGTCGGAGTATATGAGGATGTTGTTGGCGGAGATACGGCTTGGCGCGAAGGTTGTGGATAGGTGGATGGGTAGGCGTCTCCAGAGCACGGAGGCGCCGGTTTTGAAGAGCAGGACAACATCGTCTGGGCTTAACTGTCCCGGTTGCTTCGGTTGCTCTTTTGGTTGTTCTTTTGGGCGCTGTTGTTGTTGTTGCTGCTGCTGGGCGGGTTTCCGGTCGTCAGAAGTTGGAACCTGAGCGGCTACAGGGACAGCAGAGGGAGAAGGTTGGGCAGAGGGCAGTGGCTGTTGCTTCGATTGCTCTCTGAGTGGTGATTGCCGGGAAGAGAGATCTTTAGGAAGATCAGGAAGGCCGTTAATCGACGGCTCGGTGTGTTCCAGATCCAAATGGTAGAAGAATAGGAACAGGACAAACAGCATAATCCCCAGAGGGACTATACGGTTCTCTCTATGGAATAAAACCCGCGCCATCTTGTGATTGCCGGACCTTTTCAGCCAGCATGGTCTGGAGGAAGGAAAGAAATAGCGCGCTGCTGGTGGACCTTTCAGAAGGAAGCGGCACGAGACTCATGCTGAGTGACGGCCATATTATTAGAACGAGCTCTTAATGCTCATGTTTCGGTCGATTGAGGCTGAGAGAGGCATGAGGTATCACGCTTAGACCCCTATTTTTTTTTCTTTTGGTAATCCTTTCTAATGTGAATAGTGGAGCCGATTGGAAGTGGAGCATCAAGGAAATGAGCAATTTCCTGACTTTCCAATAGTTAGCGGGTGATTAACTTTTCTGTTGGTCTAACTAAGCGATAAGCCGTTAGTTGACCTCGTGAAATGAACTTCTAAGGTTCTTACGGCCCCATAACCTCAATTCAAGTGAGTCAACTTCGCTAGTAGTTCAACGCCATTGAATAGACCACTGAGACACAATGTAACATTTTCTTTCACGTGGGTCATCCTGAAGAATGTGAACTATGGCGATTGGTCGGAAAAGCATTGTCAACCAAGGTTTCCAATCCTCAGTTAGGGCAAGGGCCCTCCGACAGCCTCCGACAGAGCCTCGTTTTTGACTACAATCGGATGGACAATATGGTATGTCACTCGATGATTTGGGATGTGATGCCTCTTTAGGAGATGGGTCTAAACTTCTCTTGGCTTTCAGCGGCGCTTGGTTCCCTTTCTAGTGGTGGATTTTAGTGTTAGTTTTTGTTTTTCTTTTCTGTTCCTTTTTTTTTTTTTTTTTTTTTCTCTTCTCCTCTCCTGACTCTAAGTTGGGGCTGAAAATAAGACCCTAATTTAAGACACGTAGGTTTTGCATGCGCTATAATTAGTTATGAATAGAAGGTCATGTCCACCTGTATGCTGCGTCCCCGGGATTGAAAAATATCTCATCGGTTACCGCGAAGGGTTCTTCCAGCCCATTCTCTCTCCGTAGCGATGGAGTGGACGACAGAGAAACTCTCTACGAAATTGCCCATCTTCCAGCAGCGGGGACCTGATGTGCCCGTCTGGAGACAATTCCTCAACTTCGTGGGTTGCGCATTGATCCTCCCCGTGTACTACTTTATCACCGGCTACAGTCGCCATCCCTTGACCCTCGACATCTTGATTAGCATATTCGTGGCCGAACTCAACAGATATGCCAACGAAGGGCGGCGACGCCGGCTGTACGGTCTCGATGCGCCGACAAAAGCTAAGGAAGACCCCGAAAAGGCCCTCATATCTCCCATCCCGCATATGGGCCCCGAATGTTTGGCGGTGGTGGTAGGCTACCGCGAAGACCCAGAACTCTTCCGTCGTGCGTTGGACAGCTACAAACATGCCGACAGTTGTCGGTTCATTCTAGTCGGCGTGGACGGTGACGACAAACCCGACATGGATATGGTTCGAGTCTTCCAAGAAGCTTATCCGGAGGACTCAGCCATCGTTCGGATCGAGGAACCATTTGGCGAGATTGCCATGCGCACGTACAAGAAAATCTCCGATACTTGCTACGAGACTCCGGAGCGCTGTCAGGAGATGACGATCGCCCACTGCTGCCAGCTGGCGCGGGAGATAATCGACGAACAGGACCTCGGACTGGGTGAACTGGGAGGAGTCAGCCGTCTGTGCTTGTACCAACCGCATATGCACAAGAAGGGGATTATGTTCACCTCGTTCATCTTCTCGATAGTGATCTCGGACATTCTCGGCATCGAATACATGTGGTCGTCCGATTCGGATACCATCGTTTTCCCGGATTCTGTCCGTCGGACGATTGAGACCATCGCCGGAGATCCTACCGCCGGCGGAGGCAGTTCGGGATTGGTGGTGCACAATGAAAACGACTCGCTGACGACGAAGCTCGGAAGCGCAGTATACTGGTGCGAGCTGTACATGACGAGATCAACCTCTGCATGCTCCGGCACAAGCGACTGCCAAAGTGGTCCAAGTACCGCATTCCGAGTATCGGCACTGCCCGCAATCTTATACCCCTGGTACACACAGACAGTTCTAGGTCGTCGAATGGTCAGTTCATTTCCCAGATCCCTCATGCCGTATTCAGCCATCCAACTAACAAATCCCCAGATCGTCAACGAAGACCGCCACCTCACCACCAACCTCCTCCTCCGTGGCTGGACAGTAACCTACGTCTCCGACACATTAACAGCAACCGACACACCCACGACATTCAGCCGCTGGCTCCTCCAGCAAGTCCGCTGGGGCCGAGCTACTCACATCGAAACCTTCCAACAGCCAAAAGTCTACCTCCTCAACCACCCCATCTTCTTCTGGGCCGCTATGAAAAAAGAAGTCGGCCCGCTCCTCGTCTTCCTCTGCATCCTCTACTACCTCATCACTGGCACTCGCTTCGCCTACTTCTCCGCCAACGACGCTTTCCTCCGCGTCGCCTACACAATCGGCTACAACTGGCTGCGCAACCCAGACCGCGGCCCACGCAACGCCTGGGTCTGGATCGCCCCCGCCCTGGTCTTCTACAATATTCCCCTCCCCAGCATCCATCTCTGGAGTATGTTAACAGTATTCGAGCGAGGATGGGGTACCACGATGCGGTCGAATGCCGAGTTGTCCAAGCGAGAGCAGTTCTGGAAACGCGCGTATGATCTGGGCTTCTTTGTCGTGTGGATGGGTATTGTTGGAGGTACCGCGGCACGGATAGTGTCTGGGTATGCCGGCTGGGATGCGGCGGGGACGGCGAAGGCGATCCTCTTGGGTGTTGTTGTTCCGTCTGCTGTCTCATTCTACGGGCTGCTGGTTAAGGAATGATCCCTTTTCCGGTATATATTTAATTTAATAATAGATTTATTTTGGTCGGGAGACCAGTTGAGATATATTCTACCTCTTGTTGGGCTTAATTTCTAATGCTTGATGTTGACCTGAATAGTACTGGTATATGAGAGAGTGCTACATCACACACAATCACCTCTGCTTGGCAACTCCCACTCAGTTCTGATACAACATGAGCGTTCCCTAAGATATAGTACATGTTCCCAGCTAGGGGTTGAAGGTAGGTATATATGATAACTCTGATCTGCCTTGCATTGCATCATGTCTCTGCCAAGGTCTTTTAATATGTAGAGCCTTGACAATGATATTGTTTGGGTTCTTTTTTGTCTTTCAGTATATATACCGCACAAATTGATATCAGTTAGAGGTTGAAAGCAATGAAGAATCTGCAATTAATTGGAATTTTAAGTCATTTCGCGCGGAGAAAGACCTTCTATAGAAATAAAGATCCCGGCTGTAAATGAGACAGACATTCCCATCTGATATGCTCAATATGTGATATCGTACTGCAGGAACATGCGCTCCAGGGGGTTAATTTGCGAGGTGAGAATATACCCTTGCAGATGGTATAAGCAGGGTAGATCCACCATAGCAGATACGCACGAGATCCACTGGTCTAAATTTGGATAAGCCAACTGCTGTAACTTGTTTTATTCCTAGTCTAACCTTCCTCTTACTCTGCATTGTCTATACTGTCCTTTGTAGAAGCTGGAGAGCTTCCAAGGCTGTCCTAGATGGTCTTCACACGTGTCGATTGCTATTCATCACGTTGATATTTCCTTGTGTCTTGCTGGGAGGATAGTTTATTTAATCATCATAAAAACCGTTATCTGTAGATCCTATTGAGCTATCATCGAAGCTAGGGACCTCATAGGGCTGAAACGTCGAGTTATGCACATTATCATAAGCAACGCATGCACAGCATAACTGACTAAGCGAGCTATCAGACCAGACCAGGTGATTTATCAGTAAATCACGTGCACCATCCCGCTGATAACGCCCAAAATTTTTGGAACCAAAATTCCCACGGAGACAAAATATCCCGCTCGAATTGCGCAGAGAAAATGGGAAAAATCGCACGGTCGAAGAAGAACAGCGGTGCCAAGTCGCCATACCAGAAGCCTGACCAGGGCCCACTGGGAAAGGCATCGTCCGCGATCTTCAAGTTCAATACCGATCTCGGTCAACACATTCTCAAGAATGGAGCGATCGCCGACGCCATCGTCGACAAGGCGAATGTGCAGCAGAGCCAGACGGTCCTTGAAGTCGGACCCGGACCTGGTGTGCTAACGAATCGGATTCTTGCGAAGGCGAAGAAGGTGGTGGCGGTTGAAGTGGATCCTCGAATGGCTGCTGAGCTCACGAAGAGTGTACAAGGGACGCCGGCGGAGAAGCGACTTCAGATTGTTCTCGGTGACTTCATTAAGATCGATTTGAATCAATTGCCGCCGTTTCAGATTTGCATTAGCAATACCCCGTATCAGGTATGTGTCTTTTGCGTCTGGGGATAGTGATTTGGGTTGGATGTGGATTGGAGAGCTAACGGTTGCTTTGATAGATTTCCTCCCCGCTTGTTTTCAAACTCCTCTCCATGCCTAATCCTCCGAAAATGTGCGTTCTGATGGTACAGCGCGAATTTGCCCTCCGTCTTATTGCCCGGCCCGGGGATTCCTTATACTCTCGACTGTCTGTGAACGTGCAGTTCTTCGCGCGCGTCTCGCATATCATGAAGGTCGGCAAGAATAACTTCCGCCCCCCGCCACAGGTCGAGTCCAGTGTGGTGCGAGTTGAGCCCAAGGCCGATCGCCCGGCGATCAGCTGGGACGAGTGGGATGGTATGCTTCGGATTTGCTTCGTGCGCAAGAACAAGACCCTGCGGGCGGGCTTCATGGGAAACAAGGTGCGCGCGTTGATTGAAAGAAACTGGATCACTTTTGCCACCATGTACCCGGAGAAAGTGTCGCAGGTAGATATAGATTTTATGCTGGGCAATGGGGAACCCGAGCCCATGGAGGACGTGGAAATGGACACTAACAACGATGTTGAAGACACCCCATTGATGGATGAGGATGACGTTTACATGGATGACATGGCATTCGAGAAGAAGAACGTTCCGGAGATTCCCAAGGGAGCTTTGCTGACCATCGGCAACCATAAGGTGTCTCGGGCCATGGTGACCAAGTTAATACACACGAAACTCCAGCGGGTTTTGGATCAGACTGACCTGTCCACTGCTCGTGCGCAGAAGTGTGACGAGAATGATTTCCTTCGCCTTCTTCATGCCTTCAACAAGGAGGGCATCCATTTCTCATAGTCAGGTGATGCGCAGTGATAATTTGTTTTCGACGAGCAACGAGATTCGTGTGTGGGACGCGCACTCTGTTACGGGATAGCAGTCGGTTAGCGAGCAAGTTTTATAGATGTTAATGATATCCTAAAAGTTCTTTTTTGCGCTATTGATACTATTTTTTATTTCGCCTGGTGCAATAACGACGGTAGAGCTGTGACGCACACGTGACTGTTTGTCCCTATTCGTAAATGACAGACATCAGATTAACCTTGCTTTAGCTTTTCCTCATTCTTGTTCATGTGCTACACACAGTGAGAAATAAATTAGAATGGCAAGGGTTATGTGTTCCTGGCTGGTGGCTTGCATAATTCCGGGACTAATGTAGTTTCCATATGTACACCCTCAAAACAAGGCAACGTAGCATCCTCATGCAAGTGAGAGCGAGAGTCCCTTGGCACTTCCCAGGTAAAGCTTCCTGGACGAAAGGAATGTATGAGAAGGATCAATTGACCCCTACTATCGTATAAAGTATTGCCATTGGGACCCCTGTCAAGAAGTATACTCATAAAACCTGATAGAAGTGGATTTGCTGATAACACGAACAGGCTTGAGGGTGGCCTGCTGTAGGTGGCAACATACGCACTCCAAGGAGCATCAGGAAGCTCAGTTCAAGTGCCTTGACCTGTATTGAGGAACTTTCCTACGTATTTGGAGGGAGTAACTAGCGAGGCCTCGTTTAGTCATGCATGGTAGTCATGAAGCTCTCATGGCTGAAGTCAAATCCACGTATATTTCCATCGCTGATTCATAGACATCTATTATGTGATTTACAGCGCATACGGCCTTACGTGGAAATTACATCGCCTGTGTTGTTCTCACTACTATAAAATCTGGGTCACCCTCTAAGCCATTGTGCTTGTAGGTAAAGAAGTAACATTTCCTGTTGAAATGCAAGATATGGACCCTCTACAGTATGACAAGATAGGACCCCTGCTTCGATGGCTTTACAAACATCCCTAGTTTCTGGTTGCAACTGGACCTCTTGATGACACATATTGGTCCGGTCAACCGACTCGACGTACTGGACCTAGGCTGTGGAACGGGATATTGGCCCAGAAAGATCCTCGACTTGGGGCGCGAAAAAAGTTGTCGGCCAGGATATTTCCAAGACCATGTTAGACAATGCACGATCCCAGACCCGGGCAGATGATCAGTCGGGGTTCCATGTGGTAGACAGCACCAAGCCATTCAACGAGGGAACGTTTGACCTCGTACTCGCTGCCTGGCTTCTTAACTACGCCGCAAACAAAGAGGAGTTATTAGCGTTGTGGCAGAACATTTTTCACAGCCTGAAGCCCGGAGGGCGGTTTATTGGCGTCATTCCCAGTTCCGGAATACTGCAGACCCCTTCCTCTGCACGGAGATATTATTTCGAAGGAGTCAGCGCCGAAGCGCTAGAATGCGTGGCTGAAGGGATTCGAACTAAAATTACTCTTCACGCCACCGAGCCGATTACCTTTAGCTGTTACGTACTGGAACACAGGCTGTATAAGAAATGTGCGTGGCAGGCTGGGATCCGCGACTTGAAATGGGAACCGCTTCCAAATGATCTCCGCATGGATAGCGTGGATTGTGGAGGTTATGAATGTCTTCCTTCTTTCCAAATTGTTTCTGCTTCACGCCCTAAGATGAGCGTCAGGGACGGTGTATCTCTATGACTGGTAGGTATGAAGAGAGACACATCAGTATTCTCCAATTGTTTGAGGTACCTACACTCGGCACAGCAATATAAGCCAAGTGGTTTTCTTCCTTTTACCTCTCTTTTCTTTTCAAAAATCTCCTATCCATGGGATATTAATCGAAAAGGGCGAGATGAGCATGATGATATCAAGGAATTGTTCCGTGCGTGAATTATTGATCGTGGCATAGTGTTCGGAAGAAGGAATTATTGGGTGTACTAGTCTTCAGCACCTCTATCCATTCTACGTAGTATCTCCTTACTATGTCATGTAAGTACCTGCATCGAGTCCAAAGGGTCTTTCATGTTCATTATTAAGCAGAATCTGTTAACTAAACATAGATGAAACCGAGGGACCCAGAACTACAATGCGAGCCTCGCGAGTTCTACTAGTTTCATTCAGGCTTGATGCATGTAGCGCGCTAGCTGGCCTGGATGAGCATGTATTAGTGGTACATCTTGTCATCGTATTTAGCCTATTAACATTGAAAATCTTACCAAAAGTCCCGGTTGAGCCTGCTTCATCCGGCCTTGTATGGTTTAGGGTTTCTGTCAACTACTGGAGGAGTGATTATAGGGTTGTATTGGGTCTAAAATCACTGTACGGCTGGTCATCCCGACCACTTGGTGCAGAAATGAGTATGTTCCAGTTCCTCGCCCAGAGGGCCTTAACCTCCGCGGCATACCGAAGATATATTGCGGAGTAATGGCTGATATACTATGGTTGAGGCTTTTTCAGCCGTTGGTGAGGAATTATCAAGGACGCTACCAGGCTAGGCTTTTTCTGTTGAGGTGTTATGAACAATGATGATATCAGAACTACCGAGGGGTAATTTTAGAGATATAAATACATTCATTGAGACATAGCCTGTGGAACAAAGAACTTGTTGAACCCAATTATCTGCACACCCCCCCTCTCTATGACAACCTATTCTATCTCCTCTCACTACCACTGTATTTCTTGACACCGCTTCTCCCCAAACACACAGTCCTCTTTGGCATTATCCAAATACTCTTCATCATGGAGAATAAGGAGCTATTCGATGGCTCTTTTATTGGAAAGATTGTCTCCTTCTAGAACCCAAATTCCCAGTGAAAGCTGACGAAGAAGCGCCATGCATGAACGACCAGATCGATCCTGAATTGTTGAAAGAATACCCCATGCGATAAGTGGTGCATACGGGTCCGTCCTATGCGAAAATGTGGATACTCCAGGCCAGAAGAATATAATGAGAATCGTCACGCAGTGCGTCGGAATCTACTCGTTCTTATGCCTACATAACGAACTCACTAATACATTTGCATTTAGTCACTTACGCAGGTTCTGAGATCGCAACCCACGCTGAGCGAGCTTGCTAAGCTTTTGACACCCTGCCTCGTTATGGCCAAGAGATGTTGGAAGCTTATATCACTTTGACTGAGAAAGGTTGTATATCAGCTCCCCGGCTTTTGAATGACTAAAGGGAAAAGCAGGGCGATAAAGAAATGGTACCCGGTGGACCTATTGTCTTTCTCCTTGAAAAGCTACCGGGAAGGCAGCTGGGGCTTTGGCTCTGGAGGTTGAGGCTAGACGAGCGGGAAACAATTCGTCAAGCTTTCAAGGGTGCATGGAAGTTAGTTTTCCAGATCTCTTTTCGACTTTAGAGACCTGAATCTCGGTCCAAGTTACTGATTCAGTACTCAGCGAGTGCGTGAGCATTGGGTCCAGACTAATTACTCTCTCTTTAGGTTGTTCTGGCATGCTCCTTCCGCCACAATGGAGGTTTTTCTCTCTGCGTGATATAAGCTAGGTTGTTCCTCACAGGCTAATTGGAGAAGTGCCTTCTATAACTTCCTACCGGCGTACAAGTGTGACCCGGACAAACCGTGGACAGATGCTCTGTGGATTGGCTGTGGTCTAGCCGTCGCACCTTTGGGATATTACTGGATTGAAGAAACTGCGGGACACCCAAACATGTATGGCTGGAGACTTTGATGATTGTAATTGGCAGCTCAAGCTCTACTCTGGTTCCTGACGAAGGTCCAATGAAATGATTGTTACATGATCCGACTCTATTATGCTCACTATTAGAATTTGTGATATTGTTTATTCTCCAGACACCTGTACACAAAGCTTCGTACAGATTAGACCCGTCGAATGAACTTTGAAATATTGCCCTGAAGTCACACACCTAAAACCTCTCGAACTTTAGAAAGACAGGCCTGTCACCAAGCAACCTTGTCAGTGGCGAACCTCAAGCCTCGCGCGTAGTCCCCAAGTCGCAGTTCCTGATGTCAAATTATTAGCCACAGCTTCCGCATCGAGGCCGCACATACCACGCAATACCAGAATGCGGAGAGATGGGGGTAGACGCGATAAAATGAACTGACTAACCTCGGGAGAATATTTACTAAAGCCACGGATGAAACAAATGTGATGATACTTGTCAAACAATTCGTCTAAAGGCGGGTCGCCAGAGACGATGATTCTTGCCACGGACAACAACGATTAGAAACATGCTCGGTCCGTGTGCCTGGAGACTTAATTCGTCCTACCGGTGGAGTCCCTCCGTGGCTGGAGGTTTTCCGGGGTCGTATTTGGCAGTGGTATCTCTGGACACAAAAAGGCTGGGACCATCGGCGGTTTGACCGAGCGTCCCAAACAAACCCTGTTCTGTCCCTGCTGAGGGTTTAGTGGCATCTGCTTTAGAGAACGGCTTCGTGGTATCTCTGGACCCAAAAGGGCTGGAACCACGGACGGTTTGGCCGAAGCTGGGTGTCCCAAACAAACCCTGTTCTGTCCCTGCTGAGGGTTTAGTGACATCTGCTTTAGAGAACGGCTTCGTGGTATCTCTGGACCCAAAAGGGCTGGAACCACGGACGGGTTGGCCGAAGCTGGGTGTCCTAAAAAATCCCTGTCCTGTTCCTACCGAGGGCTTAGCGGCATCTGCTTTAGAGAACGGTGATGAGCCGAATAATCCTTCTGAGGGTCTGGGAGTATCCGTTGTGAGAGAATCCCCGAAACCAAATAGAGACTTTTCATTGTTGGCATTTTTAGCATTGGAATCATCTCCAGTGCCAGAGCTTCCGCTGAACAGATGACCGGTACTGTTGGAGGAGGGTGTTCCGAATGTTGGGCCTAGATTATGTGTTGAAAAAGCTGTAGTGTTACTGTTGCTGTTGCCGCCTGACGCCACAGGCGGAGGAGGACCGCTCTTTGTAGGAACCGAGTGTGCTGCTTGATAGGTTAGCACGGACTATAATTTGGCTTGGGTCTAGGAGATTTACGTTTGGAGTTTGGCTTGCTCTTCCTGCGTAGAGCAATTGGATCCAGGCTTGGGAAAAGAGATGGCAGGCCTAAGGCCGGCTTCTCAAATATAGGCGGTGGCTGTAATGTGGAGCTCTCAGTGCTGAAGATGTTGAAAGTGTTCAAACCTGCCTGTAGCCTGTTCAACTCTTGATTCAGACGTTGTCGCTCTTGCTGAACATGTGGCGGCTCTTCGGCAAGCTCGCGAATCTGCTGGTCCTCCATGTTATTGACAGTTTGGCTGGTGAATATTCGTTCTAATGGTCCGAGAAGGCAATTCTCAATGGCAAGGGTTGCAATGTTGTCTACGAAGGTGACAATGCTCGTCTATCCAAAGTGGCTTGTTAGAGTAGCTATTAGGATGTCTATGCGTCGAACTTACATCGTAGTATGCCTGCATCTGGTCGATGATCTCTGCGGCTGCGAATTGATCGCTGGACGATCGAAGCTCGGAGGCAGCCCTATCTAGATCATCGGCATCGAATGACTCAGGACTATCCTTTCGTGCATAAGCTGGATGAGAAAGGCCTAGGCCCTTCCTCAGCGCCGCAATCTGGCGGTGCGTTCGGGCCGCTTGGATTTTAGACAAAAAGCTCTTTCCAACGGGCAAGGGATGGCCGCGCTTCGTATAGGCTGTCAGCTCCCCCAGCTTGTTTAACAAACCATCCTTCATCCGCTCCAGCTGGGGGGCAAGAACCGTGCCCACCAGTAGTGTGTATGTAGGTTCATTTGTAAGGTGCCGGAGGAGAAGGCAAACAAAGTACTTCACCGACTCCCAGGTATTCAATAAGTGTAACCGAGCGATTTCCTCCCACGGCTTGGACTGATCCCGGAACAAGCTGCCTACAAGTAACTGGTTTGCACTTCCTGGCAGCTCGATTCCACGGTTCTTGCGTGCCTGTTCGCCTATTTCCTTCTCAAGTGCTTCACGAGTGATGTATTCTGGTGACCAGTTTTCCATGTACATTTTTTGCTTCTTCTGTTCTAAGTCATAGCCCTGGTCAAACCACCCCTTAAAAATCCGACGAGAACCACGAGTGTTCATGGCGTCGGCAAAGCATTCATTCAGCTCCCGGATAACTGCTCGGAGCCGACGGAAGTCCTGAGAATCCTGCGCATCATCGCCAAATTCACCAAAGAATTCGTCCGCATACATTCCATTCAGGGCTTGACTCGTGATGCGTTCAAAACTGCTGCTTATACCAAGGAGAAAGCCTCGTTGCTGCTGGAGGGTCGACCGTGCAGCTCCCAGCTTCGCCAACCTCCGCTGCCGGTCGGCAATCTTATCCTGGATATCAGCGATCAGACCTGGAAGATTGCGACGAACGTGCTGCAGTAAAACGCTGCTCAGCCGGCGTCGGAGACTATCGACTCCCACGCAGTCGCGCGAAAGTGACGCCCACCGGCCCTGCTCGAAGAATATCCTTTCCCTCTCATCTCGCGAATCGTCGGAGATGTCGCGTGTTTCAAAGGACCGGTTACGCAGCGTATGCCATCCGAGGCGCAAGTCTATCTTCTCGTTTCGCATGAACTGCAGGTAATTGCTTTCCTCCTCCGAGTCGGCTTCGAGAATGTCCGGCTGCGTGATAATACCCAGCGTCCGCTCGCGTTTGCTGTCAAATCGCTCTGCTATGTTCAGTACTTCCTGCAGATGATAATCCGTTTTCGCACTGATTACCGCAAGGATGATGGTGCGCGTATTCTTCATGTACTTCTCCGTCAAATCTCGGACGATCTTGATCCCCCTTGCCCCCTGATCACGACTAGTTGAGTAGTATAGCCCGGGCAGGTCAACAAGAGTCAACTCCGGTTTATCGGGGCCTGAGATTGCGACCTTCAACACGTCATCGCTAAACCCGGAGTTGACTGTGTCTTCATCACTGATGCCCATGCATTCCTTCGCTTGTTCAATGAGCCTAGGCAGATCCACACTGCTGGAAAACGCCTCGGGCGCGAAGTTGCGGAGTTTCTGGCGTTCTGCTTCGTTTGTTCTCGACTCGCCCGGTTCGATCGAGACCTTGATTTTTGGCTGTTTGCCGCGACGAAGAATAACCTCGGTCGCAAAACGCGTGCAGACGTTACTCTTTGCCGGGAAGCGTACTCGCGAGATCGCCTCGAGAACCGAACTCTTCCCACTGGATTGGTTGCCACAGACAATCAATTGTGGCAATTCGACGAGACCGCCGACTCCGATAGTGCGGAGTTCGTCGATTTTGTCCAGTAATTTGGATTGTTGTGACTGCAGTTGATGCATTGCTTGGTCTTCTCGCGACGGCGACATTGTGGCGAGGGTGAATTGGTCTGTACAAGTGATTGATTCAGAAACACAGAAAAGAGGAAAGAAAAGGAAGAAGAGGGGAAGCGCATTCAAGTAGGAGATCAATTTCCTTCCACAGCAAGCCCTGGTTTTTATAAGATCCAGTAAATGGCTGGAGGCCATGGTGCGGCGCAGTTGCCTTGCATTAGTGGCGGGTATTTATAGCATCACGACGATTTAGTAAAGGACAAGATACTCATTCACTCCCCGATCAATTGACTCTTGTTCTGTTGTCTAGTTATGGTACAGAGACCCTCACAATTTATAAGTCGCTAAGCGTGTATCATTAAATGGCACAATAGTGGTGCGAAGGATAGGCTGTTCATTCGACCATTGCCCAATTCAGTAGTGCAGTATTAGATAGCTCCCTAACTAACGCGCGGGGGAATTATTAGCCTATAATCCTCTATTATGTAGTATACCCAAATGCATCTTCGCCTACTACTATAGTAAACCTAGAAGCGAAGCTATACTCTCGTACTTTTCGTAAATCTTCTCACCCAACAGCGCTTAAGATACCTTCTGGTAAGGCAATTCGACCCAGGAAGGCAACTCGCTCGCCAATCCCTAACCTCCTAGTGCGGCCGTACCATACTATCTCGAATGCCTTCCATGAACTAGACTTTGTTGGCTCGCTGGCTCGCTGACCCGAATTCATGAAAGACGTGCGGAAGCACACTGATGATACAAATTGGAAACGCCACCGCCAACCTGTGCTCTCATATGGGCCAATGCAGGAAGACCCGGGCCACCATAATCTGTGCATTGAGCAGATCTTCGTAGAAGATGAAATGAGGATATTGGGCGGCTTTCTGTCCATATATGCGTGGACCATATTTCTTCGCCAGGAACTTGTCAACGGCGAATGGCGGTTGGAACATAGCCCGCCCATTGCCCACTCCGATGAGGCGAGTAAGGAATTGGGGACTGTTACTATGAGGTAGGCATTCTGGTTCATAGCGGGAAAGGCTATAGGGGGCGATGCCCGCCATTAATACTGTGGTGATGCCTAATTGGATCGCGAGGGCTTAAGCGGGTTACGGCTATTATCATGTCTATTAATGAGCTTAAAATGTCAGATGGAGCACTGCCTTGATATCCAATACGAGGCATTTTGCAAGTGAGAGAGAGAGAAAGAAAGAGCATAAATTCTTTTTGCGAGAACCGCTGTGTTGAGCGCGTGTACCTCCCTCTATGTTAAACTAAGCGCTGGAGAGAATGGATACAACCAGTAACCTTAACCAGGGCGGAATAACTGAAGAGAGTGCCAGATTGATACGACAGCTACTTGAAATCGAGACAGACGCAGCCGAGGGAAGCAATTACACAACTAGAAGCGTAAGAGGAGATAATCAGGGTTGCTCGCCAGGGCCTTATCTTTCTCGAGTCATTCGAATGCACGGTATCAAGGGCGCCACAAATTACCCAGGCCATGTTCTCACCAAAGGAGCCTACCCTTGTCGTGTCCAGCGGGGCGATCGCGTCGTTACTTCATGTGTCACCTATGGATGAACAACGGCCGCCTAGCCACCTGCACGGCATGGCCCAAGGCTCTGCATTTTCGGGAGATCTATTGGCATTGGAGCCACCAACCGCGGAGATACAAGGTGCCGGGCATGATGAGCAGTCCATGTTGCAATACCCTAGATCTAGCCAAGATGGCATCACTCTGCAGCGGAGTGCAGGGATCTCTGCCATCGCGGCCGGCATCAATGACTGGGCTTCCCAAGGCATCGACATGGCATTCTTCAATAGCTTAATGAAAGGGACGTCCTGCGTCGATGCTGCAGGTTCAGAGCAGTTAGTGGGCTGAGGATTCGCTGGCTTTGTACTGATTTTATAGTGGCACTACAATTTCTATTTTTTTTTCTTACTGGCACTGCTGACCTAGATAGGTACCTTCACTCCTTAAAGCGTATAGAAGAGCCAAACTCGGTTTACAATTTTCTTGGAAAAGTATCAATTTGCTAATATACGGGATTCTTTCTTTCACAAAAGCCATGATTGAACATAACCTAACGGCCCAACAACAACCTCACACTGACCTGCGACAATTCTCTTGAACGTCGAATAGATGAAGGGCTATACAACGCATTGGTATATTGGGGGTCACTGTGGGGAAAGTCATCATCCAACAATGACTGGGTATTTCTCGAGCCCCGCGGTGTCAAATTGAATAAGCTAACTTCTGGTTGTTGAAGATATGGTGTATAGCCGGTGTATAGCTGGTGTATAGCTAGCGCCTTGGTAAGCGTGTGGGGTTTTAACCCCTGAGAATCTCTCCTTCCTGTGTCTATTCAGGCAAGATACTGCTCAATTTACGTCTCGTCTCCTTTCAAATGCCATCTCTCCGTGAAATCGCAACACTGGTATTGTATACTCAATTATCCTTATCTTATACAGTGGCCAATTGAATATAATTCTATTATATATAATACCACTCACGAAATAGCATAGATAGTAGTAATCTTTATATTCAAATATAGAAGACTTTTTGCAATGCAGTTACTCGACTTCGCCGACACGTCGCTGGCGTTCTACCTCACTATGTAGCCTTATATCCCTGGAAATATATTATAGATAATCATAGGGCGTGAGGAGCAGGGCTTTATATCCGTTTAGCTAAACGTAAGCCTTTTAATAAAGTTAATTCTGTTAAGTTGGAGGCCATAGATCTATCACCCCAGCGCAATAAGGGTTTTGCAGTCCCTAAGGAACATGGGGGTTTCTAGACGTGTACCCTTTCATACTTTGGTACTGAGATCGGACACCGTGACAACCACTAAACAACGCCTTCTCGCTCCCCCATGTAGAAACGATGATCCCACGATGAAACTGGTTGTATTTGACTAATCTTGACTTCGTTGATTGTATGTAGACTAGTTGGGGGGTATGGATAGGAAGAAGACGAGTGGAGGCGGTTTCAAGGGGCGGCCAATTTAATTGCCTGACAGTACTACGTGAACTTAATTCTGGGTCTACAATGTAACCTTTGTAGGGTTTAACAGACCAAATTGCGACCAGTGGGTTCTGCTATACGGACTCGTAGATTCGTTACGAGATGAACAACGCCCCGGATTTATATACTCCGTAAGGAGCACAACTGGTACAGGGCAAATGGAAAGGTGCGATATCTACTGACCTACTATACGAGCTTTATAGTCTTCGTCTCTGCATTTGCCCTGGAATTGTAGGGCACTATTTGCACCCCAAGCTGGTTCCCATTCTGGGGTTGTTTAGCAACGCCCAGCGGTAGCTGAGGATGACTCGGCCAGACCGTTAACATATGGCGTCGCCCACCTCCGTTGCCCATTCGGCTGGTAGTCGGTACTCATGAAACGGAGAGGTTATGGACTGGCATGTTTTGGGGGGCTTTCCTCGGGGAGGTATATATAGCGACAGGTATGCCTTCGCTCTTACCGTTTCATTGCTCCGCTCAAACGGCTGGTACGTTCACTAGTCTTTGGTGGTGAAAGAGTATAGTCATCGTCGTCTTGTAGACAAGCAAACCGCTGTCGTCGGCCTCTTCTTCCAGCTCACAGTACTCGACGGATCCGTTACCCCCTTCGAATCTATTTTCTCTCAGCTTGATGATATCGCCCATGCCGGCGCCAGGACTGTGACTGGTGAACTGGACTTCCAGGTGCTTACCACCCACCTCGCCCACTTTAGAGTCATTCAGTACACCGGCTCGCTTACTACTCCTCCTTGCACCGAGGGCGTTGCCTGGCATCTCAGTGGCGGCCTTTGCCGCTCGACGTGAAGAGTTACAGTACGGTAAAAAAAAAAATCATCAAGTACAACGCGCGGTATACCCAGAATGCTCCGGGCCAGGACAACCTGTTGAAGGTTGCTGCTCAGCAGCAGAGAGCTTCGAATGAATGAGAGGGGGTCATGCGTACGGCGGACTTGCTAGCATACATGGGAGTATAGATTTCGGGCAATGTGGTGCTTTTTGTTTGATAGCGGTATGACAGTGAAGGCGTTTGCAATTGCATCTTGTAGGATAGATGATAAAGGTACCGTGATCCTTTAATACTCTTCACAGCCTAGGTACGAAGCCCTTCCTGACCAGATCAAACCTGTAGAATGCTTTTATCGAGTCCGCAGTGAGTGCAAAAGGCCATCACCTCGTTATGCTTTAAGAGATCTTCGAGCAACCTCATGATTTCTTTGCCACCATAAGGCTACTCGAGTTATGTCATGGTTCTGATTCGTGTATCATTCAGCTTGTCCACTCACTGGAAGCCGCGATTTGGTGTTCTTGGCCGTCTGACGACGGGAATTGCGGTGATACAGAGGCCGAATCCAACCTCAAAGAGATGTAGCTGGAAAAAAAAAAAAAGAAAAAAGAAAAGAAAAGAGAGAGAGAGACCGAGAGAAAAAAGAAACTATATAACTTTGTAACAAACCGCTGCACCTTGCGCCGAAAGATTTTTGAAATCCCTTTTAGGGCTCTTCACTTGAGGATAGAATTCGAATGCCAAATAGAAAATCCATCGGTTCCCAGGACTGAAGACTCCTTTAGCACAGCTGGCTGAGGAGAAACCTAGGCGGAGGGGCAGGTTTCAAATAAATAGAATTTATATGGAATAGTGTAGTTATTGAGAACCAATGGTCAAACTAGGAATACTATTATTCCACTAATGAAACTAGTTCGAATTGATCAAGAGTTGAATTCCAAGCCATACTTGGTATGACAACCATCAGATGTTGTTGTTTCAACTATAGTTCGCAAGCAAGCCGGATCAATCTAGTGCTTAATTTCCGCCGTTAAACTATGTTATCAAGCTTCTCATGAAGAGCCGAGTAGATAATAAATGTGGAACAAGCTTCACCCTCCCTTGTTTCAGTATAATATTGACAGGACCCACTCCCTTCAATCGTACTTTTAAAGATGCCAAAGCCCACAATCCCAACGTCTCCCCAACTGTGCCGGTCGCATTGTCCTGCCGTTTACATTCATTTTATTTCTACTTCTCACTATGCAGTCACTCATTACTCTTCTCGCTCTTCCTGCTTCCACGCTGGCTGGATCCGTGCTGTGGAGCGGTATCTCCGATTCTTCGCTTACCGTCGACGACATTGACAAATGTACATAAACCTCCATCTTCTAACAAGGTCTTCACTGACAGCTCTAGGGTCTTGGTCTAATCAGGTCGGTGCATGGCAATGGTACATTCACGGCTCTGGCAAAACGTCCGAGTATTTGGGCGTTTCCTCCGACTTCAAGAACCCAGCGGCTAGCGACGCCCAGGGACTGCGGATCACTATCGTGGGTCAATCCAAGCTTGTACATTTTCCTGCTTCAGTTAACCATGGCCCTTAGGATGGAACATCTTTCTGGAATGGGCAGACCATGGAACGCTCCGAGCTCATCCCTCAGACTAAGGCTAATCTTGGCTCGGGCCACTTGTATTATCACTTCTCTCTTTCCACCAAGGAGACTAACCGCCCCAACCCCTCGTTCGAGCACCAGATTGCATTCTTCGAGAGTCACTTCACTGAGCTGAAGTATGGCGCATCTGGCTCTTCCGACAATACCCTGAGCTGGAACGCAGACGGCAAAACACATTGGTCGGTCCAGCTGGAGGCAGGTAACTGGTACAACTTCGCCTATGACATTGACTTCGACTCCAAGAAGGTTGGCCTGTGGGCATCCAACGGTTCCGAGCCCTTGACTCAGGTTGTCGCGCCCGTTAGTGCCTCTACCTCCTCCAACTCCGCTGACTGGCATGTCGGCCAGCTGCGTCTGCCTGGCAGTAAGTCCGATGACGCGGCGGAAGACTGGTTCTGGTCCGGCGTCTACGTTGAGGAGGGCCCTATTACTACTGAGATCGGCTCTGGAAGCTCCTCCGGCTCTTCAAGCTCCGCTGGCTCTTCTAGTGCCGCCACCTCTGCGACTGCTTCTGCCTCTTCTACCGCGCAGTCCGCTGCCCCTACCGAAAGAACAGCAACTACTGCGACCAGTGCGGGCCCGACTACGGCTGCCACACAAAGCCCTTTTTCGACTGCAGCATCCTCGAGCGTTACCTCTTCCACCTCGACTGCGGTTATTGTCCCCGCGTCGACCGCCCAGGATGGGACATCGACTGCAGCTCCCACCGAGAGCACTGAGGTGGCCACGCCCACTTCCTCTGCGGCTGCCTTCGCCAGCCCTACATCCGCAGCGGAGCTCTTGACTGATATCCGGTCCCTTTTGAAGGTCCTCCTGTCCCGTTCGGGAAGCGTGCATGCGCGCGACTTCGCCCCCCGTAGATGAGTTCGTACAGATGTAGCAAGCCGCTTTGAATGTATCATCACATATACTATGACAGCAAAATAGACAAGAATCAGGAACAGTCTATATTAGAGTACCTTATCGTCACTATTTATGTTTATAATTATTGCAAAAATGGTCATAATAGTTCACATATCTTTCCTTAATCGTTTAAAACTTAGACAACTATATCTAGCACTAGATGGTACTGTCAAGCATAAAGTAGACTGCCCCAGTCACCGCCCGTCTTGATCATCTCTTTTGACTGTTTTCCTTCTTATTTTTCTACTAGTATAACAACAAAGTCAAGTCTAATTAAATTGACTAATTCCATCAATGAATCGTTGCCCTTTATTAGGGAAGGCAACTAGGAGGTGTAGAGACAAGAATTAACCAACTCTAGAATCAGAGATCTTATTTAGTGAACAATACAGAGAGTAGGACTGCCTGTAGAACTATTCTATAGTCTATAAGAGCTATTTTTATTACCATTTATCTCTCTTTGTTTATCTTTTTTTCCGTTCTGTCTCCCTTTTTATCAGTTTCTTAGATCCTATCAATTAGAGTGGCAAACTGGAAGGGGAGGTGAGGTTAATGGGTGAAGCTTCACCACCCGCAGCGGCTATGGTGAAGGTATGAAAATATATATATCTGCAGCGGTTAACCTCTCAGGCACCAAGGCTGTAGGGACCCTAGCTGAACCAATGAGTTGATTAGGTAGTCTGAGCTCCTGTGACGTGTTGGCAAAGTGGCGATAGAAAGCACACCTGATAAGGCTGCATATATATGCCTGTGCCGACACGGGGCTGAACCTGCAACCTCGAGTGAGCTTTAAAAACCCACAGCAAGAGTTAGTGCAAAAAATGAGTACTCACGATAAGCATATGAAGGAAAACGGGCAGCACAGACTTACTACTTTGCGAGGGGAAAAAATATAACAGGATCAAGTGACAAGGGAAGGCCCGAGGCTGCTATCAAAGCAACTGCTCCATTGAATAGAGCTGTATGTCCCGAAGAAGTTGCGGATCCTATCGTGTTCCTGTGCAGCTCAGTGGCAAGTTACATGAATGAGCCACACTGATTATCGATAGTGGAATGGCACTCACCATACCCCGAACCAGTTTGTAAAGCTTTCTCGGAAAGGTTATGCTGCTGATCTTTACATTATCTTATCCATCTGGCTTCTTTCGTGTACTTAGACAGAAGATAGATATATTAGTCCATAGTACGAGTCAAAGCCTGTCTTTTTCAAAACGCTACAATCGCTTTGCAAGAGCTTTTCTATGCAAATTCTTTGAAACAACATTACACAGCTGTCCCTGCTCTTTACACTCGGCGAGGCGGAATTTGCTGTTATGTGAGTGTGTTCCTGAATGGGGATGCTGAATATGGAGTATGTTATCCACCTTGCCTAAGCTCGCACCTGATAGGTGACAAGTTTGGACTGCCGGACAGGTCATTGGCTTAATCCATGACATTCCTACCTGTTCCCGGTTGCTTCCTAGCATAGAGCAGGCGGCATTGAGAACGATGGACGGCACCTGCTTGATTTACGCCCCTCAGAGCCAGGTTGAAAAGTTCTATATTCCGGTATTGTTTTTATTGTCCTGTCAATTACACGTCTTTGTACTATGCAACACCTGGATGGCTAAAGGACGTACTTGTAACCAAACGGGAATGTGCACAGCTAGAGTTGAAACTTGCTATCACCGTTTCCCGGGGTCTTGACTTTTACTGGTGTACGCGATACGTGGATTATACCTACGTGTGTCGAGCTATTACAGGGCACGTTTATCCGGGCTCAACGTCCTATGCTTGTCCTCACATTGAAGCGTCATTCATCCTTGATGTAACCGAGATATAGTGATGTTAGGAAGTAGACCACGCACGACTGTTGGCGCCTGTCCCAGTGTATTTGTAGTCAAAATGTACTATGGAACCTTAGTCAAAAGTTTTCCATCCAGCCAGGCAGTAGACCTCTCGCATTAAATGCCACAACATCTATATCTATGTACTCCGCGGTTTGGACTATTTGTATAAACGTATTCTTAAATTGTCTTACTCAAAGTAAAATAGAAGATCGTATAGCAATCTAACTCCCTTCAACAAGCTCCGCGTATATTCCTGCTACAACGACGGAAAGTATGCAAACACGTAATCCCTGACTACCGCAATTTCCATCATATAACCACCCCTTGCATGTTGATAATCTTGTCGCGTAGCATAAGTGTAGAGAACCTTCTTATGCGGTATCCACGACGCATAGATAAATCTTAGCAAATAATGACTACAAAATGTAGTTAGTGTGTGACCCATTGGCATAACAGAAATCAGCACATACTTCTCCCTAGTTCTTTGAAGGGCAATTGTTCAGGGCCACACAGCCAGACTCTCTTGCAACCAGAGCTTCTCTCTTTTCGGGACATGTGTTCAGAATGATACAGCCTGCCTCTGGTTCAGACAGGCCGTTGAAAAGTGCCCGCTTTTCAGGACATGTTCCAAGAATGATGCAGCCGGTGTCCCTCTCAGACAAACCAGTTGCCTCTGCTCTCTTACCAGGGCAGTTGTTCAGCGCCACACAGCCAGACTCTCTCTTATCAGGACAAGTACCCAGAATAATGCACCCTGCTTCCCTCTCAGAGAGACCAGCAAGCGCTTCCCTCTTTTCCGGACAGTTGTTCAGAACGATGCAGCCGGCTTCCTTCTCAGAGATGCCTTCCAAAAGCTCCCTCTTACCCGGGCAATTGTTTAGGGCAACACAGCCGGACTCCCTCTTATCTGCCGGAAGGGCAAGGACGAGGGGAGTTACTACTGCAAGAAGTGTAAGGAGACGCATAGCTAAGCGGAAGTAAAGGGGATATGATAGTCCGACTGAATGGAAAGTATTTGAGTAGCTGGTTTTTCTAGTGTGTGACAGTGCACTTGGTGGTCAATTTATATGTTCGAGCGGAAGGTGCTTTCTCCGAACCCTGATTGAGCACAGATAAATGATGCAAATAAGCTTCCAACAAGCCCTGTTCAAGCAATCCAACCTAATCTCCGCACTTCAAGTTAAACACCATTGGCTCAAAACTTGCGAAGGAAGGATCTCGCAGGCGAGTCACTCCGGGCCAAAGCAGTGTGAAGTCTTTGCCTGGCGACCTGCTGAATCGGACTTTATTTTGCACCCGCTCCGGTGGTGATCAGCATCGCGGCCTTGGAAGGATCTATTTGTTTCCCATCAGGGGAGATAAAGGGATGTAACATCGGCACTATGAATTATTATGGCCATCGTGCTGTAGTCGGTGCAGATAGTGTTATTAAGCTCCCTCTATAAAAAGCATATTAGAGACAATGATATTCAGCTGAGCCGCCACACCGGGTAGATACAACCGGCCCGGTGATTGTACCCTAGGAAATTGTGCCAATTGGTAATTGATCCAATGGTTTGAATCCTTAGCGACCGAAAACCAGTATTAGGCTAAATCAATATCAGCTAAAACATGGGTGATGTGGTCCTTGAGATGGACAAGTGCAAGAAGTTGCTCAACAAATCCGTCGATGATTGTGATGTGGGTGGTTAAATCACAGTGTAGATGACTGGATCCCAAAGTGAATTTCATAAGAGATACAGGATACTGATGTTTATTATAGCTGCAGACAGTATTGTAAAATACTTCCAAGTATAGCCCTAAATGTTACTGTTTATTGCATAATATCTGGCGCTAAATGAGGAGACAAGTCTACTTCATATAACACCGCGTTGTGATTATAACAACTACTTAGTCTGATGTTAGATTAATAGGATCTCCCAACACCGAGAACGCACAATAAACGATAAATCAGTTATAACGCGTGTGCTTGCGCTTTTGTATGCGTCATGTTAGCATTGGAACATCGGCATTGGGGTCAGGCAGCGGTTGAAGACAACGTCAAGCGCGTTGACCAGCGACGTACAGGAAAAGAGAAAATGAACAGCAGCAACGTTGCATATAGACACGGCATATGAAATAGATAAAGAGCAATAAGCCCCATGTAAGATCACGCCCCGTTGTAAATACTAGTTGAATACCAAAGCTCCACGTTCACTGTCACTCGAGATACAAAGCCCAAGGTTAGCACAAGGCTAGCTGAGGTTGGTTGTACTCTTGTTAATGGATTTTCTAGAAACGTATAAGCCCGAGCCATACTAATGAACCATGTCAACCTCCTAAGTAGGCCACGTGTGACGTAAGGAAAAAGGATGCGTACAATGGTAAAAGGATGATCAGTATGATATTGGTAATAGTTAGCACGGTTTTGGCAAGTGTAGAAAGCTAATGGCGTCTGACTAGGGGGTTATTTTTTCACAATACCAAAAGGCTAACATTATTCTCAGTTGGCTGCGAACACCCCTAAACCCATATATAAGTAGCGCACAGAGGTAGAACGGATCCAGGTGAGCAGCTGCGATACGTACACCGCCTTTATTCAGATAGAGCCCAGAAACAGCGGAAAGTATATATAAAGAGCAACAAGAATCCAACAAGGTATAGAGCAAAAAAGAGAGAAAAACATACAACAGGCGGGATTCGCTGGTGGTCACCCACCCAACTACTAACCGGCCGGCGTGTGGCTTAAGTACGGCTGAGCGGACGGGAAGCCCTGTTCTCCACACCTTGTGGTCGTATGTGCTTGGTTTATTGACAATATGGAATATTTGCGACGCTTGTTGAATGCACTTAGCTATAGAACCATCTATTTTAGTTTGTGTAAGAAAATGTTGAGTATACACAGTGGGGCTACAAATAACTGTAGATGTAAATTTCAATTTCATGTCTTCATTGACCCCATAAATATCTCCCCAAACGATAGCAAGATAAACAACGACATGCAGCATGTGTCTAAAGCCTCGGTTCCTGACCTACAACATGCTGAGACACAGGGTACTACCCCTTCTTGTCCTTCCGAACATGCCGATCTTAAAACTTATATATATATCAGTACAATTCGCAAGCCCTTGTTAAGATCACAGTACAAGACTTACCAACCACATTCTCAGCTCAACACCAGAAATTTCCGCGGTAGGTAATCTGGGTGCATTGGCACGGTACATTACCACCACAGCAATTGTACGTCACTTCTGAGCCAGGCTCAACGGGTACATCTAAGTCGTATGACCCGTGAGGGGTGTCATAATGCAGCTTTCCAGGCTGATGTCTCCAATCGGTGGTCGTTGTCCATTTGGCCCGATAGCCATCACTACAGCTTGCGTCACAGGTGGTGGTGACAGCATTGCAGTTAAAGCTGCAGGTTTGGGTCCCGTCGTCCTTCAACTGGACGTTCCAAGAGGTTGAATGGGAGACGAAAAGAGTGCCGGTGACTTCGAGGCATGCTTGAGCGCATGGGAGGAAGATGGCACAGAGAGGGAGGAAGGCTTTGGGAAGCATCTTGATGGCTCGGAAGTGGGCTTGTAGATCGTATTGTGAGAGATAGAATGGAGACTTGATGCTTTGCTTTAGGTGAAGAGGACTTTTGCCGGGTTTAAATAGGTTTGCTGAATCTTTTCAATTCCGGAGCTATCCTTCTGAGGGGTTATGTCTGAACCTACATCAACGCTTCAAGCTTTGCAGGGTTGCATTGTGGGAAGGGCTTGTAGAGATCTATACCGAACCTATGGCTCTACGACATTCCTGAAATGGAAAGACTGAGTTCTGAGGACCCGAGTTACCCCAGATTTAGCGGAGGGAAGTAAATTCCGATGGGCTTCGGTTAGACTTTCGTATGCTAAACTATTACTTTTGGCTCTTATTGGAGAAAATGCGTGGATCTTTGACGCTAGGGGCTCGGTTGTGGTAAGCGAGGTTGTGGATTTTCTTAATACCCAGATGAGTGAAGTCAAAGAGGCAAGAAATGCAGCTTGCATCATCTCATGTGGAGGACGGCACTTCTTTACTCTGTGTCTTTATTTCTTTCCCGTTTTCACGCCACCCTATTCCACCTTAATTCTTGGCCGCTGTCGATCCCTCGTTTTATTCCCTCAAGGTTGGTTAAAGATCGGCAAGTTGCCGATGCTATCGGCTTTTCCGATGAGAAGGTGAGATGAGATGTCCTACTCAAAATATTGATAATCTGCGAAATAGTAACATTTGCTGAAAGCTACATTGGATCTTTCGTAGACATCAGTTTATATTCTAGGGGAAAAGTATTTCGCAAAGACACAGCGAAAGAACACGACGTATGAACAGGTGTTGGTCTCCTTTAGCTCCCCTAGGCCTAACAAGATTGATTCAGAAGGGCTATGAGAGGTTTCACACACATGCAGGCTATCAATGCTGAACATTAAGCTCATAGAAGTGCACCTCCGAAGCCGAGTCCCCCTGATTGTAGTTCCCAGCCTTGAAGTACGATTTGGGCGAGTCCAACTCATAAGTGTCCAATTTTTGCGGCGACCCGCCATCGATGCTGACACTCAGCTCGTCCGACTCATAGCGAATCTCGTAGGAGAACTTCTTTCCAACAGGAGCATTGCCCACCTTAGTGAAGATACTCTTGCCCCCCTTGCGCGTCTTTTCAACTCCCATGACAAGGTCGCCCTCTGTGCTGTAATAGAGCTCGCACACCGGTTTGGTGGAGATGGTATCATCGATATGGATCTGGCCGATGACAGTGCCATGGGAGCCATCGTCCGGCTTGGGTACGGTGACCGTGGCACTTAGCCGGTTCTTCGACGCAGAAGGACTCCAGCTAGCCTTACTACTGCCATCAGAATTGAGCTCGCGCAGCTCGGTACGGCAGTGTCTGCTATTAGGCGTTGTCACGCAGGCACCAGAGGAAGGGGAGCCAGGAACTTTCATCACTAGAGCACCATCTTTTCGTCGGTGTAGAAGACACTGGAATCTTGATACCCTTTGCAACCTTTAAGTTTCGATGCAGTGATGGTCGTGGGATGCCCGCTTTCGCCAGTGGGGAGCTGGAGATTCCAGTACGACAGATCAAAGTTGCCCCCAGGAGCACATTTAGGGTCGAGGGCCATGGCCCTTTCAAGAGTGAGGCACAAGGCAGATAAAAGAGTTGGCTTGAGTATCATTTTGCTAGGTGATGCTTGGTGATATCTAATTACTAGTTGACAAGAAATCTAATGCCGTTGATCCCTGATGAGAATGCTTAGATATATAGATCAATGATTGTGGAACCGCCGTACGCTTCTGCTTCAAATAGTAAGCTGAGTTCCTCCTCATGGTGGGGCCGTATTGGACCAAGGTGGGAAGATCGTCGTGGCGCTGAGAGGCGTCTGCACCATTTTCTACATTAGGCGTGTCGGGTCTTACTTCGCATCCGAGTGCCGATAATGAACGAAGTATTGATTTATGGAATCCCACCATGGTTTAAGCTGGTTACATTGCATGTGCTAGCACGCCGAACGGAGACAGATATACAGCTTTCCCCTTATCAATTTATACACAAGCCCTCAGTTACAATAAGCCTAATGAAGCCGCTTGTGCTAATTTACAAAGTTGTGGTTGGTCCAAAGAAGCCGTCACCAGTGCTCTAAGCCTTGAGGCCAGCAACCAGTTTATCTCCCAGCTCCTTGATACTCTCCTCGAAGTCCTCTGTCTTGCTTGCCTTCCAGTTGGCGCTCTTCCCAGCTACCGCCTCTTTACCAGTGAAGCCAATGTAGAGAACGTCATTCTCCTCATGACCACTATCCCCAGAGGGTTCCTCTTCAGGGAAGCAAAGCTCCGCCATTGAAAGCGAGGCTTCTCCAGTTGCAGTATGGCCATTGGTATCGCCCCAGATACCATAGAACTGTGCAATAAAGTATTAGACCCATACTTGCCCATGGGGCGTTTCAAACAGCACTTACCAGTTTTCCATTGCATACAACGGCCATCACACTCAATGGTTCCATTCCAAATTCCCGAGGATCGAACTTGGGATCATCACCATCGTCATTCTCATTTCCGAAGACCACGTAAGGATGGATGTTAGCGTCCAGGTCATCAATGCCGAATTTCTGAACGTCATCCTTCCAGCGTGTTTCGCCCTGACCAGAGTGGTCATCAGAACACCTGCCTTCGTGTCTATTCGCTCCATCACAGTCAATATCCATGTCGGCGTACTGGCCTCCATGTTTCGACGAGTGCAGATAAATCGCGTTGGGGATGTCGCCGCAGTACGAGAAGGACTTTCCATCCTTGGAATGGCCATTGTCATAGCCCCCTTTCAGTTCCTTGGAACACTTTCCGCTCTGGATTGGACAGTCGTGTTACTCAGAGTGACAATTGGTTATGTGCAAGCGGTTACGCAACTTACCTTGTGCTTCTCGTAGATCTGCTTTAGGTTGTCTGGCAGGTCATAGGCGGCGGCACCAGCGGCCAGGGCAACGGTGGCGATTCCCAAAAAATGCATATTTGCTCAGGTCGAGAATATATCAAGGGTGTACTGCTTGTAATCGAAGATAAATAGTAATTGATTCTATGATGTATACTGGCATTGCTTGACCCCTTTTATACATTGGCCTCATCCACTTGAGCCGAGGCTTTGGAATACTCGTCTCTAGTGTCCAGGCATATAGTTCCCCCCCCCCCCCCCCCCCCCCCCTTACCATGTGCGCCCCTACGTTACATTGTGATATGCAGGACTAGCAGGAGACAATTCCATTTTCGAGCAACATATCCACATTCCTAGTGCAGGGTGAGATTCCCCTGAAGAAGATGTATTGGTCCTTAGTATTGTTTCTGGGATGTAGGTCTTTCCTGCTGGCCAACCGGCCCGGTGCAGACCAATAAGAGCATGGACGTTTAGATGATTGATAGTGATCGTCCAAATTCGCCCTGAAGAGTGCTTAGCCACCGGGTACTCCGGTGATCCTGCACGACGGCTAGTTCATGTTGAATCAGCCCACAATGAAACTCACAGACTTGGCGCAGGATCCGGGGTACGGATTACCTTAGCCCATTGGCCCTGGTGGAGCTGTTGTTCAAAGGACAGGGAAGGCCTGATATATTGGTGATGGCATAGGTCAGCTATCTGACTACCATGACTGTCATAATCGCTACTCTACTTTCACTGGGGAGTCATACCTCTTGAGTTGCCCGAGGGCGAAAGAACTCAGGAGAGTCCTTTTGTATGTAAAAGAAATGGGCGCCATAATAGGGCCTCATGACCCCACACGTGATCACTATATGTGTTAGTAAGGTACAGCGCAAATAAGACTGTTCTTCTTAATAAATGCCAAAGGTCTATTGAGAAGCTTTGATGGCCTTATGAATTTTGAAACGCTCGCGTCGGGACTAATCCTGCATATCTTCAACAGACTGCTGAAAAGGGAGGTCATCGGTATTTGCCGACGGTCCAGGTATCTCCCAATTGCTCAAGTGGTGTTCGGCATCTACCCGAAGATATCGGTTCTGCCGATGGGGGCTAAATCCGGGGGTGGACCAAAAGTGGAGGTAAGCGATGGACTTTGTGTTCTCACTCTCTGAACCCTTAGTAGATACACGAACGCGCTAATATTGAACTCCATAGTGGGAACAGGGGCATGCTGATCGACAGGGGGTTCTTCCTTCAGCGACATGGAAGGACTGCGAAAAGCAATTGCTCTGCCCTAAGTACACCTCCCAGAGTCCATTCCATGTCGCTGTTGGCCATAGTCCTTTAGACCTTTGAGTTACTGTATGTATATATTCGAACTGCAATTATAGTACGTAGTAATTCTGCAGCCATCCTCCATCGTGCAAGTGGGCCCGATGCTGGACTGGACTAGCGGCTTGCTAACGAAGTATTCCTCCATGCTCGTGTATCATATTCCCACATCGCGTCCTTGTTGTCCATTCCGTTTCCCCACCACGAGAAGCCCTCTTTTGGGAAAGAAGATTCAGAATCAAAGGATATCTGCCTCCTCTGCTTCCCTATCATTCAATTGAATGAAGTTGTCGTTTTATTGTCTGGTCACCTCTCAACATGACGCGGACCTGCATATCATGATTAAGTTTTGCCTTCCGAGGAAAATATTGTTCTGTCCCCTAACAGTTGCGCAGGATCCTGCAATCGGATGTCGTTCAATTTTGCGTTGGTAAAGACCAGAAGCGATTCTCAATTTACCAGAAATTAGAGAGTTCTTTTCCAAGAAAGGCTCTTGAGCCAGCGATGATTTAGGATATTGATGAGGAAATTTTTGGCCGTTGTTGTGAGTATGTGTACTCTGGGGATTCTTCTAGTCCATGTCCTCTTCCCGAAGTGTGATATCTCGCAGCCTGCGGGCCACGAAACACAATGCCACCAAGGTGCGAAAAAAAATGGGATCCTTCCAACTTAGATTGGAACCTTTTCCACCCGAACGGGCTTTCGCGTAATTATGAAATCCTGCTAGCAGAACTTGGTCATACTCCGCAACCGGGAGCCGAAAAGGATCTTAGCAACGACCCTAATACAAGCTATGCAGCAGTGTTTCTGAGCCACGCTGAAATCCATCGTTTCGCAGCCAGAACTGGCTGGCTTTCTCTTGACCTCCTCTCTTTATATCGGTTACTACGATTGCTTGAGACGGTTACTCTATTTGAAGAACGAACGGGGGACATTGTTCAGTTATTGGTATCTGTTTTCGAGGAAAGTGAGCACATGAAGAACTTGGGAAAAAATGCTGTGCGACTACATGGTCTGGAATGTGGAGATGTTGATGCACAATGCCGAGTTCAAAAGTTTTCTTGAGCGAAACCCGCCATTAGAAAACATTGTCTTTCGTTCAATGTGGGACTAAAGTAAGTTCAGATCAGATTCTACTGCAATCGGTCTTTTCGAGAGATTTGACTTCCGGAAAATAAATGGCAAACTCCGCAGGAAAAGATTATACCACCGTTCCCATCCCGGATTGATGATTCACCGCGTGCTTAGATGTCGGAACCAAATTGCCAAGATAGTTACAATACGGAAACACCTCGGAGGAGATGGAAGGATGAATAGGATTTTGATCGTTATTTTGTTCTTGGTAGGCTTTTTATGTCTATCAAGTGCTTGAGATCCTCCCGTTATATTAAACCTAAAGCTGTCTGTATGAGTTTCGTGACAAGGTGCCGAAGACCATTGAAGAACTTCGTTAATCGTAACTCGTGACTTACGAACAAATGAGATTGCAATTTACTAAATGTATCTACCATGCCATGGCCCGTCTCTTTCCACATATGGCTTTTAGGGTCCAGTGACTCTTGCGCGGAAGAGAGCGATAAGTCGACCCAATCAACCCAAATTCAGCTTGCTGGGCCTTTGAATGGTGGTGTCCTAAGAGTTTCTCGTAGCCTTCAAAAGCCCGCTTATAAAGATTTTGAGCCTTCCTATGTTTACCAAGTGCTTGATATAAAGCCCCGAAGTTGTTGGCCATATCCAAAGAGGAGATATCCTTAGGGCCAATAGTTTTCTCGCGTCCTGTCATAGCCCGCTTGTACATATGCTTTGCTTTTATCGGTTGACCCATGCCTTCATAGAGACACCCGAGATTGTTGAGAGTGTCAAGAACGACCATGTGGTCTGGACCAAAAGCTTTCAGTCCCGCTGTCAAAGCTTGTTGATACGTAGCCTCAGCTTGCTCCAGCGCACCCTGCCGGCGATGGATGATTCCAAGATTATTCATTGTCATCAGGGTGGATACATGCTCAGTACCCAGGGATTTTATTTCACATTGCCTGATAAGACGAGACGATACAGCATTTCTGCATCATCTGTTTTCACCCTGGTCGGCGTAGAATTTTCCGATGTTATGTGCCGTCATGAGCGTGGAACGGTGTTCAGGGCCGAAGACCTTCAGCTTGCTCTCAAGAGCTGAAAATAACATCCTTCTAGCTTCATCGGGTTTATTTGCTGCGGAATATATGATTCCAAGACTATCCAAGGTTTCCAGCGAGGAGACGGCATACTGCCCCAAGGCACCACGATAGCCCTGCAACGCGTGCTGGTACAAGACCTCGGCCTCTGCCAGCTTCCCCCGGTCAGCATACCAGTTGCCAAGTTCGATTATACTATCAATGGTGGAGACGTGGTTTGGTCCAGACATTAGCTTGGATCGGTTTTGACAAAGAAGCTCAAAGATGCTAATGGCCGGGCCATCTTGGGTTGAACATTGGAGGGTTGAGTTCATGGTTCCGATGCTGAAATAAGATATAGCAACAAAACAGCGAAATTTTGATTCGATACTGAAGTGAACAGATGAAAAGATCGAGGAAGGGGGGGATCAGCTGCGTCGCTAGGATCTGTTGCTGGTACAGAAAACAAACGGCCAGGACCAGATTGGAGTCACTAGCTAGAAAAGTCAATGGTGACCAAAAAGCATGTCGCAGCAATAATTGGATGGATGTTACTATTGCATGCCAGTTTGAGAGCGAATGAGCCGACAGCCGTGCTTGCACCGTACACGATAAATGGGGTCGGTTTCACTGAAGGTACCCATGGGGGTGGGAAGCGATGGTGCGCGTACAAGGAAATAGCAGCAGTCAAGGCTGCAAGGGGGATCGTTGCAGCTTCTGTTTATCTTGATCAGATATATACCGATCCAAAAATAGGTATCTCGACCGTACCTTCAAACGACGTATGTTTAGGCAAATGGAAAGTTGTATGACTCCAGGCTATTGCATACTCAGCATACGAGCCACCGGGCGTACACATTTCGTGGAACGCTGCGACACGGTCGCCTGTCTTGATAAGAGGTCAGCTTATAGCAATATAAGTCTGGTTAGGCGGCTCACCTTGAATTCGACTACATTCGATCCGACTTTTACCATCACGCCGGCAATATCATCTCCTTGGTTCAGACCCTTCTTGGCCTCAAGCATCATTCTAAACTTGGTGTCTCAGTACAATATCTGACAACTGCTACGAATTTCTGCGTAATATAGAATCAAGGCTTCCTCCTCACCGCTACAAATCATCTAAATTGTGAATAAATGTAACCACAGTTCTTCATTATCCGCAGGCGTTACCTGAGACAGAACATGGTTACATGGGACATGCATCAATTCATTTCTGCTTCTTGCAAACCGCCATAAAAGGCGAGGACAAAGCCCCGAGGAATAGTTGGCCTGAAACAGGGTCATATACTGCGCTCGTCGTAGTCGGTAGGATCCGTGCCTCCTTATCTTCCACAACTTTGATAACCTCATGTGCTCCTTTCAACAAAGATGCCTCTTTACTCTTTCTGATCATCATGACCGTCGAGGGTGAATTCGTGCCGTAAGGGTCATGGAACGCCCGAATAAGTTGTTGAACATCAGGTATAGTAGCAGCAAAGATGTTCCCATCCGTATCGATCGACAAATTGTCAATTGCCATAGATAATGATATTTCATCAATCTCGACGAGCTGCTCATCGTCCGCCAGCCGATGAACGGTAACGTCACCCCGGGCTGGTTGCGCGACGTAAATGAGGCCTGATGACGGGTCCCTTGTGATGCCATTGGGCGAGGAGAGGTTCTCTGCGACAAAATGACAATTTCCCGTAGCAGTGCGACAATAGGCGATATTTCCGCTTATCTCGCTGTCGCGGAAAGGGCCGACTTTGGTGCTATGGTCATTGGTGAGCAGAAAGTCTCCTCTATCTTCATTGTCATCGATGACAACTAGATTGTTCGGTGAGATGATCCTCGGGCTCACGATGGTCTTGACGTGAGCCAGTTCAGTCCCGTGAGGTAGTTCAAGGTCATACACATCGACTGTCGAATTAGCCCCGATCTTGGTCGCATCTAAAAGCGGTTCTCCGGTCGATGTATTCAGCGGTGGCCGGTGGTTGATCAGCCAGAACCGCAGCCGTCGGCCCTTGTCAATCACGCGGGCGTCGAACCCATGCATATCCAGCTCCTGAATATTGCCTTCGCTGTCGCGGAATTTCAATGCTCGCACACCATATAAGCCATCAGCTCCTGGACGATCGACATCCAGCACTGTTATATGATCGATTCCACCACCGCCTGCTGCCCGCTTCTGGATATCGTAGCTGTTCGCAGCTGGACACCAGGCTAGGCGAGCCAGCGGGTTGGCGCAAGCGGCATAAAGCTTACGGCCGCTAGGATCAAACCAGACATCCTCACAGCTCTCTAAGAGTGGGTGTCGCATTCGGCGACACTGATACTCAGGGAAATCCTCGAGAGGTTGGATGATCCTCTTAACGCCTTGGAAGAGCTCCACCGCATCGTGAATATAAACTTTGTAAAGACCGAGGGCAATCGCCAGGAGAGCAATGAGGACGGCTTTAATAGTAGGGGCCATAGTTGACAATGATTTTTGATGTATGTCTAAGGTGAAGAAAGAAATGGAGCTGACGGAGGACAGCCCCCAAGTCAATAAAAGCAGCCTTCCCATTACCATCCGACCTAGTACCCACCGGCATCCCACCGGCATCCCACCCCAGTATCATCTTTTCGGTAGCTCGGGTAGCGTAATAAGACCCGCAAAAAAATCGACTATATGGTACGGTTCCGGGGACAAATACACCTCTAGTTATCATGTCATTAATGGGTCTTCCAAAGTCTCCCTTAATAACACCGAGTAACACAAGACACAAGTCACCGCCACAAAATGACTCTTTCGTCCCAGCAGGTCCAGTTGGGCGATGTGCTCCAAGCTCTGCCCCTCAAGACGGCGGGATCAACGCTGAGTACGGCGCATAGTTACTGCGTCTCTAGTCATCAAAAGAACGAACGATCTAATCGACCCACCCCACCTCTAGTTATGCTGTAAGGTTCAGTAAGATAGTAACGCTGTTACGGCCATTTGAAAGAAAAAATGCCGGTGGTGGGATACCGGTGGAAAACTCAATGGGGGTTGAAACACACGGAGTTCCGGGGCATCACTCGGAATGACAAATCGTGATATAATGATGTATTCCGTAACTGAATGGGCCACGTAAATGACTGGGTCGCTGATACACCCTTTCATGAGAAAGCATTGTGTCAGCAAAATAGACCGGAGAACGGAGATAGAAAGATCCTGGTCAAAATTTCAATTATAACTATTATGAAATAATACGTGTTCAGATGGTGCTGACGAGCGCATCTCCGGAGACCATCAATCTGAGGACCTGCTTTCTAGTTGCACGCTTTCTAGTTGCACGATACCGGTTGAATCTTAGGGCTCCAAATGGAAGGAACTGCGAATATATGAATCCATATATGACTTTCCTTGTGTTTAGGACCAGCCCAATTTAGCTAACTTCTACCACATCTCGCGGTCTCCACATGTACAGAATTCTATGCACCGCATAACTTAGGGGACGGGAAAGCGGGGCGGAATACGGGAGTATTTGATCACCCTCTGTCTAGGCTGTAATAACTACTCAGCTTAGTGTGACGTGGTGGAGAGGTGCACGGAGTGCCGGATACTCAGATATCAGTTAGACGGAGGACAACCTAGATAGTCTACATAAATCCGTACATTTCGGGAGTCTCGGCACAAATCTTTATGCAATGGAATTCTGTCCACCGGAGCAAACGGGTACCTAGTTGATCAGTTCACACAGGATACAGTCAACCACCGTACGGATCAATGGGAAAAGAGTATTGAGAACCCCCCGGTCCCGGTTCGCAGTGGAGGTTGTCAAAACCATTGTGGATGCGGCAGGTGCCCAGCGCACCGTGGTGCGCTTGAGTCCATGCTCTACTTACCACGGGATCGGTAAGCTGAGTTTAGCTTATGTCCATGCCCTGGAGGTAAAGATTTTGGGCGCCGCGGACGTCACTTGTCGCTGATGGAGACGAACAGACTCTTGACTTTTTCCTTGAGATTTACAAGGTTTTAGGTGGCGGGCCCGTCATCACCGGTGGCTACATGGGACAGTCGGCGAAAGAAGCTGTCGAGGGCCGATATAAAGGGTACGATGTTGTGGTTGGGGTTGGGCTGCCGTGGACGGCGAACCTGGATCCGGGTGTTTAGGATCAACGAAGATTTGCCCCTGCGGCCTTACGAGTTGGGGCATTGCTATCCAGTGTGTGTGAGACAAGAGGATACGCTGATTACAAGTTCCATGAAGAGTACAGAGCTACCATTGCTCCAGCTGCAGCAGCTTGAACTTCATGGTATTTCGTGGTTTTCAACTGGTTACATAAGCTGAGGACGTCGAGCAAGAGCAATAGCTAGCAATTTCACTTAACAGAGTAAGAGGGCAGAGTTTCAGTATCCATGATTATAAATCGACCTTCCTCACTCCCAGAGGGCGTACCTGAGCTCTGAATGCCAGTCGTCGTGAAGAAAGGCACTACGTCATTACCGGCATGTCCACTGGCGATCAGAGCGCCGGTAGTGGGATACCGGTAGGTAATGGCAAACAATCATCAGTTTGGAGGGCGGGCATCCTGTGGTATTCTGTGACATTCTTCGGGTGGTGAGTCATGATATAATGAACAGATGAATCCAATTGTCAAGCCTTTTTCGTGTATTTATAGAGAGGGAAAGCTGGATAAGTCAATGCTTACTTGTTCGATCTATTTTTCTTTATCATTAAACCATCACCAAGGACTTAATTCGCATTGGTATAATTGGCCTTTCACCTGGTGCATGGGCAGCTAATGCTCATTTACCCTATCTGCAGAGCCCCGATTCAAAGTTCAAAATTGTGGCTGTTTGTAATTCATCTGTGGAAAGTGCTGCGAGGAGCGTCAAAGAACTCAAGCTTCCAAGTGACGTAAGAACATATGGAAATGTGCAAGGCAAGTAACAAAAGTTCTCTCCCTCTGTGTATTCCCGTCAGTAGAGTCAAATATCTAACTCCTATGACTAGATATCGCTGATGACAAAGACATCGACCTTGTTGTTTGCGCTACGCGAGGAGATCGCCATTATAAGTCCATTCTTCCTTCTCTAAACGCAGGCAAGAATGTCTTTGTCGAGTGACCACTTGGAGGTAGCCTTAAGGAAGCAAAGGAGCTTCTCGGTGTCGCAGAAGAAAGCAATGTCAAGCTCGCTGCAGTTGGCCTTCAGGGCCGGTTTGACGCCACTGTCGAAACTTTGAAAGGTGTCTTGGCAGAAGGAAGGCTTGGCAAAGTACTAAGCACTGCAATTACTAGTCAAGGATTGATTGCAGGACAGACGGAGCTTGAAAGTCAAACTTACCTAGTTGACCGTGAAAGTGGAGGCTCTTTGCTCTAAATTCCAGCTTTACATTTGCTCGACACCGTTCAGGAAGGTCTGTCTTAGGGCCCAACACTTTAGGGAACTTGTCATCAGTTGCTAATCGATCGCAGCCCTTGGCGAATTCTCAAGCTTTCAATCTCTCCTTTCAAACCGACGACCAGTGGCTAAAACTGTCAAATCCGATGGCTCTGTGGCCAAAGAGAACGCCAAGAAGACAACTCCGGATCATGTAATGATTCAGGGTTCGCTTAAGTCAGGTGCCGTCCTTTCAGCTATGATTAGAGGTGGAGCACCATTCAAAGGATCCCCTGGACTTGAGTGGAGCATCTATGGCGAGGAAGGAGAGATTAAAATCACAGGCCCCAGTGCCTTCATCGAGATTGTCGGTACAAACAGCATTCAGCTTCACGACTTTGCCAGTGACGAAGTTGTGGAAATTGCGCTTAAGAACGGGGCCCGATGCTGGACTAGCGGCTTGCTAACAAAGTATTCCTCCATGCTCATGTATCATATTCCCACATCGCGTCCTTGTTGTCCATTCCGTTTCCCCACCCGAGTCAGAGTAAGAGAAAAGGTGCTGCTCGGCGTTTGGACAGCTATACTGCGTAATCTGACTCGAGTCGGCATCCAAGCGACTAATTGTAGAAATATGGGCATCCCCAAAACTTGAATGCATTTCTAGATGGACTATATGAGATATAGTATAGTCGTGTGGCAGTGACCACAAGACAGCAACGCTTCGTCCCATGAACGAGAATGAAGGGGGATATGCTGCTTGAGAATTTCATTACTCGTAAAGCTAGGTACTGGAATTCCTCACCCACCAAGACGGAAATTATAATACAAGTGAATTATTTGGGAGTGTATCAACTGGGTATCAAAAAGGAAAGACGCGTGTGGATACCGTCAAGTATGACCTCCATGTCCCAGAGAAGCCCTAGATAGCATAGAAGCTGTCAATACCAAAGGAACCCATAGGATACTCAAACCGGTCGTGTGTCCGGACGTGCCATTCATCATTATTGTTTCGGGACATGGTTATGTGCGACACGATAGAACATCTGTCTAGTCAGAGAGACGTAAGCGAGGACTGTGCCAAGACCCAGCCAAAACAGTTATGGTGCTCGAAGACAAAGTTGCCCTGGCTAAGCGTCTTAAGCCTTGAGAAATGAAGGCCAAAGAGGAGCCAGCCACTGGCGGTGCAGGTACCGTTCAAACACCCGGATTGCAATACGATATGTATCCCCAGTCGGGTCCGGCTCTTCATACTCATCTACTACCATGAGATGCAGAGCGTCGATGCCCTTCGTGGCTCCTCTGAAGAGCTCCGACGATGTGAACTCTGGTAGCGGAGCATTTTGCAGGTTCTCAAGTCAATGAGCGGATGGGATGCGTGCCGATTTTGTTACTTGGTCGCGTCTGTATTGCCTTGAAGATGGATTCGAGAGTATCTTGGCATCTGAAGATATCTTCGACAACCTCATCGCGGTGAAAGTTTGCTTCTGTCCCGCCGCAGTGTCTGGAAAGCCGGAGATGCAGCGTGTTGATGCTGTCCAGTTCGGCGAAGCAGCCTATAGATATGTTGCAGATTGTCACGCCGATCTGAGAAAGCACTTGTTCTCTCGACCAGTTGACCTATTATAAGGCTCAAGGTTTCTAGCGGTAGGTCTTGCAACCCCATGATAACCGTGTCGATGAATGAAGTCAAAAAGCAATATAGTATAACGCCAAGAATTCCAAATTCAATGTCATTTTGCCCAAGTGGTTGATTCAGTCTCCTGTACTACCTACGCGTTTTCAGGAGACGCGCTCAATTTACAACAACATCGATATTGTAAATTATATCAGCATGGTGTACCTCTCCTCCGAACTCGTGTTAGAAATCCTGAAGTATGCAGAACCCAATATAGCTCCTTTTCTGCGAATAAACTCCCAATGGTTTTTCTGTGGGATTTCCCTTGTATGGCGACATGTATGGTCCGGGGTCCTTCACCGAGTCCCAAAGAACCGAAGACAGATTTATACCTCCGAGATTCGAGGATTTCGCATTTATCCGGAGGCCACCAAGTATCTGGGAGAACTCAGTCATCTTCCCTGGCCGAAGTTAGAAATGCTGTATATCGACTTTGGATACGATGACAAGCTCGGACAGTCCGTGGCTCTAACAGATAATCCGTATTTGAAATGCTACATGCACCGGGGGCTTACCGGTATTCATCTCCAAGGAGCATTTGACCCCGAGTTACTTCGCCTTTCTCAAGTTTCCTGCCCTCGTATCCAGAGATTTTCGATTAGCACATCGGGCACTCGTATTACGCCAGAAGTCTTCCTTGAATATCTCCAGGAAAGTCCATCGTTAACAGACATATCTATTAACTCCGAAGAATTGGTAACTCGTGAGATACTCAATCATCTAGCGGGTCGCGATGGTCTACAACACCTTTATCTTGAGGGTATTATCGACATAGACGCCATCAAAGCTTTGAACATATCATCTCCTTTCAAGACCCTGCAACACCTCACTGTGTCAGCCACGGAAGCAGCACTTCCATTGCTGGTCGGCGTGATCGGATCGGTCCGGAGCGTCCACCTAACCCTAGATGGGCCACGCGACCCCCTCCGTGACGTGACGTTTGACAGTGTTGCTCTTAAACATATTTCCAACTTGGTCGAACTACGGGTCCTGAATCTGTTCGTCTGGGGTAATATGAGGATCAGGAATGAGGATATGGTATCCCTCAAAAGTCTGACGCAATTGAGACGCCTGAGCATCAGCGGGGCCTGCGCAACTTCTCTTATAGCGCCGAGACTCCAAGACGCTGATTTTGAAGAGCTGTTCAGGAACCTCGGCCAACTGGAATCCCTCAATTTTGATGTCTTTCGCTCTGACATAACCACCGACTCCCTAAAGAGTCTGGGCAGATGTTGCCCGTCACTTCAACGCTGCGAGATCATGGGTATCTATGACATGGCGGCTTTCAGATATGAAAAGGCACCCTTGTTTCCGACACTCGTGCTTCTCTCCATCGGGGCTTTTACTAACCTTGAACGAATGATGTCGTCGAGGTAACAAAATTTTTACTGTACGCTGTGTCAACAGGTTCGCTGACTTCATATCCCAGGCGACCATATGAACACGTCCGACAAATTGAGAAACACTTCCCAAATCTACAGGAACTCGATTGTACGTTCCGTACATTTCCCATTGTGCAGGATGAATTCCCCGAAAAGGTCTTGCGTACATGGTGGAAGAGGCAAGAGGCTAGAAAAACCAAACCATGAACGGTAGTCCAAACCACCGTAACTACGAACTATGTAAAATGTTGACCTAGTCACTACTATACCTATGCTACGACCAAAGCATAAAGGACGAGACTAAGGCAACAAAAGCTTCGAGGCGGGGTTTACGGCTGGCCTACACAATTCGCAATCGCTACGGTGGCTATTGCAGCTTTGATCTTCCTTATTTTAACCACAGCGCCTATCTCAGCAGGGCTCTTCCTCAGAAAGAATTTGAATGCCGCGTAACTTGGGTTTGCAGTATGGATAGCGTATTCCTTTAAGGTTATAACAGCTTAGATTGAAATTGATAAGATTCCCAAAATATAAATAAAATGAATATCACACAAACGACTTGGCTGGGAAGATTTGCAAAGATTTTTTCACAAGCCTCCCATTCAGTCAATCACTTCCAGAATGGCAAAGTTTTGTCTCATCCAGTCCATAATATCCATTCACAAACGTACATTGCCACTGATAAAAGTAAAAGTATCTGTTTGCGGAAGGATATATTAAACCAATAGATGAACAACTAATGTTGTCAAATACTAATTCAACTATTATATAAGCTTGTGACGGCGCGGCTTATACAGATCACTGAACAGAAAATAATACATAGAATTTATCATATTATCCTTCGATCTCCCGCCCCTCTTTTCTTTAGATACTAGATCAGATTACAGAGATATGTATATGATTTTTCTCTTTTAAACATCCCTCTTTAATATAAGGTATCTAGATAGTCTTTGGGTCCGTTACGTTTGGGTCCTCTGGTTAGGGTACGTTCAAAGTTGCAGCCTTAGCGCTGGTTTTGACATTACGTTGTTGATAGGTTGAAGCTATGCTTTACCTTCTGTTTGTAGACCTAAGAGCCTTCTCTGCAGCTATCTTAGCAGATTGATCGAACTTCATTTCCTAGCGTACCCTGATGTCCTGGGACTTATTGGACAGTGATTTGATATCCTTATTTCTCAAGTCTTCGGGCTATATCTTGGGATGAATTGCTGAATCTTGCTCTAGGCCAGTTCTATTGTCTTGTAGCCGAGCTATAGCTGCCTGGGAGTTTAATGGAACCCTGATAGGGCCTTTATATCCTAGCTACTCAACTCTTTCAAGTGCTTTATAAGTACCTGCTAGCTCTGCATCAAAGACCTCTTTCCCCTGCTCTAGAGATACCCCCTTGATCCTCTAGGTGCCTGAGGGCTCTAGCCATGCAATGCCTAAGCCAGTCTATCCATTCTCTAGGCATGACCTATCTGACCATATTACTAGGCCTTTACAGGGTCTAACTGCCTACTAGAGTGCTTCTTCCCCTATAGGCACTAGTATAGTGCCTGGAAATGCCTTAGAAAAAGCCTCTATTATATCTTTAAATTCTGCTGAGGGATCTCTCTTTAAGATATTTGCTATCTTAGCTGCGAGATACTGATCTAAACTCTATAGGCCTCAGGTCTTAGGGTCTTCCGTCCTTAGTCGGTTATCTATAGACTATATCTCAGTCTGTGTGTAGCAATCTTCCTTGCGAAAGCTAATAGATAGGTTCCCCTTAGCTAAATGGCCCTTAGGTAACCCTAGTAGTCTTAGGATATATTACCTCTGGCATCCATCTAGCAGGGGTTCTGCTAGGTATAGGGCTGCTTCCTTGATGAGTGACCCAATTGTGATAGTTTTATGTATACCTGTAATTGAGAGTGTCTGTTGATTGACTATGTATTAAAAACGTCTCGCCCAGTTCTTTTGACCCTGCCACCAGAGTTCTGCTCCATATTGAGCCTCTGTCTGTATAGCAGCTACTTGAATACGTTGTACTAGGCCTGGTGATAAGCCTTGCTATCGGCATAGTGCTTGCATCTACACAAGGCCCGCAGGGTCGAAGTGTAGGTATACATGGTGGGCTTTTAAGATTAGGCCATTACCCTACCCCTAACATCGTATGGCCTCGTAATTGAAATAAACCCCATGTCTTTCTACCTAGATTTCAGCCTGTTAAATGTCAAGCTGGATTGCCTGTTGCCTGCCTTGCTCGATAGCTATACTGGCAGGCTTGTTGTACTGAGCTAGCCAATATTAGAAGACCTATATTATCTGTATATGATAAAGCTCTGATACTAGGAAGTGTTTGCTCTATAGTTTGTAAGAACCCGCCAGGTTGATGGTGAAAACAATTGGGAATCCTGGCGAGCCCTGTAGAGCCCCTGATTCTATCGGGTTATTTTGTGGACACCTAAATAGCCCCCATACTAACACCAATTGGAAATAAGCAAAGTCTATGTCCAGTATTGAAGAAAGGTATCATGCTACATATCGTCCAGAGTATGTAACTGTTGATCACGCAACGGTATTAAATTGAGTATTACACATTATCCTATTGAAAGGGAATGATTTCCAGTTACTTGACTAAACGTATTACAGGGGCTTTTACTATAGGAATAAGACGCACAGGCCCGGTAGACCGTGAGGCTGAGATAGGCTTTCTTATACGAGGAAAAAGTCAAGAACGAACTATGAGTTTAAGAAAGAGCTATGATTACTCTCCAAATATGACCACACATTCGCTCTGTCATTGTGTTGCAGACGGAGATATTCTCAAATATTACTTCGATTTTCCAAACTAGAGGTGCAAGGTTGGAGAATGTTGTCAAGTTCACTATCTCTCTCAGATATTGGTGGCTATGAATGAAGTACATCCGATCTTGTTTTCTAGGATACCTCAACTTGCCTACCAGCCTACCACGCGACTGCTCGATTATCGAAATTGCTCGTTATTATTTACTAGCTTGCTTAAAGTATATAGCAGCCATGACTAGCAAGAACTAACAACATTGACTGAAACATTAAAGAAGTCTACTCTATCAATGCCACAAAGATCCTTCATTTTTAAAAAGGTGGTGGCTCCTAGTATGGGCAATTTTCCAGTAATGAAGCCGTGAAAGTACTACGATATTTGTCCTGACCCCAGTGATGCCGACGACACTCTCGACAGGCTGAGCATACCGAGTGCATAGGGCCCCATTGTTGTACCTGCTGACGCAGTAGATCGACGGGGATGAGACTGGCGGCGGTTCGTATTGACTTGGTGATAAAGGTAGCCAGTTGATAGTATCACGTCTGGTATCCCTGCGGAAGACTACCGACATCTTGAAGGTTCGATGGTACGGAAAGTGGCACGCCGGACATGGTAGGGACGGACAGCGGAGAGGCCCCGATGCTGAAATCTTTGACTAGGGTGAGTGTGAATGCACGAGCAATTTGATATTCGCCCTGAGCATTTGGGTGAAGGCCATCATAGCCCACGGGACATGCGATTGTCTCGCAATCATAATTCTCTCGCAGCTCGACTAATTTGACCGGTGAGTCTAGAGTGCTCCATCCGGGAATCGCCTCTCGCAATAATGCATTGTATAGGTTAGTGCTGACGGGGAGGTCTTCCCGACCGCCGATAAAAGTTCGCTGGGGAACATTCGCAATAGCAAATTTAAGTGTTGGATTGGCTGCACGGGCATTGGAAATAAATGCCTGCATACTGTCCACGGTACCTGCGGCGTCGGTGTGGAACCAGGCCATGTCATTGAAGCCCAGCATTAGGAGTATTAAATCGGCAGGGTAGGCGGCGAGTACATCATAGATTAGCGCTTTGTCTATTGCGACTGGGCGACCCCAAATCGCAAAGTGGTCCTTGTCAAAGTCCTGCGACACACCGGCTGCGTATCCTCCACTCGTCCTGATCTCGCTCGCCCAATGCGACTCTTTGTCTGAGGGTGTTTTTGGTAGCGAGGGCAAATCCGACTGTGCTGTGCCATTATACGGCCCTACAAAGTCTACAGGAAGGCCTTGGTCTTTGAACCACTCCCAAATGCGAAAACGCCAGGTCCAGTCGCCCTCTCGGCCCTGAGACATGGAGTCACCCACAATCATGACCTTGAGGGTGGGCTCTAGAAGGCCGTGTGCTGTCATCCCACTGCCCGGCTGCTCCTCGATGGTATCTCTCATGACAGCCATCATTTTCAACATAACCAAAAGACAAGTGATCGCCAAGCAGACGAAGAGACTGGAAACAAGCCTTGGGGAAGAAAGCCGCCACAGAGGGAGAACCATGATGAATCGTACTCGCAGATATGGGATGGCATTTTCGGGGAAAGCACGGGGCTTTGATTATTTGTATTGGGTAAAAGAGTAAAATTTTTCAAGGCAAGAAAAATAGTGAGTTGGGCTCATAAGCGCTTGCAAGGGTGGCTAGAACAAGACTCATATCTTTCCCCGGCAATGTTACTCTCGATCGTGTGGGCACGGATGTTTCGTTACACTCTAATGGTATAGGTCTCTCCGTTTGCCCACACGAGTCATTAATCGCATTCGCTTCTGAGCCTATAAGCTAGGGGTCAAAAATTGAAAAGCGCGCGATGTAACCACGAACGCTATCTCAATGATATGATTGAGCATTGAGGGCCACGCTATCGCGACGTTAAATCACATGAGAGAAAGCCTAGAGCCTAACTCGTGCTACAAATGAGACCACACGAACGGGGATAATTAGCGGGATTTAATATCGAAGAAGACCCGACTGGCTTGCCAAGAAAGAAAGGAACCACTCCGTAAAAAATGGCGATCCGTAGTGGAGCTGCAAATATTTGTTCTTGTTGTGATCTTAGGGGAAAGATGGGCAGAATGAGGCTGTATCAGCTACACGTACGTAGCCTACTGAGGACCGGATGCCATTTTGATAGATTCTCAGTTCTATGGACGACTGTATCTACTCTCTTGATCCCTTCTTGTCAACTACTAATAGGTCAAGCCTTCAGGGGTTTTTGATATGAATCTATACGAGGCACGTGACCACCTAGTGGCTTGGCCGGATCACCAACTCTTCTGCCCCTGAAGGCCACGCATCTCAAGGGGAATAGAAAGACCCCTAATACCACCTATTTGACCTATACTGCCTACTCTGATCGCTTGCCCCCTCCTCCTGATAGAGGTGGATGACCCTCCTGCGGAGGGTGCACCCCCGGGGACCCCACCCGTACCTGAAAACTCTGATCTCCCCCAGGGGCCTACCATCCTTATCCCTTTCCCTTATATCTCTCTAAAGCGGAGAGCTCTATTCTTCTCTCAGAAGACTTCTACAGTGTATTCTGCCTGTATACCTGACAGGGCCTTCTCCTTGTCTATTTGCTAATAGATTAATACAGTTACTAATAACTAGCTTCTTCTCTTCAGTGACTGGAAGCTAATGCTATCTTCTTTTATAAAGATACTGGATTTAACTGTCTTCTCTTTACAAGACTGATTAAAGGAACTTGCCTGGGGTCTGGTAGCTAGATTTATTATACTAGCTAAGCAGGATTTCCCCTAGTAAAGACTATTAAATCCTGCAGTAATATCTTTTCTGCTAACTAAGTAGTCTATATTAGTAAAGTAAATAAAATATATCTCTCTAGCTAGTCAGACTATATAGATATTTTTCTAGGCCTTACTAGTAGTATCTGATACTAGCCAGGTAAACTGGTAAACTATTGTCTATAAATACTATACACTGACTAAATAGTAATTAATATAATAGAAGCTATAATAGCTAAGGAAAACAGATTTCTGTATCTTTTTCTAGCTATTAATTTTCTTTAGTTTATATACTATTAGATTATATAGTATCTATATTACTCTCTCAGAGTAAATCCCTAGCAGGATTAAGTAGATATAGACTATATCTACAGGCTTTACTATCTCTATTATAGAAGAGAATAGGGCCTTTCTACTCTCTATACAGGCCAGGAAACTAGCTGGAGACAGATTCTTTAAAGCTGTAATAGAGTATTATTAAATTATTATTCTCTAGATTCTGAGATAACTCTGGTCTCTAAATAGATAAGCAGATACTATAATTAATAATATTAATATAGAGATAAAATAAGTCTCTAATATTAAGCTACTCTTAATTAAGCTCTTTAAATATTCTGTTAAGAAGAGCTCTATTACTATAGTTATAGTCTTTCTAAAGAAGCTATATTATATTCTATAACTCTTTAACTTCTCTAGCCTGTCCAGGCTAATTAATTCTAAGTAAAAGTCTCTTCAGTACTTCTGCTACTATTACTTCTATAATTCCTAAATCTGCTACTCTAGTAAGTGCTATATCTTCTATAGATTCTCTAAGTAAGACTATATCTGCTATATCTAATATATTAATTGCTCTGGACTCTATACAGTAGATTATCTAAAGTACCCTGCTAGGCTATAAGTATAAAAGAGCACTATTATCTATCTCTTCTAAGATACTTTAGCTACTATTTATAAAGCTGGCTGGCTTATCTTCTAATAATAATAAGTTAAATAATTCTCTACTGATTAATCTACTAGCCTATATTCTTTAGGCTAATTATCAGCCCAGCTTCTTAATCTATTACTAAGCTAACTATTAAGCTAGCTTTTCTAAGTACTTACTAGCTAAGTTCTCTCTTAGCTAGAACTATAAGAATAATTTAGGCTAATATTAGAAAAGACAGTACTGTCTATAATTTACTACTATTATTTAAGACAGATATTATTCTTATTCAGGAATCTTAAATAGATAAAATAAATTATTAAATAAAAATATACTCTTACTATTAACTTTTTAGCTTTATTATATATTGGAAAACCAGATCTAGGGCTCTAATATATATATACCAGAATCTCTCAGTATACTTACTCTCTTAGCCTGTCTTACCTAATATTATAGCTATCTATATAGTAGGCCTTACTATTATTAATATCTACTGCTATCTATATAATCTAGTTATTCCAGTCTAATCTAGATTAATTTTATTAACTTTCTATATATTACTTTAATACTCTTCTCTATAGAATATTATTCTAGTAAAGAATTTTAATACTTACTATTTTCTCTAGTAGCTAGATATTAGATTATAATTAATCTTAGCTAGTTTAATAGATTTAATAGAGTGACTTAAAATCTATAAGCTAGTACTTTATTTTAAACTAGATATTTCTATTTATAGATATAATACTCTAGATCTTATTTTCTTAAATCTGTCTATAAGAACTATAGTTAAAGATTATCTAAGTATCTCAAGTAATTATATAACTATTTTAATAATAGTAAACTGGAATAAATCTTTATCCTGTCTAAAACTAGACTTTACTAATTAGAAAAAGGCTAGAGCTATTCTAACTCTACTATTTCTAAATCTTTCTATTAATATACTAGTAGAGAAGCTTATTAGTAGAGTATAGCTAGTAATTTATAGTATATTAGAATATAATATCTATAGACTTCTATAAATCTCTTAATAGACTCCAGAACTTACTATCCTACTATAATAAATATAGTAGCAATAAATTCTAGACTATATCTTACTTTAGAAAGCAGTCTTCCGTGTAAAAGCTAATTACTGAAAAAAATAGATTAATTAAATTATATTATTTATTAATATCTTTATCTTTATAAAGTAATATAAGTATTTAGACTAGCTTACTGCTTTTTCTCTAAATATCTAGAATATCTAGATTATAACTTTATAAAATAAAATAAATATTTTTCTCTTATATCTTTTAGAAAAGAGAGTCTTTTTTCTAGATTAGTAGAAAAAAGACTCTTCTATTAAGTCTCTAGATTTACTAGATCTTTTATTTAAGAAAGACTGCTAGTCTACTCTCTATACTCTTGCTTTATCTACTTCTAGAGAGAATAAACTTACTACTATAGTCTAGAAAAAGCTTTAGTCTATTCTAGATAATTTAATTACTCTACTCTACTATTACTATCTATAAGAAGACTGCTATCTATATATTCTTAAGACTATAAAGATTATAATACTGCTAAAATTAAATAAAAGAGATTTTATCTAGCTAAGTATCTGGTATTTTATTAGCCTGCTATCTATCTTAGATAAGGATCTTAAACAGCTCCTTATATAATATATAGCTATATAGATAATTCAGGTAAAGCTACTATTACTCTATTATTTTAATATATTTCTAGATTACTCTATAGTAGATCTAGTCCAGGTTCTTATTTACAGAATAGAGAAAACTTTTTAAGCAGGAAAGATTATTTTACTACTATTACTAAATATAAAAAAGATCTTTAATACTATAATTTACTAGTAGCTACTCTTCTAACTATATCTATAAGAATAGAATAATAGTCTAATCTAGCTAATCCAGAATTAGCTATTAGACTATTTAGTCTTAGTATAGATTAGAGATACTATAGTAATAGACTTATTAAAGAAAGATCTATTATAGAGATTCTTTCTTTTCTTAATTCTCTTCTTATTATATATAGTAATAATATTTACTGCCTATAAAGAGTTCTTTAGTTATATAGATAATCTAGAGCTATTATTTATTAAATATATCTTTAAGAAGATCTTCTAGCAGCTTATTAAAATTTATTAGTTAATTACTATACTCAGTATAGAATCAGGCCTTCTCTTCTCTTTAGAAAAGATAGAGATATAGTATTTCTCTAAATAATAGAACTAGTCTTTTTCTACTATTCTTCTTCCAGGGCTAGATATAATTAAACTATCTAGTTATACTTATTAACTAGAGATTCTGCTAGATACTAAGCTTATCTTTAGACTATATATAAACTATATCTTTAGCTAGGATAAGCAGCTAGTATAGTATCTCTAAAGACTAAGTAATACTTAATAAGGTTACTCAGTTATCTCTATATAAGCAGCAGTTATATAATATATTATATTAGTAGTACTCTATAGAGCAGAAGTATTCTATACTGGTATTAAATAATAATAGATTATTAATTCTCTATATTTCTTATTTTACTTAGCTGCTTTAGCTATTCTTCCTATCTATAAATTATTATCTACTGTAGCACTGTTTTATAAGATAGATCTGCCTGATCCAAGAGCTCTATTTAATAGTACTCTCTAGAGAGCATATATTAGATATATAAGCTTGAATACTAAGTATTTAATTATATATATAGCAGATAAAACTGGACCTAAATTTAAAACTAGACTTAATACTATACTCTAATATATTTCTATTCTTATACTAGAATATACTTAAATAGAGATATCTCTCCTGCTATTATCTATACTTCTAATATTCTGTAAAGAATATACTCCTACACTACTGTAGATATTAATTTATTTAGATAGCTTATAAACAGGATATAGCGCTGGTTATAGATATATAGTATACTATAGTTCTATTCTTCTTATCTAGGGATCTGGCTCTACTAGCCTGAAAACTGAGATCTATAATATAGAGCTTATAGATATAGTAGAGGGTCTCTAAGCTATAATTAAATAGCTATATATTTAATATACTATTTACTTAACTATCTTACTTAATAATCTAGCGGCAGCCAGTCTCCTTATATATAATAGACTGATTCTCTACTAGTATAGACTTACAGATATCTTCTAATAGCTCTTAATATAATAGAAAAAAGCCTTATTTCTCCTAAACTTATTATATAAGCCCCTAGAGATATACTGGATTCCAGGCTACTCAGAAATAGCAGAAAATAAACTTATAGACTAACTTACTAAATAAGATATAATAATTAATAGCTTCTATATTTTCTTCTCTCTATCTTATCTCAGGCAGAAAGTAAAACAGTAACTCTATATAGACTTCTCAGTAATATATATAAAGACTGCACTACAGGCCTATTATAATCTGAATATTAGGCCCTATATAAAGAGTAGTTACTCCCGGGAATATAGTCTTCTCTACTGGATTCTAGGCCAGCTAATAGCCACCTATATAGGCTATAGAGACTTTATAGTATATTATAAAAAATACTACTATCCAGACTATCTAGTAATCTACTTCTATAGCAGGCTAAAGTCTTCTGCTTACTTTTTCTTCTGTCTATATACCAGGAAGCACTGGAGAGATAGATAGAAGTGCCTAAAGACTAGTCTGTTAGAGATAATTAACTGGCTTCTTAGTACAGTTACTGAGACTGAAGAGTTCAGCTATATTATATAAGTTTTATTCTTTTTTAAGAATATATATTTAAACTAGGCCCGCTCAAGCATTAAATAGTGTAATAGTCTATATTTCTATCTAGATAGAGACAGACAGCATCCCTTTCTATCTATAGATAGCTAAAGCAGGTTCCCAAGCCCAGAAGACCTGGCCAGGATAGTGCCAGGTACTTCTTTCACCCTTCTCTAATATATAGTATTCAGATTTGCTGCTTCAAGCATATACTTAGCTAGTTCCTAGTGAGATTTCTGTTTAGGTAGCACGTCCAGTTGCCCCTAGGGAGGCCGCGGATCACGTTGCCGCGTGACCCGCCGAGTGACGTTAAATAGTAGCCATAGCCATAGCCATAGCCATTGCCCCTGAAGGCTTTACCCATGAGCAATAGAGAAAGAAGAAGCACAGTCAAGATAGTTGATATAGTCGTCCATAGAATTGAGATCTATCGGAATGGCATCCGGTCCTCAGTGGGCTACGTACGTGTAGCTGATACAGCCTCATTCTGCCCATCTTTCCCCTGAGATCACAACAGTTGGGAGTCGGTGATCCGGCCAAGCCACTAGGATCACGTGGTATCGTATAGATTCATATCAGTTCTTTTCCCTGTATCTCGTCGCTTCAAGAATATTATCCGCCAGCGTCGGCATTTCCTCCATGACTTGAACCTGCAACAGAATAATCGGGTTTTCACTGATACCACATTACACATGCTTTTGGTAGAATTAAGCTCCGGGCTGAATAGTTGCCAACCATTCCTCACTATTCATGGTGAGTCAGCTAGCGACTGGTGTTTCGGGCAGAAGTTTGTCATCGTCACTACTCATGCAGCCATCGAAGCACCGAGACTGGGTGAAGGGATACACAACCAACTGGACAGCACGATGATGCTCATCCCGATCATACCATCTAGCCAATTCATAAATCCGACTAGATTGGCAGCATTTGTTGCATTTGTGCGCATTCTTAAGAGGAAACCCCTCCCGGCTTCCCAGGTCCCTCGGAGACCAAACAGAAAAATGATCCACGGCTGTCCCTTGTATCCACCCCTCACGTAAACTAATTGTTACTTTCGCAGCTTTCCCCTGTCTCAGGAAATTTAACGTTTTCTCGGTACCTCCAATTCGCTGTTCAAGAGCCGGATTGGGCTGCTGTACCCATGGTCTGCGCACTATCCGCTCCCGGATGCCAGCCACTAAGGCATCAAGATTAGGGGTGGGTCTCAATTCAGTCACAATGGTTCGCGGTTGATTCACAAAGTCTCGATCTCATGTCTTGACGTCAGAGACCTGGCATGTGTGGTTTTTAGCTAGTGTCATAACTTCCTTACTATTGTAGTTCTACTAGGGGCTACTAGCACGCATCGAAGACAAAGTCCTCGGCACTGGCTGGCATATACCGAGCACCTATATGTTTCTATAGATGATTTAACTCTCATAAGAACATTGGTTCGGCCAAGCTTGCGGCCTACCGGATCATCAATTCACAGAATGCAGTGTAAGCCATGGGTTGATCTTGGTACACCCGTAACTGCCCCCCTGATTGACTTTTCAATTGCGGCTGACTTTTCAATTGCGGCCCCCTCCTTTCTTCGAACTCCAATTCAAATAATTCCATTCTCGTTCCTTACTCACAGTTCTATTCATGGGATCTGACCTAGGACTCGGTCGTCCGATGCTTACCACGCGGGCTCCGGACAACGAGCTTCCTCAGCCGAAGAACGGTAGTTTCAGCTCCGTGGAGAAATATGTTATATCAGTGTTTGTTGCGATCGCCTGGTACAATGCTGCTGAGCTGGTCGTCCTCTGCCTATCGACCTTTAAGTTATACCGGGGGTGGTACTTCTGGAGCTTGTTCATTGCGTCGCTTAGTCTCTTCCCGATTTGCCTGGGTTACATATTCTTCATTTTTTACCCCGGAATACCTCATTATCTCTCGATCTCATTGATAATTGTGAGCTGGTCCTGTATGGTAACAGGTCATTCTCTTATTCTATGGTCGCGATTACACCTTATCATACAATCACCAAGAGTGCTCCGCCTGACGCTCACAATTATCATACTTGACGCAATCTTATTGCATACCTCCATTGCAGTCCTCCTGTATGGGAGCTTCTCCAAAAATGTGCACGTGGCGAACCGGTTTACGAATGGGTACAATATCATGGAGCGTGTTCAGCTAGTAGTGTTCTGCGTCCAAGAATTACTGATCTCCGGCATATACCTGTGGGAAACGGCAAAGATGCTGCGCTTGCATCCCGGCCCACTTCACTATAACGTTCTCACTCAATTCCTGATTATTAATATTTTTATCATTGTACTCGACGTGGCTGTTGTCGGGATTCAGTTCGCAGGGTACTATGCCCTTCAAGTGACCTTCAAACCAGTGGCATACAGCCTTAAGTTCAAACTTGAATACGCTATTCTGGGCCGATTAATCGCAATTGCCACGAGTCCCTCCAATTCTGAGCCAGCCCCATCCAGTTCGCTGGGGCCGACCGGCCTAGTCGAAAGCGAGCCTGCTCATGGAAGGCGACATAGTGTCGTTTTCTTGGAACCCTGCGCGCCAGGGCGGAAAAAATGAAGGCTTTGATTTGGACTTTTTCATAGACAAGGGGCAACTCCGGAATCTCAGATTGATCACCTGTTTAATGCATAAGCTAGTCAAAGAGGGTACAGTCTAGATATCTTTGCAATGCAGTAGACGTCTGGTCCATTTAATACAGGCCAACTCTCATAATCATGCATCTGGCACGGGATTAAGTATATCTGGGGCCGAAAAATCTCCGGGACAACCTGTATTTTTATGACGTACTTGATGTCCCTCTGCTGGAAGACGTTAATGGTCCAATATATCAAAGACGAATATGGAGAGTATGACAAAGGATAAGGCCATCAACTCTTGTAGAATATCTGGTAAAATACTCATATGAAACGATATCAAACCGGTCAGATTTATGATCCCCATCAAACTTATCTCGAAGGGCTATCTAGGTGGGAATTATGAGGCCTTGTATATGTGGCCTGATTACTGTAGTATTCAACAATCCACATACTTCCGCAAGTAGTTTCATGGGCGTATTCAATAACTCTGAAACCCATGGGCTGGATTGAGTGGTTTTATGTTGTATGTGATATATATATGTATCGTTATAGAGAGAATTAGTACAATAAAAATGGATCTTCTGTCATTGGTCACCAGCATAGAAGACGGATCCCTTCACAGCGCCTAATGCTTTAGCAAGGTCTTCCGTTCTCAAATGAATGTGTATATATTAAGTCTCACGCAGCAGGACAGCCCTACGACCCAACCACTAAGCTTAGACCTAAAGAATTTGGCATACAGCACCACGTAATAGTGTTCGATATCCTGAATTGGCGACGACACACCTAACCTCTGCAGAGATTCTGGCCATTTTCGATCTAATTAGTTAGAATAGTTTGGGCCGAACGTTGTAGGATTAGTGATCCGCAACCCTGACAGTAGGGTTAAGATCGTCGGAGAACTTTAGGCGGGATTCCCCCACATGCCGCGACGGGCCGAGGAACAATCCTTCGAGGCTATATATATAGATAGCAGTTGTCCTCTAGTAGTACGTAAAAGATATTCTTTCTTCATCCTCCCGCAGTGATTGTCATCCCGTCAATATGTCGGACAAAGGCTACAGATACTTCAAAGTCACGGTTCCTGAGCCATGGATAGCTCACGTTGAGATCAATCGGCCGAACCACTTAAATGCGATTTTCCAAGAGTAAGTGAGAGATATCAATTTGGCCTTTATTCCAAAGAACGCAATTTTAACATCACTTAGCGTGTGGAGGGAAATGAGAACCGTCTTTGAAGACCTCTCCACTGACCCATCCGTCCGAGCGATCGTTTTGTCCGGGTCCGGCGAGAAGGCGTTCTCCGTCGGCATAGATCTCAAATGGGCTTCGAAAGAAGGCTCGCCATTTATCCCCGCGCCGAACGAGGATTTTGATCCGGCCAGACGTGCCACAACCCTCAGGAGATGGGGGGTTGAATTCCAGGAGTGTATCACAAGTATTGAGAAATGTGAAAAGCGTACGTATCTCTCTGTTCGATTATATAAGTTTTCCCTCGGAGTGCTTACGACATGACATCTGTACAGCTGTTATTTGTGCTATGCATGGGTATGCATTAGGAATGACGACCGACATCTGCTCGGCCGCAGATATGCGAATCTGTTCTAAAGACACGGTCTTTTGTGTCAAGGAGGTTGACCTCGGAATTGCCTCGGACATAGGGATTCTCTCGCGACTGCCGAAAGTTGTAGGGTCATACACCTGGGTCAAAGATGTGGCAATGACTGGCAGGAACTTCAATGCGGATGAGGCACTTCGTGTTGGGTTTGTGAGCAGCGTCTTCCCAACGAAGAAGGACGCCGTTGAGGAAGCATTTAGGGTTGCAAGGAATTTGAGTGAAAAAAGCCCAGTCGCCGTACAGACAGTCAAACATTTCTTGGATTACAGCCGAGACCGCACTGTTGCGGAAGGTACTTGAATACCTGTTGCCGCCCCTTGTTCTCCGGTGAACGTACTAACTCTTTCAAAATCTAGGACTCCAGTACCAGATCGCTTACAACACGTCCGCTATTCAAACCAGAGATGTGCCGATTGCTATTTCATCGATGATGTCAAAGAGGAAGCCTACATTTGAAAAGCTCTAGAAGGCATAAGTAGCTCGTGAATGATTGGAATTCTCCAGAATGCAAGGTCAGACTCATTTTGTATATATCTTAGTCATCCTTGCAGATGACTCCATTGAGTGTAATATCCGGTGCAACAACTGTGTAGCTGGGAGTGCTCGCTAATATAATTAGAAGTATCATAAGATTGCATCTTGGTCTATACTCCAGCTTCAAGCGTTTTAGTGTTGCATCTTGCATCCTCTGCGCTTGGGGCAGTCCTCATCTTTGCATCCCTCACAACTCACCACCTGATCAATCGTTTCCCTTTTGACATACTCTCCATGGTTGTGAAATGCTAAGCCGTACCTGTCGGTAGAATAATCTAGGTAGTAAGGATCTGACATTGTAAAGCAGGGCGGTGGCACGTTTGGTGCTACGCCGGAGGCATTTTTTCAGCGATCAAAGAAGAAGCGAGAGGAAGAAGGGAGACCCAGCCTTGGCATCAAGCGGAGAAAGAAGCAGTGTGTGCTGCAGTGTTTTACAATGTTCGTTTGAGTTTTCCTTCTCTCAAACATTCGAAATCATTGTGCCTTTTCTTATAAAGTGTAGCGGATGCCTCCAACTTTTCACTATCTCCGGGTAGTGAAATGGTATTGTGCTTCTTTGCTCGCAAACTACCTACAGGTACACAGTCAGAGAGGAGACATGCAGCTAACTACAGGATTAAAGGACCTCCAGTGCCATAATAATTTGCAAGTGCTTCTTCGTGGACAGCTTTAATCATCATTGCCACACGGTAACAAGAGCTCCTGGACCCGTTATCTGCCGTCGAGATCAGCAATCCTTGTGCTGAATACAATGCGAAAACCTAGAAGTCTAAATATTGACAAGTAATGGTCGGTAACTACTGATTTCAAGTGTTAGCGGCCTCACCATCCCTGCTAATAATTCTATATGTACACGGAATCGGAAGCAGCTGAAACAGGGCGTGACCGAACGCCCGTACGAGAAGCCTATTTCCAAGTATTGCTATCTAGTAAGCTTAGTATAATCGTGTTCGGACTTCTAAACTTAGCACCGCGGGTTCTTGTAGATCAAATCAAACACTCTGAGAATTCCCCAGACATGGATCGCAGCGCTGAGCAAAACGAAAAGGTGAAAGATCTGGTGTGATGCTCCCCAGATATCGAACTTCTCAGGCATTCAGGACTCGGGGAAATGTGTCTACATTAGCTGCGATTAGCTGGGTTCGACATCATCTTCCGTCCTCGGCTGTGCCAATGCATGTAATCGCTCACTCACCGCATAAAAGACCACCCCGATAATGAGTGTCAGGCCCTCGACCAGGTAGTGGCCCAAGCCCGCCTGCTGGTTCAACCGGGCATATGGATAAATTGAGGCGGCATGGATGATGGGTAACAATCCTGAGAGGTCCGTCGCAACAAACATGGAGAGCCGAAGCATCCTCCAGCGACTGCTCTGGAACCGAGGGCTAACGAGGATAACTGAGGACAGGGGCCCCAAGACGCCAATTCTACAATAGGGACACCATCTCTGTTAATCAAATGTTCATAGGAAGAAAGGGAAGGAAGAGAACCTACTATGGCCTAGTAGAGTTTCTGCAGGCCGGAATAGCAGTAGAATGTGACGTAGATTCCCGAAACGAACGACCCAATGGTCTGGAGAATGATAGCCACGTAATCCAGGCAGCCCCAAAGATCCGAATAAGCTTCCGAATGGCAGAGAAGGGTGTGATAGATGGATAAGGTCCCGAGGCAAAGGACCGAGGTAGTCAAGTAGACGTATAATGCCAGCTGGCCCACCAGGGACGCAGTGGGGTAGCGGCCACGGAAGTACTGGTGGAGGAAGCCATTGTTGGAGAGGGCGATTGTGGCTGGCACCAGGTGGGAGTAAACGTTGACGGTCTCGTTATGGATGGATCGCAAACTGTCGACGCACAGCCTGACTGACCCGTTGATGGGACGATAGCCAGTGCGAGGATTCTGACAGTGAGTTATTTTCCACCCCGCATCGTTGCAAGAATGGCCCTTTTGGAATCCCCTTCTGGTAGCTCTTGAAATATTTACTCAGACTTCACCGTCTGCGGCAACGTCAATAACTTCTGGGCGTTAAAATTAAATTTGACGTATCTGCAACGCAGCAGCTGCGGCTCATTCCAGACCCATTTCTGTGCGGAATAGACAGGGTTTATTCGCTTTGCAGCCTGGTATTTAGGACCTATGCGCTGCTTATGATCAAAGGCACAGCCTACGAGATAGTACCGTTTCAGGCGCCCTTGCTCTGGGAGGCGATATTGGGGCACGTAGTCGCACATTGTTGTAAAGCACGCACGACTCGAAGGTGCCATCAATTGATCGGTTGCCTCTGGCAATCCCACAAAGCATTTCGAGATGATCTGGTGCAACCCAAGATAACTATGAGATTGAACCTGTTCTTGGAGATCCTTCTTGGCTTGTAGATCACGGGACTAGGCCTGATCCGATCCCGTGTAGCTATTCTTCCCCATGTGTTGCCCGGCTTGTATGATTTTGTTTCCTTGATGTAGCTCCACATGTGTATAGTTGTGAAGAAGAAACTAGACCTGAGCTGTCATTCATGATCATTATGTATTCTTCCGATTTCTTATCGATAAGAAAGAAAAAGGTTTCCTTCTTAGGAATGGTGGCTTCCGCCATCGATGGCTTTATTATAGCATCCAATCAGAGGCTGCACTTTTCAAAGTCTAGTAGAAGCTTGCACCAATGGTATTACATTAGAAGATCCACCTGGCGGAATTCCGCCAGAGAGGGTGATAAATAATGATGTGAGCAACGATACTTCAAACTACGCAGTATAATGTTCTATTCTTGATCGTTACTATTATCATTGCTTGTAAACTATTTCTTTTATTTTACTCAGTCTACTCCTATCCATTATTATATTCCCGAGCTCCCACTAACCAATCGCTCCTAACAAAAAAGAAAAAAAAAAAAAAAAGATACAATAGCTACCTCAAAAGATGACTGAAATTCAAAACGTCGCCATCTTCGGCGTAAGTTAATCATCCAACATCCAACATCCACAATAACCAAACAAAAACCACTAACTTCCCCACCGGCCTCCGGCAACTTCGGTACCCCTATCACCGCTGCACTTCAGAAAGCCGGCTTTACCATAACAATACTCACAAGAGAGGGCTCACCATCGACATTTCCTCCTGGGATCCCTGTCATCAGAACAACATATACACTTGAAAACCTTGCCTCCGCCCTAGCAGGACAAGATGCTGCTGTCTGCGTTGTGGGCCCTGCAGGCGTTGGCGCTCAGATTACCATGGTCGAGGCCGCAGAAGCGGCGGGTGTAAAGCGGTTTATTGTCAATGATTTTGGCTGGGGTCCTGACTTCCGCGGGATGCCGGAGTTCCGAGCGATTCATGCTCGTCGCCGCGCGGGTTGGGACTATGCAAAAGCCAAAGCGGAGAATAATAAGGAATTTACATGGACGGGAATTACCACGGGAAACCCGATTGATTGGGTGAGTTATGTTATTCCATCATTCAGCGGTCTTCGATGTGTATCTGTAGGTGCTCATTGATCCATTTCTTCTAGGCTTTGAAACGATTCCCCATGATGGGCTTTGATCTCATCAACCAATCGGCCATCATCTACGACTCGGGTACGGAAGGGTTTACCGGAACCACTTTGGAAGGCATCGGACAAGCGATTGTAGGTGTATTGCAGCATCCTCGGGAAACTGCCAATCGATTTGTCAAGGTTCGGTCAATTATGACTAGTCAGAACGAGTTATTGGAGGCCTTCCAGACCGCAACGGGGAGGCAATGGGATGTCCAGCGGAGGTCTACGCAGGATCTGATTAAAAGTGGGCAATCGAAGTTCCGGGATGGGATTAGCGGTTGGGTTTTGGACTTAGCGGTAGCTCAACTCTTTGAGCCTGGTCAGGCTCGATGTGTTGTCGCACTCTCAAGAGAGGAATCTGATGCAGAGCTATTGGGAATTTTGGAGGAGAGTCCATATGACGTAGCGAGGACATGTTTGGGACTTTGATGGTCACCTAGCATAGCTCCGTGGAAGCTCTGGAGATATATTGAATTGAGTGAACTTGTATACATACTCCTACCCATGTAAACTTTTGTGACGTTACTCATCAAGCTAATGAAAACTTAACTCCTAGGACCCCGTTCATATGGTAGGTATCCTACTGAGCATATGTGCATACCCCAATATCGTAAGAAGGCCACGTCCTAAGCACTAAATCAACTTCTCTTGGGAGAATGGCGAGCCCTTTCTATTTTTGCTCTCAGGAATAGGCTAATATCGACCCTATGGCATCCTTGACTTGCCAGCCTTTCTGCTCTCACTGAGAGCACCGGAGAGACCATACTGAGATGGAACACCGTTGATGCGATGGGTCGAGTTCAGATTCTTGACGACAAGGATCTGGAAACAAGTGGCGCTACCTTGGCGAGAAGCAATGACGGACCAAGCCAGGAATAGCTCCCAAATCTATCCAACGTTAGATCATATTAGACTTGTAGAGGTGGTAGAAACTTACTCTATACCACCGCTGACCATACTTGGCCTTAACTGCGTCAGCATTGCCGAGCCAATTCCGATACCATCTCCAGAGTGTTCCGGAATAGTGGACGCCAACGGTATCAACACTGGGGTATTTTAGCGTCAGACTTTGCGTTAGCCACGGCTGGTCGGATACGATACGCACCTCTTGATCTCAAATCCGGCTTGTTCCAAGCATTTCACATAGTACCACAGAGGGGTAGATGCATCCGCGCCCCGGAAAATGTACTTGTTCAGATAGAGACCCCAGACGAAGTCCTCATACTGCCACGCCTGTCGGAGTCCAGACAGCTGCACATACATAGAACCATCATCGTTAAGCATGTCGTAGCACTGGCGGAAGAAGGTCGTGAGTTTGCGAATGCCAACATGCTCGCCCATCTCCAGCTGCGTGATCTTATCGTACCGCGTCCGGGGGATGTCCCGGTAATCCATACACAGAATGCGACTCTGCGACTCCGGGACACCAGCCTGGCGGAGAGCGTCATTGCCCCATGCCGTTTGGTGTCGCGCGATAGTGAGGCCGGTGACCTTGGCTCCGTAGTTCAGACTCGCAAATTTCGCCAGCGTGCCCCAGCCGCAGCCAATGTCGAGGAGGGTCTCGCCTTCCTTGAGGTTGAGCTTCTCGCAAACGACCGCCATCTTATTGTCCTGCATTTCTTCTAGGGTCTCTTCTTTCTCGGTGTCCGAGATGATCCCGGATGTGTAGACCATGCGGGGACCAAGGAACCAGGCATAGTGATCGTTTCCGCGGTCGTAGTTGGGACGGATCTGGTCTTCGTCTTGGGATTTGGTGTGGAGCAAGATGTCCCGAAAGAACGTAAAGACAATGAACTTGAAGAGCTGCCAGGTGAAGCGGAAACTGGCCCAATCGTGGCGGTATTCCATGATGTCGAGACAATCTCCGTTGAAATCGACCTGGCCGTCGAGGTACATTTCGCAGAATGTTTGCAGGGGAACGCGGTTCCGACCATGCCATTTCATCCGATCCTCCTCGTTCTTGAAAGTCACGTATTCTTCAATTGGCCGACCTGGCATTTTGACCTTTTCGTTGGTGCGCGGGCTGCAGGACGAGGCCCAAGTCCAGAAGACCACGAGAATTGGCAAAGCCATGATCAGCGCAAGGCCAATGGCCGTTTTTACTCCACCGCCGAGTACATAAGTCAGGAAACCGGGGACGGCGACGAGCGCCCCGACTAAGAGAGTGTTGGAGAAGCTCTCATTACCAGGCCCATCCGCTGGGAGAGGGCCATTATGAATGGCTGCGGACTTGGGGTTAATTGGTAAGTATTTGGACTTTCAAAGGAGCATTTGGGACTCACATTTGTCAACGGCACTCCGCAGTCCTCGGTCTTAAACATCGAGGGTTTGGCTGCGGGGGTTTGGATGAAGTCAATGTCGCTGACATTGGTAATTTCGGCGGCCATTGTGGTCGCGTATCACCACCGATGGTTCTTATCCGGTGTTGAAGGTGCAAACGAAAGGATTATTTAAGTATGGTGAAGAAGAACGACACGGTGTTCGGATCCCTTTCCCGCGTTGTTTGGAGATTTGGAGGCCCACTGCGTCGTCATCGCAGTCCGCGGATCCCGACCATGTCCCGTTAAGGGCCAACCCTTACAGCTAAAGAACACTCATAGGTGTTGTTTAGACCACACATTCTCTTGGTTACTTTCCACATTCTAAATGCAGTCTCTTTGGAACAAGATTGTAGGTTATATGGATGGTGAGCATATAATGACATTAGGATCGGCGCGCGACTTCGTAGATCCTGCGCATTGGCAGTATACTGGACCCGGTCGCCCAACATCAATCTTGGCTTAAAGGGCGGGCTGGACCCTAATCGAATTGGTCCGTGTGTAATACTCCCCCCATCAAGCTCATGCCACTTAGCCCTTGCCTCCTCGGGCAGTTGTCATGGTGTCTTGCCCGCCGTATTTGGTTCGTCCTAATATTAGGCTGGCCTTCCATCGTCCACCAGGGCTGCAATCATCTCATCTTGCACCTTCATTTCATCATCTAATGTCGCCATCTTAGACGTTTCCGTTGGACTTGGGTGAGGGTAAACACGTCCGTCCATTGTTGCACAATGGAGGGGTGTGTTCCCATCTGGGCTTTTGGCGTTGATATCGGCTCCTCGGCCGATGAGATGCCTTCCCGCCTTTGACTCCGGCAGATTCTTTGCCAGGAGGTGTAAAGGAGCGAGCACCTACCATGCCCGACCTCAATGGTCGGGAACGACGGCTGGCTATCCAGTAGGAAATGCACCGTCTCAGGCTGCGCGTACCGACAGGCTATAGCCAGCAGCGCATATCCGCGTTCTTCGAATGCATCATCCCTGACTCGGGGGAGTAGATATTGGCGAAATATCGGACCAGAAGCACGCGAAGTGATTCGATGCTTCCATACTGAGCGGCGACGTAGAATGGGTCCAGTTCGCGTATATCCGAAGGGCAAAAACCGGCTCTCGGGTGTTTCTCCAGGCATTGCTGCAACATGGGTAAGTCATTCAACTTTACAATTTCTCCGAGAAGACCGCCGTACTCGTCGTCGTACAGCTTGGAACAGTCCCTGTGGATAATCAGCACACCGTAACCATCGGGCTGAAGGACGCGGAAATTGGCGCCTGGACCTTTCTCTTCGCGGCCGGGCGTTCTGCCTTGACTTCTCATATTCATTACCACCTATGGCATCAAATATAAATGAAGTATTGAACTTGGAGAGGGTGAAAATATGATAAATCATGTGGGAGAGGACATGGGGAGCATTTATGTTTGGGAATACTTCTCTTGGTCACCATATAACCCTAGACAATAGAAGGTGCCCGCACACTGGATGCATGCATAAATTTGATTGAAACAAAGGCCCCACCAATGGGATTAATTGCCTGTGCATTATCTCTCAGTTTGATCCTTGTCGTGGAGTTGCTTTAAGTAGGGAGGATATTTTTAATTGTGGAATTTCAAAGATCTCAAAACTTCTAGCCTATAGTCTATACAGTATCATATCATATCACCAGTTCGTAAAGCAACAACAACTTTCACGCTTCGAATTGCCGGTTGGGCTAGCTTTATTGCTTCCGGCCAAGACCCTTCCTGGTAGGCCGCGTCGTTCTAGAAGCCCACCTGGACATCACACTCATGTCATTATATTGCCTAATATTGCTCTCTAGACTCTCTGCGCTTTCGCGTGTTTGCAGTCTACGCTTTTCTAAGACCTGTTGCCCAAATCTATCTCATCAAATGCTTGGCACAGAAGAGAAGCAGACCGCTCAGTTTGTGCCAAAGTAAATGTCCTCTGCTCAGTTCCAGGGTATACGGTACCTGATCCAGACAGAGTCAATGAAAAGATTACATCCAGTAATACAAACTTTAACCGGGGTGGCGTGAAGATAGCGAAGCTATCTCCAGATATTGTTGTGAAATTCGGATCCCATGTTACACTCAGCGAAGCGAAGAATACGATATTTGTCGAAATCACAGAGGCTATACCGGACCAAAAGATTTTGCCTGCTACTTTTATGGTCCAAGACGTCCAGACGTTGAAGAACACGGTAGTCTGTTTGATCCTTATATATTTATGAGCTATGTCAAGGGTCAGAGCCTAGATAAAGTTTGGGGAGCTCATGATAATATCACAAAAAGTCGTATCACTATTTAACCGAGAGGGTATCTCTACCAAATGAGACGGAAATTATATCAGCGCGGCCGGACTTGGCCCTATCATTGATCGAATGGAGATCTATCACATCAAAGGTTGTAGTGTCTACACCGGAACGTTTATTAATACTAAGATATACAAAGATCGTTTGTGTCCGAGGTAGCCTTTAATAATATAACTATCGAGGCATATCAAACAAAGGCACCAAAACGACACATTAAGGCCATCTTGGCCGGTATGCTTCACCAAAGAGCCACAAAATCGCGTTCACCCATGTAGACCTATGCCTTCAGAATATTATAGTCCACGATGGGTATGTCAGTGAGATTGTGGACTGCGAGATTAGTGGCTGGTATCCGATGCTCTCTATGTTTGGAAGTGGCAAATGATACGACCGATTACCTGGTCCAGGTTCTTGAGCCTTACTATTCCCAATATGCAGTCCATTCTTTCTTGACTGAAACCCTATGTGACAGTGATTATGTCACACGCCCACCCTCATTCATCCCCACTGATGTCGCAGGATCAGAGTCATATCGCTATATACTCCTAGCCCAATCTACCAAAAAGCAAATTTCCTCCAAGCCTTCCATGTGTCCACACGAACTTGAGCATTGCTTCTCAGTGTTTTCACCTCAGCCAAGACGTCATCAACCCAGTTGGAACAACGCGCCGCCGTTCGGCCCGAACCATTAACTGGATTCCCCACTCGCCGTCCTCGGCCCATAGCGGGTATATTCACTAATGAAGGAGATGGATCAGATTTTCAATTCCATGTGACATACTAGCGCCTATTGTATAGGCCGTTCTGAAGCTTTCATCCACTAAAATGCATGCTGTCCCTGTCGATCCGTGGAGCGGTTCGCATTATTTCTCGATGGCTCCAAACAGTCTCGAGGCCCCATCCAGATTCTTTTTTGGCAACAAATTGATCGATCATTAATCATCTGTGACTTTCATGGACAGTGACCCGAAAATCACATAATCTCCACCATAACCAAACCCTCCGTTCCTGATCAATCAGAGCTAGGATTACTGAACCAGTGCCCTCGGAAAAGATAGCCCAATTCTGCTAATTGAGAGAAGACATTGGAGGGACACCTGAAATACATCGACAATCCTACACCATCACATTACCTCCAAGGCCGCAAAGGATAGTTATAACTGTCGTTGGGCACTCAGGACCAGTCTTCCAATTTCAGGGTGACCGCGGCGGGATTCGGCCGAGTAAAATGGATGCTATCGTCAATCGCCGATTGAAAACCATCTGCAAGCTACGGCATCACCAACTATGTGACAATACTACAACGTTGTGCATTGCATTGGCTACTAAGTCTCATGCATTATTCATTAATATATATTTAATAATGTACAATAATACTAAATTCCAACCATCAACTCGCAACAACAAGCCTATCCCTAGCCCTCTCCCTCCACTCTGACCAACTCCCATCATAAACCCTCTTCTTCATATCATAACCACCCACCCGCAACGCAAGCTCCAACACAGTAGCAGTCACCCCCGAATTACACGACAAAACAACAGGTTTATCTTCCTGAACCCCAAACCCCCGAAACACCTCTCTTAACCGCCCAGCAGGAAGCATAGTCTTATCCAAACCCAGCACGGAAGAAAATGGTACATTCAGCGCAAATGGCATATGTCCCGAGATATGCGGCCCTGTGCCCTCCCCGGAGAACTGACCTGCTGGTCTAGCGTCGAGGATTTGATATTGCCGTTGGTTTTTATCGGTCGAGAGTAAAACGTGTAGCTCCTCGAAGGTGATCACGTCGTCTGGGACTGGAGGTTCGCGCTCTGGGTAACTTTCTTCTGCTGGAGGTAGGGTTGGTTGGCCCTCGGATACTGGATATCCATTTTTCACGTAGTGGGGGAAGTTGTTTAGGACGTGGACGTCAGTGTGTCCGAAATGGCGGCATACCCATGCGACACGGGGGGAGAAGTACATTCCTGCTTCCGGCGTGTCATAGACGACGAGGATGTCGTCTGAGCGGAGGCCGAGTCGAGTCACGGAGGTGGCGAAGTGCGATGGTTGAGGTAGCATTTGTGGGTATGAGGAAGTAGTATCTCGGATTTGGTCCATGTTGAAGAATCTGAGTCAGGTGTGTTAGTCGAAGAGTTCTCGGGTCATTATGTATTGCGTGGAGGATTATACATGGAGCCTGGGATATGCTTGGCTTTATAAGATTGCAAGGCGGACTGGCGTCCTGCTGCCACCGGGACAATGCGACGAGGTGAAATGGAAGTTCTGGAAAGCGCGAGATGAAGCTCGGAGGGGGAAACAAGTAAAGATCGAAATGGGTTGTATATCGTGCGGGCCATGGTTATAGAATGGTTCGTGAACTATTAGGTCAACTTCCGTATCTTCCCACAAACACATATAGAGAACGTTGAGGTCTAATGGAATGTTTGAATACGGCGGCTTCTCGAGAAGATATACACAAAATATCTTGATAATTCTCGTAATTCTAAGGCACTTTTTATCGGACGAAAGCATCATCAAACGCCCCCGAAGATTTGCACTTCCTAGGGCTGTCGCTACATCTCGGCCGGAACGTAAGTTAGGTCGCCGATTGAAAATCCCCTGCCGCGGCTTGATATTAACATTCGCTCCCCGCCACTTGCAGCAATTCATATACCGTAGGCCTGTTGTTGAATACCAGGAATATTTACTAAAAACATTTCCATTAGTCATTTGTGCTAAAAGAAGCATCGGGTCATTTTCATATTGCAGGAACCCGGTCGATTTATATACCCTACACATCAATACCCGATCTCCCTATACATCATCATAAATCAAGTGGAGGAATTAAAATATATTTAAACACCAATGTTCTCTCGAATCCACTCTCTCCTCTTCCCCAAGGCAGTCACCAACACTGGATCTCAGCTGCGCGATCACCTCGCAAACGAGCGAACATTTCTATCATGGACTCGCATGGGACTAGCCTTCGCCGCCATGGGGCTCGCCCTCGGACGCTTGAGCATGATCGACCACGTATTCAACACACAATGGAACAATCAGCGGATAGAATCCTCGAATGAGACCGCCAAACTGACCAAGCCGACTCAACGACAAGATACCGAACGGGAATTCAAAAGCCCGGGCCGGAACGACATCCTAGCTAGTCAATTCTGTTGGACGATCAGCGTTTGGTCTTTCGGATATGGAATCTGTCGCTATGTTTCCGTTCGACGGACTCTGCTTCTGGGGCGCTTTGTCCCGGCTATCTGGGGACCTGTCTTGATGACATGCGGGTCGCTGGGATCTCTTGGTGTTTTGTTGCAATCGGATTTAGGGCCTAAATCAGAAAATGAATAATGATCGACCCCTTGTGTTCGTTGACGTACTTGAGTGTTGTGATCTCAGGGGAAAGATGGGCAGAAAGATGCTGTATCAGCTACACGTACGTAGCCTACTGAGGACCGGATGCCATTCCGATAGATCTCAATTCTATGGACGACTATATCAACTATCTTGACTGCTTCTTCTTCTCTCTACTAATGGGTAAAGCCTTCAGGGGCTGAAGGAGTGGGTGATCCGGCCAAGCCGCTAGGCGATCACGTGTCTCCTATAGATTCATATCATTGAGAAAGCTGGTTTCTGAGAGTTGAAGCCCGGAGGATTAGCTTCCAAGGATAGGCGCAATGCAATGATAGGAAAGTTTAGAGCCAGACTGTATACTTATCACCATTCCTTTGCCTATCTAATGTTGTCAAGTCGCCCTAGAGGACTTCGGCTGATATTCGGGTGTGGAAATCTGACCCATGATTTGAACGGAGGGGAACATCCGTCTCAACTATACGTTTATCCTCTGGCACCTATGCAAATGACAGTTTCACTGTGATACGTAACATCTTCGGATGGCTGGGACTGACAGGACTTGGAAAGATTGTCCCTCAGCTGGTGATGAACAGTAGCATCGGACCTTTGGTTAAAACGAGATACCGTATATATTCTATACCATAGTATGTTAATGAATTCATTCAGTTATGCGAAGTCAGAAAGATATATAAGTCTAGAATTCAAGTGCACTAATGTTCTAGATAGGTATGCATCACATGACGAGAAATATATGATGAACAATAGTGATGAATTTGACTAAATGCGTGCCATTATATATGTCATTTTCTCTAACTTTAAACGGGATTGAGTTGAGCTAGTCTATATAATTGTCAATTATGAAAGTAGCGTACACCACGATTGATCGACCAGTGTGAAGATTTAATAAACAAAGATAAATAAGTCGCCCCTCTTCCACCCGTTCTTCATTTCTTTCTACCAGAGATGACACTCCCTAATCGCATGAAACCTTGGGATCAAGGAAAATTCCAGGAAAAGCACAGGTAAAACAAACCCAAAAATGTCCGCAGACTGATTATCCGCAGCATTAAGCAAACCCTTCAACCATCCAACCAGGGCGGAACAATTCTCCCACCCAGAGTTCCAAGACACCAAAAGAACGCTTTCAAAGATGGAGGTAATCAGCTTTGGTACAATTAACAGGATCGAGAAGCTATCTAGTTTAGAAACCCCCCCTATTCCTGGCTGTGGGGGTATGTGATCTATCGGACAGTGTATACCTCGGAATCCGACGAGCTTCTTCTGACTGCGCTAGCGAAACTGGACCGATTGATCGAGGTGTGAAACAAAAGGAGCCTGGGATTCCCGAGAGACTGCTTCATGAAACGCACAAGAATCTGGTTTTGTGAGGATAAGGAGCGATATGACGGGGCCTCGGTGAATGACATCCGGAGAGAGTTTTTGAAGGTTTTAAGAAGCCTAGGGTTGGAAGAGTGGGAGATCAAACCGCGGTATACCAATTGCCTTATTCTCTATGAGAAGGGTTTACTGTATCATCGAGGCACCGGAGCTAGAGGATGTGTACCAAGCTGGGGCACCGAGAATGGGGTTTATTGTCATGATTAATACTTCTAGTTCGACTAATGCCTATTGTATCCTACGTTTGTACGGGTCGAGATTGATCGTTTATGGAGGCTGACGGTTAAATTACCGCTTGCGCTGATGGATGATCTATGCCCGGCAACTCCGCCGGGGATGATCCCCGTTTATGATGCGGCGGAAGCCAAGTTTGACGTGGAGAAAGATAGGGTGTGTGACTTAAAAGTAGTAGACCTGCGAAGTGCGCTTCTGTCGAAATTGGGGATGCAGAGGCCTCCAAGGATGGGCTTGCCAGATGGCACGACTGTATAAATTCATTCATATTTCTCATTGATTGCAATAACAAACAAAAATATCACGATCCTCTATTGCGGATAGTTCTTCATTTCGTGGTCACTTTAATGCATTATACTCGACTCTGCCATCTATCGACCCGACTCGATTATATCCAGCCCTCCCATGCCATCTGTCTCGGCACTCTGGCTACAGGCTCAGTCGATGATTTCAACATCTATCTGCACGGATATGTGTTGGGGAGGAATGCGTTGACTGAAGCACAAAGTGGTGGATATCAAGACCTCTTGCCTTGATTTATCATCCCAAGTCTACACTGTTTCCACAGTGCCAAGTCTCCTATTTAGTAAACAAGTTCTAAACTTTTCTGATTAGCTCTCAGTTTCCTTCTTAGCATCTTCCTTGAGAGCCACGATGCGATTGAGCACAATTGAGTCTTCAGTGCTATCCGAGTCCATCGCCTATATAGTGAATCATAATTAGCAACCACCTTCTTAAGAGGAGCTGATGTGCTTACAAAGTATGCCACCCGCATAGCCTGGAACCGGACGCTTTCAGGTCCAGAATGAGTCTTCTCGCCCTCAGCCTGAGGCCAAGGAGCACGACGGCGAACCTCATCAAATCCGGCGTTGACCATGGCATTTGGGTAAATTGTCTCACTGTTGGGGTTAAGGTCGGCGAGGAATCCGCCTTCCGCAGCGGAGGGGTTTTCTGATTTGAAAAGTGCATTGTGAACCCGAACCGTGACCTTGCGTGAGCCTTCAGGAACCCAGTGGATGAATGCCTTCGGCTTGGGGCCGTCTCGTACTAAGACGGCTTGAATCTCTGTGACTTGATCGGTCGTCGGATCCTTGGAGAAGGAAACAGCCTTGATCGGGTGGGGCACCTGGAGCAAACCGACGGTTTGGCCGGGTGACAGACGGAAGAAATCCGGGGAAGAAACCTCGCGGAAGTCAGACCGGTCGATATAGACGGTGGACGTCATATTGAGCTTATAGGAGCCAAATTCAGGCTTCTTGGGCGAAAACGGCAACACGAGCTCTTGTCCCTCTAGGTCGCCGATGTCCTGAATCACGACACGAATGGGGTCGAGAACTAAACAGAGACGAGGGACTGACGTTTCAAGGTAACGGCGAACAGACTGTTCAAACCGCGCGGTCTGAATCACGGTCTTTGAGGTAGTTACGCCCAACTCGTTTATAAAGGAAAGAATAGCTCCCGGCGGCACGCCACGCCGGCGAATCGCAATCAAAGTGTAAAGTCGAGGATCATCCCAGTCGCGTACATACTTCTTGTCAACTAGCTCTTTCAAAGCTCTTTTACTCATGACAGTGCCAGTGATATTCAAACGGCCTGACGTTGCGTCAGCTGGATCCTGGAATGTTCAACCATAGAACAAACTCACCATATTCGCGCTGCATTGGCTCATAAACCCCAAGGGTCTTGTTCAGCCATTCATAGCTCTCTCGGGCAGTGACGAATTCGGTCGTGCAAAGACTGTGGGTGATGCCTTCGAAGCTATCGCAGAGACAGCTTTTTCTTAAGTTAGCAACTATATATCTCATGAATCAACGTCTTCACGCGAAAGGAAGGACTCACTGAGCGAAGTCATAGGACGGATAAATGTGCCACTTCGACCCAGTGCGGATGTGGGGGGTGCGGTTCTTGGGAATGCGATAGGCGGCAATGTCCCACATCTGCGGGTTACCACTAGTAAGGAGACTTTGCGACATACGCAAGAAGGCCGTCTGCGGCTCGTATTTCCCATCGCGCATATCGCGGAACTTGGTCAAGTTGGTCTCCACGTCCTGGGAGGCATGGACACAATTAAACCGTGGTGATTTACCATCTTCACCTCCGCGTTGCAACTTGAGATCGGCCTCAGTGCAATGGCAGACATAGGCCTTCCCCATCTGGATCATCTTCTCGGCAAGGTCGTACAAACGCTGGAAGTTGTCGCTCGAATAGGTAATCTGGTTTGGAGTGAATCCTGATCGAAAGAGGCAAATTAGCGGAACGCACTATATGAAGCCCAGGCGGGGAACAATACCCAGCCAGCGCACTATATCCTCAATGGCCTGGAAATACTTCTCCTCCTCTGCGTCGGGATTTGTGTCATCGAAACGAAGAATAGTCTCGCCTCCGTGATACCGCGCAAAGCCGAAATTGATAGCGATGGCCTTGGCGTGGCCGAGATGAAGATAGCCGTTGGGCTCGGGTGGAAACCTCGTTCTCACTGGTTTCGAAGGTCGCAGGTTGTAAACGTCGGCGAGGAAGCCCTGTTTGAACATGGCATCTGGATCGATGGTGGGTTCGGCGGATTTAGGAGTGGCGGCAGTGGGCTTCTTCTCAGCCTTAGGCGCCGCCGCCTTGGAAGCTTTCTTGGCTCGCTTTTGCATTCGTTTCTTCAGCTCGCCCTTGGAGACCATCTCCCCGGTCTCCGGGTCGAGCTGAAGCTTGGCAACTCCCTCAGTGACTGCGTCCGCCATGATGAGTTGATTCGCAGGTAGTATGGTGGAGAGAACAGGTGAGGGCGAAGATCAAGTCGGTTATCGCGGGGAAGAAGTTTTGGGTGTTTTGACTCACATCCCACCCATCCGGAGTATCTATTCTTCCGCCCTGCTTACTAACCTTAGCCCTATTACGTTCATTAGTTAACTTTTAACTTACGATAATATTTAGACAACAATAATATTTGATGATGATAATATTATTACCATTCAGTGTTATCACTGATTTATGATGCTAGAATGTTATTTTGGTGAATTGCTTCTCCGTCCTCTCCGGCTGGTCACATCCCTACTGATAATCTCTATATGTACTGTAGGGAAGGAAGGAAGCACCCGGTCATGTGACCCCATACATTAACCATTTACTAATCTATATCCTCTATTTTCATTCTTTGAAAGAGTAGTGGTTTCTGGAGAGCCTAGTTTCCGAACAGAGAATTCATCATCAGACTATTATTTGATCATCATTTCCATAGCCTCTACCTCCTATAGGGTGAGCGTCCACCTGTTCTCAACCAGTTCTGGCTTTTCTCCGCTTAGTACTTGATTTTCTAGATACCTCATCCTCTTTCCCTTTCTGTTTTAGTGCTCTCTCTCCTAGCCGCGTAATCGGTCTCTTGGTCACAATCATTATATGCTTCAGTGCCTTTGTCTTTGGCTTTGGCTTCAAGAGAAGATCTCTGCGTCCAGATAGCATTTGCCAATATTTCACCAGAACTGGCATTCTCCTTATTATCTCCCAGCTTCGCGCGCGTACAGAACAAAGAAGCCGGATTCTGAGCCTCAAACGCAGGTGCTGGAGATGGTGATGACGGAGTCTCTGTTTTGACTTTCCTCGAAACCAGCTCAACGGCCTTCGAACTGCTCTTGCCGCCACTCTTACTGCTCCTGTCCATCACACTATTACTATCCGTGATCGGGATATCGAGGCCTACCGCTATGAAGCGAAGGCCCTAGAGTGGTAACTGATAGGAGTCGAGAAATATCGGTTGTCCCATCTCTAGCAAGGGTGGGAGTTTCGTTGTAATCCCGTAGTATGTCATTGACAACCTCTCCACGGCCGGTTGCATTAATTATCCTCGCGATCAGGTAGTGCGTCTCGATAAGGATTGGGCTCGGAAGAGGATATCTGCCGTCCTGGGCTTTTAGAGTGATGATCCTGTCTTGTGGGAAGCTGTGCGCGTACAACGGTAGCCCCGTGGTGAAGGAATGCCAAATACGGTACTGGCTTTCGACAGACGTGGGCTCCAGAGCGAGTTTAAACCGACCGAAATGGGTGTGCACGGCATGCCTCTCTAACATCATCACGTTTTGCATGTCGTTGATACTGGCCTGGGTAAAGTTCAACCGCGACCGAACACCGGGAAAGTACCGATAGAAGCATTGCCATATCTCCCCAAGCCCCCGGAGCTCATCATTTGTTGAGAATGAACCAAGACAGAAGGGTATTATGTGGGCGGCGATGAGGTTTCCGACAAATGGTATTTGGGGAGGCGGGTTTGCTGTTTCTTCATATGCTTTAGTGATGACGCAGCGGTATCCATCCCGTGACAGGCATTGTGTCCGTAGGCGCTCTTGCTCGCGCACAACAGGATCGTCGATTTCGCTAAGCAAATCCTCTATGGAATCTTCAGTGCCAAAACGGGGGGAAGGAGTCAGGGGCTTGCTCTTCCCACCGACGGCCAAGAATGGTCGAATAAGGGCTGTGTCAATGTGCTTCGCAAGCTGCTGCAATTCCTCATCAGAGCAACAGCTTTCGATATCGTCGGCCAAGTTAGCCTTACCATCAGTTGGCAAATATTGGAAAGTGTTTTGGAGGAATGAGAATGTATCATCATTTGCATCTTTCGGTATGTAAGCAGCTAGTCTTTCCTTAACATTGACCTCTAAGAGGTAGAGTGTTACATTGCTCGGCGCGTCGCTGAGGGGGGAGTCAGACAAAGATCGCTCCATATTGCAGGGAGCGGACAAGAAACGTCAAAAAGATACCAGTCACAGGAATTGTCGCAAACGAAAGTTATGGCTGATCGACGGCTTGGTTCGACGTGACAGATCGTTATAGTAGTGGGGAAGTTTAGTGGGGTTAGATGGAGGCCCCTTACAGTAGTCGGTAATCACTCTTGCATTAACGTTAGTAATGTAGCACAGCGTACAGAGCATGTTGAAGCTAGTACAACTGAATCATAGAGAAAGGAGGTCGATAGTATTATTATTTGACTTGCAGTGCAACTAGAGGGAACCATCAGATAAACAACAGAAGTAAACGCGGGGGGATTCCAAAAATTTAGATATACCGGAGAACGGCGATGGTCTCTCCGAAGGCACGGACAGATACATGCAAAGGCGTTGCTCTGGTGCCTGAGTCTGTCAACGGGCCGAAGGGGAAATCCTTCTCACAGAACAGAAGTACCCCAGATGTCAATCTAAGATCAAAGGAGCCAAGATGGCTTTGGATAGCGGCGAGAGTATGTGTTCTGAGTGGATAGAGAGAACAAATCGGCGTTTGCGGGTCGCACTAGTCCTAATCCGGTACGCCAAGCAGCTCGATTTTGGAGGAAAGTGTATGTATTTAACGGCTGTGGTTCAAGGCCGTGGCACATGACCCACCATCCCCTACTGGAATGCTGAGGATGATGCTACACATGATGGTTGGATCTAGCGTCAGGAACAAAAAATGTGGCCCTGCGTGGAAGTTAGGCTCGTGGCCGTGCGAGTTGATACACGTGACGCCAAGACGGATGTTGGCTAGAGTGACTTGTAAAACGGCCGCTGAAGCGGCCATTTTCGGCCGCCTGCTAACCGTCACATCATTAAATAGAGTTAACTAAAGTTAGTTATTTAGGTAACTATTAACACTCTTTTATCTACACTCCCATAGCACTATTTTTAGATCTAGATCTCTTTAATACTGCCTTGAGAGCAATGACAGCTTCCGCAGAGTACGCGAATACTGGGCATACCGGTTTTAGCAGGAGCATCGGAAGTGGGTGACAATATAGGGTCATTAGCATGGAGTAGGTATCCCGCAACAGGACTCCTGCTATGCGACGCGTGCCCGTGATATGTACAAGCATAAACCCTATACGCGAAACCAGCTTAGAATACATAATTTGAGACAAGGACTTCGTATTCTATCACTGATAGCGTGATGCGGTACCAGTGAGCTTGCTGTTGAGGTAGATGGCCACTCTCAAGTCATTTTCCAACCCTGTAATAGATCAGGCTACTATACGACGGTATATGGTTCTAGCTGGACAATCTGAGAAGATGGTTATTGACTGCAGAGTACAGCCGTCATTAATCGTCATAAATGATAGGCAATGAATGTGGCTATCAATTGAGTGAGTTAGATTGCTTTTTCCATAGCTGGTAGGTGCGAGGTTCTCAGCTGAATGCAACATTATGGAAAGGTACGATATGTGCCACTACTAAGGGGTCATGATGGGTCATGCATATACCCCACGGGATAAGTGAAAGATGATTAAGATGGTTAGTCTGCCGTTTCACTCTCGTTATAGTATCTTGCACCTGCATCTATCCATTGACGCAACGAAATCTTGATCGTCGAAGTGATTAATATCCCTACAGGCCGAGGCACGTCCGGGGATAGGGATCGAATAACCAATTGAAGCATCACACTACCTACTTCCAGGTACGGATTCTACAGAATACGGGTAGTGCATGTAGCCCACTTTTAGACCGTCTGTTCTTAATGTATGTACGTGGTGGGACGCTATTTTTATAAGGGAGCAAACATAGTGATGATCACATTCAAGCTTCTGTTGATGTTGCAGCATGTTTTGCATATTACGTGAGCCTCATCCGAGTTTAATGGTATGTATTCCTTGGATCGGTAGGATGAACCATGGTTTGACCTTCTACCCACAGCAGAGTTGTATCCCGCGCAGTGACATAAGGTACATTTCTCATGATATCACCACCAGGGAGTGAATATCTATGAGATAATGTACGGTATGCTCCTCTAAAATTATCTCAGACTCCTTACAATGTGCTAAAAGATAGGGTTACATCGAACTTTGAGTGAAGCTTCTAAGGTTTTGGTACTGTACCCTGGTTTTAAACAAGGGACATAAATCCTCTGCCTGAGATTTCAATGTTTAGCAGCATTGCTTATATTCCTAGAAAGAGGAATTGCATTACGTGGGGTGATTCTAAGGGATAATGCAGAAGGTCACAGAGTATCGCTAAAGTCAAGACTTACATGATGGGATAATTGCAAATTCAACAAGAGTCAAAGCTAAGAGTACTTCCGCTCCATGCTTTCATGAAAGATTATATGAAGACGTCATTGACTTTCTCTCGATCAGAATCTCTTACAGGATTGATGCACTAGGAATATGGGCTATTCTTGGTATAGGCAAGTCTAGTATGTCATCGAGTCTACTTGAGGGTCTAGTCAATTATAAAGTCAATTGGTCACCCCATACTGCAAAGTCTTCTTCGTTGCCCTGAACAAAGACTTCAACTAATTTATAGGACAACTATCTATCTTACAACCATAATGCGCGTCTCCTCTCTTATTGCCGCTTCTACAATTGCGCTTTTGGCAAGCCCCAGCTTGGCAGACCAACCTATCGCATCGGTAAGTTGATTGATCTACTGTTCACCTACATCTAAAATGGCTAAGAATGCAATCACTAAGACATCAAATTAGGTCGGAATATGGACTTACCGCTTGGATGGGCATCTTGTTAGAGGTGATGAATGTGTAACTGTCGACGAGATGTATGTGGAACTAAAAACTAAATATGGGACAATACTAACATTCCGCAGATTTACGCACCAACCTGTGCGCCGTGTAGATATTAAGCCAGTTATATCTGGTACTGAAATCAGATGTACCTTCTATAAGTACGATGTGCCCCCTTCTAAATGTCTCGAAAAGCTCCAGCTAAAACGAAGCAAGGAACCCCGTCTGCCATTCAGATAATTATGGCCATCATCGTGATGATTACACTCTAAGGGATGGTAGTCATACTTTCAACCGTCCTTTCTATATTACCAGCTTCAAGTGCGTGGAATCGGAAAGTAAGCATGGATCCCTGTGATATGTCAACTAAGACCACAGGAAAGAGCAGTGGAGACGTGCGGTGGAATACACAATAGCGGTATCCATGTAACCCAGCCTCGCTGTAATTACTGTAGCTATTTAATCCATGGGATATTCCTAATAAACCCTTTGCTATACCGCGTTTTACTATCTGTGCGGGGGTTAGGGCTGTAGAACTCTGCAGCAGTTCTGTACATTCTGCGGTTGTTTATCGTTATAGGAATTTCCAGATGATGCTTATTTCGTCCGTGACAGGTAAGATGGTCTAGGCGTGACAGAGGGAGGAAGACCAAATCAATCTGGACCTTGATTTTTCAATCATAGCAAGTTAAGAATGTACTAAATCGGATCCAATTACACACACACACACACACACACACACACACCGCTGGAGCTGATTTGATATACTGTGAGATTTAAGTACCAGGGTTCCCTCTAAGGTTTGTTAGTTGTGTCTTTGCTGTGTAGAATCATCATAACAACTAGCCCTTCGAGTTTTATCTTACAGAAAGCCACGGACCTTAAATTCCTATCCAAAAATGTCCGAGCAATAGTCCCAAGGCACGCGCCTACCAAGGTAGCGCGGTGGCCATTTCACTTAGCTGACCACACTAGAGTGATATATCTAGAGTACAGAACTTGTATGGTATAACTATGGAATCAAATGTGTAGGTGTAAAGCGTCACTCGGAATGCAGGTGCAAAAGCAATAGCTGTGAATGTTGTTCTGTGGACTTGCTTTGTCTTACCGTCTAATATTACTACACTATCAATCCTTCAATACAGCTTATGAGTCCACATCACCCGGTCTCTTTACCTCTTGGAAAGATGGCAAAACCTTGCACGACAGTGCCAAACCCTACCACCTGTTCAGCCTGTAGATTTACGACATACCTGTAATCTATCTGGCAAATAGCTTTGCCTGGTGTTGCCCGACAACGTCCATGTTACTCCCAATCTTACAAGCAAACGCTGGCCAAAAGCATATGGGCGTCAGTGTAGGCACCCACTATTCTCCTGCTTTGACGAAAGAAAGCACTCGTAAACACCACAAAATGCCTTAGTCTGAGAAGCTCGTTCTTGTTGATCTGAAGAATGAACCCAAATTGTGTAGAGATGGCCGCAGCCCGAATCGGACTCCTTGATCGCACAGAGTCCGTAGTCATAAATATTCTAGAGCCGCTTCCAACTAGCTTGAAGGAACAGAGGTTCAATTCACGTTCACTCATGTATTTACTTTACTACCTCCCTGGTCGATCGGAAAGAAAGGCCATGGCCTTCTTGCGCCTCAGGCCATTACTCATACAGCAAGGAACATTCTTTAGTGCAACCATCATGGGAAAGGGCGTTTAGCGAATTGCGTTGCCTCATTATTACAATGGTTTTACAATAACTTGGAAATATTTGATAACTACCAAGATTGTAGACACCACATTATGAGCTCTGTCTCAAAAATTCGGGCAGGCGGAAAGCGCAGTAGTAGGATGTGTCTTAATTTTCAAGTCATGTCGCCGGCAAGACATAATATCCCCCGAGTGATGTGAATCAATTTGGGCCTCCATAACTTACTCTGTCATAGGTTCACCATCCATGTGTAATCCAAATACCCGTTTTTAATTTCTAGTCTGAAAGATCTCGATGAAAAGTAACGCGTATCGTCTTAAATGCTCAAAATGTACCTAAGATGGGCTCTCTATGCAGTTGATTTTGTATGAGCTTCCTAAGACAAATTAACCCTTCTAAAGAACGCGCCAGCAACTGCATATAAACTTCTATATAATCAGCTATACGATCAACAAGTGAGCTTAGACATAGCTCTCCAGGCACCTACAGGAAATGTAAACCCAGTGTAAAGGAAGTCGATCATGACCAATCACCTTCATCAACCACAGGCTCATGCCTGTCGGAAGCGTCCATGAGCTCCTTGACAGTCCAAGGCTTGTATGTATAGCCGGGAGGGACATTTGTGTTCCGGAAGGCAGCCCCGGTGAGGATATGATTTGCAACCTTGCCGTAGTTTTCGTAGGCATACTCCTCAGGGTTATGGCGCATAATCCAGGTAGCAGTAGTCTTACTGAATAGATCGGGGTTCTTTGCCACCTCGTCCCAGTCAGTGTTGTGGTACTTTTCCCGGTGGTGGAATCCCATCTTTTGAGCACATGACACTCGTTCAAACCTGTGTAGGCGTGTTAAGTACAATGTCTGTTTCGAGCTAGGCGATCTTTCAAGACATACCTCAGATGGTTATGGACTCTTATGGCTAAGGCAAAGTTAGACTTTCCGCCTAGCTGCAGACATGTTGCCAGAGAGTATGCGTCTTCCATGGCCATGGCAGCTCCACTACCCGAGGTTGGTAGAAAAGAGTGTGCAGAGTCCCCAAGCTGAATGACTCGAGCCTTAGGCGACGCCCACGTGGGTTGAGGGTTGCGCCACAGCAACTTCCAGTCCGTACAACGGTTACCAGGTGTGGCTTTAATGAGCTCCGTCAGGAAGGGCTCCCACCCTTTAATGTATTCCAAGGCTTTATCTGTAGGCACGGTCTTGTCCCAGTCTTCTTCGGCGTTGTGATCATCCTAGATTGGCGCAGTTGTTAGTTAGTGTATGAAATAGTAATGCTGCGGATCGGACTGCCATACCCTGTGTGTCATCATATAGCAGATCTGCCTGGAGGTCTTCCCCACAGCCACATGTGCTCCAGGGCCGGCATGGATCGAAGCACGATCGACGTAACCCTCAAACTCTTTAGCAATTATTGGGTTCTCTAACGCTGGCCCAGTGGGGAAGGTCGCCCTATAACAAGCAAATCCCGAGCTAATAGGAAAGTCTTTCTTTCCTAGGACCAAGGACCATGCTTTCGAGCCAACTCCATCAGCAGCAACGACTATGTCTGCTGTGAGCTTCCGACCATCATCAAGGATGACACCTCCTTCGTTGTCCGTCTCAAAGTAATCCTCCACGGTAGTCGAGAAAGTCACTTGAATACCCAACTCACAAACATACTCCCAGAGCGCACCATGAAGCTCAGAACGGTTGAAAGCCAAGGATTCATTTTCTCCGTCACCTAGAGGCCAGCTTCCAATCCATGTTCCGTCGTACTTCTTGATGTTTCGCTCGGACTTATACGAGATGGCCTTTAGCTTCTCGAAGAAGCCAGGCCACTTCTTGATGCTATGAAGGGCGTTACATTCTATCAAGAGAAGGTCGCCTGTTGTCATTCCTTCATTAGAACTCCGATTGCAGAATGCCAGGTTAGTTGCTCACCGTAGCCTTGAAAGTTGGGACGCTTCTCAATGATGCAGACATCATGGCCTTTGCGATATCCTTCAATCGCAAACGTGAGGCCACCAATGCCACCACCAGCAATAAGAATAGACAGCCCAGTAAGGGGGTACTGATTCCTAATTGTAGAAGCTGCTGGAGTTCCCATTGTTGCTGCTTGGGTTCCTCGCTGTGGTGATTCGAACTGTTGATTTGACTTGCTGGACCGGATGCTGGTATGAAAGACCGCAGAGCTACACGGTCTTTATATATCTTGCAGAATGCATCTTCACCCTGTGCATCTCCGGAGTGCTCGGAATTAGCCTCAATCCGGTAGGTCGTGCCAACCTGTGTGAAACTAGTCTCTATAGATTGTTGTTCCATAGTAAGCGTTTATTTATCGAAAATTATACCAAGTGTGGATGTGATCTTCATGTGTGACTGTTTTGAGTAGGGGTGGCTGAGTTTTGATACGTAACTATGTACTACGCTATCAAAAAGCCTGCAGTCTCGGAACCAGTAACCCAGGACCCGCCAATTCAGCCAGAGTCTTATATTACTATATTCGTAGACAGGAATAAATCATCGCTAGAAGAGGCAGTTCTCGTTCAATCTATTTATTCCTGTCCGTTTGAACCGTATAGTTTATCTAGATAGAGTCGAACAGGGTTCAAGGCAAACTTTAACCTCTGAGGTTTTAGACTTGATTTACCATGGCTTGGACTTTTGGTTACTCCGTAAAGAATTGAAGAATTTAATATCATATCAGCAGAGGCTTTTGCGACTAAGATTTTCTCTTTTAGCAAGCGTGCTAACGAAGCCTATGGTGGGGTAATGGGCGGAACTTCGATTCCTACTTCCGCTGAGTCAGCAGTGGTCTAGCTCTTTTATCAGATATTCTATTCGCGAACAAGTCGAAGACTATGCTGCTTCGTGTGAACACATCTTGGATTGTGCTACTCAAATGATCGATGACACATAATGGAAACGGCAAGGGTTCTATCCAGCCCGGCGTACCTGAAATTACAAGCAACCTGCCGATTAGGCCACGACTAGACGAAGTTCTGAGACATAAGATGAGAGATTCCGTACACGATCTTTGCAAAATCTTCCCCTGTGTACATTTGCCTTCATTTCAACTTCTAGTTAACAGAGACCACATAAGCATGTACATGAGTGGCCTTCAAAAGACCTCGATACCACGAGCTCAAGGGGCACGCAGATGCTTGACTCTTTGTTGCTGCTACATATAAGGCAATGTCGACGTCTATCGACTACCTTTCTCGTGACTTTTGATTTCTCATTTATTAGTATTGACCATAGTCGGCGACTGTGTCAAGGTACCTGGAGTGACTAGGAAGTGCCAATACTTCCGTAAGAAGGGCAATAGCAGAGAGCAATTTCACAAGATTCGGCGGGATCCGCCAGTGTTGCATAGCAGCGCGCTGGAAGTGGTGCCTGAACCCTACCCGAGCTCTAGATAAACTCCGCAAATAAAAAGATCCTTCGTCTTCCGGGGTTTAAGTGTGGAGACTAGAGGTACCATGTACCCGACATCCCGGGCATCCCTCGACAAAATAGTCGCAGATCCCCTGAGACGGTTAATACCACTTTTTGCTGTTTGTCGAAGGAACAGAGTATCACCAGAGTGGTATACGCTTCAGTCCTATGCTCTTTGACAATCTCCCTAGCTCTTTCTTCTCCTAATTTGAACACATGTATAGTATTATCAATAGGAAAAAAGAATGGAATGCTTTACAGGCACTGTAGAATAGAAAACAACGACGGCAATAAGATACATGTATGGTATGACTACGTTGGGTGCAACTACTCGGTAGCGTTGAACTATAACTATTGTGAGATATTCTTAACTAAATTCAAGGGCGTGGTGGGTCGATGGTATCTAGAGAAGAATACAACCTGTTTATGGCCATACTACTTCCTACGCCTATAGGCTACATCATATACCAGTTTACTAGCCGTGGGCATTTTTATGGCGTTTGGTTTTGCTCCCGCAGGTATAAGTGAGCTCCAATGCCCCTCAAGTACCGAGGAATGACGCTGATGGTGATGTTAGCCGCACCGAATGTTGTAGGTGAAATTTATTTTGCGCAACAAAGGGCAATAGTAGGATACCAATTACTTTCAACAAACATTTGAGGATCGGATAGTAAGTCCCTGCCTAAGTGCTTTATACGATCTTCATCTGCCCGGGTCTTATGGTCGGCGGGCTTACCGGTCGTTGCGTTGCTAGGTTCTGATCATAAGATGGGGCAGCCAGCTAAGCCTCGGTGATTTGAGGGACAGATAGAAGGAAGATTCTCACGCTTCTAGCGATGCCCGGTAACAGGGGCACAAGCTCTAGACAGGTCTATCCAAACCCGTGATACTATGCGGGGACAGGAAGGTTTTGGCTCATATATTCGCATTTCGAGAGCTTGACTTTCTCCTTCGTAGGAAGCATCTGGCGTACTCTAGCTATGTTTAAGACTCTTCATCGAAGGGGAGTAATCGACGCACACCCATGGGGAGAAATAAGGATGAATCCCTCGCAGATCATCCTTGGCATTCAGGCGCTGCATCGCCCAGCAGACGCAGGTGCAGAAGTGGAGAAGTGAAGTAAGGTATGTCCTATTCTTATATCTTTTCACTGTAATGTCTCTGACAGTGCGTATCACGAAGCATTGTTGCTGTCCACGGTCTCAATGACCACTCCATAGGAACATGGACAGCAAGCCCGGAAAATATTTTTGGTTAAGCCACTCGGACTTCTTACCAAAATATATCCAGAATGCACGTATCCTAGTTTGGGGATATAATTCAAACGTGTCATCCGTTAAAGGCCCGACGACTTCAGATCGGATATTGCAGCACGCGCTTACATTTGTTCATCAACTTGAAGCCGATCGAGATGTAAGTGAATAATGTTTTCCCGAAGTACTTGAGCCAATGTTCGATTATAGGATAGACTAGCGCTTAAAATATGCTATCCAGATTTGCTGGCTGACAAACGTTAATGGAGCGAAAAAGAACACAATCAGGCTACATGCCATGCCATGCCACCATATGGCGTTGCCTTGCTTCGCTAGACTTTGGCGGACAAGATCTATTTGCTACTTGCTTTTCTGCGAGGCAGGGCTGACAACTGCCTGAAATTGTTTTGATACCTGATGACAACGGCATAAAGACTAGATATCACAGACTAGGTTTGTATAAGATAGCTATTGAGCTGTTGTACCTAGAGCATAGTTAGCTACAGGGATTAGAAGCCTCCGAGGAAATCTACGAGGGTGGCTTAAAGGTAGATTTAGTGCTAATGCTCAATGCTACTCTACCATGATTCTAAGAGCACCATTCGTACTCTTTCTTGGGTTACATCAGCATATATACTATCTGATCAGATTACTCCGCCTGCGGAAATTAACCGAAAGGCTGAATGATAGACCGGTCTCAACCTTAAATGGTATGTTATCAGATTATTCTGAAACAGGAGGATTAGGGCATCGTTGCCTAGCCTGGTCCAGGCCAAAGGCCAAGATAGGCCGGATCTCGACTCTTCTTGGCACGTTTTTGACAAATCCAACGAGAGTACCACGCTTGGCCACCTAATATTCTGCTCTAGTTCAAACTCTGGTAGTTCCGTTACCCACACATTGCAGACGTGGTCCCCTTGCACCTATGTACGATATTTCCCTGACGCCTCACTCCGTGCAATTAAAAGGGGGACTGGGAAGGACAGAAAGAATGAATTTCAACTGCCGACGCGGCTCTAACATTTGTACGATCCTACAAAAACTGCGTCTACTACTTAGTTAGAAGAAATGGCAGTCTCAGCTGAGAGCGAGAAGAAAAGCAACCACGTTTAGCCACCCAACCGATGGCAATACCCTAACACTCAATCTGCTAGTCTATACCACTTTCCATGTCCCGTACGCTTGTAACTTTGGACGTTCCGCAATCACCTGTGTCAGCACGCACCGTAGCCATACTCATCTATTTAGGAGATGGCTAAGCCTTCGGTGGAATCTCTATTGACCTGTCAACATCGGCCCCTGTGTAGGAAGAATCCCTACAATATTAAGGCCAAATACTTACTGCGAATGATTTTCCCAACCTAATCCTTCGGTTAGCACATTGCCAGACACAGCTTCCTGAGAATATACATACATCCTCAAAAGTACCCACTTTAAGGAACTTTCCGGTGTTTCCACCCACCTGATGTCGGATAATTCCAATGGCTTCCCACTCACCAGTTGCAGTCCGTTTTGCAAATCTGTGATCCTGAGGTCAGCCACTTAGCAATACCTGAAGGTTGGTCGGTAGAAACCTACACCGTGCGGTAAAGGTCAGGCTGCATGCCCGTGTTGAAGACAGTTTTGGTCAAGGGGAATTCCTGAAGGTCTCTCATGTTGAACTCCCCTGGGTTTGGTAGCTCAAAGTCGATATTTTCAAAATTGGAAAAGTGATGTGGAAATTCTTTTGAGAACATTCATAAGAACACAGCAACATCGTCGAGGAGGGGTGACTCTTACTGTTATTTCCATCCTTTGCAACATAAGTAGTACCATCCTTCAGGGAAGACGTTCCCCGCTCTATCGATCTTTCAACGTTCCTCCGTGAGAACGGTGTGTTCTTCAAGAACTCGGGCTCGGGTTCGGGCTGTTTCTGTGGCTTGTCCTGGGGTCTATCCTGTGGTTTAGGCTGTCCCTGGGGCTTAGTCGGTTCTGGCTCTGATTCTGATTCCGTCTCCGGCTGTGTTTCTGGCTCAGACTCCGGTTCTGCCTTCTTGTTGATCCTCCTATTTCTTCTCTTCTTCCTATTCCTACGAGCCCGGCTCCGGGCAGCATTATCCGTGGGCGCCTCTTCTGCTGGAGCCTGCTCGGCCGGCGAGCACCACCAAGACATCAGGGAGGAAGTTATACCACGTGGGCAGAGCTTCTTGGCTTCCTTCTCTCCATCGTAAAATGCTTTATCCGCAGCCTTGGATGCCTCATCGGCCTTTGTAGCCTGTTCCAAGGCTTTTGCCTCTTGTTCGGTGCCTTTAGCTGATCCTGCTGCGGCTTCTGCTGCGTCTGCGGAAGCATCAGCTTTGTCTGCCAATTTGGCTATCTTGTCGAGATCAGAAGCTACTCCATCGCTTGCAACCACGTTGCTTAATCGTTCTGCAATTTGGGCTGCGTCTTCCGCTCCTTTTACTGCTTCCTCAGCGAACTTGATGGATTCGGCAAACTCCCCCACTCCTGGAATCGCCAACAAGACATCGAGAATGGTTGGGTGCTCTATTGTGTCAATGCCTAATGCCAATAAGAATCCAAGGGGGTTCTGGGTTGGATGTCGGATGCCATCATCTGCACAAGATTGAAGGGAATCCCGCAAGGATTTCGGTACCAGATGCTCGTAGGTCCAGCCCTCTGCCTTCCCGACGGTTTTGAACCACAATCCTATCACTGGAATGTCCTCCAAGCGCGTGTTGAGGAACTTCCACCCCTCTCGTATGCCTGGATAGCTTAAAAACTTCGTTATCTCGTCTCCGATCTCATTGAGAATAGATTTGAAGCCAGTCTCATCGGATACCTTGATGAACTCTTTGATCATGGCGTGGACTACCGGCATGAGCGTTTCTGACACCCCTTCGCAGGTGTTGCCCTTCGCCAAATCCATGATTCCCTGCAGGAACGTCTTGACAGTGTCTTCTACCACTTCAAATGGTGCTTCTATGACATCGAGGAATTCCTGTTTTCGTTAACTAGGATACTTGAGCGGCATCTCTAATCCTGTGTAATCCTCACCTTAAGCGGGTCTACTGTTTTGGCAGAATCTTTTTTTATTTCGTCTTCTCTTGATTCTTCATTTGCCCACCATGAGGCATCGGGTGCTGGGCAATCATCAGGGAGATCAATAGCAATTCCTTTACCTTTGTAATATGGGTTGGCAGCAGCACGCTTTCCCAGGTCTCTGTGCGACACATCCTGGTTAGGGAAATTAGTCAGGCTTTGGTGCACAATCACTGAGTAGCTTAGACCTTACCGGTATAGCTGCAACTGCATACAGTGTCTTGGCTACATTAGGCTTATACAGCGAGAGTCCGGTGGGCTCAGATAGCTGGGTCTCTTTGGGTGGGAGCTGAGGCGCCGCAGAAGTACTCTGCACCGCCAGCACAAGCAATGCGGCTTGGACTCCTATGAAAGACTTCATAGTAAGAAGAAATCATGTACAACGTGGTAGCAATGAAATGAATAGGCTCTCTGTTCAGTGCGATGTGATCCGAATGACTGGATTAATAGATAGCGGATGAAGGTGACTATCGTAAGGATGTCCAGGGGGTTTATATGCAGAGTAAGGTAGTAATGAATCCTTGGTTATGGGAGTATTCGATCGTAGGTTCAAATTCGCTGTGTATTGTACCCACTCGGAGCTCTAGACCATCGAAAACGGTTCATGATCCTGAGTCCCACTATCTATTGGCATCCCAAGAATTATCGACCCAACCATGAAACGAAGTCAATGTTCCTGCTCAACATCGTTATCACACTCACGCAGTACATCTATTATGTTGCCCAGACGCTGTCCAAGCCCGTTTGATGCAAACAAGGACAGATAATGTTTTACTAACTTGGGTTTCAATCCTCGTGTTCATTGTGCTGGCTGGTAAACCTGAGAAATCCTGCAAGTCCTAGAGTGGAGCAGCAGGTACCATATTCACCCGTCTCAATAAAAGCTATACTTGCATAGCCCGGTGTAGTATCTTTTTAAGGTTTGAACAGCCTGATCTCCACCAGCGCAGTCAACTGCCAAGTCATATCAAACCACAATCTGATGCTACGGAATGCTCTGGACTAACCTTTTGACCGTGCCACCACCTTAATATCCAGGCAACCGAATATTTTGTATACGCAGGAAGGCTCCATATAACCCAGGTACCGGCGTGGCGTGACATCCAAAGTGGTTATTCAGTGGATCCAAAGGATAAGCAATGGTGGGTGGGTGGTATTGAAGGATTCTATTGACTTTACGGTTGTTTCGAAGCCCAGAACCAGCACAGAAGGGACTATAAATATGCCCATTTGTAGTCCAAAAGCGTCTTGCCAGTGCAGACTGATCTCAAGTAGTGCTGACCTACGTTCACTTTCATCCGGACTTTATAGTTTCTCCTCAACTTATCTGGAATTCCGAAATGAAAGCTGTACTTTCTTCCTTCTGTAATACATTCCCACTTCGGACGGACCATTATTGGTAGTGAGGACTAACTGTTGAATAGGGGTCTTGGGCCTTACGATGGTGTCCAACGCATGGTCACAAGACCAGACTGCAACTTCAATTGATATACAAGGGCCTGCATTAAATCCATCGCACGAGTATAACCACGCCCACTCTGCGTTCCCGGATGAGGGTATGCAATTGTTGGAGGCATCCTTCTCACCGCGCTTTGCTCTCATGGAACGCGATAACAACGCTGGAAAGCCTCCAAGCCATTGTCTCCGTGCCAGGGAGTTTCCAGCGGAATTCGACACTCTGTTGATTAGCCTCAAGCTGGCTAATGTAGACTGGGCTGGAACCAGTTCTGATGTCACCATCAGCATTACTGTTAACGACAAGAGAAAAGTTCCAGTTTTCGCTGGCAACATTAGCCCGAGCGTTAATGCACATCAGACCATTTCGTTGAAGTCGGCAGACTACTTTGGGGCAGAGAAGGTCAGCTTGACGGACTTGAAAGTGTTAAAGATTTATGCCTACCATAATGGCCATATCTTTGACGCCCTGGAAGGGCTGCAGTTTAATTTAGAAGGTACCGCATATCTTGAGTCACATTAACTTTTTCAAGGTATTAATACTTGACTAGGGGTTGTTCTGATCGCCAACGACAACACACGGGGTATTTCGTACAATAATGTGCAATACGAGTTGATAAATGAATGGATCAGCCCATCGTCGCACTCGCAAGCGCGCAAAGAATGGAACCTCAATGACGATCAGTGGCATGCCAGCAGGCCCGGAAAGGCGAGTCCATATGGTAACTAACTTTGGCGTTTCAGAAGAGAGACCATTGAACCAGCTGGTACGCTTTGATGGGTCATTTGCCAAGCATCTTACTCTCGCATCAAGGGTAGTTAGTGGTCAAGCTCTGAGGCAATTACCACGTTACATTCTTTTCTTTTCGTGTGGCCCTACGACCGCTACTTCCAATCCAATAAGGCCAACCTTTACTACGTACGCCTGTAGCCTTCCTCTTTTGCTGTACTCCCTTGTGCGCTATCTGGCTCTCATAATTATCAGCTATGCTTGAGCTCAAGAAGAACTTATCTTATGGTGTGGAATGTTGGGATATGGGCTTTTGCCCACCGTGGTTTACTACTGTCTGTGTCTTCGAAAGTAATTGGCAATCTGCTTGTGTGGGCTGTGTTTGATAACTGTTTGTGATCCACCGGGCAGCAAATAAGGTGATTTACTGACCCGTTAACTATCTGATGAAAAGTGGAGCGCTTGTTCAGTAGTGTGAGACGTTTGAAGAATTAGGCGCCAGAAACGACAACCTTCAACAATTCTCCAGCGTGAATATAATAATCTAAATAACTGTTCTGCAACTAACCTTAAACGTATGCCCTCTCTGGTAGTCGACGCAGCTCTGAGACTGTGGAATATCATTCATGAATCCCGCCATGTCGTGTAATGGGCTCGAAATGTGCAAACGTTTGAACTAGTGAATCCTTCGATAGAAAGTTCAACCTCGACCGCCTTGGAAGGTATCCACTGCGTCTGATTACTGGTTTGCCTAAGACCTCAAATGCACTCAAATTAGGATGTGTCCGTCAAACTTACCCTCTAAGGCTCACCATCGGAATGATGACGTCTAATATCTATTAATTAGATCAAGAAAATCAGACCTCATCCTTCCCTCATTGCGAGCCTTAGGATGCAGCGCTAGATTACTAGATAATACGGAATCCTGCTTCCCAATAGGATGTCTATGGTTACACTAGGAACCCACCATCTGAACTACCCACAACTTTATTTGCCGAATCCCAGCTTAATGGTGTATTGCTACTCCCGTGAAGAATTCTAGCGGCGAACTATCCACAGCCCACGGCACGGAGTTCCGCCGTTTCTAAGATAACCGCCAAGGCAAACAGATTAGTCTAGATCCATGTTGGCAGATCATAGCTCGGTGGCTGCTTCAATCTAAGAACTAGCATCTACATCCTTCACACCACAGCCAGCCACAACCCAAAACACTCTTGTTGAGACTGGATTTTCGGTTTCTGTTTTCTTCTGCTAATACTACATCGTCTCGGTTAGTTTTCATGCAAGATACTTCTGAATACTCTATACAAGAGGTTTTTGAGAAGCTATGTGGAATCAACATGATTATAACCCTTTCTGATTTGAGTAATTCTTTTATAACTATTGACATAGCGTGGGCATGACATAACATATTAACAGAAATGTAGAAGTCCATTCTGCCTAGTAATTTAGCCTGATCCTAGATACTCGCAACGATAACGAAATAGGCTTGATTACTTGCTCCAATCTAAATGTGTGCTCTATATATAAGGATATATGAATATTTGATCGATTTTCCGTAGGTTTCTATATGGAGGAGATTGTTGGTGGCTGGTCATCACGAAATAGCTAATTCTCCTCCTGCATCTAAGATGCAGTTTATCTTGCTTACTCTCTTACTATATAGGCCCTGATATCTGAAAAGCAAATACATACGACCACAGGGTGTGGAGAACAGGGCTTCCCGTCCGCTCTGCCGTACTTAAGCCACCTGTTGAACGCAGCCGACTGGAATATGTGCCCTTTGGAGGTTGCTGCTTTATGGGTGAGCGCCACTAGGTCGCAGGGTGAGTGTGGGTGATTTGGGTGATGTTGTCGAGAGCGCGGGTGAGCTGGGTGAGCTGGGTGAGCCAGTGGGTGAGCTAGACAACCCGGTGGGATTTTTTGTGAAGTTAAATAGGGGCGCTCGACCTGGTCGTCCTTCAGTTTTTTCCCCTTTCAAGATACTCGTTCTCAAGAGGCGGTTTAATGTGTGATCCTATACGGAAATCATGTTGGGGGAACAACGACATCCATTCGTATAGGGCCCTGGGAAGCAAGGCCTCATATAGGAAAGCTAACTACTTATGATAGTAGCTTATTAACTAAGAAAGACGTTTGGATTAGTCAGAAAGTAAAAATAACATAAAATAGTCCCACAATTCTAGGATGATATATATAGTATTTCCACTATATCTAGTTGCGTTATTTCCACACTTTCTCATTTTTCTGTTAACAGCGGCCTTGAGGGGCCGCAGGTAGTGAGGAATAGCGTGATACGGCGCCGCAGAGAGTATGAGCGGGTCGGAATATTAATAATGATAAATGCACCCCTGTCATTTTTCCTGCGGCAAACGACTCGAGCTTCCCTACCTCCGCTATATGTCAAAGCGTTGTACACCCGGCACTGCTGCCGTCCAAATCTCGTTCCTTGACATGCATCCATCTGTCTGTGATGGGGCCTAAGGCCTATGTGTCTGCGACTGTCAACCCGTACTATTTAATATGTTACATTGATGCTTAAGTGAAATGCACGTACTGGAGGCTCGAAAGTCAACGGACAATTAAGCCCTATCGCGGATCGCGGAGTTCTCTTGCGGAACTTTTGAATGCAAGTCTAGCCTCCAGGGTAAGCGTTCGTTGCCAAGAGTACATACACTAGCTGCCAAGGCACAATCAATATTGTCCACCGGCCTATAGATGTAACCCCACGATTGCTGCAGGTTATTTTCGCTTTTCATGAATAATTTTACTTGTAGATATCCACCATAAGTCCCTACAATACGACCGCGCTATGACTATTGTAGCCCTCTGGCTACGCCGCAATTCCAGGATACCATGGGGCCTTAGCAGGTAGAGCATGGATAGTAAACCACAACACCATTAAGTCGCTCTGTGACCACACTGGGAGGGTCAGGTAGAGTTTGCTTCGCTGCCTCATTAATAATCAAAATTCACCAGAGAACTGGGATATAGTATCCAAATGACCGCGTGCCCGGTCACACCGAACCTTTCTCAGCCTAGCCCCTAGTACTGCTCAACTATTGCCTGAATAGGTCCTATCTGATAGCTAGCATGTGTCTCATCAACATAAGTGACGTTCGGGTCATATTGAAAGGTAAATATCTGTATGCGCATTACACGCCTCCATACTAAGAGGTTCAGTTGGGATCCAAAAGGGATGCTAAGATAAACTAAAGCGGAATTCATTTTGAGGGCATATTATTAAAATGAGAAATTCTATAAAATAAAATCTGGCTTTTGCTAGTGCTTTCATTGTTAGTGTGATTTTTGGTCCTATTACTTCCATATGGCTATACAGACTCTGTTCTTCCTGTTCTTCTAACGATCTAAAGTTCCGGTTCTTTCAATGATGGTAAGTTGTTCGAGAGCCGCGTCTCGATAGGTCTTGTGGAATACAACATGTTGGAGGCAAATATGAGAGGGGTATCTTTCTATATAGCCTAGGAAAAATAGGTGAACACTACTCAGCTTTGACCTTAGAAGTTGGAGTATATAGATATACGCTATTCAAAAAAAAAATGCCACTAATGATTTATTTGAAAACCCAACGAGCACTTGCCATAGTAGGCCAATGTTTCTCCCACTTAATATTCCATGTTTTTCCCCGTAGACCCTGTAGAAACCAAATTTCGCCTAAAATAATACGGATCTCCCGGACCAGAACTGCATCAACTTCAATCACATAACATCAAGGGTCGCCTGATTTCTCCAATTCGCTAAGCAAAGCTTAGCTGACAATTGTCGGGCTCTACGCCAAGACTATTTGTGGCCTTCCTAATAAACTAATATAATTGAAGAAAAGGTCGTCGTAATGTACAAACGGAATATATAGCAACAGTATATGCTAGTTATAAACTGTTAGTTGTTCTCAGTGATGCCTACTGGATCCTATGAGCTAAGCCTGGTAAATCCAACAGGACATGGAAATTTACTAAGTGCGAAATTCTACCCGGATACAGGTGGTTCAGAGACAAGAGTGAGAGTAGAAAGCTGGAACAGTTTCATAGAATCTAGTTCAACCGATATGACATAGATCATACACACTCGGCGAATTGCCGAGCCATGACAGTCTATCAGTGTATAAGCTAACACACGATTTTTTGTTCATCAAAAGGATTCCTCATAACATCCCCAGTGTCCCTCTAACACCACCATCCAGGAAGAGAAGACTTGGGACCAATAAGAGCCCATGGGGGCTGGCAGTTCATTGTGTCCTCATTGAACTGATAGAAGAGGCCTTTAACTGAATAAGTATGTTCCAAGGCTTGTGTTAACAAGGCCCTCTTACCGTCCTTGCATTGACAGAAAGTCCCAACAACACCGCAGCGCGGGTTAGCGCTAGAGTTTTTGTTAAGGGGGTGATCCAAGACAGCCTCAATACAATGATAGAGTACTCACTATGCGGTACATCCACTGTCACCACGGGAAACAATATCTTCTGTAGCGATTGGAACTGCTGACACGATAGCTGTGTTGAGGAGGACTAAGATAACTGCAGCGGTCTTTATCTTGCTTAGAAAGGAAGTTATAGAAATTAGATCGCGATCTGAGAAGATTGAATCAACCTGTAGTGGATAGTGAACATGAAAGAAACCCGCTTATGGCAGTCGCCTCGCTCTTTATATTTTTCTCAAGACTATGGTCTAACATGTTTTGCTGGGCGCTTGAGGAGTGGAGATCTCACGGAAGCAATATATTAAAAGAAGAGGTAGCTGTGACGTTGCCATTAAACAGATGAGTTTGCCCCGGTGTTGGGGAGAAGCTAGAAGCTCCTTTGGTATGGCTAGGATGCCAGTTTCTTTCTGGCTCTCGAAGAATGGAACTAGAGCATGCGAAACGAGAACACCCTAGTAAAGAGGGTAGAACCAAAAAGAGCACAGCGGTGGATGCATGCTTGCGCAAATCAAGTGGCATCCAAGACTACATGGACGAGGAAACGTGATCAGATGCTTGGCCAGTTTTAGACAAATGCCGGTGTCAGTATCACAAAGGATGAATATCGCTCAAAGGTCAAAGATGGCAGTAGTAGTCCGCTAGCCCTCGGCGACAAGTGTTGCTACCTTCCTTTCTTGGTATATTATGCGGTATTGAGGAAAATGAAGTTGGTACTTTATTATGTTTTTAGGATGGCTCGGAGTACCCTAAGATAGTGGCATACCAGTGTCAATGGTCGTGCTTGGAAGTTACGATTACATTAGCAATACTACCTAGCGTTATACAGCCTCAGGGAATGGGATTTTCAAATTCTTCGATCATGTCAAACCAAGTGGGACGAATCCGAGGCCCCGGGCATCATATCTTCCAATAGCTTCCGTCAGACGCGCGAACTAACTGACTAGGATCTGCTCTTAGCGCAGTCCATCGCTACTTTAGCGACCCCAAATATCGGCGGGGCCCTGAACAGACCCGACTAAGAAACAGATTAGTGTATCTTTAGAGAAACACGTGAGGAGCACTTAAGAAATGAGGGGTAATATTGCTTGGATTCTTGAGTCATCTCATACTTCACTGACTTCACTAGAGGGCGATCCCAATATTTGTACTACTCTCTGAATCCCAGGCAAACTATCTTAGAGACTATGCAAGGGGTTAGATCAGTATTTCATCAATCTAGCAAGTTGTTCTGGTCCGTCTAAGATGGCCGATGCCTCCAACCGTACCAGTCGGGGTTGCCTATCCCAACTGCCGGCTGAGCTACTCTATGAAGTCTTCCAAAGATGTCCGGACTTTTCTGCTCTCTGGAGTCTACTTAACACATCATCGCGGATACTAGCTGTCTTTAATACAAGGGCGCCAGAGATAGTTAATGCTGTATTGAACTCGACCGTGCCAGTCCAGACGCGAGTTCATATGCGTCAGGTTCTTGCCATCCGCACCGGCACGTATTCCTATTCCAGTTATGTTCAGGCACGGCGTAGCAGGGTGGATGCATCCCAGCTCTGTACAAAGATTATTTCAACTCCTGAACAGTTACGGAGCTTTGTGAAACTAGCTCACAAAATCCATGTTCTGGCACATCTCTGTATTGACAGATGCCTTCAGCGCTGCCTGGAGAGTCCGCTCGGCCTAAAAGAATATCCCATGGGATTCAGATTTCCCACATGGACAGAAGAGCAACGAACTATTCTGTCATTCTGGCGTGTATTATTTTTTAATGCACTCAAAACAGAGGGACACAAGGGAAATTTAGACTGGTCGCCAAGAGAGCTTAAAAAATTAAGAATTCACGGTCCTTACCAGCAATTTGTACCACTCACTCCAATTTTTCAGGCTAGAACTGCATTACGGTATATTTACGAGGAAATAAATCCAGAAGGCTCCGAGGATGACTTTTCACGCGATACTGGACAGTTATTTCAGCTGCCCAAGCTTCCAGAGGCCATGGAGTTCGGCTGGACGTGTCAGCCGCCTCCATCTTTATGGGCTGTGAATCAAGGCTGGGATCCTGCTGACCCACCCACCAAATGGACGAGGCAAATTTCAGAGCGGAGAACACCTTGGGATTATGATTCAGACAACGAAGTACGCTATAGGAATCGCTCCAGTGATCAGTCAGAGGGGGAGGAACCCGAGAGTAACGGCCGTGCGAGAAACGAGTCTGAGAGTGACGAATCGCAGCGCAATGAGCTTGAGAGTAGTGAATCGGAGAGTGATGAGTCGGAGAGCGACGAGACTGACAGTAAGTGATTAAACTACCGTTTTATTTCAAGGATAGAGCCTAAAGAGAAAGTAATAGCTGCACGGAGACCTCCAAGTGATCCAGATATCATACCCGCGATGCCTCTCCCAATTCAGTATCTTGAACTGGTTCCAAAGGGGGAGGAGTGGCGAACACTCCATGGAGAAACGATTGGTGTTCAATTTTGGCGTTATATGTCCGGTAATCCCAAGGCTGGCCCAGGTCAATATATCAGGTCAGGGGCGTATCTTAAATATGGCTTCGCTATTTGGGAGGAGCAAAGAATGGTCGATATGGGACTGTGGTCAATCGCTGCTCTTGTCGATGCGTCTGACTATCTCCTAAAATGGTATAGCTTTTTGAGTGAGGACGATATTGAGTGGTATGACTCTCGACGGCGGTATCCCACTCTCTACATTTAAGCAAGAGTTATATTAGATTCTTAATCAGTACTACGCTAAGCATGAGTAGTATCCCTAATTTACGGGTAAAGTAGCTAATTGTCGGTTTGAGAACAGACTCAGACAGTCTCTCCTAGTTATCACGGCAATAGACTCCATAGAGGACGTATCTGGATATTATGTGGAGACTGAATATACAGACAATTTCCATAGTCTTAACAAGTAACCAACGTAATACATACATTGATATAACGGAGACTATAGATAGTGATAGGAGAATTGAAGGTGCTTATCCCGAGGATTAATATTTTGGATAGTGCCTCTCATTCCTCGTGCGATAGTTTAAATCAGCGCCACTGGACATAGATTCCACAGTCACTGCCTTGGTGAGGAGAGATACTAAACATGATATGTAGCCCAACCAGTGTAAAATTCAATTGGTACCACTAGATCCTCCCCAGGACCCTCATGATCCTTTAGCACATGATTCACATTCTGTGTATAGTCGTATCCAATACTAAATACGTGTTGTTAGCGCTAACAGAGAGTCAGTTCACAGAGAGGGGAGTATCCATACGCGGTGTAAACATAGTTATGCGGATTTTTCATGGCCTGTCCCTTGGAAAAAGTCTCCCGTTTTTTATCCTCCCCTTTTCCGACTGAACGCCGCACTACACTAGTCATCCGCTTAAAATCATACTCCTCTCCATTCTCAGGATCCATTAACTTTGTCCACAAGAGATGAAAGAGCTCGTGGTACAAAGTTGTCGCCCTAGGGGACACCTCCTCTATGGTCGTACTTTGTTTGGGAGGTTTTTCGTCATTGTCCAAGTCACTATCAGCGAAGGGTTTAATGTTAACTGTGCGTAACCTGTCACCGTTGAAAGCTTTATCGCAGAGGGTAATGGCGCCGATACCCGTCTTCAACTCAAAGACAGTATATCCAGAGACCGATGAACCAGTGCTGCACGGGCCTTCTGTGGGATCTTTAGCATATTTCTTGTCGAATATATAGCTTTTAAGCCCAGGACACCAGTACTAAGGACAGCCTGTCAGCGCTTGTTGAGTATGGTGTGCCGTTAATCATCTCTCCTGCATGAGGGAATATACCGGATAGATAGAGCGCAACTTTTGGAATCCCCAATCCTCCTTTGCGGCCTTTTGACGCTTCTTCATCTGTTTGTCATCCTTAATAAGGTACGGAGAGCCTTCTTCATCTTTCATAAGCTCGCCCTTTGCGTCCCTCATTTGGCTACTCATGACCTCACGGATTCTCCACGAATCGCCGCAAAAAAGGTAAGGCTTTTTATGAGATCTATCGTGGAGAATCGGTACTGCCTCTTTGAAAAAGTTATTGACAGCTTCGAATCTGTCTACCAGCCATTGTCAGTTCCCATTCTAAGTGTTATTTGTGACGCTTTCAACTTACTTCGCACTGAACTCTATTCCTCCTCTGACGGGTTTTGGAAAAGAACGGTCACCAGTCTACCCGCCTCTTGTCTCGTCTTTGAATTTTTGCGTGTAATGTCTATAACTGCCTGAAGGCCAGCCTCGGACAACACAAAGGCATCCTCATCGATCTGGTCCAATTTATCTTTGCCATGGGCAGCACAGTTACCTGGGATGCTTGGATCGAAGCTAATATGAAACATGTCTGTGATATCTCTGGGTGAATTGGCTTGGGCAAATGCAAAGTGCCAGGTGTTTGCCCATGCTGAAAGCACCAATACCAGGGATAGAAACACATGTAAACCGGCCATAGTGTTGCGATTGCTAGGAATGGTCCGGGGCAATGTTTTGCCGTGAGTGTGGTTGAAAATACAGTGTTTGCTCTCTTGTCCTGCTCTTCCCCATGCCAGGTAAGCGAGAAATATGAAGCAAACGCAGTCGTTATCGCATGGTACCTTTCTTAGTCTGTGACCCATTTCAGCACTGTGCTTTCTTTCTCCCCCGTGATAGCCGATCTTGGCAGATATAATGGATCCATCTCTATTGTCCCACCGAGGAGCGGAACCCTCATTTCGCATGAGCAATGACAAGGTAACTCCGAAGTTTGTTCGGAATCAAATTAGAAACGAGCCGTCTAGCGGGCTTTCTATTGATCAGTGGATGTATGAATAACAAATTTGAGCAATAGCTGGGGCCCTCTGAGCTCGTTTGATCCTGGCAGAAGGTTACATCGGCTGCAAGCTTTGGGGCGTATACACTAATTAAATGGAAGTGTGTTAGTAGATTATGGGCTTATCATTTTACTAAACAGCTTACTCCTGAGCTTAAATTAAGTCCTGTAATTCAAAAAGCAAAGAAGAAGAAGAAGCGCTTAAATATAGAGAATATTAAATAGCTTTAATTCTGGTATAATCAGCTTATAAACTTGTTTAAAGCAGTTCCCGCTTGCCTTATATACAACTTTGATAAATATAGCTTTTAACCAGGCAGTGGAAAAAACCAAAAAAATGCTCAGCACATAAGAAAGCGTCCCTGATCTTACTAAATCAGAATATTCAGGGAATATCCCTGCGCTTGAATATATAGCTACAGATAGCTGGATTATAAAGCTGCTTTTATCTTTAAAGACAAGAAGTTTATGGAATCATGGTATAATAAAGAGCTACCGGACTCTTATACTGCTGTGTCAGAAAAAGACTATATAAATGATATTCTTGTAGTTGAATAGCTTTAATAATTTCATGAGAAGACCAAGAATCATATAAAAAAAAGAAAAATATATACTTATCTTTGATATTTATATATCTTATAAAACAGTTAAACTTCTTTAACTCTATAAGGTTCATAAGATCCTTCTCTTTTGCTTTAGACCTTATACAACTCATGTTTGCCAACTGCTTGATAGAAAGCTATTTCTCATATATAAAACATAACTTTGTAGTGCGAATAACCTTATCGTGCAGTGAACCGGGGTGTCACGGTTAAACCTTAGGCTTAAGGCAGGATAACAAGTTGTAATACTATATATACCGCGCCTGGGAGATCAACTCCGATCGGAGTTGATCATAGTGGATCTTTTTACCTAGTGGAAAGATCCTACGTATTGAATAGCTAATCCCAGGAGTAATCCTTTACAATGAATTTAATTCTGTAGTAATGTGATTCCATTAGCCAGCCACCTAACCACTAGGCTTAAAGCTCAGCAATTGACTACTTTTCAAGTAGTCAACCTGTTAGGTGGTATATATATATAAGGTGGTCCTATCTCATACTAGGAACCACAGTAAATTAAAGCTGTTTAGGCATCTCACTGCTGCTGTATTACTAAGTAAGAGATTTAATGTCTTAGAGATAGTGGTATACTAGCTGTACAGGACATAAATTGCTCTATTCGCTGATAGAAGGGCCAAAGAAGAGTTAAATAAGAGAAAGACAGTGAATAAGATATATAAAGAGGCCTACAGCCACTTCCCACGTAGGCTCTCTACAGAAAATAATTCTACGGGTTCATACACAGAAATGGCAGGGAAATCGGCTGATCAGCTTTATTTTATCGATTCGACAGGCGTTTAATGGTGATAATACGAATTGCTTTATTTTTTTGCTTTGTGTTGAAAATTGCGTTCCGCTGACGACCACCCACTGGCGAAAGGCGGGTGGGTGGTCGGAGCACCACTAATAACCTTAACCCGGCCCAAACCCAACGGGCTGGATTGCACAACCTGAAAACCCTGGCCCAACCAGCGGGCCTAACAAGCCTACATAGGCCACTGCCTAGGCACATGTGTCTGTCATAGCCAACGGCTCAATATGGACGTTAAACTTGATTAATAATAATAATAGTATGGAGCAGATTATTGGTGGCTGATCATCACAAAATAGTTAATTCTCCTGCATCTAAGACACAGTTTATCTTGCTTACTCTCATACTATATAGGCCCTGATATCTGAAAAACAGACACATACGACCACAGGGTGTGGAGAACAGGGCTTCCCGTCCGCTCAGCCGTACTTAAGCCACACGCCGGCCGGTTAGTAGTTGGGTGGGTGACCACCAGCGAATCCCGGCTGTTGTATGTTTTT